ATGACCATCTAATTTGGCTTTTTATTATCCTGTTTTGACATCCCATAGACGGATAGACTTATCATCACTACCAGAAGCTAATGTATTTCCATCAGGAGAGAAACAGACTGACATAATAGCACTAGTATGACCATCTAATTTGGCTTTTTATTATCCTGTTTTGACATCCTATAGACGATAGACATATAATTTTTAATAGAACTTGATATTTATTCAAAATACATTTAATTAAAGTAGGATAAAACCAAAACCTTCATAATTTTTCAAGTCTTAAAACAAACAGAGTAAGGATTATTTTTAAATAAAGGTAATTGCATTTAATGTCAAGAAATTGAAGAAATAATTCAAAAATACATTCCTGTGCAATAATTAAAAAAAAAATTTATTTAAGATGAAGAATTATTTAATTCTTTATCAGGCCTTTGATTTTAGTCACGTCTTTAACATAAGGGCTCCATAAACTTATAAACTAAAGAGATACTCATAGTATATTTTATTAAATAGCTTATTTCCTTGATTATTCTAACTCTTCCTATTAGACAATTGACTTATTTCAATGACAAAATTCCTCATTTAATATTTTCCTTCTCAATTTGCTTAAATTAAATTCTCCTTTTACAAAATAGGTAGAATAATGAATTTCTAGAAAAATGCTTTGAGAGACATATCAAAAATTAGAAACCCTTAAACTATCTAAAAAAAAAGTAAAAATCGTTATGGATAATAATTTAATAAATTATTGATTTTTCCTGTAATCATATTAAATTCTCTTTTCGGATAGTAGGGCATATTTTATTTAATTATAATCTTATATTTATCAAAAGTGGAAAATTTTTATTAATATGCTAGTATATAAGATGAGCATTAGCTTAAGAATAACAAAAACACGGATATTCTAATGATCATTTTAAAATTAAATTTTAAATTTGCGATTTATTTTAGGTTTTACACCAGAAGTATAGGCAATTGTCTTAATTTTGCTTCAAATGTTTCACATCAATTACTAATTTACAGAGGGCTAACTTGAGATGAAACTACAGATAAATATCTTTAATTTAGTATTTAGATTGCTTTTACGTTGGTAGAATACAATCAAAAGAATTAAAGGATTTTGAATAAGTCTAAGTCTAATTAAAAGTTATTGAAAAATACAAGATTTATCGAAAAAGTATTATTTCATCACAGATCTTCAATAAAACTGAGAATAGAGAAGAGAAAACAACAAATACTTTTTATAAAAAAACCTTTTTCTTTATATCCTCTTTAAAAATCCAAATTGTTTTTACTGATCTAAATCCTTAATAATTATTGTTTCAATCTTATTTTAATTAATAATTTAAGATCTGATAATTCTTATATATTGTTGTTTTTTTATTTAGGATGTATAAATTTATAGATAATAATGATGTTAAGAAATTTAATTATTAAATTCATCTATCTGTTTTAGTTAATTCATCTATAACCATTTCATAATTATTGTTCCATCTCTAAGAATTAAATTCCTGCTCTATTTTCTTCTAAGAAAATAGTCAGATAATTACTTTATTTATATCATTAACATTATTAGTAGATGTCTCAAAAAATTAGGTTTATTAATATGATGTTTTTTGTTTAGAGCTATTTGATTCAACTGGTCTTGAAGAATAGTTCGCATTTTCTGATGTTCTTGGTTAATGTGTATTAATCTCATATACTTTCATTTATTATTATTAATTAGAATATGGATATCTAGATTATGATTCTATATTTATTTATTAAACTGATGATTATTTTATGAATTTTTAACTATTACTTTCTGATCTATCAATCTGATAAATATACTCCTTTTAAATTTGCTGTTTTTATTCGATCTAAGATTTATAGGTTTCAATTAATAATTATTGTTCTTCATATCTTTTTTAAAGCCATTAGTTATCTGATGCTTAGACCAATAATTTATCTATTTCACTTCTTAATTCGATAACCTATTAAAAACTAAAAAAATAATATACAGTTTTTTATAATCTCTTTATTTCCATTTTAAATACTTCACTTTATTCATTCTCTTTATATTCATTTAAAGTTATTTAGATTGTCTCATAATTCGATTATAATGATACATATCTTTGCTCAATTTATTCGTATCTAATTTTCCATTAGTTAACTTCTTAATCAATTAGTAGTTTTTATTTTTACTCCAATTTTTCATATTTATCTCTCCAGACTTAAATTTATTCTTTCAAGGAGTTTGTATTTTCCAAATCAATAGATACCGTCGATATTCTTTACTAATAAATTGCAATGTCTGATCTATATTAATCTAATTCTAATGATAATTATTTAATTCTATCTTCTTTTTATTCCAATAATTATTCGAGTTCTTTAATTCTATATTATATTGTATTTTATTGTTATTGAACGTTTTTGAATTCTTCTATTTTTCTTTTTAATTATTAATTTAATGAAAGTTCTTGTTCATATAATGCATTAATGTCTATGAATTATCTTTTAAGGATTTAATCTTATTCATTATTTTATTCATATTAATATATTTTTCTAGTGAATTATTCTATATCAGCATTTTAACTTCTAAGTTAATCTTTTAGAGATTAAATTTATAACAAATAATTTTCAGTTTCTGATTTTCTGTTTTCAAATTAATACATTTTAGTTTAATATGATTCAATTTAAATCTATTGTTTTTCGATTTATTCTTATAACAATATACATTTGTTTGTCATGGTTTCTAATTATTGAGATTTCATTTTCAAAAGTCTTTCAACTTCAGGATCCACAATAAGTTCCTTTTGAACAAACTTAGACTTTCCTTCAATAATGTAATATTGAGATTATAATTAATTAAATCTAAGTTATAATTAATTATATTGCTCTATTTTTAATTGTAATTACCTTTCAGTTTCAGGATCTGGTTGATATATAGTACGAGTTTCATGCATAGATTATTATTTGAGTTTATCTTAATAGACTTACAATTAATCTGATAATAATAAATATCTAGTATTTAATTCATCATATTATTTGATTTTTTTTTAAAGTAACTAATCAGTTTCAGGATCATTCTAATAGAGGACTTTGGTTTCATATTGCATTTCCTTTTGCATGATCTTACTAGTTTCTTAGAGTGAATAAAATTATTATTGTAATAGAGTGTATCTGGTTTATAATTCTTACAATTGCCTTTCAATATCAGGATTTGATTGATAGATTATCTTTGTTTCATGTTAAATCTCCTTTTAAACATTTTAATTCATTTCTTATAAAGTGAAATATTAAGATTATAAAATAGAATACTTGGATTATAATTCTTTGAAAAGCCTTTCAGTTTCAGGATCTGCTTTATAAATGGTAGTTACTTCATTCTTTGTATTGGATAATTCATTTTTTAATCTCTCAACTTTAGAATTAAGTCTATCATTATCTTATTTAAGTATTTCATTATCCTACTGAATATCTAATAATTATTTTTGTAATTAATCAACATCTAAATCATTATTACCTGCTCTCAACTCCAAATTATCATTATTTTAATCTTGATTTACTTACAATTATTTAATTGTGGTTTGTTGTAATGAATTTTCATATTCTTTTTAATTTAGTTTTCTTTTTAGATCTTCAATTTCTTTTTTATCTAAATTATCATATGCTTTTGGTTTTAATAATTCCTAATTCAACATTATAAATTATTTTACTTTTTGTATTATCTAATATTACTTTTTCCATACATCTATTTCTTTGCCTTTATCAATTAAGAACTAACTCATTCTATTCATTTCCACCAATAATGATTCTATTCTATTATCTTATTCTTTTAACTATTTTAAATATTTAACAGCATACTTTTTTAAGATGGTTATAACATTCTGGACATTATTGGAGTGAATTTCTTGGCTATGGTGATTGAGATTGTTTGATTATTTGGAATCCTTAATTTTGTAGATCATTATTTCTAACTTTGACAATAAATTTATGGGTCATGTTTGCTCCTTCAGGTAATTATGATAATCCATGCAAGACTTCTCCATTTTCTAATTTCTATTAAATTTCTCTTTTTTCCTATGATGTTAATTCTTCAAGTTAACTATTTAAGGCTTATCGTTAACTTGGTGGCTATTGCTGAACTAAATCATTCATAAATTTCATTTAAGAGTTTGAAAATTTTGTTGGTGCAGTTATCTATCTATAGGATGATGGTAGAGATTAAGGTATATATCTTGATGAATTAGAACGAGGTATTGAATTTGAACGATCCATTTTTTTAATTAATATTAAAATGTCAAGGTAGGTTTATGTAAGCCCAGAAAGAATGACAATTCAAAAATTGGAAGAGTACCCCTCTGCTTTGTAAGACTTGAATTTTAATCATTGTATGATAATTATTTCATTTATGATTAGCAAGGTTCTAAGAGATAGAGGGAGAGTTCAAAGCTTTGGATGTCGATCAAAGTGGTTGGTTATCATTGACAGAATTGGAATTGCATTTGAAAAGGAAAGGATGTGATTAACAATTAGTATAGGAGATCTTTAATGATTTAAATACCAATTAGGATCAAAAAATATCAAAAGATGAGTTCACTCATGGTTATCTGAATAAAGAGTAAAATCTTATAGATTAAGTTAAATCCTTCGAAATCAAAATTAAACAAATCAGAACAAGCGAAGAAGAATTTAAACAATAGATAAATGTAGCAAATCATCAATAATTCATAATAACACTATAATCAGGTTGTCTAAACTAATTTTATAGATAGTAAGATGATATTATAAAAGCGTCAAAATAAATTGAAGTTCTCTTTTAATGTAATAAAGCTTCTGATGGGCATGATAGATTTAGTAAGCCAAGCTTAAATTGTGAATATCCGGTTTGGGGTGATAAAATTACTTATATTCTTCATTAAATACACTAAATAGAAATTTCAGTTGAATTAATTGAAATACACTAACTTCAAAAATAGTCTCTTGGTAAATTAAGAGTCCAAAAAGACCTTCAATAAGACTTTCAAATTCAAGAGTAACTAATTTTCGAAGGCATAGGTGAAATCTTGGTTCTTTTTGAATATATAAATAATTGGGTAAATTCATTTCTTATATCTTTATAGAATGAGTACATAAAAATGCAAATGCAATATTGTGAATAAAATGTCAATAATCTTCTAGATTAAATCAGATAGATTAAGCGCAAATTGTACTTTATGAAATAATTATATAATTTTGATAACAGCAACTTGAAGCAAAAGGAAACTCTATCACTCTCTCTATTACCAGCTTACAAATTGGATAACTAAACAAATAAATCGTTTCAACAATAAGAAAATAAAGCTTAATATGATACTCAACCAATTTTCAATTAGTAATAGCAGTCATAACCAGAATCAATAAGGATTCAATAAATTGCTATCCTAGATTAGTAAGATTATAAATAATAAAATGATTTGCCTGATGCTTTTAACATATTTAAACATTCCTTAAGTGAACCTGATGCATTCATTATTGATATGGACCAGATTAAGAATCAATAGAATTACAAACTAATGGGTATATTAGTTCTACTTATAACAATCAATATTGCTTTTTCAAGATGTGATTTTCTAGGCTTACTGCTAGTTCTGTTAAGTATTCCTTATTAAAATAAGAAATGGAATAATTAGTAACTTTAATTCTATTCTTATGGAATGATCTTTTCTTTGATATTAGACTTTTACTGGTATTTATATAGTATAACAAAAGGATCCTAAAATTTGCTAATTGTTTTTCTAATCTATATTAATGCAATAATTAATATGGATTTGCATTATCAATCTACTTTTTATGCCTACTAACTTGTTTTGGGAAAATTTATGTACTCTATAAAGTCCGTGGATATCATTGATCTAAAATTCCTAATGAGTTATAAACTTTAGATTGTGTAACATTTAATATCATTAATATAATTAATTATTTTATAAAAATAAATGAAGGGGAACTAAAGATATACACAAATTCATTTAACAAATCCACTTCCTCAAGATAATATGATTGAGAATGTCTTCGAATCACTTGTAAATGAATTAAAATAGTTTCGTTAAAACGTTCCAGTAGGTTGTTTGACAGATAAATGCTCACATCAATAAAAGGAAAAATAGGATTTAAGTATGTTTAGTGGAGCAGGAGGATATCTCTATTTATATATGAGAATGTACGAATTTGTTAAAACTCTTCCAGAGGATCTTTAAACATTTTGTACGAGTGGATTAAGTGATTAAGAATTACCCGAATTTTATAATCCAGAAATCTATTTAGATTTAGCATAAAAATAATATGATGCTATGCAAGCCATCTTAAAACAAGATAGATATATTACATTTTTAATGAGCAACATAGCCACATCACTATTAGGAGCAGACTTATATTTCATTAAAAAAGATAAAGAAAACTTTTCAAAAAATATATCTTAGGTTTTGGGTGTCTTTGCCAATATAATGGCTAATCCAAATTAATTTTAACAAGAGTTATTATATGGAATCCCAGGGTATTTATATATGTTTTTGTGGATAAATAAAAGATACTCTAAAGAACAAGGACCGTATCAATTAGATTTAACATCCCATATATTTAATTTATGTAAGATGATTGTTGCTCAATGTGGTGATGGAATAATGAAGTGTAAATTTTTTAATTAAACTTATTTTGGTGCTGCTCATGGTATTTTAGGAATTATTTAAATATTATTGCTGAGTTATGAGTAAGCTAAAGATTACTTTCATTTGAAAGATGAGAAGTTTACATTAAAAATGCTTGAGTCTATTTAATTAACTCTGGATTATTTAATAAAGATCTATTATAAATAGGGTAATATTCCACCTTCTGCTGAAGATATATAAAGCGTAGAATTACAACAATTTTGTCATGGAATACCAGGAGCAGTAAGTCCATTGTTGAAAGCATATCAAATCTTTAATAATCAAGATTACATGAATGCTTCAATTCATATGTCAGAGACATTATATAAATATGGTATGATAAAGAAAGGATATGGAATATGTCATGGTATACCAGGGAATAGTTATGGATTCATGCAAATATATTAGGTAACTAAAAATGAGAAATTTAGAAGATATGCTTTCTAATTTTTACAGTATAAATAAAACCCTCATGTCTTCAACGAAGTTAAAAACTTTCCATTCTATGATAGACATGTTGTTGGAATGTCTGATAATCCTTTTAGTTTGATGCTGGGATCGGTTGGTGACATGTGTGCAATGATGGATTTTATAAATTATAAAAGAATGCCAGGATATGAAGTTTGATATATATATTTATGATATAAATTTGGATATGAAGAATATTTAATGAAGAAGTGCTTGATTTAGTTAATTAATATTATAAATTAATGAATATTATCTTAATATTGATCATATATTATCCCTACCTCTTGTCTAAGAGGAAGTTATTACCAAACCATTAGTATTTGAAACTACTTATCTATCAGCATCTCTAAATCAGAATAATTAAAGAATAAGTTCCTGGCTTATTCTTGCATCTGCATATTCTTTAGTGGCTTTTTCACATTCAGTCCATCTATCTATTCTTCTTTTATTTAGTTATTTTAATCGTTAATTAGCATTTTCTAATGAAGCTTCAATTTATCTGATAATATCCGAGACATTGGCGAAATCAGATTCAGCATTAACTAATTCACTTTCTGCAATAGTCAAGGCAATAACCAATAATTTTCTTGTTTTATTGCATGCTTTAACTTTTTTTGTCTTCAGAGAATTTTTTAAACTTAAAGAGTAACTGTCTTCATTAATTAATCTGTCAAATAGATAGACAACTTGATAGAATACAAAAATGTTATGAATACTCTTAAATAGTGCTATTATTAAATTTGACTTAAAAAATACATGATAGGAACATATCTGTGCATGTATTTAGTTTGTTAATTTCTGTTTTGATTCTTTTATGTTTTTTTAAAAAGGAAATGCGTTCTTTTGGAATTTCTTTGGACTATTAAGTTTATTTATTTTTAACAAATGATGAGGTGGCTTCAACATTGACTTTAATAATTTTTCTGCTTCAGTCAATACTGAAATGGGAGTCTTGTAATCTGCTTTAACTACTTCAAATTCATCATATTAAGCTGATTTTTCAGCAATTTCCTTTTGATATCCTTATGAAAAGAGAGATTGATATATAACCCTTAACTTATGCCTTTTTGGCTTTAACAAATCCTGAAATAATAGTTCTTCTTGGATACGAATTCCCTTCCAATTTTGCTTCAAGGGGGATTCTTTCAGAATCTATATTAGCAATATCTTTGTCATACGCAGCTATATCAACATTGAAGGAATCCTAAAATTCTCTGTTTTCAAAAAATTTTATTAAGTAAACTATCTAAAGGATTTCCAGTCTCCAATTCTAGCCAAATGGTATCAAATAATGTTCTTCCAAATGAAGTTTCTTTTATTCTGTGAATCAATCAAATCTATTCCAATACTTATGTTGCAAATGTTGTGTATGCAAGAACTAATAAAAGCACGTTTATACTTTTCATTAAATTAATTATTGATCATAAAATTTTATATTAAATAGAAATTTTATATATAGTAATATGATGAAATTAGAAATAAATAAATATAGCGTCTGAGTTCTAGTTTTTATAAGAGAACTATGTATTTATTAAATTTAAACAAACTTTATTTTAAACTCACAAATAATATCTTAAATCTAAGTTATAGAAATTTATTAACAATCTTTCAATAGATGAATGACTCATACTATAGGAAAATTAAGATTTATCTAATGATCAATTCTTATTCCTGAGAAATTTAAAATTCTTGTATTGATTTACATCTGTCACATATTCTATACTTAGTTAAAACTTTGATAGTTCAATTTTATTTGAATTGATATAACAACAACAAAAATTTTATCTATCATCAGAATAGTAAATTATTTATGTCATATTATTAATGATTAAAAAGGATTAACAGCAATCTTTGTTGTTTTTCTCATTTGGTAGTAATAAATTTTTTCTTTAGATGCTTATATCTACATATAGCTTAATTCTCATATTACAATTAGCCTTACATGATAGCAGAGTGTCATTTGAGTTGTCAAAGATTTTACATTTCCAGATCAAACTTTTTAGAATAAAATATCTATAAAATCACTATTATTATAATATCATTATTGGCTTTATATTGGGTAGTTGTCTGGTTATAAATATCAGGAGCTATGCTAGAGTAGTTACGGATCAATTTGCTTATATCTTTGGAATTTTATTATATTGAGTGATTGTCAAAAATATTATACATTGAAATACAAATTAGGCTTAATTACAGAAGGAGTGTTTAAATAAAATAGAAATCCTAATTATATACGGAAAATGGTATTATAGACATCATTTGCAATCCTTAGTGCAGATTGATTTGCTAATACAATACTCTAAACAACATGAATAGTTGGATTCTATGGATGTATGATTATTAAAGATATTTCATTCTCCAAAAAGTAGTGGTGGAATTAATATAAATATTATCCTAATTATTTTAGTGAAAGATTCATTAAAATGACATTATAAATTATGCTATATATGGAATATTTGTGACTTATTTGATATGGGATTACTAAATAAGTAGAGCTATTAAATTATTGAAAAAATGATTATTGATATTTAAATTCTAGAAGAAAAATAGTATATTCTTAAATAACAATAAGTAATATTAAATTCTTATAATACCATTCAGATTCCACTTCAAATTTATAAAAATATGTCAGCAACTTAAAAAAAGATAATCACAAACACTGATCTTTAGAAATTATCTTATTTTTACCTTTTAGATCAGATTCAATCATATTTCATAAATTAATTATTGATATCAAAAAAATTCTACCTAGTAAATTTAATTTGTCAGTTTTATTTCAATTTACTATTGCCTATTTTTATTGGAATTAAATGGATATGAAAATTACAAAATTATTTTTGTTTTCAACCATAATCTTATTTTAATTATTTACCTGACCCAATAAACGTTATTCTAGTATTATCCTTTGGTTTAAAGAACAAAGTCTTGCATACCCAAAATTGAATGCTTTTATACAATAATTTATTCTCCATTTCCAAGATCTTTATCAATCACTGTTTCCTCAAGTTTCAAAAAGATTAATTGTCGTTTCATTAGATCACTTGAAAAGACTATCTTTTAATAATTTGATTAGAATTTAGTAATTGGTGCAACTTTGATAAAATCATCAGCTGCTGTAATTGATGATTCTTTGTTAATATAATTAATAAAAATAACAGCATCCAAGACTATCGCTTTCACTGTTTAAGCACTTATACCACCATAAGCAATATTCTCTTTGCTAATATTTACAATGGTCTCTTAATTTTCAATAATAAAATATGATCTTTTATTTTTAATTTCAATATTGTCTTAATAATATTATACATAATTTTTTCAGTAATTATCTATTCACCAGATAGTAAAACTATTTTTTCCATATTATCTCCTATAATTGAGAATTTAACTCTTTATTTTAATAAATTCTAAGGATCATTTATATAATATAATTATTGGAATTTCTAAGCATTTATAGCAAGATGAACTAAATATTACAAAGATATTTATATATGATTAAATTTTAGGATTATTGGCATTTTTATAATAAGTCTAATAAATTGAAATTACAAAAGTATTACGATTATTTTAAACTAATATTATGTATATTCAATCTTTAAACTATTCAATAGTATTTCTTAGTGAATTTATAGCCTTAGTGAGTATTTCATTTTAGTTTTAGATTTCAACTAAAATGTCTACTTAAGGTTTATTAACAAATGATATTCTTAGACGATTGAGTGGTCAATTTTTTCTTAGGACCACATTTTATGTTTCTAAATCTTATTTAAATTAGATTTCAGGTATTACCCTCAATTTATAAGGTTATGGATCATCGACTAATAGTCGTTACTGTTTATATTTAACATAATATTATAATTCGTTTTTGGAGTACTCTTAGTAATTAAATATAAAATAATGAAACACTTTGTCGTGTTAGCCTTGATTGCATGCATCTATGCAACATCTATAACTGAGATGACTGACAAACTCGCCCAATATAGTGATCATCCGTTTGGAAAGTCAATGGTCAATTTGGTTTCTGTCAACATGAAGACTGGTGGATCACTCAATGAATTAAAACAACTCTTGTAATAAATTAAGGATGAACTTATTGCTCTTACTTAATTACAAGATTAAGAAAATGCTACTTTCACTCGTAGAAGCCAAGTTGATTTGGCTAAATTACAAGCTACTTTAGAATAAGCATAAGCTGATTTGGACAATTAAAGATAAGAACAATCAAGTCTTAGTAATGAATTGGCTACTCTTTAAACCAGAGTCAAGGAAGGTAATCTCTTTCCTTTATAATTAATTTGCAGATCAAGCAGCTTTAGACAGAAATGGTAGAGGAAGTGGAGATGCTCAATCTAGATTGGATGCAGAAAACACTGATTTTTCAGCTAAATATTAAGATTACAATGATGCCATTTTAGCTTGTAAGGAAGCTTAAAGATTGCTTATGAACTTAAGAGGAGAAGGAGCATCTTTAATTTAACTTACGTAAATATTATTTAAAATAATCTATTTTAGTTAAGATACCAAAAGCAATCTTCTTTAAACCAAAGAGAATTTCTAGAAAATCAAGGAAATTTTAGAGGCTCATACTAAAAAGAGCTCACTTACTTTGTTCTAACCAATTATCGAAGGATTAGCTGAAATGACAACTAAGGTTAATCCAGAAACACTCAATAATGTTTTGAGTTTGGTGGCCCGTTTAATTACTGCCTTATAAGAGGGACAAGATTAATTAGAAACCAATCATAAGACTTAAGTAAATAGAATTTATTTTATTTTAGGTCGAAAACTTGACTAGATTAGGTGATGACTTGAGAAATGAGAAACAAACATTATAAGTTTCATTAGCTACAGCCAATAATAGACTTAAAGAAATATAATCTAGATTGAATGAATTAGATGGTTTGATTAATATTTCAAATGCTTTGGTTGAAGTTACTCAATTAAACATTTAAGATGCTACAAAAATAAATGAATTGGAGGATTCAGAATATAGCAATTAAAAAGTTAGTAGGTAATAGTATATTATAATTATTAAGATAAACTGAAATTGATATAGTTGATAGACTAATCGAATATATTAATCAAAAATTATCTGAATGAGTTGACACAATTATATCCAAACAATTATTTTAAACAGACCAATATTCTATTATTTTTATTTTTTATTTAATTCTAAATTAATTAATAATTATATTTTTAATAGAAATCAAATACGATATGAGTGAAGAAGATTTAATTATGACTAAAATGAAATTACAAACATACAAGATTACTAAAGATAGTAATGATAAACTCAAAACTCAAATATCTGAAAACGATGAACAAATTTAAAAGATGAGAGATCTAATAGAAGAAATAAAATAAAAAAATATAGAAATAAAATAGGAGTTTGTAAATTAGGATTTGGTATAAATAAAGAATAAATTTAGGAAATTTAAAATTTGGGGAAGGAATTTTAATTAATCAAAAATGAAAATGATGCTTAAATTTATAAATTGAAAGATTAATTAATAAAATATGAACAAAGATATAGTGAATAAGAAAAAATCAATGAGAATTCAATCATTCAATAACAATTCAAACAACCAAATCGATATTTTTGTGATGTATTTTATATAAACTTATAATTAGATCTAAAGATCTAAGGATGGGAGAAAAGAAGCAAAGATTGTATTCGATCAAAGTTTTAAAAGTAAGAAGTTATTAACAGATATTCAGCAAAATTCTTTGAATTTTATTGTTTATTTAGAGAATAATGAAATTTCTCATGTGATAAGATAATAAATTCAATTAGATTCAGAAAACAATTCAATATTTTAAGGAAATGAAGTAACAGTTAAAATTGGATGATATTTCTGAGATATTTATATAAAAAATGTTAGTATAAAAAATTATCATAATTTAATATTAATTTTATAATGATAATATGTTTAATTAAACAATGACTCAGAAGTTGAACCCAGATTAAACTTATCAGCAGAACAATAAATAAAATAATTTAAATCCAATCCTTTAATTTAATGAATAAAGATAAATGCTGATAATGCTGAATATTGATGTAAATTGGCTTAAAATTTAAGCATTTTGTTGTAAAACAAGAGGACAGTTTCAGGATAAATTATAGACTGATTTAACAATGCGAAATCTCTCTATTAAGAATTCTATTTAAAATTGGTGCAAGGGAAAAAATACTGGTGAAGAGTTAAAAGCACCAATATGCAAATTACCATCCTAACATGCACAAAATTAATAATTAAATTAGAAGTTCTAATAATAAAAATCAGTTGAATTACCCATACTCAAACCTATCTCTTTTGCATTTACTGAAATATAAAAGAAATATAAATAAATTAATAGATCTAAAAAATAAAAAACACCTCTGCATTTGTCTGCTGTATAATGTCCAATAAATACTGTAGAATTCAAAAAGCCTGAATTCAATAAATCGATTAATTCTAGGTTGCATTCTAATAAATTTAAAACAGTCATTGAAATTAAAGTTGTATAAGATAATAAGTATTTTATGATTTCAGATTAAGGAAGGGAAATAAATAATATATAAACTTAATAAAAAGTTAAAGATTAAGTAGAAACATTATATTCATAATTTTTTGGAAGTATTAATAGAAAAAGAGCTGTTACTATTTGCAATGGGCAAACAAATGAAATTGATTTTGAATATAAATCGACAAATTTGGAGAATAAAATAAAAATACATAAATTTTGAAATATCTTTCATCTATAAATAACAATAATACTAACAAGTTAATATTATGCAAACAGAATTATCTATTGTCTACTTAGTAACTCCCATCCTTTATTATTAAATGATTGATAAGTATTATAATAATTAAGGACTGAAAGTTTAATCTATGTAACTTTTTTTAAAAACATTTAATTTTCATGGTCAAGTAGATTTTAGCAAAATATACTTCTTGCTAAAGCTAACAGAGATAAAATTTTCTATCATTATTGATAATTTTCTTAGGTTCAGTTTGTTATAATAATTTTTCATCTATTCTTAATTATTATTTTAAGTTAATTGTTATGATTATTTATTAAGTATTTCTGATAGTTTTCAATATTTTTTAATTATTATTTATCCCAATTAAATAGTTAAAGAAGCAAAGAAAATAATATTTGTTATAATTATCAATTTTACCTTAAAAAAATATTATTATCAATATTTATAAATATAAATGATATTGTCTTTTTAATTTTGAAATATTTACACACATAATTTATTAAAAATTATTCTCTAAGTAGTTATATATGATTTATGTTGAATAAGAATAAAGAAAATTAATTTATTCTTATATAACTATTATATTACATACATGAAAATCTTGATTACATTCAGAATTATTGAATAGGCTGATTATTCAACTTATCTTTTATATTCTTAATAAAAAATTGCATTCTGATTTATAAATTAGGTTTTATATCAAATTATATAATTAGTTATTTAATTAAATAAGTAATTGTTAATTTTTTGCTTCACGCTATCTCAATTTTATTATTTTTATATTGCTTTTATCCTGTTTCTAAAGTAAAAATACTTACGCATCAGCTATATTAAATGACTAATGGGAATAAGGATTGGGATCATTTTTCGTGATATATTCCTCTATTTTTATTTTCTTAATACCAAAATGTTAGACTTATATTGCCATTAGGGTTTATTGCTTAAATTTCATCGATCGTTTGTTTATTAATAAACATTAATATTATAAATTATTTAATCATCAACTTTTTGTACGAATGATTGATCTACGAAATAATATTGCATTTGCGATAGTACTACATTCTAAAAGTAGAGGCAGTAAGCAAAATAAACTAAAAATAGCCCAAATATAATTATAGTCCCAAGAATCCAATATAAACCATGCTAAAATTACAGAACCAAGAGAATGTAATAATATTTCTAGATAAAATTAATGTTATTTTCTTACATATTAACATTGTTTTTTCAAAATTCATTGTCCATCCTGTGGCTAGAATTATCATTTCAACAGCTAGAAATATGACTGAGAGTGTGACACCAGCTTATAAGCTTGATTTAATAACAATGAAATTACGATGATTCAGCTAATTGATCATTTGGAAAATTGAGCAAATTTTCATACTAAAATTGCATAATGTTGATACCTAGGATTGATAAATAACAGATGTTATAATTAATTAGACCATTTGACTTACAAATTTTGCAGGGACAAGAATTTCGGCAGCCGACATTTTAATTTTAAATTTATATATTTTATTTAAGAGAAGGTAAAAATGATGTTGATATTGATAAATTAAAATAGTAATCATTTAATATATAATAGGATATGATAGAAGATAGTAATAAATTTAATGCTCTAATTCATATATTAAAGAATAAATAATCGAATAACAAAAGTGAATTATCAATATTTATCAACACAACCTTAAACATTATAGTAGGTGAATTAATTTATACATATGAAAAATTAAAGAAAACCTATTTTGGATCCTCAAAATTTTAGAATCACAACAACTATAGTATTACTAGTTTCATTGATTAAGTGAAATAAGTTGTATAGAATTCTATTATCAATTAAAAGATTTTATTAAAAACAAAATTATCAGAATTAATAAAATGGAATATATATAACTAAATATTAAAAAATATGAGATATAAGTTTATAGACTGAAACATTAAAATAATCAACCTAATTTTTTGGTGTTTTAACAAAACCACAAGTATTTAATAAGAAATTTTGAATATATCAATTCATTTCTAATTAGAACAAATATTCATTCTATTTTTAATTGTTCATATATTATTTTTCATTATTTTAAAATCAATATTTTTAACTTTTTAAACTAAAACAATGTAATATACCTATTTTCTTATGAAAATCTATTATTATCTTTTGAAATTATGTAAAGAAATAAATGAAAAACTAATAGAATATAGTAAAAATTAATATTTTTAGAAAATGAGCTTTAAATATAAATATAATTTACATATTAGTGTGTATTAAAGATATATTTGTATTTATTCAATTTTTATGTTTTAGTAATTATTTAGCCTTGATATAATTTTTACATTAAATAATCAACTAGAATAATTAAATTAGAAACTATTTGAGTTTGATTCTCATTATAAATTCCCAAGTACTAATAAATAATTAGAATCTAAATTATTAATATATTGATAAAATATTAAAAATAATATATAATTATATATGAAAATTAAGACATATTGATATGGACTGTCTATTGAAAATGATAGGGAATTTAAGAATATTTGAAAATTCGAATAATCGAGATTTATATGTTTAAATAAATTTTATGATTTAATATTTAAAAATACAAAATTTGTGATAAAAAAACAATGAGTTTATAAGAATAGCTTCTTAATGTGATCCATGGTGTGTTCTCATCAGATAATGCCACCAGATAAAAGGCAGAGGAATTACTAGCCTAATATAGAGATTCTTAGCCAAGTGAATTTGTCACTGCTATGCTCCATCTATGCAGACATGAAGAATTAAAAATCAGATAGTTTGCTCCAGTGTATTTGAGAAACTCACTGAGTAATTATTCTCCCAAGAGTCATAAAAATGTATGGAGCCTTCTTGCCCCAGAGACTTAGGAAATAGTTAAAGTATCATTGTTCTAGTTGTTGGAACTTGAAACAAGTTCAAATGTAAGAAGTCAATTGTGTGACACAATTGGAGAACTTGGAGGATCACTCTTTGAAGATGAAACTAAAAATTCTTGGCCTAATCTCTTATAAACATTATGGTAATTGTTCTTGTCCCCAAAAAATGACTTGATTGAATGTGGATTCAAAATCTTGGCCAATCTTTTCACATATGCTATCGATCTATTCAATAAGCATTAAGCTGATCTTCACACATTATTTATCTAAGGACTAGCTAGTCCAGATTAAAAGATTAAAACAGCTACAATCTAAGCAATTGGTAATTATGTAACAACATCTGAACCCAAGTAATACAGAGTATTCTAAGATCTTATTCCAAATCTTATGTAATCTGCTTTGTCTGTTACAATCTAAGATTAAACCTTAGGTGAAGACATTATGGAAACTTTTTCTGAAATTGTAGATGCTGAACCAAAATTCTTTAGAAAGCAAATAAATGTATTTTTCAATGGAATTGCAGCTATTTTCAGGGAATCTTAAATTGAATAAGGATTAAAGAGAATTGGAACAGAAACATTAATAAGTTTAGCTGAAAAATTCCCAAGAGTATTTAAATAAGATAAATAATACTTGAGTTAATTGGTAGAAATGATCTTTTTCCATATGATCTAAATTAGTTAAACAGTAACTGAAGAATGGATGAAACCAGCAGAAGGATTTAATGATGATATATAATAAGATGAAGATTGTGAAACCACAAGATTTGGTATGTCTTCAATTGATAGACTAATCGAATCTATTGGTGATAAGGAAATGTTACCAGTCTTAAGTCCAATTGTTAATTAATTATTACAACATTAAGATTGGAGATACAAATATGCTGCCATTTTGGCATTATCATAAGTTGGTGAATATATTGAAGAAGTAGCTGAAGTCAAACCAATAATTGAATTAGTTTCTCCAATGTTGAGTGACTCAAATCCTATGATTAGATATGCAGTTTGTCATGCTATTGGTCAAATAGCTGATGATATGAAACCCAAATTCTAAGAAAGCTATTTACATCTTATAGTACCATAATTCTTAACCAGATTGTAAGTAGAAGATGTTCCAAGAGTTACATCACACATTTTGGCTGCTTTAACTAATTTTGTTGAAGGAACTGAAAAAGGAATCGAATCATACTTATAAAATCTTATCTAATTGACAATCTAATATTTGAATAATGGAATTTCAATCGTAAAGGAAAATGCAATGAGTGCCTTAGCTGCTACAGCTGAATCTAGCAAATAATAATTCCTTCCATATGTTAATGAGATTGTTCCATTATTATTTTAAGTGTTCTAAAATCATCAAAATAAGGAATATAGATAATTGAAAGGATAGACAATTGAAACCATAACCTTAATAGCTTCAGCTGTTGGTTAAGCTTCATTTTAACCCTTTTTGGCTGAAACAGTTAGAATTTTGATATAAGTCCAAACAAGTTAATTAGAAGCTGTTGATCCACAAAAATCATATGTTCTATCTGGATGGTAAAGATTGGCTTTAGTTTGTCCATAATAAATTGCTGTATATTTACCAGAAATCATTCCATCATTATTCCAATTAGTTTAATAAGTATTTAAAGTACATACAGGAACTGCAGATGAAGAATTCCATACTTATGATAATGAAGAAGCAGAAGTTGCCATTCATATGTTATCTGTGTTCATTGAAGAATTGAAAGAATCATTCTTCCCTTACTTTGATTCATGCACTTAATTGATTGTACCACTTTGCAATTTCAATACTGATGAAAATATTAGAAGTGCTGCATGCAAATGTTTAGTCAGTCTTATTGAAAATGTTAAAGCTACAAATAATGTATAATAATTGGTTAATGGAGCTAAATACTTTTTAGGAATTATTTTAGAAGCTGCTGAAAAAGAATTTGATCCTATGGTCATCATTGAATAAGTTGATTGCATAAAAGAAATTATTGATATTGTTGGATAACCCTTTATGACTACTGAAGAAGTTACTTAACTTTCAGATAAAGTATTTAAATTGTTATTGGAATCAGATAAAAGAAAGGCAGAAAATGAAAAGATGTCTAAAGAAGAAGATGTTGATGAAGATGAAAAGACAGTTATTAAAGAAGAAACTGAAACTGAAGAAGAACTCCATGTCAAAATTGCTGAATGCATTGGATCCATCTTTAAGACTCACAAAGATTAAGTTTAACCATTATATGAAGTCATTTGCAATTAAATTTTACCCAAGGTCTTAGACCCAGCCTAATCTCCAAAAATGCATCAATTTGGTATTTTCCTTATTGATGATATGGTTGAATATTTGGGATATCCATATGTTTAAGCTAAACTAAACGATTTTGCTTAAGCTTTGACAATCTATGCTGTAGATAAGGTTTGCTTTGTGAGATAAGCTGCTGTCTATGGAATTGGTATCATGGCCCTTAATACACCAGAGGTATTAAATTAAAATATATTAATAGTAATTGTACATTAATGTTGCTCCCATGTTATCAAAGGCATTAGTTGATTCCTTAAAAGTTGATAAGAACTAAGATGATACAGAAAAATAACATGGACATGCAAGAGACAATTCAATTGCAGCTTTAGGAAAAATCATCAAATACTAATCAAAATCTTTAGGAGGTGATCTTGCCTAAGGAATTCAAACTTGGTTACATTTATTACCTCTCAAATATGATAAATAAGAAGCTCGTATTCAACATGAATAATTAGCAGAATTTGTTATTGCAGATTGCAATCAATTGATAAATGGAAAACCAGAAAATGCTTTACAAGTATTATATTAAATTTATAATTTAGATTCTTAAAGTATTTGCTAATTCTTACAAGACAAAGAGATCTAGTGAAGCAATTGATACAAAGATTTCAAGTGCCTTGAAAATATTTGAATAATCACAAGGACAAAATGTTTAAGCTATATTTGGAATGTTAAGTCAAGAAGAGTAGAAGAAACTCTTGGAAGTATAAAAATGATCAGTATTGTGTATTCTAACTCATAAATTTAAAAATTTATCAAAAAAGTTTCAAACTTATGAATTATTCCACTTTCTTGATGATAAGAATATCTTCTGTAGTAAATTATAAATATTCTATTTATTATTTTAATTTACAATGATTGTATATTTATATTAAGAAATATATATTATTTTCATAATTTAATTTCCTTTTATTAAAATTATCTTCTCTTCATATTAATTCCGTCACTTGCATAATCATAAATCTATTTCTTAAAACTCCAATTAATCCATAAAATTTTGAAGATTTCAATTTATTATCCATAAAATTAATCAATTTTTCAATGCTTAAATAATTGTAATATTCACATAGTATTAAATTGATTACTTATAAAATGGGTAATCATATCTTAATTAATTTGTTTCGAAAATATCCAAAAAAAGTGAGATTGTCTTGAAAAGTTAATGGCTTAATTCTAAAAATAAATTTTGATCATTTTGATTTAGATTATTTTTATATGTCTAAAATACTAAATCAAATTTTAAGTTCAAAGGTTTTATAGAATTATCCCTTTCATTTAGAATGTCATCAATCTCTAAATTAGATCCATCACATTGATATCTTTTTGATCCGCTGCCATTAAATTATACAAATTAAACATTAAATTCACATATATAAATAAAATCAAAGTTTCTGAAATATTTATTACCAAAAAATTCGAGAACCAGGTCTACACTTTTCTCCTAGATTAATAGTATTAGCACGAGATCGTGTAATCTCTTCTGTTTTTAATATTTTCTCTGTACTATTTATACTTTTTATAGTAGATAACATTTTAGCTTTGGTAGGAGCTGATATAGATCTAGTTCTATTCTCTAGTTTTTCATCAGGAGCAGCAACTCGTTTAAGTTTTTTAACAGAAAACAAAGGAGCTTCAGGTGTTAAATTAATGAATTCAAAATTTTGTTTCTTTTATATTCTTTTATTTTATTAAACAATGAAGTCTTCTCTACTTATTTTTGTTTAGGAAGGTGAATCTCTATCTGGAGAAACATCTTACAATTCTAATCTTCTTCGCTTTAATTAAATGATCTTCTTCAAGATTAATTAATCCTTTTAATGTTACGTTTCAAGACTCTAATGCAAATAATCTTGTTTTTTTAAATCTATGTAAATAGCTTCCGGTATTAATAGTATTTTACTGTAATGAACATTACTTTTGGCTGTTGTCTGATAAGGTTTTTCAAGCAATGCTTCAATTTCCTAAAATTTAAATGATTTTCATACTCCAACTAAAGAGCCAGCAGACTTTATTAACAAAGTTCTATTCTTTGCCATACATGTAGAAGCAAACATATTATTTTTAGGTTTTCTTCTTTCAATTTATGTTTCTTCTAATCTTACTTCACCTTCTATAATATAATAAACATGAGTTGGTATTTGATTCTAACTAAATAGCATTTAATTCAAATGATAGGTTGTTAAAATTACTTTATCTAAGTGGAGTTTTATCCATTTTCTATTAAATTAGTCAAATATTAATCACATTCTAGCATCTGGAAATAATTAACACAAAATTTGCTATTTTTGAAGGTGTTCATAAGATTCAATTTTGTTTTTTAATATTTGTATGGCTCCTTAGTGATTTCTCTGCAGTCTCATTATAAAATTAAATATTATATAACTAATATATCTTTGAATTTCTAACTTCAGATCAGGAACCTATATAGTTTAACTATTCAAGATAAAAAATATTAATCTCAATAAGTAAGTATCAATAATAAGGAGTCAACTATTTCAATACTTTTTAATTTTGTTCATCTCTTTACTTAGTTTCATTTTTTTTATTTTATCCAAATTTCAAAAGTAGTAGATTATTAAAGAGAATCAAATTTTAATTAACTATTGAGTAAGATTTCTACCTCCTTTAATTGATTTTTGGTTATTTTATCATCTTAGAAAAGATATCAAGACTAAAAAGAATAATAATACAGTAATAATTTACTAACTAATTATATGTATTTAATTAATTAGTAATAACTTTAAAATAATTTATAGCTATGCTTTTCTATATTAAATTAATAGGTACTAAGAAATTAGTTAGATAGCAATTAATATATTTGATACACATATATTAATGTTCTTGAAAAAACTAAATAACTTTTCATTTGAATCTTATAGAAGTTCTATCTGATTTTAATTTTATATAAAAACAAAGGTTTCTAGGAGATCAAATCAAATATTAAAAATATCCTCAAAAATCTAATTATTAAAACATTTGTTCTAAAGAGATATACAAATATTAATAAATTTAATTTAAGAGTATTCTTGGATAATTTAATTAAGTTCTATTACTTTTTGATAGTAATTATATGATCATTTCTCATTCATATTAATTACATTATTTTTAATATAGTTTTATCATTTAACTGATAAATATATTTCTCATATTATATTCACAAATATATAAGAATAAGGAAATTAGAAATTTATTCATTAAGTATATCTCTATTGTATATGTAATATTTCTTTTAAATAAAATATTATCTATATTGTTATTAAAATAAATTATGTTCATTAATTCTATATGATGAATATAAGTTCAATACTTTTATAAAGCTTCAAAAGACTTATAATATTTATAAGTATTCTAATATTTATTAAAGATAATAAAATACATTAATAATTTATATAATTTATAGAATGGGAGGGGGTTCTAGTAAGGAGGATGAAAATCAAGTTAATCTCGATTAGTATTTACAAAGTGCTGAATATCAACAAAAACTAAATGCTGTTTATTCAGGATAAACTACTCAATAATAGGCATTACATGTACCATAATAATTGGATGATGATGATGATTTCATTAATGATGGTTATTAAGGGTTATAAATAAAACCAAAGCCAAATATTGCTACAATTTAATCAACAACTCTAAGTGCTTAAAAAAATGATGTCTATATAATTAAGACTTCATTTAAATTTGTAATAATAATTACGATTATTAGATTTAAGTAGGTGAGACATCATATTAATTAACATTTTAATATACTTGTCCAGAATAAACCTAGATAGATGTATGGTTTTTGGGATAAGAGAAATAGAGAACAGGAGAAATTATATCTCTCTATGGAAATACTTAATTATAAAAATAAATATAAGGTTTCTATGTTTAAAAGGGAGAAAACTAAGAATTTTCATAAAACAGAGTGATACTAGACTTAAAATAAACAAAGATAGAATCTATGAGACAATATTAAATGAAATAAGATGAATTTTCATTTCCTTTGATTGTAAAAATTGTAAGAATTTGATATATAATATAGTCAAAACTTAATGTTGATCATTCATTTACTTATTATTGCACTGTTGAAAAGAATTAAAATCAATTAATTGCATAATGTTTAGGGAGCAAATTAAGAGTAATAAATAATTCTATCATGTAAGATAAATGGTTAAGAGTTTTTAACAAAAGATGTTTATGGAATGAATGATAGTGTTTTAGGAAAGAAAGATGATACGTATATAATATAATATATTTATAGAGAAAAGGAACCTTGTAGAATTTGCTTAACCAATATTATTGATACAATGATTTAACCATGCTAACATGTTATTTTATGTTAAGAATGTTGTTAGAATTTAAGAATGACAGGTCAAAGATGTCCTATATGTAGATCAGGTAGATAATATTTATTTTTTAGAGATTAAGGAGTTTATTATTATAACAAAAGGAAATTGAAATATTATAAATATTTTTATTATAAAATGACTGAGTTTAAAGAAGTATACTCATTTTGTATTTAGGATAAATTCTTTAATAAATCTGGGGATTCTGAGGATTCAGCTGACAAATTAAGAAAGAAAATTCAAAAATCTAAACATTAAGGGGGTATTACAACATCTTCTAAGATTCGAGAAATGTTTAAAAAGTAACAGTTCAAAGAGATTGTTAATTGGGCTGAAAAAGATTCTTCAAATACAATTATTCATGAATATGATGAGATTAAGGTGAATTCACAAACTCTGTAAGTAGGACAAAATGCATTAATAAAAAATGCCAACAATCCATCTGAAGATTATGTAGGGAAAATATAGAGAATAATTACAATAAATGAAAATAAATCATCAAAACTTATTTGTCTATGTGAAGTCAGATGGTATCCACGATAGTGAATAATAGGTTTTATCGTAAAAGTGAAGTGATTAAATTTAGACCTTAGGCTAAGAGTTGGATATCAAACAGTGAAGTCTTTAGTACTACTTGTACAGATTATATATTGGCATCAGCCATTTTATCTCCTTGCATCATATACTCTTTAGAAGAATATGAAAGTGCTTAAACTTTGGATAAATGCACATTTTTTACAAGATTAGGATGGATACCAAGTAAAAATAGATTTGAGGGTTTTATGAAATTATAGAATCATTGCACATGTAAATAACCATTAAATCCTGATTTGCCTTCAATTTAAGTATTGAATCCAAAATATTTAGTGTGATAAATGTCAGAAATGGTATCATATGAATTGTGTTGGCGTTACTAAAGCAGATTATGATTAAAAAGACTATATCTGTGGATGTTGTAGATGAAATATAATTTTAAAAAAAAGGCTTAAAATTTTTTAACATTTTGACTCTTTCCATATTATTTAATCTAATAATTTATAATATTCTCTATTACTTTTAATATTAAAATTAAAAAATATTGTTATTTAAGATTATCTAATTGAAGTTGAAAATTAAATTGGATAAAGATAAATAAAGAATCTATACAATAAATAAGATTAGATATTTATGATCTAGTAGATTATTGGAGTATATTATTAGTAATAAAGCAGATTAATTAAATATTGGATCTCTTATTTATTATTATGATCTTCATAAATATTAAAATTAAATGAATTCTTATCTCAAACAGAAGTATATTATTAGGGAATACTCATATATTGATAAACATTTCTTGATTATTCTTTTAAGACTGTATTTTCTGAATTATTAACATTTATATTAGAACTCTAATAAAGAGAATAAGTTTAAGCAAATTTCATGTATAAAAAAAGAAGTCAAAAGGAAAAAGAATACAATTAAATTCTTAATTGAAAATATATATATTAGTTTACGATGAAAATTAAGGAATTTCTTTTAAATCACTCTTTTTAAGAAAGATAGCTATATATATTAATTATTCTGATCATTAGATCATTAATATACATTAATTATTAAATTTATTTAATTTTCTACATATATTAATTATTACAAAAATTGTAATTTATTTGAGAATTCTTGTAATCATATGTTTAAGTAGATATATTTATAAGATTATTATAAAACAATTAAAGTAAAATTTCAGAAAGTCTTCTTTTATTCTATAATTTTTAATATTATTAAAGTTGCATATTATGAATTATGTGATAAATAAAAGATTTATAATTAGAATTATTCAAAAATAAAATAATAGTCATGATAACTTAATAGTTCTTTATATAGTTGAATGGCTTGAAATACTTAAAATCATAATTTATTTAATCTTATAGATTCTTCTTTTTTTACATTATATTATATATTTCAATATATTTTATGGTCTAAATTCTAAGGATAAGAATTTTATTGGTTAAAAATGATTAATTTATTATAAATTGTTTTGATATAGATTTCAGATATAAGTATATTATTATTTATAGTAATAAGGAAATAATCATGTAGAATATTTTGAAGAGATTTTTAGAAACATAATAATCATTTCTTAAGTGATTGAATCATTTAGTTATTCTTAATTCAATATATTACTATCTTTTGGCATTAATTTTCTTAAAGAAAATACTTTTCGTGGATATTAATAGTTTTCAAGATCTCTACATGATTTAGTTTTATTAAATGATAATTGTTCTAATCGATCATACACGAATTAATATGAATTATACAATAAACTAATTTATTTGCTCATAAATTTATTTGCAAATAATGGCATTTAAGATTTCTTTTTATTTTTAGAAAATATCCTATCAATTGTTAAAGTTTAGATCTATTGAATAGGATAAAATAAAGTATAAGTAAATGTATACAAAATTATACAAATAAAAAGAAATAGTCCTAACAATATGGAAATTTGAAGTCCCACTTAATTTAATAGATTATATTCAAGTTCTTCTTAGAAATGTTAATAAAACTAAAAATACTCTTAACTACTTAATAACCTAAAGATAGCAAGATATATTTTTTACATAATTAATTTCATTGAATATTCAGGAATTTCTTAGATTCCTATTATCATTTCTTGTTAATATAAACTATTATATAGACAATTCAATGATGATGAATGTTTATTCAAATAAGGACAAGTTGATACATCATTTTATGATTATGTATTCATCCTTTACCAATCACTTTGATTAAATCCTGTAATAGATTAATTATATATGTATAAAGGTAGTTAATCAACACTTACTTTATATGGATGCATAATCATAATTCCAGATGCTGATACAAGATAAATAACTTAAAATCCAAATTCTTAAGATTTAAGTATTTAAACAATTTCTGCTCCTAAGAAATTTGTTCCTACACCTCCAATCAATTCTAAATTTTCATCCACTATTGGTAATACCAAAGATAATCCTATTTTTTTATCTGTAAATACTACAATTATATTATTATAAAAGTATTACACAAATAAGGTTAAGTGAAGGATCTTGAATATTCATTATAAGGTTTTTTGTGATTATAGTTATTTCTGACTTCAATAAACCATTCTCGTTTTTCAGGATCATAAGAATAGATTCCTTATCCTCTATTAAGACATGGATAAACTGCATTAGTTTTTTCATTGATTATGTATGAATATAAGTATGATTAACTCAATATATTCCCCTAATAAAGAATTTATGCATATGATTGAGTCTACTCTTATATTTTCATTCCTATAAGCTCATCTAAACTTAATGGATCTTCAAATGTAGTTATGTTAGAATAACACATAAAAGAATATGAGATATCAGAATTACCATATCCTTTAATAATTCTAATAGGATCTGGTATTTTATTTACACCTCCATATAGCATTTAGTAATCTAGATTTAATTCTAAAGAGTGTTATTTTACTTATTTTTTTGTCATATGATACAATCTATGAAAGGAGATAAGACTATTTCCATCTATAATATGAATTTGTATTACTTAAATAAAAGACTCTATCAAAATATTCTTAATATAATCTAATAGTTTTCTCTTATATTTTAGATGAAGTGTCATCAAATATTTTATTAGAAATCTAAGAAAAATACTGTTTAAGCAAAGAATAATGAATCAAATTTACTGAAAGAACATAAGAGACTATCAAAAGGATAATTAATGAAACCAATATTATCAATTAAGTCCTCAATTTCAAATTATTCAAACAGGAAGTAAAAAATCGTTGTTGCTTCTACATTTCACTAATTAAAACAAATTATTTATATTAAATTAACTTAATTAATAATAACAGACTACTTCTTAAACAAATGATTTAATTAAATATGATAATATTTATTATTATAATACTAATAATATATTGTGTTTAATTTATTTTAATACCCACAAATTTATATTTTATAAATTAGAATAATTGTATTTAATATAATACTTAAAGATTCAATATAGAAGGAACTTAGTATTTTGTTATTTGAGAACTCTTTTCATAATGGAAATCGTAGCATTTTCAAATTCTTTATCTTTATTAAAATCTTTTAAATATTCAAATCTTAAAGCTTGGAATTATTTGATTTATTCAATATTTTATTTAAAATTAGATTAAGTAATAGGGAATTATTTAGTTGGATATTTAATATCTTCAAATTATTTACATTAACTTGTTTTTATTAATGATAATGATTCCAATTTATTTATTACAATCTTATAAGTTTGAACTAATGAAAATATTTCATCACTCATTAAAACTTCTGCAAATTCTGATATTTATTATTTATTTCTTCTTTATTAAATAATTAAATTTATTGCTTATTATTTAATCATTTCTATTGGATGAAATAATATTTATGTAATCACTACAATCATTAAACAAAGAACAATAAATGATCCAAATAACCATATTATATTATTACTAGTTGTTTCTTTTAAGCTTTTCTCTAAAGTTGATTAAAAATCATCATAAAATTTTAAGTATTCTGAACTACTCAGTAACCTATTATTACATTAAATATCATAACTTACATTATAAGTTTCATTTTGAATTCTGGAATTTCACGTGTACCAATTATCATTTCTTATTTATAATAAGAATTGTATCTACATTTAAGAAGTGAAGACATTTTATCAAATATTGGACAAGAGGAATCTGAATTTAAATTTAAGATATATTCCCAATCTGTCAAATTGAATCCAGTTATACTTTCATTGTAAATATAAAGTGGTAATTATTCTACTGTTACTTTATAGGGATGCATTATCATAACACCTTTTTCTGATACAAGATAAATTATTTAAAATCCAAATTAATTAACTTTCATCATTTCAACTATTTATGAACCTAAGAAATTAGAGACAACTCCTCCAATTAAACTTAAATTTCTATCAACTATTGGAAGTGTCATAGATAGTCCAATCTTTTTATCTGTATATACTATTTAAATTGATCTACAAATTGTTACATAAATATGGTTGAGTAAATGTGTAATTATATTTATCATATGGTGATTTACTTTCATAGTTTCTTTTCAATTCAATATACCAATCTCTTTTTTCAGCCACATATGAATATATTGCTTTATCTCTATTTAAACATGGATAAATGGAATTTATTTTCTCCTTAATAATATATGAATATAAGAATGATTGGTTTATTAAATTTCCCTAATAAAATATTTATGCTGCTGCTTAAATCTACTCTTATAATTTAATGCCCAATTCTTCTTCTATTGTTTTTGGTTAATTATATTAAGAAAGATTTGAGTAACACATGAATGAATAGGAAATGTCATAATTACCATATCCTTTAATAATTCTTAAGGGATCTGGAATTTTAGTTGTTCCTCCATATTACATTTAATAAAGTGGATTTATTTCGAGAGGATGGAGTAGCACTTGATTTTTAGTGATATGATATAATCGATGGAATGAAACCAAAGCATTGCCATCTGAAATGTAATAAAATATTTACTTAAATTAAATACTTGATTAAAATGCTAAATGTATTCTTCCATCATATTAGATAAAACATGATTTGAATTATCTTCAAACATATAATCTGATACTTCTGACAAATAATTTATAAGTAGAGAATGATGAATTAAATTTAGTGCAAGAACATAAGACACAATAATTAACACCTGTATCGAGACTATAATAATTAATTGCGTGCTTAATTTTAATTTGCCAATACATTTTGTTGCAAAATGCCTATTTTATTTCATTTTTTTTAAATTACTTAATAATATTGCAGATAAATTAACAAAAGGTTTAATTTAGTTAAATTATTGTTATTTCCTTAATTTTTTATATACCAAGAATAATCAATAGAAAAATGCACTCTATGAATATATGTTATAAAAATCAACTAAATAAATTGAATTTTATTTTTATAGATTTATTAGAATATAAATAAATACTAAAGTTTAGTTTGATATAATTGTCTAATAATTTATTTTACATTTAGTTCCAGAAGAATTTTTAAAAGAAATATAAACTAAATGAGAAAAATTAATTACTATTAAAAAGGTTCAGGAATAATTGGTATAGTTCAAAATTAATAGTAAATATCTAATTAATTGAGAGAATAAATTGATAATATAATTACTTATCATTAGAATTAATTTATTATCAAAAATATTAAAATTAGAATAGGATGAGAAATCTTTAAAAGATTTTAATATTAAAATGTCTAATTTGGAATTTTTTTGAAAATTACATAATATCTTATGTAGATTAGCAATTTAATCTATACAATTTGTAATATTTGATTTTAGCAGGTAATTCTTCATCAATTCTTCTTTAAATTTGATTAACTTATTGAAAATGATTGAATTGATATTCTATATAGATTTTGAGTAATGGGGAATAGTAAGGTGATATTGTGATTACGGTAGGAATGTAAATAAAAATTTCATACAATATATACTAATTTTTAATATATTTATGGAGATAAATAAATAGATATTAGCAGAATTCAAGGTTATAAAAGAAAATTTTAATTTAAGAAATATTGTATATAAAGAAATTCTCTTATATGAATTAGGAGTAATCCAGAGTAAGCCTAAAAGCTCCATTGTTAAATTAAAATGAAGAAGATACTATTAAATTAGTTAATAAGTCAAGAAGAAATAGAGCAGGTATAATATCATAATTGTTATTTACTTGGGTTTATGGTACCATAGATGTAAATTTGAATATTTATAATAGATTGCATCTAAAGTAACTTTAGAGAATGATATGATTGAGGATCTTAGATTTTAAGATACTAGTGAACAATTGTATTATAGATTCTTGAAATAATTTGAGAAGAGAAAAAGCAAAAAAAATGGATTGTTATATTCATTGATTGGTGTATCTTTAAGATAATGTATGTTTGTGTTCATAGTGATGTTATTTAATGTAGGGACATCACTATTAAATCCATTATTAATAAAATGGATTATAGAATATTTGATGAAGGAAGAAAAAGAGACTTAGGAAGGGATAATTCTTATTTTTAGTATTATAGGAATTAGAATAATATCAGTTATCTGTTAACAACATTCTTTTTATTAGATAGTAATAATATATATATATATATTGTAGAGATTAGTTGGATATGATTGGATGGGCATACTATCTATGGCATTATTGGGGAAGAGTATGAATGTTTCATATCAGAGTAATAAAGAACACACAAGTGGATAAATCTTAAATTATATGTAAGTGGATACAATGAAGTTATAATGGTTTGGATGGTATCTGTCATAAATTATGTTAATGCCATTATAAATAGGCATTTCTATTTATATGATGTTTAAATTTATAGGAATAGCATTTTTGGGTGGATTGGGAGTAATCATATTGACTGCAATCTTTAATATTTATGTAGGTAAGATAATAATGGATTATTAAATTATGATGATGAAAAACAAAGACATGAGAACAAATTGTGCAAATGAAATCTTTTAATAAATCAAATTTATCAAGGTTAATGCTTATGAAGAATATTTTAGATCAAAATTAACTAAACTAAGAAACTAAGAAATTAAAACTATAAAAACTAGATTCTTTGCAGCTTGTTTGACCATATTATCACTTTGGTTGAGTCCTATGTTGATTTTAAATGCAACCTTTTTAATTTATGTTGCAATAGGAAATGATCTTACTCCTGCTAATACATTTGCTATTATTAGTTTATTTTAGAGTCTTCAAGGTCCTCTTTTATTTTTGCCTATGGCTATTAATGCATTAATAGAAACAAATATTTCTTTCAAAAGAATCTAAAGATTTCTATTGACAAATGAATTAATGAATGATTGTATTACAAATTCTAGTTAATCAAATTTAGATTTATTATAAAAAAAAGGATTGACTGTTAATGATTCAACAACTTAAATCTCATCTTAAGTGATGAGGACAGAAATTGATAATGATTTTGCAATCAAAATTGAAAATGGAACATTTTACTGGTCATCATATAAAGATTAACCATAATAACAACATAATACTCTTACAAATAAGAATTAAAAAGTTGATCCATTAGTTGAATCTGAACCAATTTTAAAGAATATAAATATAAGAATTGAAAAAGGATAATTTGTATCCATTGTAGGAGATGTAGGTTCTGGAAAATCATCATTAATCTAAGCTATGTTGGGTGAAATGATTTATAAAGAAGATAAACCAAGAATCTAAATAAATGGATCATTTGCTTATGTTAGTTAAAAAGCTTGGATTTAAAATGCTACTGTCAAAGAAAACATTCTTTTTGGATTACCCTTTGATTAAACTAAATATGATGAAGCTATTAAATTCTCTTGTCTAAAAGAAGATATCAAGATTTTAGTCAAAAGAGATCAAACTATGATTGGTGAAAAAGGTGTAAATTTGTCAGGAGGACAAAAAGCAAGAGTCTCTTTAGCTAGAGCTATTTATAGCAATTGTGATATTTATTTATTAGATGATCCAATTAGCGCAGTTGATGTACATGTTGCCAAATTTATAATTTATGAATGTTTGAATGGTTATTTAAAGGAAAAAACAAGAATTTTAGTTACTCATGCTCTCAATTGTTGCTAATACACTGATTATGTTTATTTAATGGAAAATGGTACCATTGCTGAATAAGGCACATTTACTGATATCAAATAAAATCAGTAATTTAAGAATATCTATTAGAAATTTTACAAGGATACTAAAAATGATGAGGAATCTCAAGAATAATTAAATGATGTTGAATAAGTTCCTATTTTAGAATTAATATTAGAGAAAAAGTAATCATCTTAAAAAGATACTCTTGCTATACCTTAAAATAAAGATGAAATTGATGAACTTATGTTATTAGAAGATAGGAATAAAGGTTCTATATCTTTTGAAATCTTAGCTACTTATATTCGAATGACTGGAGGTGTACTTTTTGCTATTTTCATGATTTTTATGTTGCTCTTATGGGATGCATGTTATATAGGTTCATCATTATGGATGGCTCATTGGACTTAATAAGCTAGTGAAGATTTAATCAATGGAGAAGATACTAATAACTATTTCTATCTTACAATATTTTCAGTACTATCTTTAAGTTATGGAATCTTGGCATTTCTTAGATAATGGGTTTTTGTGATAGTCAGTTGCAATTAGGCAAATAATATACATAATAAAATGGTAAGTTGTTTAATGTATGCACCATAATGTTAATTCTTTGAAAGAGTTCCATTGGGTAGAATTATGAACAGATTAACAAAAGATTAAAATGTTTTAGATTCAGAACTTCATTGGACATTTAATTGGATGTTAGTTCAAGTATTTCTATTATTGGCTAATACTTTCTTAAATATCTATACAAGTTCCCCTTGGGTTGCCATTCCTATGGTAATCTACTTTTTCTTATGTTGTAAAACTTATATAATATACATGACTGCTAGTAGAGAACTATTTAGATTAGAAGCAATCAGCAAAAGTCCTATTTTGAGTTATTTCTCTGAATCAATCATGGGAATCACTACAATAAGAGCTTTTTAAAGATAATCTTAAATTATGAATAAGCATGGAAATAATCAAGATATAAATCGTAAGATATTCTTAGAACAAATAGCTGCAAATGCTTGGTTTGGATTAATTCTTGGTTTATCAAGTTTTATGGTAAATACTACTGCTATTGCATTTTGTATGTTTTATAGTACAAATAATCCTGCATTTGCTGGTTTATTAATGACATATGCATCCACTTTGGATTAAAATATTAATGGAACAGTTTAATGTTTAGGATAGGTGGAGAATGGGTTGATATCATTTGAAAGATGTGTTGCTTATACTAAGTATCTATATAATTATTAATTACTTTTAGAGTTAAACCAGAAAAAGGATATGAAGCTGCAGTTAAAAGATATCAAAATAATTAGAATTATAGAGATCAATATATACCATAATGGCCAAAAAATGGAATTATAGAATATAAAAATTATTCAGTTTAATATAGGGAAGGATTACCTTTAGCATTAAAAAAAATGAGTATTATAATAAATCCTAGAGAAAAGATTGGTATTGTAGGTAGAACAGGAGCTGGAAAATCAACAATTACATTAACTATTTTAAGAATCTTAGAAGCAATAAATGGATAATTATTGATTGATGGTCATGATATATCTACAATCTCATTAAAACAACTTAGAGAATCAATTACTATGATTATGCAAGATCCCACATTATTCAGTGGTACTATTAGAGATAATATTGATCCATTAAATTTAAGAACTGATGAAGAAGTTTTGTAAGCTATTAATAAATGTTGTTTGACTGAATTAATTGAATCAAGAAAAGGATTAGAAACTCATATCAATGATCATGGAGATAATTTGAGTGCTGGAGAAAAATAACTTGTATGTATTGCTAGAGCTGTTCTTAAGAAAAGTCCTATTGTTTTAATAGATGAAGCAACTGCCAATATAGATATTGATACAGAACATAAGATTCAAGATACCATTTAAAATGCTTTTGCTGATTGCACTGTTATTACAATTGCTCATAGAATTAATACCATACTTCATTGTGATAAGTATATATTTATTATCTATTTTTTTAAGGATTCTTGTTCTAGATAAAGGAGAAGTAAAGGAATTTGGACTTACTAAAGAATTATTGAATTAAACTAACTCCTTATTCAATGGAATTTATTAGGAAGCTTTAAAAGAGTAAAATCATTGATAATATTTCATTATATTATTAAATTATATACATTTAATTAATAAAGTATTCGATTATCATTTTTTTATTTATAATATTTTATTTATTAAATTTTAAATCTAACAATAATGTATTATAATACACCCATCACTCCAACTAAACCCTCTTAATCCAAATATTAATATTACCACCTTCCATACAATCTGAATTAATCTCCTTATTATTTCGATCAATATGCAACATATGCATTTTGTAATACTTTTCCTTATTCCAATTAGAAACTCAACCTAATCAACACCTAAATCATAATTCAAAAAGCAGTGTAGATGAGCAATAAGATAACCAAAATATGAAAAATGATTAGTTTAATAGTCCTGCCACCATCATTAAAGCAAACATTATTAACAATAGAACCATGATTTTTACTAATTATTTATAACTTGATTATGCAATGATCTTTGAAGAATAACTAAAAATTATTAATAATCATTAAGATTACATTAAAAAATTATGTTCTCTTAGATTAGAGATACCTAACATTCAAGTCATACTAACTAATCTAACTTAATTGAAATATGATATTTTATAATCATAACATACATAAGATAAATAAATATATGAATCTATTATTAAACCTAAAACTTAATAAATGATTTATCAATCAATATCACTTTAAAAGAATTTAGAAAGTTTATTAAATTTGTAAGAATAACCTAAAAACCCTTGTTTTTAGAATTAGAATAATATAGATTAAGTAATAAAAAATAGATTTGAAGATTAAATATAAATATTATAATAAGAGCTGAATTAAAATGAAGAATTAGCAACTAGTATGTTGACATCTATTAAACATTATCAAGCATAATTTGAATTTTTAAAAGATGAGAAAGTAATTAAATAATAATAAGAATTATGGGAAAAGGAAAAGAATTAAATTTTAGAATATTTGACTAATAAATTAACACAATCCATCTTAAATTTAATTCATACTCATTAATAGGAAATGTTTAAAATAACATAAGATGAAGTTTATCCTATTGTTCATTCAAAAGGAGGAGTTGTTTACTTTTATGAAATTCTTTCTATTATAGATGGATAATTATATTCAAATGAATAAATTAAATTATAGATTCAAAATTATGAATAATAAATAATATAATTAAAGGTTAATTATCATGAATTTGATGAATTTTATAACAAAATCAAAACTATTTATATTGAAATTGTTTCATTGTCAAAAAAAGTCAAATACATCAATTGTACTTAAGTATAACCATTATTACAATAGTATTAAATGAGTTAAAGAAGAAAATGTTCAAAAAGAATGAATAAATTGGAAGAAGAGATTAAATAATTATTCTTTTAAGGTTAGTTTATAGAGAAATTTAATATAAAAGTTAAAATCAAAAATTTTGAATCTTATAATTTTGAATAGCAAATCTAGAATATTGAATAATTAATTTAAGAATTTGAGAACAATTATATTAGATAATAATTTTAAGTTCCATTTAGTAAAATTAAATAATTGTCATAAATGATTATTAAGTAAATTTATTATTATTATATATTAAAGATTTGAAGAGGATCATTATAATGCTAATTAAATATATTTAGAAATTAAAAGATTGCTTAAATCTGTTACATTTATAGGATATACATCATATTTAAATGAAACATTCAATAATAAATATATATAAGGATTGCAAAGGATATCTTTAAAAAAGGGACATTTATTAAGTTTCAAATTTTGTAATTAAGAGATTCTAAATAAAATTAATAATTTATTAGATTTTTAATTTCCTTATTTTGATTGGAACGAGAAATTAGATTTAGAAAAAGATAGGATATATCTTATTTAAGAATAGTATATTTGGGCTAGAGAAACAGTGATTGAATTGAGTTAAATAAAAGAATTATCTAATGAGATAAAAATAATGAAATAATTACTTAATTTAGATAATGAATTGGAAAAAAGTTTAACAATAATTGAAAAGTATTTAGAATTGAAGGATAAATTAGGAAATGAAAGAATTGATTTAATTAGTTGGCCAAAATAATAATTAGAATTAGTAAATGAATCTAGTTAATTTTGCAATCATATATTATAATAAATAAATGATAGAATTAATGCCATTTAACAATTAAATGAAATATAATTACTTACAAGATTAGATAAAATATTTTCTGATTTTAATGAGTAAAACTAATAATAACTATTATAAATATCTAAAGAACTTAAAAATAAAGAATTTTCATTAATAATTAAACCCTAAATTTAAATAGTTCAATAATTTATCAATGTTTGTTTACAACATTTTGATGATGAAATAGACAAAAAGTTTTGTTAGACTAAAACTTATTAAGAATTAGAAGATGAATTAGGTGGAATTACTAAGTTTAATTAATTAAGACATATTAATGAATAAAATAAATATAATGAAGAATTAAGAAATTTACTTTATGATTAAGTGAGTAATTTTATGAAATAAAAGCTTAAAAGTGATTTTTCAAATTTGTTTTAATTGAAAGTAATATAAAGTTAAGGTGGAACTAATAATTATGATCCATACAAATTGTAATTAAGAACTGATATACTATATCCTATATATAGACCAGATATCAATTAAAATTAATATTGTATTTAAGAAAAAGTTAAGATTGATAATATTATAGATTAACCAGAATTAAGACAATTATTTTAAGAATTTCGATCATTTTTAAATCAATGTACAATAATTATGAAAAATAACAATGATGATAATTTAAATGATCAAGAATTAATTCTATAATTAATTGAAGCTTTTGAAAATTCATGGACACTTAATATTCACTTAACTGATCTTTAGTCTATGAAATAATTTCATAATAATTTAAAATAGTGGCCAGAAGTAAAATAATTTGAATAATAATTATTACCCTTAGGTATAGTATTAAGAGATGAATATTCAAGATATTTAGATGCATGTAGATAAAAAATAATATCATTAACAACTTTAAGGATAATAAGTATTATTGTAGATCCAAATTAGGAAAACTTAATATAAGATATGATTAAATTCAATTTTAATGGATAGGTGTGTTGTCTTCATGAATTATCCTTAAATTACTTTTATAGAGATTTTTTATCAATAATAGTAGAATCATTAGAAGGTAATCTTAAATTATTAAGTAATCATATTGTATTAATTAATGGAAAACAATTGTAATATAATGATCAAATTTTATTATGATTATTATTATTATTATTATTTCAAATATAAATAACTTAAGAATTATTAAATACTATTACATTAAATATATTATTTATTTATTTTATCCCTTGTATTTCTCAATCCTATTTTTGTTTCTAACAATATTCTAATATTTATAATCATTTATATCTTTAAGTTTCTTTAATAATAATTACATATATATATATATATATGTAATTATTTACTTAATTGATAACAATAAGAGAAAAAGAATAGATCTTCAAAATAATTATTATATATTATTAATAATATGTAAATATAATGCAGAAATGTATTAATATTAAATCAAATATGTTCAATTACCATAATTATATTACGCACTTCTCAAAAATGAAAGAAGAGTTGTTCTATCTATGTTTTGATTATTAATATTAATTATGAATCCTCTTCATAAAATATATTTGTAAGCCTTGATTACTTAATCGCAATAAGAATCTTCTTAATAAGTAAAGCAAGAAGAGAATAGTTAGAAATAAAATATACAAGTATTTGAAATACCAATATCTATATAGTTTTTACAAAAGCAATAACTTATGTAGATAATTCAACAATGTTAAACCTAATACTAACCAATTTAACAAGTTTCGTAAGAATTTAAAAATATATTAAAAAAAGCAAGCCTCCAACTTTAATTGAGGTTTAAAATTAGGTTACGTCTTACTTCTAGAAAATCATTCTGTAGAAACAAACTATCAATTTAACAAATGTTTTAGAGGTTCAATTACCATATTTCATGATAATCATGAGTAATCTCATAATATACGGATTGGAAAATTGTTCTGCAGATAAAGAAATCGTAGCAGATTTATTGTCATAGTATAAAGCCAATCCATTAAAGATATCAATGAGTTGTTCTCTGTTCTAAACAATAGCTCTACTATTCCGATCTGAACTCATTAATTACGATCAAAGTTCTAGATTATTATTATAAAAGGTACAAAATATCTTGCCAATTTTTTACTTTTCAGAGATGACTTTTGTGACATCTTTTTTAATGCACTCTATTGTTATCAAATATCATAAGGTTAAACAGTAAGTCAACAAATTGGATTTACTCAAATACATTAAATTATAAAAAAGTAACAAGATGATGTATGGACAACATTCACATTTAAATTGTTAAGTTAATAACAATAAAAGTTAACTAAAGATCAATTTTTATTATAATTTAATAGATATACTCAATCATTGAATAATTTTTTTACTAAAAGTAATTTAATAATGGATTTAGTTGCATAAAGTGTTAAATAAACAGCTAAATTACATAATGATTAAATATTTTAGGAAGTATATAATTAAATTAATAATTAGTATTTACTTATTATGGGTAGTTTTAAGGCCACTACTTAAGATTTCTTAAAAAAAGCTACATAAGTATTTTTTGAAGAGACTACTGATTTAGATTTACTTAAATTTAGTTCGAATACAATTAAAATCCATAAACAAATGAATTGTTAAATTCTATTCATTTTACCTATGATCTTATAATTAGAAAGTTAATATTTAGATCATATTATATAAAATGGATTTACTGAAATGTAAGTCAAGAATAGTTCTAATTATTATTTAAAAATGATTGAAAAACTTAAAAACAAATGTGTTTATAATGGTGAAGAGGAATGTAATTGCAAAAAGTGTTAATGGTATAATATCACATAAAAATTCTTAGTATAAGAAGAAATAGAAATTCAGCAAAGGAATCATAAAAAAAGAAGAGAGAAGCTTTAGAGAAATTAGGTCCATTATAGGATGAATATAACAAATTATAAAAAAAAGTAAAGATTATAATATTATATTTTAGGTTAAACAATTAGAAACTGAAAATTAATATATGACAACATTAATATTAGATGTATTTAAACATCCATCTGTTGAAAAAATAGCTTCTTAATTTCTCGAGCCTTTAACTAAAATAATTGCAGATTCAGAATCAATTGAAGAATGTTGATGAATAATTAATTTAAGATTTTTATATAATGTATAAATTTCAATCACTATAAGAATATATAGTATGTAAATTTTAATAGTTATATTATATTATATTCACTTATTTTTACCTTATAATATTTATTATTGTTATTGTCCTTCTTAGGCTTATTGAGCTTATAAGGCTTATTGCTCTTTTAAATAATTCATATAATTAACACTTTCTAGTAATGGTTTAGGTATTTCTCCATTAGCATTTGGAGGATAATAATCATAATATGTATAAACAGATTCTGATTAAGGTTTAACTTCATTTGTTACATCTTTCTCTCCAAGTTCTTTTTTATGGTTCTATTTATTTAATTAATTAACATCCTTACATTATTTTTAATATAATCAGTCAATCCAAATCCAAACATTTATGATTAACTTTCATCAATTTAATAACCATCTACTTCTCCTTAAACTAAAAAATTAGGATCCACAACTATTTATTATGTTTAATATTCTTCTACTAATGTAGATGTAGATTATTGCTATTCTCTTGAAGAAGTTTGATTATATAGAGATTTTGATTAATGTAAAGAGTGTTATAAATCAGAAGAAACTGATTATTTTTCTGATTTCTCAGTTCTTGAAACTTATTTCACATTTTCTATTTTAGATGTCTATTTTTTTGGTTTAGGAGGTTTGGGCATTTCTTCTGGTTTTACAGGCTTATAAAACTATACACCATCACAAACATCTATCACATTTTATCGCTTTTTGGCTTCATTCTCATAATATTGATATCTTTCATCCATATTCATAATTATTTTTTATTAAGGAGCTTCTATTGCAACAATCTACTATTATTAGGCTTCTTAGAAATCTTCTGAAACTTTTCTAGAAATTCTCTCTGTTGATGTTTTTGCTTTTATTATAGGTTTTTGTTAGGATGCTAAACTTATTTCCTTAAATATATACAGCTTCTTTTTTATGCTGGACTTTTAGGCTTAGGTGGAACATACTAATGAATTAATTTAATGAATTACCTTAACCGGTTTAGGTTACCTAGTATTAGCTTATAATTTAACTGCTTAAATCGAAAACTCTGGCAACATATATTATAAAATAAATTAATTTTTTTTATATAATTATGTATTTATTGAATTGCATAATGAATATTATAGTCTTTATTTTTGAAACATTGTATTTCTTAAATTTTATTTTCAAATAAAAAATATGTATCAATTATTATAAGGAAATAATATTAAATTATATTATCATAATTTGAAATCTTAAATGTTTATATTATTGATAATCCTTACTTTAAATTTATAGATATTTAATTAAACTGTATAAGAATTCAAAATAATATAACTAGAATATTTTATCTTTTATTTCATCTTCTATTTTTTAATAAGTAGAATATTATTTTATTTTGTGTGAAGAATGAAATTTTTGATTTTAGTTTAATTTTCTCACTTTTAATAANTTAATTAACATCCTTACATTATTTTTAATATAATCAGTCAATCCAAATCCAAACATTTATGATTAACTTTCATCAATTTAATAACCATCTACTTCTCCTTAAACTAAAAAATTAGGATCCACAACTATTTATTATGTTTAATATTCTTCTACTAATGTAGATGTAGATTATTGCTATTCTCTTGAAGAAGTTTGATTATATAGAGATTTTGATTAATGTAAAGAGTGTTATAAATCAGAAGAAACTGATTATTTTTCTGATTTCTCAGTTCTTGAAACTTATTTCACATTTTCTATTTTAGATGTCTATTTTTTTGGTTTAGGAGGTTTGGGCATTTCTTCTGGTTTTACAGGCTTATAAAACTATACACCATCACAAACATCTATCACATTTTATCGCTTTTTGGCTTCATTCTCATAATATTGATATCTTTCATCCATATTCATAATTATTTTTTATTAAGGAGCTTCTATTGCAACAATCTACTATTATTAGGCTTCTTAGAAATCTTCTGAAACTTTTCTAGAAATTCTCTCTGTTGATGTTTTTGCTTTTATTATAGGTTTTTGTTAGGATGCTAAACTTATTTCCTTAAATATATACAGCTTCTTTTTTATGCTGGACTTTTAGGCTTAGGTGGAACATACTAATGAATTAATTTAATGAATTACCTTAACCGGTTTAGGTTACCTAGTATTAGCTTATAATTTAACTGCTTAAATCGAAAACTCTGGCAACATATATTATAAAATAAATTAATTTTTTTTATATAATTATGTATTTATTGAATTGCATAATGAATATTATAGTCTTTATTTTTGAAACATTGTATTTCTTAAATTTTATTTTCAAATAAAAAATATGTATCAATTATTATAAGGAAATAATATTAAATTATATTATCATAATTTGAAATCTTAAATGTTTATATTATTGATAATCCTTACTTTAAATTTATAGATATTTAATTAAACTGTATAAGAATTCAAAATAATATAACTAGAATATTTTATCTTTTATTTCATCTTCTATTTTTTAATAAGTAGAATATTATTTTATTTTGTGTGAAGAATGAAATTTTTGATTTTAGTTTAATTTTCTCACTTTTAATAAAAACTATTGTCAATTAATTTATTGGTTTAGCATAAATAAGCCTTTATAATAGTGCTCATATTATATCTATATAAATAAAATAAATATTTATAGTATTTTCAATAGAATTTTTGAACATATAAATTGATATATAATACTAATCTTGAAAAGGGTCACATCTTTACTAAACTTCTAATTATTATGATATTTGATGAGTAAAAGAACTTTCATATACATTATTAGAGCAAGAAAGCAAAGGGTTAGATTTCAAACCGAATTAAATAAAATATTAGATTAATGACCTAATGGAGTTTGAAAATTGCAAAAAAAATGCAAAGGTATCAAAAATTAACTTAAAGCTAAGTGAAGATCAAAAAATCTATTTTAAGAGATTAATTAGATCTAGAAGTAATTAAGGAGGAGATAATTGATTAATTTATAGGAAGAGTAGGAATGAAAAACTTTAAGTTTTTACTTTATATAATTAAATATAAAAATTAATCAGCTAATAAAGTATATTTTATAAAATTCATTAAGTTAAATAGAAAAATGTTTATATACAAATAAATATTGTTAATGAATGGGAATTAAATAATGTAATTTAGTATTTAGTCTGAAACTGATTAAAATTATAAAGACAAAAAGGATTAAAATTGAAAAATTATTTTTAATTTAAATTTTTAAGAAGTTCATTAAAGTGAATATTTATAAATGTTCAAATATATATATATATCTATTTATTTAAAATTCAAATAAAAAATTAAGAAATAAAACAGCTTATTGCAATTAAATTAAGGGACTATTTTTATTCAATATAAATATTCTAGTTATTTTTAGAGATATAATCTAACTTTTTGTTTAAATCTAAAACTAATTATTTGAAATTTAAGAAACAGATTATGATTATCATATAAGAAATTTATTACTTATTTAGAGTATTAAATAAACCAGATGGTTTGAAATTATATATTTCAAAAAAAATATTAAATCATGGAAGACATAAAATAAGTTCCATCCTTTCTAATAAAATTATATGACATTCTTGAAGTAATTATAACCCGCTATTCTTGAGTCTGAATAAGCGGCAATATTTTGGAATAAGGAGGGAACAACATTTTTGATTTAAGATATTGGATAATTGACTGATCAAATTTTACCTTTAAACTTTAAACATCGGAATTTTCAAAGCTTCTTAAGGTAGATAATGAGTTAATTATCTTAGGCAGCTTAATATGTATGGATTTAAGAAATTGAAAAATAAATAAGGGAAAAATGAGTTTGTACATTAGTATTTCAGAAAAGGAATTAAGTATTAGTGAATTTATTTATCTAAGAAATAACTTATTAAAGATTAAACGTAGAAATTAAGAAGACATAAAGTAGAGTCTGAAGACTTTAACTAAGGAATTTTAATCAGAATCATATTTACATGAGCATGAAAAAATGAGAAAGTAATTAATGTTAATGCAATCAGAACAATAGAGAATATTGTATGAAATTAGATTCTAAATGAATTTTAATTAAAAATTGTAAAGAGAAACATAGGATATCATTGATGTAAGTTTCTATGAACTTATATAGAAAATAAACCAAATAAAAAACTATTCAGTATCAAAACTCAATAAACTAATACTGATTATTTAGAAATTACCTTAAGATGCTCAAATTAGTAAGATGGTATAGTTAAAAGATAAAATTTAACGAAAATTGGAAACAATTGAAATAGAAAATTTTTAAGTAAAAGATATCTCTTTTGATAAATAAGAATCAAATAGTTATTATGATGCTAATTTAACAGGAGTTAGAAGTCCTGCTGGATACTCACCTAAGTCTAAATGAATTATATTTATTGATAAAAAATTAGAAATAAAAAAAAAAGGAATTTCTTCATTAATATTTTGACTTAATTTTAAAACATAGAGATTTATGTAAATTGATTAAGATTTCATTTAAATTTTTGATGAAGAAATAGAATTATGTTAAAATAGTTTAATGTAAGAAATAAAATAATTAATGATTAAAGGAAATATTTGAATAATAAAATTGAGAAAATGTAATATATTTAATTTAGATTGAGAATGATATTGAATAAAGTGATTGAAAATTTAGAAAATAAGAATTTTTGTTGAATTATTATTATAAACAATATAATTAAATGTTTTGGTCTAAGAGACCCGAAACTTACAATTAACCTCGTCAATTTTTAGGGAATTTTAAATGTGAAAGGACTTTATTAGAATTAGAGGAATTTCCATCGAATTTCATAAAAACATCAAGGTAAGTAATCATGTGAAGTGTAGATATAATGTAGTAACTTTTCTTCCGAAATCGTTACTCCTACAATTTACTCGATATGCTAACATTTACTTTTTGTGCATAGCAATTATTTAATGTATTCCAGTGCTTTCAACATTAAACCCTTTCAGTGCAATAGCTCCTTTAGTTTTTGTGTTAGGTTTATCAATGGCTCGTGAAGGTATTAAAAATAAGATAATATTTAAGGGTGGGAAGACTATGGGCGTCATGTATCAGACAATGAAGTAAATTCAACAGAATGTATAATCCTAAAATAAAGAGTGGCGACAATGTAATGAAATAATACAATAGTTAGTTCAACATGGGCAGAATTATCAGTAGGAGATTATATATTAGTGAAGAAGGATGAGAGTTTTCCTGCTGATCTAATTGTGCTTTCAAGTTCAATTGAAAGTGGGGCTTGCTACATCGAGACATCATCATTAGATGGAGAAAAAAATTTAAAACCAAAGAGTGCTATTTTAGAGAGTCAATAGCTTTATAAAGAAATAGAAGGTTATTGTGAAGATCAGATACGAGTTGAAGCATAGGTTCCTACGTAAAATCTTTATGAATTGGATGCTTCTTTGTTTTTGCCAGTTGATGGTAAAGAGAAAAAGTTTTAGTTAACAGCTAAATAATTATTGTTAAGAGGTGCATTTCTAAGAAATACTGATTGGATTATAGGTTTAGTTGTTTATACAGGATAGGATACTAAAATCATGAGGAATGCTGATGCTTCAAGAGTGAAGTCAAGTGAAATAGAAAGAATTATGAATATTCTTATTTTAGGAATTTTAGTAGTGTAAATCATTTTATCGATCATCACAGCTGCCTTTTCTTCAGCTTGGTTGCATAATTATGGAAGTGATAGTTGGTATTTAGAATTTACTGACTTTCAACCGAACTTGCTTAGTTTTTATGCGTTTTTCAGTTATATTTTATTATATAATACAATGATTCCTATATCATTGATAGTTAGTTTAGAATTTGTTAAAGTGTTCTAAGCTTACTTTATTGAATAAGATGAAGAGATGTTTGTTGCTCAAAGGAAAAAATATGCTAAAGTGTAAACAACAACTATAAATGAAGAATTAGGATAGGTGGAATATATTTTCTCTGATAAAACTGGAACTTTAACTTGTAATCAAATGGAATTCAAGTATTGCATAATAGGAAATATATTATATGGCAGAGAACAATAAAATACAAATAATCCAGTATAAAATGTAGATCTAAAAAGACAGCAAACCGCTAAAGTAGATAATGAAAGTGAAGTGTTCCAACATTCAGTCTTTAATTTTCAAGATGTTGAATTAAGTGCCATTCTTAAAGGTGAAGGATCCACAGGTGATATGCCAATAAATCTTAAAATTGTATCCTAAGATGGTAAATAATAAGTGACATTGTCTAATCAGAGAGAATTAATTGAAGAATACTTTTTCTTACTTTCTTCAGCTCATGAATGCATTATTTAATATGATAAGAATTAAAATGCATCATATTAAGGTCCATCTCCAGATGAGATCACTCTTGTAGATGCAGCAGCTAGATTAGGATTTCAATTTACTGGATCATCTGCAAGTGAATAATGTTTCAAGATTTTGGGCAAAGAAAAAAAAGTCAAATTGCTAAAATCATTTGAATTTGATTCTACTAGAAAGAGAATGAGTGTTATAATTGATGATAATGGAATCATAAAATTATATATAAAAGGAGCAGATAATATTATCAAAGATAGATTATTACCTAATTAACCATTTTTGAATGAAATTATTAATTATTTAGATGATTTTAGTAAAATTGGATTAAGATGTCTACTTATGGCTTCAAGAGTGTTATCTCAGTAAGAATATTAAGATTTTGATCACGCTTATAATAATTTACCAGATAATGAGACTAGAGCAAGTGAATTAGGTAATATTTATTTTTTAAAAATATAGAAAAATTAACAAGTAATTTAGAAAAATAACTTACTTTATTGGGAGCATCAGCTGTTGAAGATAAATTATAACCTTTAGTTCCAGAGACTATAGCAGATTTATTAAAAGCTAATATAAAAGTTTGGATGTTAACAGGTGATAAATTAGAGACAGCAGAAAATATAGCTAAAAGTTGTAGATTAATCTAAGGAGATTTTACAGTGATGAGATTATCAGTTCCTACAGTTGATGAATGTAAAAAGAAATTAGGAGATATCTAAGATACTTATGATCTATGTATAAAGGAGAATAGAAAAAAAGTATTTAAACATATTATTGTAGTCAATAGTAGTTGAAGGATCATCTTTATAATTTATAATAGATAATGAAGATTTAGCATAGGCATTTGTTAGTATGGCAAAAGATTGTGAAAGTATTGTTTGTTGCAGAGTCACACCTAAATAAAAGGCTGATGTTGTCAGATTAATTAAAGATAGATTAAATAAGATAACTTTGGCTATAGGAGATGGAGCTAATGATGTTAATATGATTTAGGCTGCTCATATTGGAGTTGGATTATATGGAAATGAAGGAATGAGAGCAGTTTAAAGTAGTGATTTTGCTTTGGGAGAATTTAGATGTTTATGGAGGTTATTACTAGTTCATGGACATTGGAATTATATTAGAATTGCAGAAATGGTTCTGTATTTCTTTTATAAAAATATGATTTTCACTGTGCCATAATTCTTCTTTTCATATTTTTGTGCCTTTTCAGGATAGTCATACTTTGATGATTGGTATATCACTTTCTATAATCTTATTTTTACAGCATTACCTCTTATTGTAAGAGGTACATTTGATTAGGACATCAATTATAGATAATATTGTTAATATGATTCAAAAGAAGAAGTAGCTAATGTTTAAAAGAAATAAGAATAATATTTAAGACTTAAATTTCCAAGTCTTTATTATGTTGGATAAAATAAAACTATTTTCACAATTCCTAATTATTTATTATGGGCTTTCAATGGTTTGGTTCATGGAATGATTATATTTTTCTTTGTACTTTGGATTATGGATTATGAAATAGTATAAAATTCTGGAGAATCAAGTAGTTTAGCACCTTTCTCATTGACAGTCTATTCCTGCATTATTTTAGTATCATATTAATTATTATTATTTTAGATTGCTGATCTTAAAATAGCTATTCATACTAAATTTTGGACATGGTTTAATTTTATTAGCATAACCTTTCTGTCTATTCTGCTTTACATTTTATATGTGATCATATCTCATTTCTGGCCTGGAACTTTGATGGAATATACTCCATTTACTATGGTAGGCACTCCACATTTCTGGTTGAGTTTATTGTTAATAGGAGCAATAATAGGAGGTTTGGAAGCTATCTAGGCAGAAATAATAAGGGAATTTTTTACTGATCCAGCTACATAGATTTTAAAGAAAGTTAAAATCTTTGAACCTTATCTCAATAAGTGGATAGAAAATTAAGAAAAGATTGCAAGGCAAGATTCATTTTGGGCTGGAATTTATAAATAAAAAGAGGAAGCTGTTGAGGAATAAGAGTTAGTACGATTTAGTGGATCATAATAATGAATAATACATTCTATATATCTATAAAAAAATATATATTATTAATTTGTAATACTAATTATTTTAATATTATTTTATTAATTTAATAATAATAAACTAAAATATAAATACTTTTAAAGTATGTATTTAAACTATAAATAATTATTTTTCATATTTTAAACAATCCATACAATTACATAAAATAATGTTTAATAATTTTATAATACTTTTTTGAAACTCTTTTGTATATATTAATAACAATTAAATTGTAAAATATATTTGAAAATACAAAGATAATCTTTATTATATAAAATAATCAATAGAGGTAATTTTATTGTTATAAATAAATGCATAAAAAAAAAATAAAAAGAAATGATCTTTAATCAGCTCCTGAGATTATTAGAACTAGACATAGACCTACAAATCATTTGGAAATTGAAAATCTAGTAATGTAAGATATGCGTAAAAAAATACTGAATGATGAAATGAATACTCTACAGTTTTATGATATAGTTCTACCTGATTAAGATGAGATGATTACTTCACTTAAAGATTCAACAAAGAAACCAATTAAATTACATTAGAAAGTTAGGAGAACAGATTTAGAAAATAAATTAAGAGCTCGTTTATCTAATGAACCTGGTGCTAAATTATTATTATAAGAAATGTACATTTTTATAATATTCAAGTTATGAGAAACTTGATGAAGACCCTGATAATCATTCAAGAACTGTTCGTAAGAAATTACATCAAGAGGAATAATTTAAAGCAAATTAATAATATAAAGCAGAAAGTGATGATTAATTGGTAGCAAATTTGGATACTTGGTACAAAGGAATTAAAAAAAGATGGAAAGATGAATAAGAGAAATTGAAATAGGAATAGGAGAAAGAAAGTATTAAATGATATTCAATTATTAGAACTTGCTAAAATGTAATTATAAGATAAATCCTAATCTTTATAATTATTGAGAAGAGGAGGATTAAATGATAGATCAAAAGCAGTATAAGGTATTCCAGCATTTCCAAAATTAATTGTTGAGTCTGCTAAATCTGAAGGAGAATAAAGTGGTTTTAAATAGAAATTGATGGGATCCTTATAAAAGATATCAGCAATGAAAAAAATTGAAATGCTTCATTAAGATCAATCATTAGTGAAATAATTAGATAAGTATATGTAATAGGGTTCTACTTTGACATAACAAGAATTAGCATAGATTGAATTAGCAAGAGCCAAATAATAAGGAGAGGAAAAACATGATGGAACTTTAATATTTGATTACACTGTTGAAGGTTTAAAAAATAGTTTACATACATTAATTAAAATGCAATTAACTTAATTTTAAAATGCAAGTGATAGAGCATTATTTTATGAAAAATAAACTAACTAAATTTTATTATCTATTAATTCAAGATTAGAAAGATAAAAAAATACTGTAAAAAGAAATGAGAAAGATCTTGAAACTTTAAGAATGGAGAATCATGATATTCATAAAAAGTTAAGAGCTATTTAAGATTTTGTAAATATTTTAATTTAATATTAGATTAAAGAAAGATAAGAAGAATTGAGAGGAATTAATAAGAAACCATCATAATAATAAAATTCACCTAATATTAAAAATAATGCTAGTTAAGTTGATAGTTATATGGTTATTGCAGTTAAATAAAATGAATTAGAAGCTTAAATTGATTAAATGAAAGATAATTACAATAAATTTTAATAATAAATGAAATTGAATGCAATTTAGATTGAAAAATTAGAATAAGAGAATTCAAAATTGAATAAAAATAATAAAGCATTATTAAAATCAATTTAAGGATTCTTGTTAGAATTACTTAAAATTGGTTTAGATTGTAGATCATAAGGATTATCTTGGATAATTAAGGCAGTTTGGGATTCAGAAGAGAAGATAGCTGAAGCCAATTTTCCTCCATATTTGGATAGTAAGGCTAGAGATTTTTTAATTATGAAAACAAGAAAAACAATTGAATTGAATGATTTATTTAAAAAGGCACATTAATTGTTCAGTAGTTATAGAGAATCTTCAATTGATACAGGAAACAATTCAATAGTATCTCTATTATCAAAAAATCATTTCTCTTAAATTGATTCATTAGACATTAAGAAATAACATATAGAATAAATTAAATAAAAGTAAGAATCTTAAGTATCTCTACTTGTATAAGGATTAAGTGAGACAGAAAATAAATTGATTTAATCAACTCTTACTCATATATTTTAGAGTAAAGAGACATTAAATGATATAATTTATAATGAAGCTTAAAGAAGAATAGCAAAGATGTTTAAAACTGAAGCGAATTAAGAATAATCAATAGTGTTTACAGAGTTAAATAATTTTGATAAGGATAAATTAATAAAGGAATATTAACAAATATAAAATGATATAGAAGTTAAAGAGATGTTATTTAGAAAGTTTGAGGAAACTGAATTGTAGAGATTAGTTAAAGAAATTGATTACAAGAATTATTTAGCAAGGTATTAATTATTAAAATGTACAAGATTTAACGTTGAAGCATTGTAAGTATTGGCTGCATTGTTTGGATATACGAGGGCTGAAAGAGAATTAATTAAATATGGTATGATGCACAAAATGTTTAATAATTGATTAATTAATTTATTAAGATGATTGAGATGTAAACTTTGGGAGTGCGAAATGCATAACCAAAATTTTCTTTGTTGATTGATGATTCCTAAACTCTGACTTATTTTGAATTATTAAAATGTGCAGCTCCTTTGGCTTTGATCGATGTAAACACCTTAAGTACCAGTCATTATTAATAATTCAAGAATGTCTTTGTGACTTAAACAAAGGCAGTTTCTGTAAGGAATATTATAAATATAGGAACCATAATTTGAAGAGATAGCATCATTGGTTGATTTCATACCAGGAGCAACAACATCATAGATCATTGTTGCTTTAGGAACAATCTCAAAAAAAAATGCTCTGGGAGGAATCGTTGCTTTAATGGCTTATACAATGCCTGGAGCAATAATATTAATAATTTTAGGTTATTTTTATAGTAAGTATCCTGATCCTAGAGATCTAAACATACTTGTATTTCTGGCCATTTAAGGAATTAAATCAAGTACCGTTGCATTAATTCTATAATTATTGATATCAATGGCCACAAAATCAATTAATAATAAGATGCACATAATGTTATCAGTGTTAAGTGCAGCATTATTTGTTGCATATTAATAACCGTATGTGTTAATATTAACAATGATGATGGGAGGAATAATAACAATAATGGTTGAATATGATGCAGAAAATACAATAGGAAGAAGAACCTTTGTAAAAGAATAAAGTGCTACTCCTGCAATTGTTAATGATCCAAAATTAATTAATAAAAAAAACAGTCACAAAATCAGTTAATTATTAGGAAATAAATCCTTACACTTGTATTCCTTAATATTATTATTATTGTTGTATCTCAATTCAAAATATTAATCATTAATTTTAGATATAAGTCTCTCATTTTACAATATTGGAACATTTATGATTGGAGGTACTCCTATTACTTTACCTTTTATGTATGCAGAAACGGTTTTAAATCCTTTATATATAAATGCTGATGCTTTTTGGTTAGGATTTGGTTTAGCAGCTGCTTTACCTGGCCCTTATTTAAATTTTGCTATATTCTTAGGTACTCACAGTATGGGAATATATGGAGGAATATGTTGTTGGGTTGCAATATTTTTACCTTCAATTTTATAAATTTGGGGATTATTACCTCATTGGAGTAATTTAAGGAAGAATGTTTATTTATCAAAGTTTAAGGAAGGTGTTATAAGTGTGGCAATTGGATTTTTGGCAACAGCTGTATATTATGGTTGGGTAGAAGCTTGCAAATATGATTTATCTACTGCAACAGTCATATCATTTTTAAGTTTAGTATATGTTAGTTTGCTTAATTTTAACAGTCCTGCAGTTTTGACATTGGGTGCTGCTTTGTTTATTATTCGTTATCTTGCTTTATGGTATTATAGAGAATTGGATCCGGTGATATTTTGATCATAAAATTATTTATTAATATATGGATATATATATATATCATATTTATTTCCAAATCTTATCAAACACATCTAATTCATCTTGTTATATTGTATCAAATAATAAGACATCTTCCTTATAGACAATAACTTTCTTATTATTTTCTAATTAAACAACATAATATTTAAGTTCATTATATTTATTTTTGATTTATCCTATAATAATACATTTCACTAATTATTTGGCTCCATCTCTACATCTAATATATACTAAATGTTAATGAAAATCCACAATAGAATTCTCATTAATTTCAAATTTACAATCTAAAGAGAGTAATCTTTAATTGTTTTCAAGTAATTCTTTAATAGAACTTGCTTATGTTTAAAGTTCTCTAGCTAATTGGAATGATTTGCTCATTTAAAATTCAACTTTTCTAACATTTCCATAAGAATTATATTTTAATCTTAGAATCAACATTTCTAAATAAATAATAAAATAAATACATGATGTAAATTAATTACTAATTTAAGAAATATTATCTAATAAATAGAATCTATTATTTTCATCAATTAATAATAAATCATATGAATTGTATTTTTGAAAATGAGTCCATAAAATAGTATTAAAATAATCAGTTAAATCTTTAGTTAATTCATAATTATCATCTGAAAGTGTTACTTTAACAAATCTTACATCTCCATATTATATTTATTATCTTCTATATTATTAATGATTAATTAATTCATTTGGAATAAATAAATTCAAAATTTCTTTTTTTTTTTATTTGTTATGAGTTAACTTAAATAATATATCAACTAAATATATTTAAGTATTATCATCACGTAAAAATTAAGAATATAATTCTTAGAAATTACATTATTCTGGATCCAATTAAAAATATTAAGTAATTAATTACTTAAATTCAACATAATTGAGACTATTACCTTATTTAAAAGTATCAGGATGTGAAAATGCACTATGTTTAACATTAAATAATATGCATTAATCCATAAAAAATGAAATTGCTTAATCTTTTGAGATTATATTTTCAGAATTGCAACCTTCACCTTATAATAATATAGAATATTCAATTTCAGAGATTTAATAATGTCTTTATAAATTATAATCATCTTATAAAATAAGTGTATTTTTATAAATAGTATTTACTTATAAATATCTTAAATCTATTTTTCCTCTAAATTTATCATTTATAGAAAGATCTAAAATATAAGATTAATAAGGCAATTCAAAATATAATTCTTCAGATTCATTTCTCGATTAACCTTATATAGTAACTACATTATTGCCATAATGATCAATTTAATGTAAAAATAATGAGTGAATCAATATATAAACAGTATTAATTCTTTATTTAAATACAAATTTAGAACTAGTTTTAGGTAAAAATATTTAAGATTCTTAAATATCATAAACAGATCCTTCATGTTCTTCTGGAATATCAATAATTTAACTTTATTAATTTTTATTTAAAAGTTTTAATTAATCAACATAGATATTATCTAAAGGATTTACTTTTTAAATCATTTATTTTATAAGATCATCATATTTTTCAAGAGGTTCAAATTCATTTAATTAATAACAATTATAACTTGCTATTATTAATTTCTCTGGATTACAAAGTAATCTTCCATAAATATTTAATCCAACTATAAATTCTTCTTAAGTTGTAAATGATTAATAATTAATTTCATTTAAAATACCTCCAACAACACTTCCTATAACTTTATCAAAACTACCTTCAATAAATCCTATTCCAATAATATAATCAAATACTCTTAACCAAACATCAAAATAAAAGAAACCACTAAATAAATTACTCAAATGATCTTTAAACCAACCCATATCAATTTTTGGATTATTCAATTTTGGTACTAACATTTAATATCTTAAACATCTTATTATCTTATAAATAAATTCATCACAGTTTTCTTTTCCATCTAATAATTAAAATAATCTCACTATGAATAATAATTTATCTTAAGTATTATCTATAACACCACATCCATTTACTATTCTGTATATTTAATCTTTCCAAGAATTTAATCTTTCCATAAATATATTAGTCCAAACATTATTAAATTTGAATTGTATACTATTTATATATTATTCTACTTTCTCTTAATTTATTTATTATGTTTCATTATCCATATAATTATTTATTTAATTAGATACAATATCTAATATATTAAGATTTTCATGCCATTCTAAACCATGATCATCTGCAAAATCCTTAATCTTCTCATTAAATTATAATAAAATAGGTATTAATTCAACTCTTGATTATTTAGTAAATCCTTTCTTACATGCAATCATTATTTTATCTCTTACAAAACCATCACAATTCTATATTCTATTATGATATAAATAATAATATAATTATTTGAATCTTCCATCCTTATTATCATATCCTTCTTCTGATAAAAATTCTTAAATTTCTATCAAATCATCCTCTGATTATTTGCTATTTGCCCAAATCTAACCTCTTTATTATAAGGCATCTTCTAAAGATCTAATCTTAAATTCCTCCCATTATTATTACATACTCTTTCGAGGATCCTTCAATTATCTAATGTAATATTTTAATTCATTAGCTGTTATTGGTAATTCAACAATATCTAAATAAAATGGATTTATTGTAGAATTTGTTATTTTAAATCTAACATCTTCATGTAAATCCATCTAAATCATTGGTTAATTGAATTATTAATTCTATAAATTCTATTGTAAATCAGCTGAAACATCCAATCTAGCAAAATGTCTTCTATTACTATTCAAATTCTTTTCAAATTCTAGTACTGATATTCTACCTTACATAACCTTTTTAGCTGTTGCTATGAATGCTAAATCTTCTGTTGGTTCCTCTTAAGCCTTAGCTAAAATTCTCTCATTAAAATCTTAATAATCATCAAATATTATAAATTCTAAAATATCTTAAGTCTTAAAATGTGATAATGTAATCTCAACATTAGCTCTCCAACCTCTCCCATCTAATTCTAAATATGATAATTCTGTTCCTTTTACAAATTCTATTTTCCCTTCTTATTCTGATTCCAAAGGTTTGAATTACAAATATAATATAGGATTTAATAATCTAATATTCTCATCTACTATTAACTTAAAATTTGAAAAATGTAAATCTTTGTGTTAAAGTTTAAGAAATTCAACTAATTTCTCTTTTTCCACCTCCTCTTTTCTTTATTATTCTAACATTTCCTATTAAAGTTCTAATAATCTCAAAGCTTCTTATTCTTATTTTTCTCTCTCTTATCTCTCTTACATAATCTATACTGCTATTTTTTACCATTTTGTTAATATAGATTTCAAATCATTTATTTCTAAATTCTTTAAAAACCTCTCATTTTTTCTTAAATTTCTAAGTTTATTTTATTTAATCTAATCTTATTCAACTTATTATTTTTATTTAGCCTAAAAATTTAATTATTAAAATATATCTCTATATATTTATGTATCATAACTTCTTATTTAATTATAATTATTTAAAAATGTAATTTACTTCTATTCTTATTATTTTTACATCTTATTAGATATTATATTTAATTTCTTATTCTATGCCTCAGTATAACGTAATAATGTTTGATATTGCCAACGCTTAAATATTTTATCCATCTACTTTTTACTTTTTTCCAAAACATTTTCTTTTCGAAATTTCAAGAATTCAATAAACCTATATGCTTCATCTTAAGTATCAAAATATAAAGCAGTTGGTTTCTAAAATTAACTTAGTAATGACCTATGTTCACCTCCTAAAACACGATCGAAAAGAATCCGAATAGGTTTATTTTGTTACTCTATCCAAGGAAATAGAAGCCTTTCTTCATTTGGCAATAATTCGTATTGTTCCTTTATTAGTTAAATGGAAATACTCTAGTGATAACTGTAAAACCAGTAGGATAAGGAATAGGTTTATTATTAGGTTGAACCATTTAATTTTCTTATAGGGTGACTTATCTAAAGTACTTCTTTCCTCTAGGTTTTGCTTATTTCTCTAAATCCAAAACCTAACCAACATTATACTTTCTAGTGTTGGCATTGTGTGTTTGATTAAAACTCTATGTAAATCTTTGTGACCAAGACATTATATATTTAATTTAATATTTTAATTCAAAATTCACTCACATTAATAACTATATTATTCTTTTCAAAATATTATACTTAATGACAATTTTGTTTATATATTAAGTTTTTTTAAAGTAATTTCAAACTGAAAAATGCAAATCATTTCAATTAATGAACTGAAAAATGGCTTTAAAAATTATAAATTTCTATCTCCATTCTTACTTCATAATTTAATATATGATGAAGAAACAAATGTAGATTTTGTAGAAAACAAATAAAAAGTTTCAAGAATTACTATAAAAATAAGTCAATTTTAAAATAAATTAAGAGAACTAAATTACTCCATTTAATAAATTAGGCCAATTCAAAATTGAAGGATGGCTTGATTGTTAACATACTAATACAAAAACTTATTTAAATTAGTGTGAGCTAAACATTAAATCGAATGAATAGGATAAAATCTATTTATTTAGTTTAAATCGAGAAGTAATTAAATTGTTTACTTATTTTTAGATTGGTAGGTTTCAATACAAAGGGGAAAAGACTTTATATTATCTTCTATATGAAAAATTCTTAGAAATTCATGTTGAAGTGAATGAAGATATATAGAAATGCTCATCTAATAAAGAATTTAATGTTGTTCAAATTTAAGTTGAAATAAACCTATTTGTTAACCCATTTCTATTTAATCAAGATAATACTATATCTGAATAATCTAAAATTAAATTCATCCTTGCTATATTAGAACTTCAAGAATTAATGAAAGCATCCTTTTTATTTTACTTATATCCAATTGAAAAAAAAATATAATTATAGGGTCCTTGTTACTCTTAAAATATTATTTTGAAATGGATGATAGAAAGAGAAAAAAACTTAAGTTCAATATCTGATCAAAAATTTAGAGGTGGAGTATTTGTTGAAATTGAATAAGGCTATATTTTTGATAGATTCTATGATTTAATCAATCACAAAGCAAGACTATAAGCAAGAAAGAGTTAAACATTAATAATTACATTTGGTGAATCAATTGTTGAATAGAAATAATTAGATATTCGTCGAAAATATCCAAACCTTAGTAGTTTATGTATTAATGAAGGAACAATAATTAATAATTTTTTACAATTTGATTTTGTTATTATCTCAATCGATTATGTAAAAAGATAATATGATCAGTTTAAGTTATAGCATTTGAATACTATTTTCTCTTTTTAATGGAAAAGGATAATTGTTGATTTAAGTATTATAGAGTCTCAATTAATCTACAATTTGTATTTTATAAATTTATTAAACACTAAATACAAGTGGATATATTTATAGAAATTTGATGAATAAGTTAAAAGAACATCTCTTAACTTTATTTTAGATTTCTTTAATTTAGAGAGGAAAGCATTTGAAAAATATTTTGCAATAGAAAATAAACCTTAATAAGTAAAAAGACGTCTTTCAAATATTGCAACACAATAATAATAAATTCCATTATCTTAAATATCCATAAAGAGTTAGATTATTTTAGTTGATTTGAATTATGAAGAATTATAGTAATATAATGAAATAAGATATTAGAGGTTGGAAAATGATATCATAGAAGTATATGCTTAAAAGTTTAACTCTTTAAGATAATTATGTTCTTTAGTTTAGTAAAATAAAGAGTAAAAGTATTGCAGTATATGTTTCATACCATTACAAGACTATTATGAATATTAGATGTGTTCTCATAATTTTTGCCATTAATGTTTGCAACATGCATGTCTATTATGTGATAAGATTATAAATGAGAATTAATTTAAAAAATGTAAGCTATAAAATACATTTTATAATTAACAAAGTGTGGAAAATAAACAGATTAAACTAATTCAATTGATATAAAATTTAAAAGGGAAAATTGTGATCATCACACAATATCCGAATAAATTAGAATAACTTATAAATAATTCTACTCTAAGTTTATACAATGTTTAAGTAAATATATCAATATTATTTCTTAGAATTTATCATCCGAATTAGAATTCGATAGAATAACATAGTCAATTAATGAATTTGATGAGGATAACAAATAGACAATTTTAATCTTAAATCCTATAATAATAAGGGAAAAACTAATTATTATAAAATCTGCTCATTATCTAATATTTTATGATCAAATTTGGTATTGATAAATTATTGATTCTTAATAGGGATTTTAACTAAGAAGAGAGTATAATATAGAAATTATACAATGTTAGAGCCATTTTTAAGTTGATTGTCAAAGGAACTGTTGAAGAGCAAATAGTCTTTCTTCAACATTTGTAAAGCAATAAAACAGGTAGAGAAGGTGTTCTAGAAAATTAAAATTTAATTAAGACAATACTTCAATATTAATAATAATGAATAAATATTATACTTAACTATCATTACTATCTAAATATTTTTAATATTTATTATTTTGTTTAATAAAATAGATTATTTCTCTATTGATATATGCATCTTAAAATTTAAGTATAGAATCAATTTATATTATTTTCACAACATTTCAATATATTAAATTATATCCAATATAAGATTAAATATTGTAATAAAATAGGAATCTAATAATAAAAAATAAGGAGAAATAATAAAATTATACTTAAATATAATTGAAATAAATAGAATAGAGTTCAATAGATTATATATTGATCATAAACCATTTATAATTATTGATTTGAAATCATTTCTTTTAGTTAATTCTAAAAATAAATAATGGTTGAATTTGTTTGATTTTCTTAATCACAATATTTGAAATCTATAATAATTTATTATAATATAGATAAAAATATAATGATGATGTCACCTTTAGGAATTGTTAATATATGTCTATTAATTGGCTTAAGTTTATCTCTAATAATAACAACACCATGTACATCAGTGGCTTTAACAGATTGTAATGCATCAGGATATTGCACACTAAGTGCTGATTCTTTAAGTTGCTAAAGTTTACCTTGCTATAAAATAAATGAAATAGGAGCATGTCGAGAATCACCAGCTGTAGCATATGATGCAGTATTGTGTTCTGGTTTGAGTTCATTGGATTTACGGTATGATAATGTTTGTGGTCCTGCAGGAATATTAGATTATGCTTATGTTAGATTACCACTTTAAAAGACTGGATCAGCAATATATTCAACAACAGGGATGACAGTATCATAAATATTGGCAGAGACAGTAGCTGCAACAAGAAATAATTTATTAACATAGTTATTCAGTCTAAATTTGTATGCAGCAAGTAATACACAATTGAATTCAATCTTATCTCTTTATATAGCATATAAAAATGATATGACAGGACTGACTGGATTTGCAATGTCTCATCCTTATTATTTGGAAAAAGCCATCTATGCTTCTCTCTAAAATTTTAGAGTATTATTTTATGTAATATAATAAAGGATGACACTGATGCAACAAAAGATCAAACAGCAACATTAACAAACATTTGGAGTTTGAGTGATACATTACTTTTAAGACTAAGAACTTTTCGTAAATTCTATTCAACTAGTTACTTTTTTGTGAACTTTGCTCATACTCAATTTAGCAGAACATATTTATCTATTAAGGCATAATATAGTGTATTTTCTTTGAAATGGACATAATATAGTAGTAATGGATATGTTTAATTAATAACATTTGCTCCACAATAATTCACAGGGTTTAGTGGTGCACTTAGTGATGCAATTATGTTCAATATTATTGATACTAGTGGAGTTGCTCACACTCTTGGATACACATTAACTTGGTTAATTACTGATAATACTAAGATTACTTGTACAGTAGAAACAGCATCATATTTACATATTATAAATAGAAATACTCTTGTTGAACAAACACCTACTGTGGATATCCATACTTATTGTAGTTTAAGTGGAACAACAAGAAGATGTGACATTCCAAGCACAGTTATTGATGCATTAACTCCTGCAGGAAAGGCATTTTATATTGCATGTTCATGATTTTACAATTTATTTAAAATTTAATTAAATATTTTTGTGAATCCTCATTAAATGGAAGAAGTTTAAACACGTCTCTAGAAGATTGGACTTGATGAAACAACAATCAAAAATACTCTTAAAGGAAAAAATGCATTGAAATCAATTCTTTAGACTCTTGATTTAGTTGGAGTTAAGGAATGTGATAAGAAAGTATTTATAATTCTTTCACATAGATTGGAAATTTATTATATGAGATGTCTTAAAATCTTACAGAAGCACTTGAAAATAGAAGAGCTCTACTAGCTTAATACATAGTAGAAGGAAAGATTTCCAATAAATTACAGTTGGAAGGTGGTCTTGAATATTTAAGAACTCACACTCATTTGGAATAAATACCATAATAAGATTTTGATAAGGCTGCTGGTGTAGGAATTGTAGTGACTCCAGAATAAATTAAAACTACTGTAACTGAATTTCTCAAAACTAAAGAAGACTTAAAAACTATTCGATATACTTATAATTTTTCTGAATATACAAAATAAGTAAGAACCCTATTACCATTTGCTGAAGGAAAGTTATTAACTTAAGAACTAAATTAATAAATTGAAGCTATACTTGGACCTAAGACTGAAGAAGATTTAAAGGCTGCCAAAATATAAACAAAAAAACCATAATAATAATAATAATAATAATAATAATAGGATGAAGAAGAAGATGATTGCAAATTTGATATCTCAAAATTAGTTGCTAGAGATCTTGCCACCACTGTTAATAGTGAATAATTACTTAATTGGAGAAAAAAGAATTTCCCTTATGAAGTATTAACACGTTTCCCACCAGAACCAAATGGTTATTTACATATTGGTCATGCCAAATCTATCAATTTCAATTTTAGATTGGCTTAACATTACAAAGGTGTTACATATCTAAGATTTGATGATACTAATCCAGAAAAGGAATGTTAAGAATTCATTGATAATATTAAAGAAAACTTAAGATTTCTTGGATACACTCCTTTTAAAACTACTCATGCATCAGACAACTTTGGCAAACTCTATGATTATGCTGTTTAATTGATCTAAAAAGGAAAAGCTTATTGTTGTTTCTTGAGCAAAGAAGAAGTATACTCTACATTCTAAACTTTAGTCTTCAAAATTAAGAAATGATCTCAAACCTTCACCATATAGAGACACTTAACCAGCTGAAAATATTGAAATCTTTAGAAAGATGAAAATGGGTTACTATAAAGAAAACGAGGTTTGTTTGAGAGCCAAGATTGATCCAACACATCCTAATCCAACACTCAGAGATCCAGCCATTTTTAGAATTAGATTCACTCCTCATCCTCATTAAGGAGATAAATGGTGTATCTATCCTCTCTATGATTTCACTCATTGCATCTGTGATTCTATTGAAGGTATCACCCATTCATGTTGTACACTTGAATTTGAAGTCAGAAGAGACCTCTATTATTGGTTCTTAAAAGAATTAGATCTTTACAGACCTTTCGTCTGGGAATTCTCCAGATTGAATGTCTCTAATACAGTATTAAGTAAGAGAAAACTTCATCATTTGGTCTTTAACAATATTGTTGATGGTTGGGATGATCCTAGAATCTTGACTCTAAATGGTCTCAGAAGAAGAGGATACACAGCAGATTCCATTAATAAATTCTGTGATCTCATTAGTGTTACCAGAAAAGGAAATGAAAACTTTATAGGCATGCATGTTCTTGAAAGTTGCATCAGAAAAGACTTAGATGTTAAGGCTCCTAGAACTATGGCTATCTTAGAACCTATAGTAGCCATTATTGACAATGTTGCTGATGACTTCTCTGAAGAATTAGAAGTTCCTATCATACCAAGAAATCCATAAAAGGGTAATAGAAAGATCCTTTTGACTAAATCAATATATTTAGATAAAAATGATGTCAGGTATATATATTTAAAAATAACAATTTTAAAGAACTGAAGATCATGTTGATTTTTGGGGTGTTGCTCCTGGTAAAATTATTGGACTCAAATAATGTGGACCTTTCAAAGTTATCAGTGTTACTGCCAATGAAGTCCATCTAGAACGATTAGGAAAAGATGTTAAACCTAAAGGATTTTTACATTGGTTATCTGTTAAAGAAGCCACTCCTTGTGTTGTCAGATTATATGATTATTTGTTTGAAGCCTATGATCCCAATGAACTTGATGATTACATCAAGGGAATTAATCCAAACTCCAAGATTGTTTGTGCTAACGCCTTAATGCACAAGTATTATTCCATAATATTTTTTAGAGATCTATTGAATTCTAAACCAGAAGACAAACTCTAATTTGAGAGATTGGGTTATTTCAACTTAGATTTCGATTCCAAGGACGGAAAATTCATTTGGAATAGAACTGTTACACTTTAAGAGAAGGATAAGATTAAGGCTATTGCTTAAGTTGATGGAAAATAAGTATAGAAAAAGGATGTACCTTAATAGAAAAAAGATAATTTGAAAAAGGAAGCAAAAAAGGAATGATATATTATTAAACATACAAATAACATTTTTTTTAATTAATTTAAATCAAGCTAAAAAAAGGATTATTTATATTTACAAATAATGATGAATGAATCCTTCTATAGAATTTGTTTTTAGACCTTAATAACTCTATGTGAATTAAAGCTAATAACAAATTAAGAAAAACTTTATCTCAAAAAGATAGTAGTTCATCAATAATTTTAAATTCCAGAAAATTTAGATATTAACTAACTTTCTTTGTTTTTTATATATTACATAAAAAAATAAAGGAGATAGCTAGAAATAAAAAATAGTGAACTTTTGATTATAGATGAAGAGACTGATGAAGAATAGGCATGATCCTAATTGTTACTAAAATTTAGTGAATTTTGTTTATGTATTTTTCTTACATTATAAAACAATCTATTCAATTCGGAAGTGTATTCACTAATCCGTTTTAATTTAAAATTTTTTTATAAACAATTCCATATTGCGTATTTTAGATTAAATAATGCAATATTAATACGCATTTACTTGATCATATGTATTATTGTTATTTTGATAATATTTATTATGTATAAACATAATTCTAGAAAATGGCACTTTTGTAATAACTAAAAATAATTAATAATAAATAATATTAATTAAATATAAATGAATATGTCACATTATTTAAAGAAATAAATAATTATTTTATTTTTATACTACTTTTAGAACTCTCTATAATGTTTAGAATCCAACTTCAATTATATATATTTATAGTTTTTTCATAATCAGCATTCAGTTTAATAAAGTATTATCAGAAGTTGAGTTTACTTCTATGTAACAATTGTATATTAAATTAATAAAAAACCCAATTGAGAAGTGATAATATAAATACATAAATGAATAAGAAAATGATTTATACTTGATCTACACTTTATAAATCCTTATTAAAAATAAATAATTAATTGATATATGCAAAAGGAATGTGAGGAAAGATTTGAAATTAATTTATATTTTACATATATTTTTATGATAATACATTTCACAACCTTATTGTTTATGTTGAAAATAAATTTGAATAAATGAATATTGAATGTACTCTCTATTAAATACAAAAGTTTTCTGAAAAAATGAAACAATTATGAAAGTAAATTGAATGTGTAAAATTGTTTTGGATATAGCATCACGAAAAAACTAGATTTTGCTAAGTAAATTAAACAATATTAATAATAACATATGAGCAAAGCTAACAAATTTATTGCAACTTTATATTAGGTTCTTGAAGTAATTAATACCATAAATTTAGAGCAATGAATATTTTAATTATGTTTCTTGGACAAATAATGGAACATCTTTCACAATTCATAAGTTAGATGAATTTTAAAAAATTGTTATAAAGGATTGCTTTAATTCAATAAGCATTTAATCATTTTATAGACAAATGTGTCTATATGGGTTTAGATTGAGGAAGAAAAAAGGTTTAAAGGAATACTCTCATCCAAATTTTATATAAGGAAGATTGTACTTAAAATAGTTTAAGCAGTTAGCAAAGAGTTAGGTCTAGTTTAAAGAAAAAGAAAGAATTAAGCCATAAGTGATGAATTAATTAAAGTGAGTAATAGTTTAAAGGATTAACTTCAAAAATTAAAAGAATAATAATATTCTTTCTTATATCAATTGAAAGCACAATATGAAATCCATAAAATCCTATCCAATAAAATAAAATCACTTCTTTCAGTAAAAATGTTATAAAAACATAGTAGTAATTTGAAAATTAATATCCAGAATTTTGGAAACAATAAATGAGAATAATATTAAAGTTAATAGTTGGATGCAAACCATTTTATGGAGTTCAAACTTCAGCACCATTATATGAAATATTGAAGGATGATTTATTGTAACAAAATGATTTTTATTCTCCAAAATAATTGCCATTTTAATGAATTTTCAACTCTTTTAAATTTAAAATATATAAATTTTGTAAATAAAATAATAAATAAACCTGTAAATTTTAGTAGTAACTTTTATGAGAGATACTAGAAGTGTATTCATAATGAAATAATGACATATTAATATTAAAAATGTTGTAACAATTCAAAATGATTTTAAGATTCCAAAAAAAAAAAATATTGAGAATTTTCTTAAAAAAAAGTAGAGATAGTTATTACAAACGTTTTTGATATTTATTTTTATATAGTAGAAGATGAATGGATTAAGAAGGAAGAAAATTATAATAAAATAAAATAAGAATTCATTTAAATTGTGAGGAATAAGTTGTATGTTCATAAAAAACAATTTTTAGGATTTTGTTATGTATAGTAAGTAAATTAAAAAGGATAATCAATATTAATTTAAATTAAATAATTGAAATATAAAAATGGATAGATTGAATAAACAATAATCATTTTTGTTAAAGAAATAAATCTAAAATAAATTGAGTTAATTTTATATTAAATTAGATAAAGGTTACAAAGGTTAATAATATTTGAAATGCCAAAAATAAATGTATTATGATTTAGTATTCATAATAAAGATAGGATTTAGTTAATAATTTTGAGAGTATATTTTTTATGAATCTATTAATATAAGTTTTTGTTTAAGATTTGATAATTAATGAATTAGTTCTCAAATATTTATATATTTTGATAATTAATAAATATATCTCAAATATTTAGAATCATAGAATTTAGTTTCCCTTTAATTGGCTATATAATTCAAAAATATATATATATAAATGTAAATAAGTCCGTTAAACAAAAAGATAAACATATCGCTAAATACATCAAGAGATGCTAGAACTTCATTATAAGAAGTCATAAGTAGTCAGACTGAACAAATAATTAAGAGTAATCAATTAGAATAAGAATTACATCGAGTTAATTAATAAAGAAAATTACTATCCATGGAATTGGATGATTGGAGTTATTAATATGTATAAAAGTCACAGGCACTTTAAGAATGTGAATTAGAAAATGCTCTTTTAAGGAGATAAGTTCAAGCTCATAGACAATAAGAAGACATTTCAAAATTGCATCTATTATTATAGTAAATATTTATTAAAAGCAGATAGAAAAACCAAATCATTTTAGAATGGACAAAGAAATTTGAAAATATAGAGAAGAGATTAGAAAATGAGAACAAATTATAATAACAAATAAAACATTAACAATGTGTAAATGATATTATAAAATAATAATTAACTGAATTAAAGTAGTAGTAAATGACTTTATAGAAGAATTATTTGGAACTAAAAGAAGAAAGAAATTAATATTATAGAAAATTTATAGAGTCATCTTCATTAATTTAAAAATTAGAAATAAATAATAAGTAAATTGAAATTGAGAGGAATCAACTCTAATCTGAACTCAAATAATTCAAATAAGATTATTAACAATTAAAAGAGTAATAATATTAAGTTCAGACTTTTGAAGAGAAAAAAAATAAATGGAAAACTAGATATCATAATTTACTTAAGGAATTTAAAAACAATCATATTGAATAAAATAGTCAAAATTTGATTGAATAACATAATAATGAAGTTTAGAATTACTAAAATTAAAAAGAATTTAATATACCTGAAAATAATGATATGGAAGAATTAAATGATATCAAAGATAAATTATAATAATTAGAATAAGAGAATCAGTATTTAAGAGAATAGAATATTGAATTACAAAATCAATTCTAAAGTGCTACTGATAAACTCTTAAAATAACAATTATAAAATTCAATGACTAAAGAATAGAGCTAAACTTTTTCATTTGTACAATATCATCATGAATATTGTGATTCTTTAGAAGAATAACAAATCTAAGATTGATATTATAAAATTATGTCATTGACTAAAAGTAGCATATCCATCTTATGTTTACTTAAATCCACTTGTTTTTTAGAATTATATTCTTTATATTAGATATTGTCTATATCCTTCCACATCAATTATCGAAGTCTATCCTTAGAAAATCTTTAAATTAGCCCCTTTTATTAGTAAAGCCTTCAATATGTCATTTTTCTTATTAAACATATCTTCTTCCTTTTTAACTCCTAATGTCTTTAATGCTATATAGAGTGGACATCTGTGTTCATAGTTCTTTGAACAATGACATCTAATGTCACATTCTTCTGCATATTACAGAAAATTATCAAGTAATTAATACATCCTTTTGTAGTGATGATTATTCAATCCCTTTGAACGAGCCTAACAAACTCTAAGAGTTAACAACTATTAAATTTATGATTGAGTATTTTTACACTTGCAGTAGATAAGTATCGTTTAGGTTCAAATTCATATGTTTATCTGATATCAGTCTTTTAATTGATAAGAAATTCAACCAAATCATAATCTTCAACTTTAAGGGCATACCAAAGAGCTCTCCCTTGATTTAACATTTGATATGTAAAAAATAAATAAAATTTTATTGCATTATTCTAATGAATTAATTATAAAACAGAAAAATGTTTAATATATTCCTACATATATATTTAAGATAAAGGAGAATAAAATTATAAAATAGGTATTTTTTAATATAATAATACTATTTCATTAGGAAGCATTCATAATATCAATATATTTTAATTATTTATTATGTTCTTTATCGATTCAAAGGATTACTCTTATTAATATATACATTAAATTAATAAGATAATATAATATGTCTATAAATAATTGATTATTAGTTTTTTGTATTCTAACATATATTAATTATAATTTGAAGTATCCATGAATTTTAATTATAATAAATATATGTTAGAATACATTTTTGTACTATTTCATAGTATAGTACTTTGAGAGTCCACATATAGAGTTGTTATTATGTTATAATATTTTGAAAATTTGTAAAAACAAACTCTTTTCTTTTTTCATTAATATAGTGATATAATTAATTAATGATAACATTATTCTGATATTAATTCTTACAAATAATTATTGATTAATCTATTTTATAATCTATAATAACCCTTTCTTAGTTTTGATTTTGTCTATAATATTGATGTTAAAATTTTATATTGAATTTATATTATTATAAATATTAATTAGTATTCATAATAACATAAAGACTTTTTAGTTTAGAAAATTTTATTTAGATATGATATTTGGAAAGTAGAATAATTAATTTATTGTAATAATCATGATAATATTTGGATTTTGGAATATTGAATAATGGTCAGAAAATGAATAGAATATAAAGTTAAACAGTTGTATTTAGAATTTGTGATGGAGATTGATTAAGTAAAAAGAATATATAAAAATTGATATTTATGAAAATCATTAATGCATTGAATGAATTGAATATAATGTTCATATTAAAAAATAATAATTCCAAAAATGAACTAATAGCGCGCAAAAAGAAATGCTACAAAAATAACATATAGTGTGGAGGAAGAGAATGAATCAGATTCCTCGTCTAAGTAGATGAAGAAGAAATAGAAGAAAAATAACAAGGTGACAATCATCGAATGTAAGAAGAAAGTGAAAGCTTAACCATTACTTCGTTTTAGTCCAATTGCATGGTCTAGATTAATGAATGTTGGGAAATTACTAGGATAAGTAGATACTTTAGGTATTTTGAATAACGATGAGATTGATATGACTATGTAATAGAATGATGTTGGATAATTGAATGTTTATAAGGAATGGTTTGATGGAGATTATAAATATGAATTAGATGAGAAATCTAATTTAATAAAGGTATAAACTTTTATTAAGATGATAGCCATTGGAGTTTAAGAGTAATTTGCATTATTTACATTAATTTGAGAAGCGTATTTAAAATAGATATTATTGGGATAATGAATCAGTATGGAGAGATTTACGTAAGTTATTTGGAAATACTTATATGAGATGTAGAAATGTGTAGGATTACAATTATTTGAGTAAAGTATGGTTAGATGGTAAAGTGAAGATCAAGCCAAATATGGATGTATTTAATAGTTAAATAGAAATTGATGTAAAGAATCTGATGGAGATTGATAAAGAATTTAAGGTGTAAACAACTAAATGGCCAGTAATTCCAGATAAGAAGGATATTCGATCATATTAGGAAATATACAATTATGAACCTAATCCAAATCAAGAACCTTATATAGAATAGATAAAAGAGAAATTATCAACTTCTAAGAGACCTGTAAAATGTGATAAAGATTGTATTTGTTTTGATTTGAGTAAAATGGGATCATTTTCATATGTTAATATTACTTGGGATTCTGAATGTCCAAATAGAAAAAATAGAGTAGAGTGTTTGGAACATGAAGGAACAGATTAACCATGTATGAATATGTCAATATAATTGAAATAACATTAAGTGAATAAATTAAAATAAGAAGAGAATGCTGATGTAGAAGTAATAATGTATAATTAAAATAGGAAACACCTTGTTGGGGTATTGATGCTTATACTAGAAAAGTAATTATGAATATACTACCTTTAAATTATGATGAGACATAAAAGAATAAATTTATGGAGAAATTATTATTGGCTATTAATAGACCATCTGATAAAGAAAATGCATATGATATGAGATTAGCATGTGATTATATTATAAAAGAATCTAAATTGATGTCTAGTCATTACAATAAAGATGATAGAAAAATGGCTAAATAGATTTAAAAAGTTATTAAATATGATCCAGAAGGATTTAGAATACATACTAAAGGATTTGGATTAGTTTGTGTTAATAAATAAGGAATCAAGAATAATTCATTAATTATTCCTTATTTAGGTGAAATATATCAACCTTGGAGATGGTATGAAAAATAGGATTTTATTAAAAAATAAATGAAAGAACATAATTAAAAAGATATATTACCAGATTTTTATAATATAATGTTAGACATTCATAGAGATGATATTAAAGGAATTGATTTCTTATTTGTAGATCCAATAAATAAAGGCAATTATTCATCTAGATTGAGTCACTCTTGTAATCCAAATTGTGGAACAGTTACTACTGTTAGTAATGGTACATATGTAATTGGAATGTATGCAATGAGAGAAATTCAATATGGAGAGGAACTTACTTTTGATTATTGCTCATTCACTGAAAGTAAATAAGAATAATTATAAGCATTATGTTTATGTGGTAGTGAGAAATGCAAAATGTAAATTTAATATTATAATATTAGTTATTACTTATAACTATCTAATTGTAAGGAGTATAATGGAATATTAGATAAAGAGCATTGTTTTCTAACAAGGAATGCTATTTTGTTAAAATCATGTAGTGATAATGTAGATAAATCGAATGAAGATTCAGAATTATATAGTAAATACAGAATTGGATCAAGTGTATTAAATGATTGTCCATTGTGGTTAAAGAATTGGGTTGGTTATATTTTGAAATTCATAGATTAAGAGTATTATTCATATTTAATATAATTAGACGTCAAACATATAAAAGTGAATTAAATTTAAAATATGAATAAACAGCAGAAGTTGAATAATGGAATCATTTTACTGCTACATAACATTCAGAGGATAGAATTTAGAATCTTATATTCACTTTAGATAAAATTAAATTCTTTTTAAATAATAGTGATAGTAGTGAACCACCAATCTCTATTATTGGAGATAGTGATTTATTAGAAAGTTTTTGGAAAGATTATTCTTCAGGAACATCAAATGAATCTTCATTTTTTAATGAATTATATCAATTATTTCAAAAACACAATCAAAAAAAAATGATTGAACTTATTCATATCATTTACAAAAAAAAATAATAATTGCATGATTATAAAGAAAACATTCATAATATTCATAGATAAGAACTCTTAATAACAAGAATGCTATTTTTAACATTATCACATATGCTTATGTAACAATAATACACTTTCCATCATGAAGCATTGTCTCTAATTCTTTATATGATGGCATTTACATATACATATTTTAAACCATATGAGTATACTGGATTCTCATCTCCTCCAATTGAGGATTTAGAATGGAGGAAAGTTGGTGCTTTTAAAAAGAAATGTAAAAGTGAAGGAAGAGCTTATTCTTCTTAATTTGTTTGGGGACAATTAATAGGATGGTTCAAATAGACTGTGGCAGCACCTTAAGCATCACTTTCTTAAGACAGAAGAGGTACTCTATCTTATCCAGCCATTTCATCTTTTGATAAAGCTGGAGATAAGGCTTATCCATTTTAATAATCTAAGGCATAAAGTAGTCGTTCTTATTTCATTCAACATTTATTGGATAAACCAAGTTATATGTGGCCACCTGAAACTGCCAGTTGGAGTTATAAAAATACATACAAAATTTATGGAACAATTTTATTTGAATAATTTTATTCAACTGAATTAGAAGAGGATTTCTTGGATGAAGTTCTTGCTAGCCATACACGAGAATATGATTCAAAGTTTTAACTCTTTGTCAAATATGAATCCAAAAAATTTAAACATTCTCTTGATCTTTTTGATAAATTCAAAGAAATCTTCAAACCATACATTGGAGACAATTAGTTAAATTATAAAGATGTCATTGTAGCTCCATTAAGATATCGAAGGTGTAAATTCGAAAATAATTCTAAAAGAGAAGCATATATAGAGAGTTTAAGAGCAGAAGGCAAATCAGAAGAAGCTGATCTTATCTAGAAATTCCCATTCATAAGTTATGCAATATGATATAGGTATATTATTTTAGTTAATTCTATTATTAAATTATTAATATATATCCAAAATAATTTCAATGTTATTTCAATTTATTTTTTTTATTTCAGTATGATAAATTCATGAATCTTAAGCAAATATTCATATATATATATAAATATTGCTATTTTTAGAAAAATTGTTATTTATTAAGTTTCTTAAATTTTAGTTTTCAATATGAAATTAAAAAAAGTTTAAATTTAAAAATTAGATTTATAAGTTTATATATTAATTATTTATATTCTAAGCACTAATTTGAAAATTGTTAATTAATTATTTTTTATCAAAATAATTAATATATTTTTGGATTATCATATTGTTGTAAATTAATTCTATTATTTGCATTCCTATCTTAATTTTAGATATTCAAATCCAATAAATAGTCTCTAATTTATTAATATATAAAATTTTTATATGTAGATTGACTTGATCTGATTCTTATACTGATTATGTTTTAATTGATACTTATTTGAATTATGTTAATTCTTATGAAATGCTCAAGATTATTAATAAATTACTAATCTAAGCAACATAAAAAAACAATTTGTATTTTTTTGATGAATTTCAAGAACTAATCAATTTATTGATCAAAATAGGACAAAAATCATCTTATAAGAATATTAATATTTTTATTATAAGAATTAATTATTTTTAATTTGTATATTAGAATTTCGAAAATACTTAACCTAATAGATAATGTTAATATTTTTAATATGAATGTGATTAATCATTTTTTATAATTATTTTTAATCTAAAATATTCTTTTGATATGTATTTGATATTTTTTTATTATTTTCAAAAATAAATTATAGAAAGTAAGAATATTTGATATAGAATTTGGATTAATTTAGGTTTTTGTTGATTTCAAGCACAAATGAGTTATAATTAAGTTTAGAATTTGACTAGATGAAAAATAAGTAAAAGAAGTTATGAATAATTGAAATTTATGAATAATTGATAATTTCAAGAAACCACATAGTTAATAAAATTTGATATACCAACAATTTTAACTGTTGTTAATTATTTATTCTTTTTTATATACGTGGATAACTATAAAAATATTCTCTAATTTTTGAATTTATAAAAACCTGTTAAATTTATTATCTGTAAATGTGATATTCGGAAAATCTTATTTTAAATGTTTCTGTCTTGATATTTATTTTTTTGATAATGACAACAGAATATAGTTTTGATATCAACATATCTATAAACTCAGATGAGGAAATGAGGCAGATAAAAATATATCCCTTTTAAACTAACTTCTAACATTACAATAAGGGTATTACTTAAATAGATGCATAAGATGAAAGAGTTAATTAGCCAGCACCATCTCCAGAATATAAATTCATGGGAGTTGGGTATAGTAATGATGAAACATCTAAATCTCAATCAGTATAACCAAATTTGGATAAATGCAGATTACAAACTATTTCTTAATGTACAATTAATGTTAGCAAAAGTGTTGACATATATTTAGATAATAAAAGAAACAAAGATAACAATAATGATGAAATTTTTAGTATGAAATTAATTAAAATGAACATGCTTAAAAACAAAAATGCTGTTTAAAATAATAAAAGACATTAGACAAAATTTAGAAATTATAAAAATGCAAAAGCGAGTATAAGTATAAGAAATCTATCTCCTTAAGGTATACTAAAGATAAGTTCTTATGAATGGCCCTTAAATAAAAATACATATAACTTATAGTATCATCCAATATCGAATAAGAAAGTATCATTTGAATTTACTTAAGAATAAATAAAAAATATGAAAAGAATTAATATAACTAATGTTCTTATTAAATAAAAAACTAGATATGTTTTGAATTGAATATTATCATCTATAAGTTATATATACTCCAACAATCATAGAAATTAAAATTGATATTAAAAATTACTTAATCCCAACAGTTATCTTGCCATCATTTTATTTTTCTTTAATAACTTTAAGATCCTCACTCTAAAATAATAGATTAATATATTTTACAATTTTTTTAATCTATTCTTCCAAGTTCAAAATATCTTTTGATTGTTGTTATTTCTTTTGAGGTTTTACATATTCTTTTTTTATTGTAGTTACTTTAAAATCATTAATTTCTTATGGAAAAATAGTAGATTTATTGACAGTAGATTATAAGGATGAAAATTCATCAGTGCAACATTTTATAATTCTTTGATTCAATCTCTACTGTTTTTTGAAATATTCAATGACATCCTGCTTATTTATTAAGTTATACTTCATTGTTAGATATGGGTCCTGCTAATATTTAAATACGATCTTTATTTATACTAATGGTATTTCCAGTTGTTAATAACAATGTTACATTATTACCAGCTCTCAAGACTCCTATATTTGGTTTAACACTATAATCATTTTGATTGCTTAATCTAACTTTAAAAGCAACAAAGATTGTTGAAACATTCTGCAAAACTATTCTAGCAACATATTAGTTATTTTCTAATTCAAATTTTAGATTTTCTTCTGGTTATATTAACAGTAATTACTCCATATTGTTATTAATATTATTATTTACATATTAATTAAATTCTTCCTTTAAGTTGATTTCACCGTTTTGGATGGGATCTTTTTAGTAAATTCATAAAAAGATAATTAGATTTTTTATGTTATTTTTTTATAAGATTATAGATGTATTTATAGTTTAAGAAATTATAGTATTCTAAAAAGTTTAGATTAATAGAAATTAAAATTTTGTAATACAATTGAAATATTCATGAAAAAATACATAACTTATTTACAAAGATCTCTAAATTATTATATATTATATGATTGATTCTTATATAAACATATTTAATTTCTATGTTGAATCTTTCAAGAAAAAAACTTCAATAAAAATATATAAAAAAATAGATTTTTATCTTTTAGAATGGAACTTGCTGATATATTTAAAAAATAAGTTGATTTACCGATTAGTGAATATAAAATTTTATTTGCTTAGATAATTTAATTAAGTATTGGATTATTGTAAAAATAAATTTCAAATGATCGATAGAAGTTATTAACTTAACTCTTCATCCTATGATTCTTAAGTAACATTGCCTCCAAAGAATAAATAATTCTCTCCTGTTATCACATAACTAATGAGGAAGGATAGAGAGATTGAATTAATGCGAGATGAATTATCATAATAGAATTATTTGATTGATGAATTATCTCAATAAATTCATTTCTTAGAACAATAGCTTAGAGACAATGAAGGATTTAAAGAAAAGTATTAATCATTAACTGATGATTAAAATTAACAATAAAAAGATGTTCAAAAATTAAAAGTATCTGTTCAGACTACTACAGCCAAAGAAATTCTTAATTAATTTTTAGAATAAGAGAAATAAGGAAATGATAATGTTCAATTTAAATATATTGAAACTGCTTCATATTTTAAATAAGAATTATAAGAGTCTATTAACAGAGAATTAGAATATAAAGAAATGTTGGATATCTTTATTAAATAGTGTACTCAAATGAATGAATAGATTGTATCTAAGAATTAATAGATATTGTAATTGACTTTAGAAAAATAGGAAGAAATAATCTCTTAATTAATCAAAAAAGAAGATGAATTATTATTTTATAAAGAAAAAAGTAGAGTTTTCTATGAATTATTATAATGTAATATGGATATCACAAAATTATATTAAAAGTAACATTAAGGATTGAGATAGGCTTTAAAAGGATGTTGGACAATTAATATAGATCAATCTTAATAAATTGAATAGGTAATTAAATTATTGGATAATGCAAATTAATAAGGAAATTCCCTTTCATTTAAACCAATATTAGAACAAATTAAATAATAATCATTTCAAAACTATTCTAATAAAATGATATCTTAATTAGAGTTATTTATCAATAAGGTTTGTTAGGTGGAAGGGAAGACTACATTTGATAAAGTTTAAAAGATTATTATTTAATTAGATTAGTATCAATAAATATGTTAAAATGTTTAAGAAGAAAAATAAGAAATTATTGAAGAACTTTAATTTTATAAAAATAAATTAATAGAACAAGATGAAACTATTAAAGAATTTGAAAAATTATTAACTGAGATGGAAGAGAATTTTCATTAATAATTAAAAACACAAACTTTATAATTAAATGAAATTAATTAAAAGAATGAATTAATTTCTCATTATTAATTAATCTTAGATGATTATAAGTCATAAATGTCTACAAAATTAGATTAAAAAATATTAAATGAATAAGTAGATGAAAATCTAAAGGAATAATAATTGGAAGAAATACTAAAAATAATTACAATGATTCTCTAGGGTTATAATACAATGACAAATGATTATCATCTCAATATTGATATAAATGGAATTAATGTTAATAAGTATATAATATTAATATGTAGAAAAGTACAAATTGATATTAATCCAGTTATCCACAATTATATAAATAAAATATAATAACAAGTTAATAGTTAATTCATGATCACAGGCAAAAATTATTATGAATTAACCAATCATATGGTGAATTGTTTATAATTAATGAGGTAACAACTACCTCAACATCAATTAAAAGTAAATGATTTTACTAATTAATTTTAAGAACTTTATGAATAATACAAGTATTGAATATATAGAAAAATTTAATCAAATTAGTTATTGCTATTTCGTAAAACAAGAAAAACTTACTAGTACTGAGAAGGATCTTTATAGAAAATATTACACTTATATTCCTAGATTATTGGGAGAATTAATAGAAAATTAAACATAAACTTTTATTAAACTACTAAGAGAAAAAGTTTATAATAGTATAATGTGTGATCCTATTGTTTCGAATAAACCATTTTAATGATGAATTATTTATATATATTAATATAATTACATAATAATTATATATCAATATTAATTTGATGTAAAGAAAATAGTAATATGAAAAGGATTTCGATTCCTATAAACATAATATAAAACTATCTGAAGAATAAATGCTTAAGTCTGTTGAAGCAGCAGCAAAGCATAAAGAACTTTGTCTTAATAATTCAACTACTTTTGAATTATTTGCTACATGTAAAACACAATTCTAATTATTTAAGGTATGGAAAAATATGAAGGCAAAGTAGACAATATAGCAAATTTCTTATCAATACGTTTACTCTTTATTGAAAGACAAGCTTTATAATGTTACAAATCATAATCAGATGAAAGAGAATATGAGTAATGTCATTAAAAAGTTGAATAAGACCTACATAATTGTTACAATGAATACTATTAAGGATTACTTAATCTCTGATTTAGTGTATTTTATGTCTAAAGTACCATTAAATTTAAAATTCTTAAAATCTTTATTATAAGCAAATCCTTTTACATTGTTTATTATATTATAATATTAATAATCATTCATAGACTATTGCAGTAATAATTGATTTGCCTATAATTATTTGAGATATCATAATTAAATCTATTCACTCTTGAATAAATATTTATAAGCATTATTTTTTATGTAGTGTATATAAATTAATTAAATAATATTAAATCAGATTTTCCTTAATTTTATATACTTTTAGTTTAATTCATATTTTATTTTTAGAATTTCATCTGAACCTACTTTTATTAATTATTTATTAAGAATCTAATTTTAATATGAAAAATACTGTAAATTGACATTTATTTTAAATTGCTTTACCTTTAAAATTATAATAATCTTTATAGATTTTATTATTAATAATCAATAATAGTTTTATTTATGTAGAAATATTATATACTTAAATGTTAATGAAAATATGTTTTAATATTCTTTTTATTAATAGGAATATATTTTATATTAAAACATTATTAGATTCAGAATTAAGAACTTTTTTATTAATAATTTATAAAAGACTTAAAAAATATTAGACTCAAAAAAATTGTCCAGATATTTGAATTAAAGCTTAATAATTTAATCATTACAATTTTAATATTATTTAAATAGTTAACTTTTAAGTAATATCAAGATTAAATAGCATTAATTTGAAAAGTGTCTTCTTAATTTGTTTACAAGAATTTTAAAATCATTATCAATTCTTTTATTTTCTATATATCTGTATTATCACTTCTATTCTAATAAGATTAAGAAGATGATTAATTCTATTATATTAATTCAACACACAAATATTAGTTAACATTTGAATAGAAATTTGATTTCTAGATATAACAAGGGGAACAATGAATTTAGTTTTCATTTTATCTTTAAGTTGATCTTATTGGTTATAGTTATGAATAATTAAGAATGTTGTTATTTGGCCTAAGAAATTAACCAGGGTTGGAATAAATGTTATGATGCCATTAATTTAATGATTAATGATTAATACTTAATAAAGAAGAAAATTTCTTAAGGGTCATTTGGTGTGGTGTATGTAGGATAAGATGTTTAAACTAATTAGTATGTGGCAATAAAGATTGAAAAGAATGATTCTGGTTCAAGTTTAGAGAAAGAAGTAACTAATAAATAACATCAATAGGCAAAAATTCTATAACATTTGAATGGGACTCTCAGTATACCTCGATTATATTATTTTGGAGAACACAAGAAATAAATGCTAATGGTAATAAGTTTCTTGGGAAAAGATCTCACTTATTATATAAGACAATATAAAAAGTTTTCCCTAAAATGTGTCCTATTAATAGCTGAATAGATGCTAAGTATACTGGAGAATATACATCTAAAGTAAAATTTGATAATAATTACAGATCTGTATTGCATCGAGATATAAAACCAGAGAATATACTAACAGGAAGAGATAATGATTCGAATATATACTTAGTGGATTTTGGTATAAGCAAATTCTATAGGGATAAGAAAGGAAGACATATGTATATAAATTTTTGAGTATTCAAAAGCAATTTTTGTGAAAATAAACCATTTCTAGGAACATCTCGATACGCTAGTTTGGGTGCTCATAAAGGATAAGAACTAAGTAGAAGAGATGATTTAGAATCTTTGGGTTATGTTTTGATTTATCTATTAAAAGGTTAAGTATTGTATTTTGATTTAGGAAGCCTACCTTGGCAAGTTTTAAAATTATAAGATGCATAAAAAATTAAGGCTGTAGGTGACATGAAAAATACAATAAGTCTTCATGAATTGTGTAGTGGTTTACCTAATGAATTTGAGAGAATGATTGATTATGCAAGAAAATTAGACTTTAAAGCAACTCCAGATTATAAATTCTTAAAATAGATGTTTTAGCATTTAGCTCATTAATAAAATATTTAAGATTAATTAAGATATGATTGGGATTATACTCCATCATCACTTCAAGTTCCAAGTTCAGAAATTGCAGTTTTGAAACGATCAAGAAGAACTACAGATTAGGAGTAATAAGATTTATAATAAAATCGTAAAAAATAAGCATCATCAAGTACTTTAAATGGTTTAGATGGATTATCTGGACATAGTTTTTTAAAGACTCCTGAATAATAATGTCGAAAAATCTCATTAACACCTGCCAAATAAAAAAGCAACTCTAGTTTTAATGATTCTTTTAGTAGTTGTAATTAAAGTGGAAATTAAAGTGTTATTGGTATGCCTAGTCATTAAAATAATTTATCATAACTTTCTTTTTTTGAAGATCATAATCTTTTATCTTTAGCTTTAGAAAGTATGAGTAAAGTTACAAAAGAATAATTAAATTAAGAAGAACATGAAGAAAATAATGGAGAATTAAGTCCTTCACCTTTAGAAGTTAAATATTTAAAACTAAAAAAATAATCAATTCATGTGTAATTATAATTTTTATAATTTTAGTCATTTTAAAAGAACACTATTATAAATAGAATCAATGAATATTCTTCCTCCTTAGTCTTCATTTAATTAATGTTAGTGAATTCAACTTTATTATTTTAACTACAAACATAATAATTATAATATTTGAATGTTAAATATTATTATAAATATAAATTCATTTATAATTTTATATAAAATTTAATATTTTTAGATTAGATACTAAATTAATTAAGATATCAATTTCATAATAAAATACTTTAAATAAATAATAGATAATAAATTATATCTATGAATATATTATTATATAAGAATACTAAATATAATTAAAATTATCTCTTAATTAATTATGATAAATTAAGTTTTATTCTTTTAATAAGTATAAAAATATGAATATTTATACTCAAATAACTCTTATAATAATAATTTTGATCCTATAATAGAGTTGATCTATTTTATAGTATCAAAATGAACTCATTTTATGTTATAATATTCAACAGTACTATTTTTTAATCTAATTCTATAAGAATCTACATCATCTTAACTTATATTAATGTTATATTTGATAAAATTCAATCCAAAATCTATCTACTTATAAACACTTTAAATTGACTTTTAAAGTATTCCCCTAGTGACAAATCACATTATTGAATATTATAAATGAAATCCAAAAATCTTTATATAATTATAATAATTTTAGGAATTAGGCCTTTTAGACAATTGTTTTCAAATGATGCATATTTATTTAGCATCATCTTTGTATTAAATTACTCAATTTAAAAGAAATGATTATGATATATATTACGTATTAATCAATTAGCACATATAAAACAAATTTCATTATAACGAGAACACTCTTTTCATAATTACAAAGTCCCTTTGACTCATGGCTGCTTGAAATGCATGGATAATTTTGAAAGGAGCAATGAAAATACAAATTATTAGTTCTCCAAAGTATAGAGGTATGCTAAAAAGTAAGTTAACAATCAAAATTATGAAAATGCTATCAATTTTTGTTTCTATTTCTTGTATAAGCTTTTCAGTTTTATTAAGAGCTAGTGCAAATGCCACTAGAGGTGAGAGAGATAGGAAAAGAATCAATTAGAGTGTATTTACTATAAAGCATAGGATAGTATTTTTCAATTCCTTTAATTCTTCACAATGTGGACATTAAAAAGTCTAAGTTCTTTTTTAGGAGAAGAGTTCTAATTATTTAAAGCATTTAGAGCAAAGTTATTTATAACAAATGGTACAATTTTCTTGATGAGGACCTACTTTGTCTATTAAGATAACACATTAATCAAGACTTTCTATAGTGTCTCGAGTTTCTAAAATACAAAATATTGTATACATGTATTGCTCTTGTTGTCTTTAGGATAAGTTTGAGATTGATTGTTGAATTTAACCATATAAATGATATTATTGATTTAAAAAGATCTTTAAAGTTTGTGTTATAATCCCAATATTAAACTCAAGATTACTTTTCCTTAATATAAATTTTTTGAATTAAGCTTTTCAATTAATTAATACATAATAGAAATATTTGTTATTAAATTCAATTACTTACTTGAATCATAAAGATTTTATTAATATCTTAAAGATTCAATCATTATTTTTATATTCCTATACTTCAAATATAATTGAATAATTTTTTTATAAAAATTTATTTTTTAATTAAGTTTCAAAAGTATCTTTTTTTATAATAATTTTTCATAATTTATATGAATACCTAAATAACAATAGTTCTTACATTTGAATATCATCAAAACATCAAATAGTTAGTATATATGATTATTTTGGAAGTTTAAATCTAAAAGTTATTGTTTATAGAAACTAAAGTGAATATGGTATTCTAAACACTTATATTTTCTAAATTTGTGATTCTTAAAGAAATTTAAAGTAAATAAAAAGTATTTTCAGTTAGTTTTGTGAGAATTAAGTATTGAAGGAAAAGATGAAAAAATTCCAAATAATTTTATAAAATAATTCATATTATTTTGAATTAAAAAATTTAATAAAAATATTATAATGAATTTTAATAATGCTTTAAATACTTAGATAAGAAAAATACTTGACCTAGATTCATTTTTATTTCTGTATACATCTATCAAACCACTCTTTAAATTCAACCACTAAATTTTTTGTGGATAATAATTATGTTTCTACTTCTTCTTTGTTCAAAAATTGCTTATTAGCTTCATAAAATTTAGCATGTGCTTCTATTCTTAAGATAAAATTATTCAATTATCTCTCTTCAATTTTCAAATTATTGTACATGCCTTTATAAAATATAAGTAACAAATATATTACAATCAACAATTAAATCTCTATCATTATAAGTTTTACTACAAATATGCAAATATTTATGTTTTAATTCTTATTTTAAGACCTAGACTTATGAAATTCCTTTAAGCAAATTTGAAAAATCTTCTTATGTTTTAGACATAAATAAAAATAATTAAAGAAAAATATGAAATTGATAAAACTATAAAATTGTAACACATGAATTGGATTAAGATAAGTCATTCTAAAAACATAAAAGCAAAGATGAAAAGCAGAAAGAAGGAATGAATAAGAGAGGGATAATAAAAATAAAAAAATATCAAAAAAAGAGTCAAATGAAAAGAATAGAGTTAGAAGATTATAGATTAGCAATAAAAATCAAATAAAATTATGAATTTAATAATGATAATTTGAGATGAAGAAGCTATATTTTAGAGAAGAAGACAGATAAGGTAAGAATTGTTTAAAAAATTGAAACAAAAATTTATAAAGATAAAATACTATTTTAGATAAGTTTGATAAATTAGAAAATGATGATGATTTAAAATATTATAAAAACTTATAAATTATTTATATCAATCTACTTATAAATAACTTTCTTATTTATTTTTATTGGAGATAATTATATTCATATTAAATGATAGTATTAGCTAATACAAATTTATTGAAACTCTGTAATTTTGGTATTACTTTCACTGTGAGTAGACATTTTCTAGATCATTAAATTATAATTGGAACGCCTATGATACTAATATTGATTTATAGGACATATATTATATCTTTTACATACAAGATAATTAGTATTCTCAAAATTCTCAATCAAAATGTTGAGAAGATCTGCTTTAAACTCAAAATATTTTGATTAGCATCTTAGTTTTAAGAGCAGAAAAATTGTTCCGATCGCTAAATAAGTCATTTTTAAAACAATTTTAATACGAGAAAGTCCAATTAGAATTATTGGAACTCTTTAAAGATTAAGGTTTAAATGTTTTGGATATGGTAGATTCTTAAATTAAAAAGTTTGACATATATATTATTTTTCATTTATAAATTAGTTAAATTATTTATTAAATTTAAGAATTATTTACATATTTTAAATTATATTAATATAATATTTCTATAATATCTTTAATTATATCTTTCTAAATTAATTTATTCTATTTATTTAAAATGATTTAGTTTATTAGTTTTATTTCCATAATTCACAGAGCTAAAAATACATAGTATTATTATTGAAATTGATAAGTAAGCCTTATTAAATAATGTAATATTAATAATCATTTTTATGAAATCTTCAAATTAATATATGATTATTGATTGTTAACTTAAACTTAGTGATAACATTATTAAAGTTAGAATTAGAGCCATGTTTATATGAATAAATAAATTAAGATTCTAGATTAATTATGAAATTTGTGAATTGTTAATAATAATTTAGTATTTTTTATAAATAAATCTATGTTTAACATAATTATTTCAACTAGAAAAGTGTAATAATATATTAAAATATCCATCTGATATTTAACATATATAAAAATCATTTTTAGAATAACATTTAAGTACATATTGATTGAACATAAATCTATGAAATAAAAATATATGAAATTGTTTAGGTTTTCAATGATTATTGTAAGTACGTATAAAATCTAATTAGATATATTTATTATAGATAAGCAGAATCTAGTAGTTTGATGTTCTATTATTATTTTGAAATATAAAAATAATTAATATTTTTAATATTGTTTTTTTGTTAACATGAACGATATTGCGCATACTGGAAAATCATAGGCTTCTGCTTAAGACATTCATTCAAAAATAGAGAGTCAATTTTTATAACGGTATGCACATTATTTAATTGGGGATGAGTTTGATTCATTTCTTACTCCATCTTTTGTACATATGCTACATATATTGGATTCAAAAAAAGTTAGTTGTGAACAATTGATAAATTATAAGACATAATAAATTAATGTAATTTGCAGTTGTTTTAATATAGAATCAAAATACAGAGAGTTAAGTATTTTTTGCATTAAGGAATTTCACTTTTAATTCATTTTCTTTAATGTTTGATCAGAAATTAGAAAACACTAACGTTTATACTAAGGAAGAATATTTTAGATCAATTAGAACTACGTATAATTCAAATAATAGAGTAGACAAGACTAAGCCAATCGAAGACATCAATTTGTACATAATCCATCTAACTCATTTAATTAAGACAAGTAAGATTAGTAATAGCACAATTTCTATGAGTTATATTCAAATAAATTAGCTAAAGATCAAGGAGAAATACTTTAAGGAGAAATAGTGATATTAGAGACCAGAATTAAATATTCAGCTAATAAGGCCAAACAATTATGTTATGAGATTAAATAGAAAATAGACAACCTATTTAAATCAACTGTAATCTAAACATTAATTTGAAGACTAGGTAACATCAGATTATAAGATCAGAATATATACCATATTTAGAAGAGTATAAATATCCAACAATTGTGTTAATAATATTATATAATGGAGATGTCAATCTAGATTTCTCTAAAATTCTCTAGATGAATTAAATAACTATCAATAGAAAACAATTTGCATTAAAAATTAAAGTATACTTTATAAGTAAGCTCTCCTTATTCAGTCATTTTAGAGAAGTAAACAATTAATAAAAGACAGAATGTATAACAGATAAGGTAAATAATAATATAGATTAAGGTTGTTACTTTCTATGACATGAATAGAGTTAGACAAAGGAGATAAAAGGTGCTAAAAGAAATTGAAATAATCAAGACATAAGCCTAAGCGGTAACAATACATGATAATTTGATAAGAATCAAAACAAAAAGAAAAAAGAGTAGTATTGGAAATGGAGCATTACTACTGGATTTTGTGTGGTTGCTGCAATCTATTTATTGAGTAAAAAATAAATAAATCTCAAAAAGTTTGTCTAAGTTACTTCCAAAATAGTTTGATTGTTTTTTATATATTTTATATATATATATATATATTTATTAGTTAGAAAGTATATGTAGAGATACTTCTAACAATAGAATTAGCAGTATAAATAATGAATAATTCTCTTAGATCCTATTTGATTCATTAAAGGAGACTAAGTGATATTAAATAAAGAAAGAGTTCCCTTCCAAAATTAGATAAAACAATTGATTCTTATAAATAAAATAGATATATAGCTGCCAGAAAATAAGAGATTAGTAGATGGGAAGGAATTATGAAATAAAACAAAAAACTACTACATAAATTAAACAATGTGGAATCTACTTTTTAAAAATCTGTAATTTTAACTAAAAATATATTTGTATTCAAGATAATCCATTCGTAGTGTAAGTTCTTGTAATTCGAAAAGATCAATAGAATTAAAAGAAAATAGAAAAAAAGAAAATGCTAGAATGCAAATTAAATTATAATAAATGTAATTATTGTTTATTAATCAAGTACATCTAGATTTGATAAATCTAATTGCAAAACTACTCCCAGGGTTGCAAAACCAATATCAAAATAATCAAATAATTAAGAAAAGAGTTTAAATGTTAAGCCTATTGGAAATTACAAATTCTAAAATTAGGGATACAAAAGACATAAGAGTTTGCAGTAACCATAGAAGGAGGAATAAAAAATAAAAAATATTATTTAATAATATCAATAAGTTTTGGATAAAATACTTCCGCTAATAAAATAATAAAAAAATAATAAATGACAATTATAGTGTTGATAAATATTTCAATAAGTCATATATTGTCTATTTAATAAGTGATTAATTAATTTATAATCATTGTGTTTTTTAAGATGTTGAATAATTTATTAATATTTAATAATAGTTAGGTTATTAAATAATTCTAATTTTATCAGAAAACAAATGTAAAAAATCAATGGATTTTTCAAAATATATATTTAGTTTGATTATATAAAATCATTTAATATTATCTTTACATTTTTCGCATAGTTTATTTGATTAAATCTCCTTTAGTTTGGCATTTTCATGTCTTAAATTTTGGATCTCTTATTATAATGTATGTATATCGTCCTCTTATATGGAATCAAATGGTTAATTCATTTTCTAAATTCATAATCTAATTACCATACTTCATATTTTTATAATTCCTCTCTTAATTGACTATTTATTTGAGATTATTAATAATTTAATTAAATGGAAATCTTTAGTTTATTTTATAATTCTTCCTTTGTTCCTTCACAATCTACAATATTAAATGGCAATTCATCATTTTTTTTATTAGGCCTAGCTTATGCTTATTGCACACTTTATTAAAGTTGTGATTGTAAATCTAATAGAGAATGAGTAAGCGATTTAGGAGGTGATTTTTATGAAATCTAAGAAAATTAAGTAACGCTGTTATTCAAGAGTTCTTTCGAAACACAAGTCGAAATATAATTAGATTAAGATGTAAGTTAACTCGAAGTTCCAATAGATTAAACTGATTGAATTACAGAAAGGTTGATCTTATCCACGATTTGCTAAATTAAACACAAATCTTACCTTATATATACGCTATCTAATAACATTTAATTCAAGATCTAGAATTTATTACTGTTGTTCTTCATCTAGATTTTCACTATTCTGAAGGGAGAATGAGTCTAAGGATAATCTAGATTAAGAAGTAAGTTCACAGAGATATTGTCCAATCACTTCATTCAATTTTTGACCAAATTAATCTAGAGTATTATTGAATGGTTCATTTTATTGAGTTTCAATTTAAATACGATCATTGGTTTCTTCCTACTTCTTGGGTTAAATTTCCATATTGTTATCACATGCTCCTGAGTAATAATCTTTCAATCCCAAAATATTTAAATCATTAAGTTAAATTGAACCTCCAAGATCTTCCTAATCCTTTCTTTATAATAGATGTTTATCGACCTTATCTTTAAAATATATTATACAAACTCATTTTTTAATTTATCTTTATTTTGATTCTTAAGACCAGATAATTTTGTTTATGAGTATGATCTTGATATGCCACACATATCTAAATCATGATCTTAGGAATTCTCAAATCTATTTTTCATAATATTTTATGAATATAAATATAAAATTATACAAATCAATTTTCATTATTACAATCAAGACCTTTAGCATTATTTTCTAATCAATATTTTTATAATAAATTCTTTGATCCTCATTACTTATTTTTTTAAAGTGACAAGTACTTATTTTTTAAGGAATTATTTATGAAAACAAAAATTAGATGGTAAGTTAAGTATTAAATTATAATTATATCTGTTCAATGATAGATGGTATTTTCTATTCTAAAAATCTTAAATAATTCCAAATTTATTTTCATTTTATTTATTATTAGAAAAAAGAATATAGATATATATGATATTTAAATATTGAAAATTATTATTATTATTATTAAAGTATTCAATCATTTGATAAAAGATTGTATATTATTAATCATAAAAAATATTATTTTGGAAATCAAAACTTAGATTATTAGACAAAATATATAAAATAAGATCAAATTAAAAGTAATTAATTAGATTTTAGTAGAAATTTACATGTCAATTAATCCTTTAGAGAAAATCTATAATTATATAAAGCATCACTCAAATCTATTAATATGCTATCTAAAATTTGTTTTTGTTTTTGTTTTTTTTTTAATTTAATTTAATTTAATTTAATTTATTTTCCTCCTTTTTAAAAATAGCATGTTTATAAGAGAGTTATAATTACAATCTTCCAATATGAGATCCTGTTTATATAAAAAGATTAGATTTGATAAACGAAGTATAGTAGTATGTGTTAGTGAAATGTATTTAAATTATAAATTTTTTATTTATGGAATATGTTTTCTTTAAAAAGATATATTTAATTTAATTTTAATAAGAAAATAGAATTAAAATTTTATCATGATATAATAAGTCTAGTCTTATGTTATGGTTGGATAAGACCCTGATATTTTATATGATAATTAATAATACGTGTTTGATTTAATTACAATAAAATATTAACAATTATGATATTGATGAAAATAAATTTATTGATAATATAATTTTAGATTTGTTTAAAAGATTAATATAAGATTAAAGATTAACTTAAATAATTTTTATTTAAATATTCCTTATAGATTGAGAAGAATATTTTAATTATTTATATGAGTTTAAATTATTTTATAAAATGTTATTCATTGTTTGGTTATTTAATTAGTAATTGTTTATCCACAATCAATACTTTATTATTATTATTATTGTTCATTTTCTTTTTCTGATTCTGAATCTTCTTGATTACAGCAATCAATACAATTACATAAAAATGTGCATCTTTGTTTTTTTAGATAACATTCACAATATTTTTTCAAACAACCTGTTTTCTTACAATTACATCCTCCAGTCTATAGTTTCTTTATTGATTAAGAACAAATTGTATTATTACATCCTAAACAATTACAATCGATATTGCATGCCTTTCCCGCGGCAAAACATTCACAATAGGATTTCTGACATTTTGATTTCATACATTTACATTTTGTTATAGTATTGAGAATGGGTTTATCAATTTATTTCATTTTTGTTATTTTTTATTAGATAGGAAAAGGTTTGATAGGAGAAAAGAATTTGGGATTCTCATCTATGTCAAATAGTTTTAATTTAGGTTTCATCAATTCTTTTTTTGGAGGTGTAGTTGTATCACAATCTTCAGCCCTTATTAGATCAAGAGCAAATCTAATAAATGAATTACAATTCTCTGTTGTCATAACAAATATTAATCAATTTGGTTCCATTTCCAATATAATTTAACATTCACTGAAAATAAGTCTAGTTTTGCTTAATTTAACATATAAATTTTTAATATAAAAAAATACATACACAATATTCTTTACCTTTGATTATCTATAAGCATTTTAATTAATGATTCCTATAACTCTCTCTATCTTAAATATTGTTAAATGTCTATTATCATTACTATCTCTTTGATTGTCTTTTAAATTTACTCATTTTTTTAGTATAAAATTGAGACTTAGACAATTTATTTGAAATATAATCATTAAAAAATTATTATCTTTTGTGAAATAATGAATTAAATTTAATTAATCTAAATTAAATTTAATATCTTTAATATCTAATGATGGATTGGATTTCTAGTCAAATAATAAAAATATTAATATATGTTTATATCAAAGTTGTTGTTATTAATTATTTACTTATTTTGAGAATAAAAATAATAAATATTTATTTCAGAAATATATTTTTACATTTAATAATATGAGTAATTATGATTCACCTTCTCCACTTTAACCTATATTGAATTTTAATGATGAAGATGAAGCTATGGATCATTTAGTAAAAGAATATTAGAATCAAGGAATTAGTGATCTCTCTATGACCAAATATAAATACTTAGTTTAAAGAGGATTATAAATGGTATAAACAATAGAATATTGTAGATTCATCCACCATTACCACTGTAGAATAATAAGAATAAATAAAGTAAATTTGTAAGTTCGTAAGAATTACTCTAAGTAGATAAAACATTAGTGGATAAATTAGAGAAGGAATAAAAATGGTAACCTTATAGAGCCAGACTTTTTAAAAACAATTCTTAACATAGTTTGAGGAGTTTAAATGATAAAAGTTCTAGTAAAATATATACAGGTTATGGTCCTTTGGATGAGATTGCATTCTAATTGGATCATAATAAAGCATAAATAAAACATTAGAATGAATAAATGTCTTAATTAATTGAAAAATATTCGATAAGTAAGAGTCAATCAGTAGGAAGATTACCAAGAATTAAGTGTTATCCATCTAGATTAAATGAAGATGGTTAGATAAAAAATAAGCATTAACCAAAAGTAATAGAAATTGTTTAAGATGCTACTATTCCAAATTATTATTTAAATTGGGTTGAGAAATTTTATGGTAAATGGAGACCTGCTATGAGAGAAGGAGCAACATTGAGTGTAATTTAAAATAAGTTCTATTTATATGGTGGAATTAGTGCAACTCCATTTAATGATATGAATGTTTGGAATGGAAATGAATGGTCTTAAATTGAAATAATAGATAAACCTCCATTTGGAAGAACAAATCATATAGCTGCAGTATATAGAAGATAAATATTTTATTTTGGTGGAGAAAAGCCTTATGATAATGCATAGAAAATTAGAGAAAGTTTGAATGATTTCAGAGTATTCAATACTGAAACTAATGAATTCAAAATTGTTAGAAATAGTGGAGAAGGTGTGGAAGTAAGAAGAGGTTAGGCAAGTACATTTGTAGGAAAACATATATTAATAATGGGAGGCATAAATACAAAAGGAAAGTATTTATCAGATGCATTTCATTTTGATGTAACAACAGCAAAACAAGCACCTGCTAATATTGATACTTGCAATTATTTTTAGAATGGAATAGCATTTCATACTATAGTTTCTGTTTATAATACAAATAGATTAATTCAACTTTATAAATCTAATTTAGATGCTGAAGATTTGAAGGAAATGAAGTAGAAAGTTGAAGGAGTCTATTTGTTTGGTGGAGAGAACAAATAGGGTTAATTATATTCTGGTTTATATTTGTTAAATACATATCAAAGACCTATGTATTGGAGTGAAGTAAAAGCCAAAGGTGTTCCTCCTTGTGCTAGATATAAACATACTTGTAATTATTTTGACAAATAATAACTTATTGTTATCTTTGGTGGAATTAATATTGATTCAATATTCTTAAATGATTGTCACATATTCAAAGTAGATTCTTAAACTTGGTGCAATATATAAATGGAATATAGAGATGGTCGTGCAGGTCATTGTGCTGCTTAAGATGAGAATAGGTTATTAATCTTTGGAGGTTATAATGAAAATGGTTTTGTTAAAGCAGACATTGTGTGGTTAGAACTTGATTAGAGTATTTAGGTTAAAACATAAAGAGAAAAATTATCAAATATGGATACTACAAAACATGAAAAAATGAAAGAGAAATAAAAAGTATAAGATGAATAAGAAAGACTCCTCAAACTAAGAGAATAGATTGAATTATTATCATTCAAAGGTATAAAATCATTTGCTCCTATGCCTTTAATTAAATAAAGATCGAGATCTAGTTTATGGAAAACTGTTCAATCTAAAAAGTAATAGATGTTACAATTAAAAATGATAGAAGAAACTTAACATCTTATGAAGGATTTTAATAATGAATCTGTTTAAAGAAATGAAGAAAAATAACAAGAATAAACAACTCCACTTGTTAACCAATTAGATCTAAAAAAGATAGGAAAGAATTTTCGATCAACTAATTGATATTATTTTTTTTTACTATTTAAATTATTAATGATATCATAATAATTTCAAATGACCAGTCACTTAATCAATTAGATCACAATCAGCAGGTCCAATTGCACATACCGTTTGGCTTCCAGGCTCAACCTAAGACTCGCGAATTCATTCTTACTTATGTTCTACCTGCATCTGTTACTATATATGTAATTAATCCATTCTATCTTGCTTTTGCTTCAATATTATGTAATTCTTATTGACTGTCACATTTCACTACTACTTTTGCTTAACCACTTCCTTCCCATTTTTATAATAAATCATATTTGTTATTTAATAATTATTTATATGCTCCTAATACTATTCATTTTAATATTTAAAATATACCTGCATGTCCTGTTTATGCTGCTATTTTACCAATTCCCATTTTTAAATCCATTCTAACAACACATACCATTTTATATCTCTTATCAAATTATTCTCCTGGTGGTTTTATGTTATCAAAATTAATATCAAATGGAATAGTATCAATATTTGTAAATAATCCAATATTTTATTTTTATGTTTATTATCCTTCTTATAATGCTAATAGTAATTCTACAGCTTATTCTAAGCTATCAGCACTTGGTAATACTTAAGCAATTTATTCTTCTGAAAAACTCAAATTCAATAGTTCATTTTTTATCAATTATTTATTCTAATCCATTTTATCTAATAAATATAATATAAATATATATTAATTAGATGGTAAATAGTTCTAAATTAGTCATAATTTTTATGTAATCAACTATTATGTTTTAATTGAATTATTTTATGATTTATATAATAGTTGTTAATTAAATAACAAACCAGTACCTATATATATTAAATGATTATTATTCTAATATTAATTATGAATCCTAATGATTTTCTATATTAAAGTATAGAGAGAAGTATTTCAATAATAATTTCTAGAAATTTCATTATTTTAAGCGATAGTGATATTAATGTAGAAAGCATTTGATATTAATGATCTTTAAATAATTGATAAACTGCTAAGTTTATTTATGACATTAGATTATTTGAAAGGGAAAGATGATAATGAAGTTTAGAAAATATAGCATATGATAGATTGAAGATGATGAAAATAAGAGAAATCATGTTTCAGATTCATTTATCCACATTATTTAAAGGTGAGAATCCTTCAGTAGATTGTTTTTTTTGAAATCTTTCTTATTTAGTGTATTGGATTTCGTATTGCTTAATCTTATCAAAATTGATCTGTATGTGTTTTTAGGCAGTTGTACGAGGGAGTTTAAGAGTAGATTAGGTAGATTGACAAAGACCCATTTGAGTTTATTATAATTTAATAATGAATAGAAATCCAACAATTACTTCAATTATATAGTAGGAATTAATTTACTGAATCGATTAGTCTTAATTAAGTTATATATTGTGAAAAATTATTATTTGTTTTAATTAATTGCCTCTTAATGATTAAAACATCATTCAAATGGAAATTTTATTTTTTTTTTACTTATTGTTTATTTGAATGAGCATTTTAATCTGAGGAATGGAAATATCTCAGAACTCTGGTTGGTCTTCATAAAAAGAGGAAGTACTACTTTAATTAGATTAAGTATCCAATTTTGCAAACAAGTCCTCTAAATCAATATTGATGTCAAATCCTTAGTTTTGTCCGGTCAAAAATGGGTGTTAACTAGCATCCTAGGCAGACATCCTAGCACTTGGTTCCCATTCAAGACATTTCTACACGAAGTCTATAAATTAATTGAATGTAGGCTAATCTAATCAATTATGATATTCATATATACCTTTTGTAGATTATTAATTATAATATTATGCTAGATCTGTTAATTTCTTAATTGGATGAGTTGAATTATACCCTTCTTTGGTTTAGATTTAAGGATATTCAGCTGTGAATTACTCTCTAGATTTTAATTAAAAAGTATCATTTTAAAGTTAGTTAAAGTATTTTAATGATGCAGGTGCATTTTTCACATATCCCTATTTAGCTAAAATATAGTATATGTTTATGTTACTTATGATAGGACTAGTCACTTGTATAATTCTTTCTAAACAAGAGTATTAGTCCCAACATGGAAAAAGTGGACTACCTAATAATAATTCTACTGCAATGCAACCTAAACTCCAAATATCAATTTTAGCTAAAAAATAATATTCCAATATTATTTACTTGTATAATTACGATTCTCTAAAATAATTTCAGGAGCTCTATAAAATCTACTTTGAATATAAATATATGGATGTTTCTCATTCAAAAAACAACTGGATCCAAAATCAATTATTTAAAGATTACAATCATCTAATATAGGTTATTTTTATTCTATCATTATATTCTCTGGTTTCAGATCAGCATGAACAACTCCACATAGTTCAGCAACTGTAAGTCCTGTTACTATTTGATTGAGAAATTTTCGGACTAGCGACACGCTAAATCCTTCATATTTATTTGTTTTCATCACTTCAAGTAAATTTTATGCCATCAAAGGGAAAACTAGGCAAGCATGTTTTTTGTGTAAAAATTAATCATTTAGTTAGATTATACAATTTTTTTAAATATTTTAATCTTTTGAGAATGTTTAGAGAGTTCTTAATACACGAATTTCTATTTTTTATTATTGATGAAATGCACATTAATTTTTTATGATCTAATTATCCTCCTAATTTAATACCTTTATTGCAACTTATTGTTTTGTTCCTTCTATGCTACATTTGATCACTTAGCCAAATGTTCCTGAACCTAGGAGAGCCTCACAAATATATGTTCTTAACAATAGATCTCACATAACTTACATATTCTTTTTGCTGTTGTATAATTTGTCATATTATCTGATTATGAGATCATGATTTTCATTGTCATAACCATCATTATATTTTCCTATTGAATTTAAATTAATTATTACCTTCTTTTGGAGAAGTAAGAATCCTCACAGGCATTTAAATAGGTTTGCCATTGAATTTCTATAAATAATCCTTATAATGCGACGTAAATTATTTAACAATCTTGAAAATAGTCATGACAAATTTTATACCCTTAATCCACATTTATGAGGAGTGAAGGAATGTTGGGCACTGGAAGGCCACTTCTGGAACCCTCCCAGTGAACAGATGGTTATACCATCTTATTAAAATTTGGACATTATTTATATTAATTTATTTGATATTTTTCTATCCTCAATATACACCTTTCTTTAATTCCATTCACTCTTATAACTCTAATCGATATTCTCATATTAACATAGCACTCCATATCATACATTAACAACCTTAATTTTTAAATTTAATTCATAATGATATATCCTTTTTAACATATATTCAACTCTATTACTCTTTAATTTAATATGAAATTCTATTGTCATTCAAATTTGATAATTTCTGAATCATTTTCTAACCTTCCCCCCAATTCTAATCTACCTATTATTCTGACAAATCCTTATAATAAAATGATTCAAATTTTATATTAAATTGTTTTTAAAGATTTAGAAATATTTTAATTTTGAATAATCTAATAAATAAAGTATTTAAACTCTTATAACAATTTATATATGATTGTTTGAATAATTCATGACAAATCCATAATAAAAAATCATCTACTATTATAATAATAATCTACATAATTATTTCTTCTATCAAATAGATTAATAACAAATTTATATGTAGGTTCTCAAAAATATATAGTATAATAATTAATATTTGAAGCTAAAAAAAATTGCATTATTTTAATTCTATTATTATTGTTTGAGTTATATAAAAACAATAAAAGATGAAATTTTTAGTATTTCAGTATTTCAATATTTGAATATTTCTACAGTGAAATAATGATTATAATGTAACATTTCTTTTATTAAAATGGTTTAATATTAAGATTAGTGAATTAAAATAATAAAGATGATAAATAGATGAAAAATATCATGGGATTGTCTCTTTTAATGATTTAAATTAATTAAAACTGAAACATCAAAATGAGGTTAGATTACATTTAATATTAGTAGTTTAGTTTAAGGATTAGAAAAATAGAAATGTATAATAAATTGTGAAGGATAAATAAAAATTTAATTATTTATTACATTATTTCATTTATGTTTATAAAAATGATAATATTCAAAATAAGTTTTATTTACCATAACATTTTTAATTAACTTTAAATTAATTCTTATTTTCTTGTAAGGTTCCTAATTGCAAATTAAATCCAATTATTTAATGTTTAAATGTTAGATATGTAATTTCTCATTTTTTATAATTTGAATTAAATGGAACTTAGATACTTGGTATTTAATATTAATGTTAAAAATTTATTAATTCATTGTCAAGTTCTTTTTACATCCAGAAGAAGTTTCAAATGATTTGGAGCCAAAAAAAATAATGAATCTATGGACATTATAATTTAGAAATTCAGAAATAGAAGAAAAATATACAAATAAGGAGAAATAAAGAATAATTGTTCTTTTTAGGCTATCATACTTGATACATTTCTTTATCAATTTTATCTACTTTATAAATAATCAGTTTGTATTGAAAAATTAAACAGTGGCATATTTAAGAATAGGATTTAGTTTTTGGCATCTAATTTGCATAATATCATAAGCAAACATATAAAAAATACAATATAAATACTTTATATCTATATTAGAGATAATAAGTGCCTTTTCGACAATATTAATTACAAATGTTTATATATAGGCTTAATTATTAAATAAACAATGCAATTAATAAACTACAGCATAAGCTTTAAGTAGTGGAATATAGACTGGAATAATAATAATTAGCTATTTGACAGTATGTCCTTTATGGTTTTGTTAAGGATTAATTTTAGTAGCAGCAACAATTTTATTAGTAGGTTTAGTTGGAATAATTCATTCAATATATTGGACTTTTTATGTATTATTGATAATGTTATTTATTTTCTTTCGTTCTTTAGAATACTATAAACGATTAGATTTTTATACTATATGTTAACAAACATCAAATTTAAAGGCATGCAAAAATATTTTTGATAAAACAGTTCCAAATTCAATTTTGATATTAACTGGATAAAATGATGATCTCTAAGATTCTACAATTTCAGGTAAAGAAATGAAATTGATTTATACAAATGATTTTGCAATAAAATATCTTTAAGTTTCAGATGAAAATGAAATAATTAGAAAATTAAAGGGAATATTTATATAAACTGAATAGGAATCAGAATAAGAAACATATAATAGTTGTATCAGTATTTATGATATAATTCAATAAAAATTAGTTTAAGTAGAAGAGTAATTTTAATAAACTTAAAGTGATAGATCATATGTAATAAAGAATGAATATGATATTTCTGATGTGAGTGATTACTTTTTATGTTTTAAATTAGATTCTTAATGTAAAGTAGCTTTATCTTCTAAATCATAAGTAAAAATAAAATCACATTTTGAAATACGTATTTTACATTGTATATGGGAAAATAAACATTCAATTTTAGTAATTATGAATGATATATCTGAGAAGATTAAATTGAAACATTTAAAAGAGATGGATTAATATAAGGATCGATTATTAGCTACAGTATCTCATGATTTAAAGACTCCTTTAAATGGAATGATGATTGATATTGATATAATGAATCATATATTATAATAGAAAACAGCTATTACATCTACTAATATTGAATAATTATGTATACATTTGGATGAATTTCATTAATCTGGTTAATTATTATTATCTATGATAAATGATTTATTGGATTATAGTCAAATTAATAAAGGTTAATTAAGATTAATACAAAAACCTTTTAATATAAATGATACATTTAAATTTATAAACTAATTGTTAAATAGACAATCACTAGAAAAAGGAGTCAAATTAATATGGTAAAATACAATTGATGATAAAAACAGTCTATTATTAACAGATGAAACAAGATTGAAATAAGTTCTTATTAATTTAGTAGCCAATGCTATTAAATTCACAATGTAAGGTGAAATCTTAATTGTGGCTACTTATCATCTCGAAACTGATTTAATAGAATTATCTGTTTCAGATACTGGATATGGAATTCCAGAAGAAATCTAAAAAAATCTATTTAGATTATATAGTACCTATGATATAGGTAAAAATAATAGACATGGAGTAGGTTTAGGATTAACAATAAGTTAATAATTAGTTTGTCTTTTGGGTCCATCAGATAAAATAGAACTCAAATCATAAGTAGGTAAGGGATCTACATTTAAATTTAAGATTTATAGAATTTTGTAATAATCACTTGAAAATTCTTTACAAGAATAAGATTTACATTAAAAGTAAATTGTCCCTCGATTTCCATCATATAAAAATCTTAATTATATAAAAAAGAAAAGAAATGAAATTAAAAAAGCTCAAACATATTATAAATTAGAAACTACACCTGATGATTCATTTAAAATTCTTATTGTAGATGACACTCCATTTAATATTATTGCCTTAAGTGCAATGTTGAATTAAGTTATGAATAATTGTAAATTGTTTAAAGCCTTCAATGGAAAATAAGCCTTCGAATTATATTCCAAAGAGTAAATGAATATAATCTTTATGGATGTTAATATGCCAGAAATGGATGGTTATCAATGTACATTAGAGATAAGAAAGTTTGAGTAAATCTAATAGCTATCTTAATCATTAATCGTAATTGTAACAGCCTTTTCAGGATCTGATGATAAACTTAGATCTTAAAAATGTGGAGCAGATGATCATCTAGATAAACCATTAAATATGGATGATCTTAAAAAAGTTATGAAGAAATTTGGAGTTTTATGATTAAATATACTTAATATTTGTTTGTAAAGTCTGTTGTTAATATATATATATATATAAATTGTAATATTGAAATGAAAATAATATTATTTCATTCCGCAATTTAATAATTAATAAATGATGAGATTAAATATAACGAGATTGACTAAGAGAATCAATATGAAACCTCCATCAGAAAATGATTTCAGCACTTTACTTATAGCCAAGAATACTCCAATCCGTTAACTTTCTATATGTATTATATGTTAATATCTAAAATAGCAACTCGTTCATCGAAACACTCATAATTTGTTAGAAGATTACAAACTAATTAAAATTAACAATCATAATAATTGACTAGTAGAACTATATCAGTTCATGATACACATTTACATGGTGAGCCTTTAAAAGAAAAATAACTCTCAGTTAATAAAATGTAAAATAAGAAGAAATCTTCAAGAAGATTAATTGGTTTATAAACTCAACCAAGTTTAATCATGTATGAATAATATATTAATAAGGAAACCAAAGTTTGCAGATATTAAATATGAAATGATTGATATTTATTAATTACAAATAGCTGAACCAAAAATACTATATAAAGGATATAGAGAAACATCTCATCTTTAAAAAATAGCAATAATTGGATAATCTATATCTCTTAATAAATAGTTAATTCAAAAAATTAAATCTGAATGCATTCTAGTTTTATTAACTAACAATTTATCATAAATAGATGAATAATATGATTGCATAATTTAACCACCTCATATTTCTCCTAAAGATGCTTTGAGTTTCTAAAGAAATATGAATTAGATTTGGATAAATGTTAATCATTTAATACAAACATATAAATAACCATAATAAATTATTATGATAGATGAAATTTTTAACGATAATAACATTTTAGGTATTGAAGAATTAAAAAATAAAATATTATATTCTGGAAATTGTAAAATGATTCATTTATTTCTATAAAAAGATAAACCAAATCTCTAAAAATTATATTATGCCTTATGTCATCTATTAAAATATGAATAATAGGATTTGATATAATTAAATCTCAAAGATATATTGCAAGAATGTTCAGAAAATTGTCTATAAATTTAAACTAAATTAAATTACCTTTAAAAAGTAGGAGATATAAAGAAGAAATTGAAATTATAATTTAAAAAAGAACAAATCTCTATTGAATCTCCTGAAGATAGAGCTGAAAAGTATATTATTCTTAATAATTAGTTTGAGAGATTGTGTAATTGAATACATTAAAAGCCGTTCAACTAATAAAATAACAGGAATGTATTATATAATTGGAGATCAAATTATGAGAAATATTAATTTTTTTCGTAATAGATAAGAAGATAAATATTTCACAGATAAAAAACATTAAGAGACTCTTCATATATTATAAAATACACTTTAACCTATAAAACATGCACTCACTTGTTAATAATAATATGCATTTTATTTACTATGATATTATTATATATATGATGAATAACTCAATCCAAGTTTAATGATATCTTTTTATAAACTACTGGTTTACGCTATTTGATTTTATCTTTACCACATCCAGGTTCCCTAGTGGCTGGATATTTAAAGTTTGTTAAATCTAGAGTGCTAACTTATTTTTCTTCTTATTATTTTTATTTCTATATTAATCATTATATTTTAAAACCTTCTTCTTTTTATCTTTCTTTGCAGTCTCAACAGTTTCAGCCCCTGACAATTAAACTTTTAGAGTATCTACTTCAAGTTTAGCCATCTCTTCTAATTTCTTTTTCTCAATTTCATCTTCAATAACCCACTTAGGTTTGATATAATCAGCCACAGCTCCTCTTTCTTCACTTCTTTAGATAGCTTCCACTGCTCTTGAAGGAGGGAGTGCTGGTCTTAATTCTAATGGATATTTATCTGGGAACAAATGTTATCTCAATAATAATGGTGTAAAGTAAACAACTTTTACTTCACCTCCAGTTTTCTTTATTGCCTCAATAGCAGTTTTTGAAGCATCCGATACTTCAATAGTTAAAGGAGTATTCAATTCACTTAATCTTTCAGCTCCTCTTGCCAATAATTTAACTCCATATTTGCATTTACTAAAAATTCTTGATTCTAACATGTCCTTAATTTAGATAGGCTAAGTAGCATCAATTCTTCCTTGTTTGATTCTATCTACTATTTAACAGATATTGACTTCTCGATAAATTTCCAAACTATAATTTCTTAATATTTGTATACCTTGGTTTAGCACCCCATTTAGGAAGTCTTCTAGTTAAGGGTGTTTAACCTCCTTCAAATTTAGGAGGTACTCCTGCACCTGAACGTGCTCCTTGTCCTCTTTATCCTCTTCCACAAGCATTTCCTCTAGTACCACTTCTTCCCCATCTCTTTTATATTTTCTTGGCTCCTGGATTATCCCACAGATTATTGAGTGTGAAAGGAATATTCGAAGGAGTAGGTGGAACTTTTCGTTCAGCAGTTGTAGCAAACATAAAGCATATCACCCTTAATTTTTATAGGGTTTAAAACATTTATTCAATAATTAAAATATAATAATGAGACAAAGTGTTGGAGTGATGAGAAATAAAACACATTTATTATTTAAATATAAAGAAGAATAGAAATAGTAAGCTAATAGATTTAAGAAAACTAATAATATTCATACATCAAGTTTATAATTAATTTATCCCATATAGAACCAAATACATTGTTGTTAGATAGTTCTGGTGAATCTACAGCCAGCAATTTTTCAATTGAAATGTAAGCTCATAATAAGGGATTACCATCTGAATGGGCTAGTCATTATGAAGATTGTTTAGATAAAATCAAATAAGTTTAGGAGATACGTATATAATTAAATCTAACATACAAATAGTTAAGGAACTTTAAATTCTTGGATCTAAAAGATTGAAGATGTAATTTGGAGATGCTACAGCTTTAGAGAAATTGATTTATGAGAACAATTAGAAAGCAACATAAGTATTATTCTTCTATAAAGTAGAAAATTATGGAATGTGAAAAAAATACTGAATTCATAGCCAATTATAGTAGTGATAAGGAAACACCAAGTGATTAAAGAAGTAATATACACTAATAATGAATAGTTCGAATGAATATCAATAGAGCATTAGCATAATAAATTTAGGAATTAACTAATGCATTAAGAAATTAATAAAAAAGAATGGTTACAATGATAAAATAAATAAATAAAGATGATGGAGGTATTTAAATGTATTAAAAATAAGGTAATTTTTTAAAATTGAGTGAACAAAAACAATAAGAAATGAAAGTTGCTGATGATGAACTTACTTAAGCAGAAGAGTAGATGTATGATGATATCATTTGTGAGAGGTTTTCATTTAAATATATATATATTAATTTAGAGATTAAGAAATCAATAAACTTGTTACTATGATTAATGAATTGGCTGAAGTGTTCAAATCATTAAATTAATTAGTTATTGATTAAGGTACTATTTTAGATAGAATTGATTACAATATTGATTAAGCCGTATTCAATGTAAAGAAAGCAAATTAAGAATTGAAAAAAGTATATTTTTATTATTATTAAATTAGGCTGAAGAATATTAAAACTCTCCATTAGCAAAACGATGCATTATAATACTCGTTATTATGATAGCAATTTGTAGTATTCTATTGACAATAAAATATTCAAGTTGAAGTCATTATTTATTATTATTATATAAAATACATTTTTTTAATAATGATTATTTAATTTAAATGATCTATATTTTATTATTATATTTCTAAATAAATATGTCTTAATATTTTATTTATATTAGTATTAAATAAATATTAAGATTCATTTTTTTATTTAATCTATTTATAAAAAAATGAGAGATTTAAAAATGATGAGAAAAGTATATATATTAATAATTACTAATTCAATTAATTATATATATATATTATATTAAAACTAATTATATTTAATGATTTTAAGCATTTTTATATAATCAATATATTTACTAACAAGAAATTAATTGATTTTAAGGATGAATTATGTATTATTATTATATATTTCATGTCGTAGTTTAATTGTTTTAATTATTCTTATAAAATTTATCATAAAAATATAAAATGGAAGCATATTAATTTTTGGACAATATTGGAAAAGGATCATTTGCAAAAGTTTACAAAGTTTTAAGAAAGGCAGATCAAAAGGTATTTGTTGCTAAAGAGATGGAATATGGTAGAATGGGTGAGAAAGAAAAATAACAATTAGTATTTTAAATTTAAATTTCAAAATAGGTAAATGAAGTTAATATTTTGAGAGAACTCAAACATCCAAACATAATCAAATATTATGATCGTATTGTTGATAAATAGACATAAAAGTTATATATAATAATGGAATATTGTGAAGGAGGTGATTTGGCATAATTTCTAAAAAAATTAAAAAAGGATAAAGAATACTTACCAGAAGAATCTGTTTGGAAAATATTCTCTTAAATAGTCTAAGCTTTATGTGAAATACATAAAAGATAAAATAAAATATTACATAGAGACATCAAACCAGCAAATATATTTTTAGATAAAACTGTAAAACTTGGAGATTTTGGTTTGGCAAGAATGTTAAACATAAATAGTGAATTTGCTCATACATAAGTTGGAACACCTTATTATATGAGTCCAGAATTAATAGAAGATCATAAATATAATGAAAAATCTGATATTTGGGCTTGTGGTTGTTTATTATATGAGATGTGTTCCCTTTAACCACCTTTCTAAGCATAAAATTATTTAGCATTGGCAATGAAAATTAAATAGGCTTAATATGAGAATATTCCATAACAATATACAACTGAAATGAAACGTGTAATAAGTTGGTGTTTGAGTGTAAATCAAGATTAGAGACCAAGTGTAGATGATTTATTAAATTTACCAAGAATTTCAATTCGTTTAAGAGAAAAAAGATTAAAAGAAAATTCTTTATTGCTTTAATAAAGAGAAGAAGATTTAAAAAAGAAATAGTAATATTTAATTGAATATGAATAAAAATTAAAAGAATTAGATACATAAAGAAATAAAGAAAATGTTTAAAATTGGTAGAAAGGTTATAAGAAAAATAGTGATCGATCAGAGAATTCGTTAACTACAGATTAAGATTCAGATTATAAAGAGTCTACTCTAGAGAAATTAATATAATGTAGAAGATCATTTTAATTTAAATAATAATGATCATTTAATTATTTTTGATTAATTTTTCTATTTTTAAGTTTCATAAATTTAACAGATTTGTAATTATTAAATTCAAAATAGTATTTTATATAAATAACTAGTTTATAATGGAACCCTCTGAGCTCTTAAAATATCAATTAAATACAATGAGTGATGAATAAAAATGCAGTGGCTTTAATGCATATTTAAATGAATAACTATTCTAATCTGCTCATAAAAAAAAGAGTCTTGAATAATAAGAAAAAATAATTCAATAATGGAATAAATTATCTTCAGAAGAAAAGAAAGAATTTTAAGAAAAAGAAGAAGAAATTAGATAACATGTATAAAAAGAAAAAAAAGAAAAAGAAAAATAAGATAAATCAAAAAAGTCACATAAAAGTCATCAAAAATAAGAAAAAGAAGATGAAGATGATGAAATGGAAGAAGTTAAGAAAAGTGTTTAACATATGAAAATTAATGAAGAAAAATAACATAATAAAAAAAAAACACATGAAATGAAAAGTGATAAACATGAAGACAAGGAAGAATGTGATGATGATGATGAAAAAGAAGAAGAACATAAAAATAAAAGTTGGTAATCTAAATAAAAGAAATCTAAAATGTCAGAAAAAGAAGATGATGATGATGAAGAAGAAGAAAAATAAGATAAGGTTAATGAGGAAGGGGAACATAAAACTAATAAGAAAAAATACAAAACAAGGTCAAGTAGATCAGGTTAAAGATCTGGTTAAAGATCTGGTCAAAGATCAGGATGTGGAAAAAGAAAAATGTGATTTTTATATTATTTTAGTTTGATAACTCCTTATTATTACCATTTTATTTTATTTTTCTATGTTTTTTTTTCAATTAGAATTATTGAAATTTGTTTGATTTATTATTTAATATATTATTATGATTAAGGTCTTATTAAAACATATATCATTTATTCTATTATTATGATAATGTTATTAAAAAGATTAACATTATTTATTAATATCAAGTAAATAATAATTAAATAAAAAGGGAATGTGACATAAATTATAAAGAAATAAATATATAAAAATATAATTATATTTGATTTTAACTAATTAGACATTTCATTGTTTATAGGAAATTACTACAACAGAAGATGTTCTTTTTGCTCTTCTATCTAAAGGTTCCAATTTAATTTAAGATGGTTTTCGTTTTTCTTTTATTGCAGTGTACCCTAACATTATTTCTGCATACTCTCGAGAAGCTTGAGAAAAGTTCATGGTACTTCTTTTAGGTTTCTGAGGACTTAATTAAGCAAGAGAATTTTCATTTGATTTATAGGCTTATTCATAAAAATTGGATAATTTCTAAATTTATTTATAATATTTACTTGCAATTTTTTATTTTTTTAATAGAATGTAGCATTTTGAAGACTCATTGGTGTGTTTTCTTCTGAATAGTCAATTTTACCTAGTTTTTTTAAAGTAGTGGAACTTGATATAGTTGGAGATTCTATTTTGAGTGGAGACTGTATTTATCCAACAATATATTAGACTTATTTTATATGAAAACCTTGTTGACCTAATATGTATCCATATGAAAATTTTGGTATTTTTAATTATTGAATAAAGATCAACAATTTGATAATCTAAATCTAATGATATAATTACATTGATGAATTTGTTTTTGCAATCAAACAATTTAAATTATTCAAATAGACTTAAAGGCAAACTATCTTATTTAGTAAGCCAAGGATGTTATAAAGCTTGATTAGCTGTATAACGATCAGAAATATCAATTTTCAATAGACGAATAAGTAAATCTTTTGCTTATTGAGATATTGGCTTTTTGAAATGTAAAGGTTTTTCTAAGATGTTTTGAAGATATTATTGTTTTGTTGAATCCTATTTATAGAAGGGATGAACTCCTTGCAATAGTTAATACATAATAATTCCAGTCGCCCAAACATCCACTGGCTAATTTAATTAATGGTAGATGATACTTTAGAATAAAGTTTGCTTTATAGTATTTCAGGAGCCATATAGATGTAAGTACCACATTTACAAGTAGAATAGTCAAAGTTTTCAAATTATATGCTTAAACCAAAATCAGCTATTTTTGGTACTAGGTCTTTAGTTAATAAGATATTATCTAAAGAGATATATATAAAAAATAATAACCAGGTTTGATGTCTCGATGAATAATATTATGTTGATGTAAATAAGTTAAACCAGAGAGTATAGATTTCATAATCTATATACATTATTCTTCATTTAAATTTGGATTTTCATTCATATAATTTTTTAATGATCCTCCTTCCATGTATTCCATTACTAATAGTTAAGTAGATCTATACAATAAGAACTTAAATTATTACCCTCTAATATGTTTGACAATGTTATTATGATTCAATGATGAGAGTAATTCTTATTCTTCATCTGTATTTAAAACCTTTAATATAATTGTAACAATTACTTTTACAGCTACTATTTTTTTGGTGGTTTAGTCGAATGCTTTATATACTTTCCCAAAAGCTCCTTCACCTATTTTTTGTATGTATTCTAATTAATATTTCGAGAAAAGATGTGATGTTTCTTTCATAAAAAACTTTTTATACTTTTTTTTAAATAATTATTTGATGACATTTTAACAAAATCAAAGAAAATCATAATATAAAATAAGAATTCTTAATATATATATATTATAATTTAAGAATTAAAGAGAAATAAACATAGGCTATTATTTATAATTATTCTCATATAAAAAGAGAAAATAATATGTAATAATTTACTATTTCATATAAATTATAGAATGTATAGAAAAGAGAATAATAATACTTTATTAGAAGATTTTAATATAGAAATATTAATAAAGAAATAATAATTATTAATAAAAGTAGATTGAAATGAATAAACAACAATATTGAAAATATAAAAAATAAATAATCATCAAATTTCTTGATAATAACATATAAAAGACAATCATTTAATAATCTTTTCTAATTGTTAATGCAATTTATTCATATACAAAACTAACAATCCTACATTTTATGATGATGCTATTCCTAATGTAAATAAATTCTTAAAGTTGGACAATACAATACTTTGATCTTCTATTTCTACAAATACATAATTCAATTTAATGTTTTAAGCTTTTAAATATATAAAAATAAGATTACATAATTAAATGCCTCCAATTTGTTTGCAATCATCAAAAAATATACTCAATGTAGAAAATTGAGGTAATTAATGTTATGTTTAACCTACTTAAGCAATCATTTATCCATCAATTGAAGCTGCTACAAAAATAGATTACACCTTAAATTCATTCTAACATTAAGTCAATAATTATGTCAAGACTTTAGGTTGAATCATTAAATATATATATATATATATAATTATAATTTTGAATAAAATAAATCACTTAAGCATTTTATTGATAGCCATATTCTTTTCAATATCCTTTTTCATAACCTTAGCTACAGACATCTCAAAATCTTCTTAAGTAACATGAATCCTTCTTTCTCTTAAAGCAAACATACCAGCTTCTGTACAAACTGCTTTAGATTCAGCACCAGAAGCACCAGGCATCACTTCTGCAATCTTTCTTAAATCAATTCCTCTCATTAAATTCATCTTTTTTGAATGAATTTTTAAAATCTCTAATCTAGCATCAACTCCAGGATTAGGAAATTCAACTTTTCTATCTATTCTTCCAGGTCTTAATAAAGCTGAATCTAAAATATCAATTCTATTTGTAGCCATAATAATTTTAATAGTTTATGTAGATTCAAAACCATCAAGCTATATAAATAAATATATAATATTACTTAATTTAATAATTCTAACATAGTTCTTTATACTTCTGAATCTCCACCTCTTTCACCTTCCATTCTAGCACCTCCTATTGAATCTACTTCATCTATAAAGATTAAACATGGAGAATGTTAACGAGCCATTACAAACAATTCTCTTACCATTCTTGCTCCTTCTCCAATATATTTTTATACTAATTCAGATCCACTTACTCTAATAAATGTACAATCCTATTAATTAATATTATCTAATAATACTGTATGATGTGCTATTGCTCTAGCTAATAATGTTTTCCCTGTTCCTGGTGGTCCATATAATAAAACACCTTTTGGTTAAGCAATACCTAAACTCTCAAATATTTCTGGATGTTTGATAGGTAATTCAATCACTTCTTTTACTTCCTTAACTTATTAGTCTAAACCACCAATCATATCATAAGTTGAATCTGGCACTTTTTCTACTTTCATTAATGAAACTAAAGGATCCACTTTTGTTGGTAGAATCTTATGTAAAACATATGAATCACTCTTCAAGGCAACTCTAGTATTAGGTTTACAATCTTCAATTTTAATACTCTTATCTAATGTAACAACATATTTCCCTTCTGGATTCACTTTAACTAAAACTTTATCTTTTCCCATCTATTTAACAACATCACCAACATAAGAATGAGGCTCTTACATGGCTTACAATTCTTCCTTAACTTACCTTACTCAAAATAAAAATTTCAAAATTACCCAAACTATTTAACTCATTTCTCTATGCCTCTTATCTCTTTACATTAGCTTATTTTTCTGCAATCATAAATTCAAGAAGATCTAATTTCCCTTAGATATATTGCTTTACACTTTGTTTTTCACTCATCTATTATTTAAAATTAAATTAGATTAGGATTATTAATCATGTAATTTTTTGCAGAGGAAGAAACCTTGTTAGGATCAATTGTTTCTAGCTTATAACCAAAGTATTAAATAATATATAGTATAGAAAAGCTGAAACATAAAAGAATTGGGGAATATTTGCAATCCTATTTATGTCTGGACTTATTCTTATCATAATATCTATACCATTTGCCTCCTTTCTAATACTCAATCCTAAACCATTTTGTTTACTCTTTTCAGCTGGCTCCTTTATTATTTTGTTATCCATGCTTTAAATCATTGAACTCAAAACGCTATTTAATAAAATTTCTTCCTCTGCTGCTACATTGCTTTATCTTGTATCTCTAATAGCTTGTTTATATACAGGAATGTTCTATATGGGATATTTTTACACTCTAGGATTATTATCACTTCAAGTAAAAATCTTCATTAAATTAAGATTGCATCTTTAATATATTTGACAGTATCCCTATTTCCTGGAGGAAAAACAGGTATGCATGCTGCATTCAATTTATTAAAGAATCAACTCAAAGGAATATTCTTAAAAAAAACCTTTTTACCATTGTGAATGTATATATATATAATCATAATGTATATTAATCAAAATAGAATATTTATGTTATTTATTAATGTACAATCCTAATATCTCTCTTTTTTTCAATTCTAATAATTTCATAATATGTTACTTAAATCTGATTTATAGATTTCATATAAAATAATTTATATTTACAATCAAATATTTGATTATAAAGCAAATTAGTGGTAAATTTATTTAATTTATTCACTCTTTTTTATAAGTCAATAAATAATGTTTGAATTTTATATTTATGCATTTATTTTAATAAGTTTAAACATACTAAAATTGATTTCATTTATTAATAATATTTCATTAATTAAATTTGAATTAATATAACTATATATATATGCAAAAGAAGCAGCTTTAGATCAATGGATTAAAGTATGTATAATATCATAAGCAAGTTAGTCATCCAAAATGTCTTACTCAAAGTAGATCTCCAAAATATTAATAAAAACCTATTGAACCATAAATGATTAAATAAATTACTTAATTGATTAAAAGCTCTAAAGATAGACATACTGAAAGATAGTATAAACCTATAGAAAAATTAAAGTCTATTTAAATTAATCAACCTTAAATTACATCAAGAGCAACAGAAAGTAGAGATATGTCAACAACATTTCATTAATTATTACAAGAGTTTAGAAATAATAATAAACAGAATAAGGAAAATTCATTTAATAATATTAATAAGCCTTCTTAAAAAGTTAGATAAATTAGTTTTCCAAATACGGTTCTTCTTAGTAATACAAACAGTAGAACAAGAATTAAGGATAGTATGTATTTGAATTAAGGTGATTAAAATGAAAAATTAACTTAGAAAATACTATCCATTGCTCAAACAACATAAATTTAAAATAATTATAAATTAGAATTCAATGGAGTTATTGAAGATATGTATCGTTGTTCATAGGAATCTCAAAATTTATTGAATGAAATCAAAGATAATTTAAAAAACTAAGAATCTCATTTTAGAAAAAGTTCTTAAAGATGTGTATCTGCAGATATATAAATGATATCCAAAAGTCCCTTTTCAAAATCTAGATCTTCTTCTATAGATCACAAAGAATCTAGATTTTTTGGTTCAACTTAGGCTAATTCAAATCCTAAAGAATTAGATTTGACTTGTGATGAGAATGAGATAGTTATTAATAATATAAATATAGAAGACAGAATCAAAACAGAACCTGATCCTTTAATATAATTAGAAAGAGAATATCTAACAGATCCATATTATTTAACTGAATAAAGTGAAATCAATTAACTTATGAGAGCTATTTTATTTGATTGGATGATGGAAGTAGCTATGGAATTTAGATTAAAAAGATAAACTTTTCATTTATCTATCTTTTACCTTGATTAATTTCTATCTAAAAAATAAGCTAATAAATAAAATTTATAACTTATTGGTTTAACTAGTTTATTGATAGCAAATAAAGTTGAAGAAGTTATTCCTATTGGAGTATAATAATTTGAAAAGGCTGCTAATTATGGTTATACAAAGGATGAAATATTAAATATGGAATTGAACATTCTATTTGTAAATATAAATTATTAATTTTATAGACTTTGAAATGGCATGTTAATCCACCTTCTTATAGTTATTGGATTAATTGGTTTACAGATTAATGGGATATTTATGCAGAAGATTATGGTTTAAATATTTACTTTAGAAAACCAAATGAAGAATCTTATCAATGTAATTCAATTTTAATTAAAAGTGTTTAGAAAGTTATGTTAATTAGTAGATTGTACATTGATGGATATTTAGACTTTACAATATATGCCAAGAACTATAGTAGCATCATTTATGTACTTAATTATTTCTTTTTAACTTAATGTATATGATTAAGACATGCTTGAAACAATGTCATAAACTTCAATGTTTCTATTAAATAGTATAATAAAATATTTATAATTTAGAAGATAATTAATTTAATATAATTTTTGGATAATTTGTATAAACTACCTTTGGATTTGCCTTATAAGATATCCTTCCAGCCATATAATATGTTGTTGGCTTTTATGAGCTAAATATTAATTATGATACACCTCCTGGAGTAGTACATTTATCAAATACACCTTTAGAAGTATTCTTTAATTAATAAATAATAGTCAAATTATGAAGAGTTTCTATCATTTCAATGTTATTCAAAATCATTACTTGAATTTATTAAATAAAAATCAAGAGATTGAAATATTTAATTAATATATTAATGTGATTTATAATTATTATCAATAGAATTTATAAGATAATGTATAATATATATTTATGTAATTATTTTATGAATATTGATCATTTAGACAACTATTTATAATTCTTTTTTTCATGAGCTCTTAACTCATGTGGTGACATTCCTATTTTCAATTTTAAATCTCGAAATGTAGCATCTATAAAATATTATTTATATCTTTTGATATATTTTGTTTATTCTCTATTTAATTTCTATTCGCATCTAAAACAATAAAAATACAAATTCTATGCATCTTCAAGAGAACTCAAAAATCCTAAACATTTAAGATGATACCATTCTGAACAAATTTCACATTCTAAAATAATAAATAAATATAATACACATCATTTCTTCATCATTTTATTATTTGCATATACAATATTATTATTAAATATTGATAGCTTCTTTTGGTATTTTTATTTTTAGAGATATATTATTATTAGATACTCCATTTTATTTTTATTTTTTATGATATTTAAAGAATTTTGGTCTAGAATATATTGAATGTCTATTTCTATTAGGTAATTCCTATATTGAAGGCATTTACAATTATATTATTGCATTTCCTTACTTTTTCTTTTTTCTCATTCTAATTGCTCTCTGATATAGAATATAAACCTATTCAGATGAACATTTTTCATTAGCCAATTATTACCAAATTCTATCATTTTCTTCAATATCATATATAGATTATCTCTTTAAAGGTAATTAAATATCTACAACTTAATTTTATTAGAAAGTTATAATGAATTTTTCATCTTTTTCTAGTATTTCAGCTATTCTTTAAAATAATAATTCATTTTCTTATTTAATATCTGCTTCAATTTCTTCTTATTATGCTTTTAATTCAAATTTCTAAAATTCAATATCATTATTTTTAGGTCTATGAGCTAATAATTATTCTAATTTTTCATATTATTTAAAAAATGAATAAATCTCTTCCTTCCATTAATTATGTTAATCCTCAAATATTCTCTTGATTTTTAAAGGTTAATGTTTAAAACAATAAATATTATCTGATTCCATATAAATTTATGATCTTCTAGCACATTCAGGATGAAATGATATAGTACATTTAGATTTTGAACAGGATACACATGCTCCATTTTTCTTCTATTTACATATACTACATAAACTATTAAATTTCCTTTTATCCACCTTCACTAAATCAAAATCTAACCATAGTGAACAAGAAACATGAGTCCAAATCTTTTCAGCTTTTGGTGGTTCATCAGACATATTTTCAAGTTGATATTAAAGTATCATAAAATTGTAATTTTCTTCACCATCTGGAGGAGGTTCTAAAATAAATAAATTAATTACTTTATCTATCAACTTTATAATTGATAGCATATGTATGAAAAGTAGGATTGATTAATTCAAATATAGAATCTTTCATTGACATTGAAGTAGGTCTCATAGCTCCTCCTAATTTTGGACAGAGAGGACATTTTAAATATCTCCCTTTATTACCAAAATTCAAACAAACATCACAAATCCAATTGTTAACTGCATTTTCTAAACCATAACACTTTTAATGAACTACAATTTAACATTTTTAACAAGAAATCAAAGGATCTTCAGATCTAACCCCTTGATTACAAATCTAACAATTATTATAAACATTTTATAATTTTCTAGCTGTTCCTGCTAAATTAGATGATTTAGTTTAATTTATAATTTATTCATCATAGTATCTAAAATATATATATTATTATTAGATTACTTTTATTAACTTTCAAGATATGTTAAATATTGATTTTCAATATCAGTTAGGCCAACTAGATCTTTGAGAATGTAATCTGGAGGATTTTAGATATTCAAAGTAGACTTTTCTATTTGTATTGCATCTATTTGAGTATTGACTTGGAGTTAGGTATCAAGTAATTGTTGTTCTAATTCTGTCTACAATAATTCCAAATCATTTTTGGGTGATAATTCTTTTAACCATCTATCTTAGATTATAGTTTACTATGTTTCTCATCTCCATAATGAACCAATCATCAAAATAAGTGTATGGACGAGCAGTTTCTTCTTGAATTTGGTGACATTCTTAATTGATTCTAAAGAGTAAATATTATTGAGTACTTTATGATTTTAGGATCAACATTGTTTTGAAAGTATTGGGAACATATAATAAACCAGTAAGTAATTGGAGTCAAGTACTTGATAGGAGTGATTTTTGATGATGGTTCCACCCAGTTAATGTCATTTAATCGTTAAACTATTTCAAACAATTATTGATAAGTTTTCCCATTATTAGCTGGATTTTAGTGGATTGGTTTGTCTTCCTATTCTTAAGGAATAGGATCTAGAACGTATTACTCCTCAATCTTTTCTCTGTTTTACATATCATCATAGGAAGGAAACATCAGCTACTCAAAATTGTCGAAGCTGTTGTCCACAGACATTTTAAATTAAAAAAATAAATATCTTTATTTTCATTCCATTTATATATATTTAATTATCCCCATTCTTCTTAATCATTTCCATTGATTGTATTTCAATGTTCTTCAGCCATAAAAACAACCCAATTTCCTATTAATTATAATTACAATCAATAACACATTCTCTTAAATCAATGTGCAAAACCTTCAAATAGTCTAAATTTCCATCCATCTCTAAATTTATTAATCCAATATCAAATACACTCCCTTCTTACCACATCTTTTGAGTCTACTTAATATTCTCTAAGAGATCATTGTCTAATCCAGACAAATCATACTATATTCTCTCATTAATCACAATCCACAATTTTAAATCCATCAATTACACTATTCAATTCTTCATAGTTATTAATTTGTACACTATATCATATTTATATTCAATAAAGTACTTGATCTATTGAAATCAATTCCATTTGAATCAGATTCTTATTCATATTGTATTCATACTTTTATAAATACAAAGTAGAATGTTTAGATGAGTGTTTCATTATCAATTATCAACTAATAACAACTTATACAACTAATATTAGTCACAAAAGGTTCAATCAAAATTTATTCACTTAATAATACAATACAAATAGAAAAAACTTACAGAACTACAATTTAAATGTTTTTTTTTCTTAACACTTTTTTTTTCTATTGTAATTATTTACTACCTATAACTACCTATATTATAAACATTTAGTATATAAAATTGATCACCTTATTAAGAATATTAGTTAGTTTAAATATAAATATTATTTATTTATTTAAAAATTGAATGCATTGTGATTCATCTGATGAAGATGATAATAAAAATGCTATAGGAAAGAAATTTTTCATTTAATTATTAGAAACAGAAAGAAAAGTAAAGTGCATTCTTTAATTAAGTTTAGCACTAAAATAGAATCAATGGAATAAATTTTAGAGTTACTCAATATGTATGCTATGTGTGTAGAATTCTTTGATACAGTAAGTAATCCTGCAAAATATTATTTTATGGAAAAGATATCTAATACAATTGCAGAAAAAGAAGCATTTGAATTAATGTTAAAAGATGAGATTATAGCAAAATAGAAAAGAGAGAAACAAATGTAAATCAAACCAATCATTAAAGAAGGATAAGTTAAATATGATCCTCTTAAAAGACCTGAAAGACCTTTAAAATAATAGACTCCTATTAAAGAAGAGGAATAATAAGTATAGTAGAATAACAGAGAAAATAAGAAAATATCACAAAAATTAATGAGAGAAGTTAGATCAAAGAAATTAACAATGACAGAAAAAATATATTAATAATAAAATGAATAAAAAGTTTCAGTTGATTTAATTAAGAATTGGGATTATGAAGTAGAAAAAAATGGTAAGATGTGAATCTGATGTTATAGATAATATTATTAGACAATCTTTGTAATAATAAGGTGATAACATTTAAGATAGAATAGCTGATAGATTAAATAGATTACGTAAATAATTAAATAGTAATTTAACAAATGAAATGTGTTTAGAAAAATATGATACTTGATTAAAATGATATTATTATTTTTATTCAATTTTCAGGTTTATGTGGTCTAGGCATATCATCACCTGGTATTTCAACATCATCAAATTATCTATTCTATTAATTCTATAATTTAATTTCTGATTATGGTTGAACCTTTGTTCTATTAAGTAATTCTTCAGGATGAGTTGAAGTGAAATTCTTAAGGTGAGAATTTGTACTCTTCTTTAAAAAGATTCCATCATTATGTTTGTCTCTACACATAAGATAAGTGACATAAAAATCAAGGACATTAGTAATAATACAGAGGATGAAATTTAAAAGAACATAATTGTAAACTTTGATTTCGTACTCGTTATAGAAATCACTCATTTCTTGTAAAGAGAATTTATCAGAACAATCAGCATTTATAAAATCATAGAAGTGATCCATCATTTATTATTAGTATCCCATATCAGAAGCCAAGATAATAGTGCACAGGATCTCACCTATCATCTTGACTCCTAACCAAAATCCAAATAAATCTTTATAAAGTGAACTTTTTCTATTCAAACTTGCATATTTAAAATTACATCCCACCAAAGATATTGCTGATATTAATGGAATTAAGAATCCAAACATTCCTGCTTAAATTCCTACAATTACTTAAGCAGCTAATTAAACATCCATTACATTATCATTGATATATGAATTTAAATCATAAATAAATTCTAGATCTTCAGCCTAACACAATTCTGATGAATTGTAATAAAATTGAGTTAGGTATCTGTAAAATAAATTAACATCTACAATTATTTTAAATATTACTTCTATTTTCAATAACTGAATTTTTATATAATTAATTATACTCTTCTTATACTTCATTTACCATTAATAAATCACTATATGTCATATCATTTGTTAAACGTACATATCTTTCATCATTATCATAACAATGATAATTTATCATCTTATCTAAATACTAAAACTAATAAATATCTGAAATTGAATAACATATTGAATCTATTATAAGTTGAATAATTTAATTACTAAATCCTATTGTAAATCCTGTTAATGGTAATTCATCTTATTGAACTCTGAAAATTTTCAAATATAACCCAGTAGTTCCTATTGCCTCTCCATTTTAATCTGTTGAAATGGTAAAATCATTGATTGGACATAATTCATTAGATGGAATTTGGAAAACATTACCACATTTTTTGTATCCTTCATTAGCCTCACCAATTTAAAATGATTCAATTGCTGTAGAAGTACTCTACTTTGCACATAATTTGAAAGCTTAAGTTAAATCAAAATAAATCACATTTAACTGAAGTTTGATCAATAAAAGGCCAATGTTAGAATTACTTTTCATATATTGGTTCTACAGGTTAACAATTTTCAGCTAGCATAAACTCACTACATTCCATATAATAATAACTTTTTTATTTTTTAAATTTTTACTTTGTATATTTGTATTTCCCTGTTCCATTTGATTATGTACAATCACATCCAAGTTCTGTACCAGGCCATGTGAAATTTAACATATTAATATAACCTTCATCACAAGTATTTTAGATCTTTAAATCTTCTATAAACTTATTATCCCAATCTGAGTAAAATTGTGGTGCCTTGATAATATATCATTTTAATATACAGAATCCATGAGTATTGATTAATTGAATACAGAAACCAAAATAAGTCCAAAACTTATGAAAGTATATATCACTATACAACATTGATATCCTGCTACCCAAGGAGTTGCCTCGTAGGTGTTTAGTTTTTGCATAAATAAAAATAAAATGACAGATTAACTATTTGTCGGTTAATTGTAGCAGAAAGTAGGAGAATTGAAAACTGAGTATGATTTATAAAGAAGTATCAAAGATAACACTATCAATGCTAAAATAGTATATATTATGTTGATGCAATTAGCAACGTTCCAGAGATAAGATATGTGAAATTCTGAGAAGGGTTCAAAGTAAAAGACCAAAGTTATAAACTGAAGAAAGTGAAGAATCATTAGATGGCAACATACCTGAATTAAAAAAACCATATGAAAGTAAATATAATGAGGAAGTCTTGTAAAGAAGACATTATATATTCTAATTCAAAATGTATTTGCGTAGAAAAAGGTATGATTTTATTCAATTTACTAAAGAGAACGATTATAGAGAGAATAAGAATTCAAACTTCTTAAGTTATTAGACTAATAGACAGAGGCTCTTTAAAAATGGGTCACTAAAGATCCAAATGATTTAGACATGTTTGATTTCTTTTACACTTAAATAGATCCACATCGTAAAGGATAAGTACATCATCTTTAACTTAAAAACTTTATGTATGAGAATCCATTAATAATGACACTCTTTTAATTTGATAGATAATCACTCTAGTTGGCATTAGATTCTTTTCCAGTTAAGGAAAGATTTCATCTAAAACAAGATGAATTCATATAATTTTTGTAGAAGTATTAAAAGATTAAACCAGAGAAAGGATTTCGAGAGTATGTTCATTTATTTGATCCAATTCATAAATAAGTTAATCTTTTTGAGAATAATCCTCGTATCTTATTGTTAGAAGATATCTCAAAAATATAGGAGGCTTTTGATACAGTAAGTGAAAATGGGTTGGCAACAGTTGATGAAGCTATAAAATCTATTCGTTAAAATTGTGAATTGTTTGTATATGCTGTTCATGTTGTTGTTTTTGGATTGAATTTACTCTTAGAAAGTGTACTATAATAAATAGAGATTGGATATCTGAATAATCCTGATGAATAGATATCATGGAATTAGTTTATGTATTTCTTTGATAATCTTCCAAATGATTAAGATGAAGAACCATTACCATAATAATAAGAAGAATAAATTTCATCTGAATCATCAGATGATTATTTCTATAAAATGACTGCAAAATATGAGATCCCTCCACCACCTGAAACTGAGAAAAAGAAAGTTAAGAAACAATCAATCCCAAGAAAACCCTTTTAAGAGATTAATGTGGATAGGATGTAATTTACAATACCCAAGAAAACAGGATAGGAGAAAAGAGATGTCAATAAGTAGCCTAGTATAAGGGAAAAATGGGTTATGGAGTAGGTTAGATAAAAATAAGAAGAAATTGAAGAAGCTTATAAATTTAGACCATTTAAGGCTAAGGCAATACCATATAAGGTGAAGGATAAGAATTATTATAATGAATTGTTGGAGAGAGAAGAAATAAGAAGAAGAGAATTGAAGGAGAGATGCAAAGAAAAGACTTAATCTATGCAGAAACCATTTAATTTTGAGGATAGAAAAAGAGAATAACCTATTAAATTACCTGAAGATTAAGAGGAACCATATAAATTTAGAGCTAATCCTATTCCTTGGTATTGTTCATTGAAATTATATGAACGTAATATTTAAGAGTAGAAGATAAAAAGTGAGAATAGAAAGAAGATTAGAAAGTTTTGGTTATAAGAGAATTCAAAATTACCACCTCGTATGTAGGAATGGATTGAAAAGATGAAATTAAAAGAATAAGAGAAATAATAAGAATTATTAATAAAATCTTATCAGGAATCATCTAGAAAAGTCAGAGCAAAATCAATACCAAATTTTAATAAATTGCATGATCAATTCTAAAAATAATTAGATAAAAAGAAAAAGAAAATAAAAACTACTATACCTATTGGACCTATATTTCATGAAAGTAAAAAGAAAGCTTAAAGAGATTATTTGGATGAGAAATCAATATAAAAGGAGGATCCATTGAAAAAAGCTAAGAAAGCTATTTCAACAAAACCTAAGATCTAACCAAGATCAACTGATAAATTTAATGCTTATGTTGATTACATATTTACTATGAAATAAAATTAACTTGCTCTTGATTAATAAAATTAAGAGGAATAAAATTAAAGAGAGGATAAAAAATAACTATTTAGACCAAGAGTACATTAATCTTGGGCTATTCAAGATCATAATTAAGTTTAATATGAAAGATAATAATAAAAGTTTATTGAACAATATTAAAAGAGGAGACAAGAAGAGGAAGATTTCAATAATATGATGAAAGAAATCTTTGTTAGAGTTTATTAGAGACCTTTATTGATGGAAGTAGAAGCAGCTAAAAGTTAATAATAACCTTAAGAAGAATAAGAATAATAAGAGTAATTTGATTATATGAATCCTATTGGTGAATAGGATGTAGAAGAATCAGAAAGAATATCTTAATAAGATCCAGAAGGTGTAGATTAAGTAGGAGAATAAGCAGAATAATCTTTGAGAGAATATGATGGATAGGAAATAGATGGAGAATATGATGATTAAATTGATATTGATAATTTAGATCCTAAGTTACTTGAAAAACTATAGAAAGATGCAATAGGTATATAAGTATATTTATATTATAGCTAAATAATATGGATTGACAGAAGAATAGATGGAATAAATAGAATAAATGGGAGGATTTGAAGCTGTTTAAAATATGGGTTATGAAGAAGATGATGATGATGATGATTAAGAGTAAGATGATCAAGAAGAATTATAAAATCCTCATTATAAACGCCATTCATTTTGAAACTTATTATTATCTATTAATATATATATATATATAAATACAAATTAATGTAGAGATACTATGAATCAGACAGATTATCCCAACTTTCATAACCAACAAAGAGATCTTAGAAGTATACATAGAATTAATCATTAATGGTGATGTCAAGGTAATTTGAATTTTGAGAATAGACTGTGTGACAATCATTTTGATAAAGACATACATGAGAAACCGTGGATTTCTTTAGGAATATTTCGATATGAGTACTTATATGAATGTTATTAAGTGTAGTCGGATGATCAAGTACGAACACTCAGATGCTGGACTGTCGTACACAAATGTGAAGATTAAGAAGTTACGAACATTTTAAGAGTTATGGGAGAAGAATGAAGAGATTCATAATAAGAGTGAATAACATTAAGGCTTTAGGGAATTTAGAGAATTCAAAGATATTTCTGAAGAAGATGTGATTGTTACAATTGAATATTGGTAAAAGAGTAAATTAATTGCAGTACTAATTGTCATGAACATATGGGATCTACAAAACATGATGAAGCACGTTATCTTACATATGCCTAAGCCCTTAAGAATGAGATTATCTAACGATTTCCAATTGTTAAAGTGATTCTTAAACCATTAATATATGATCATTTTGATCATAGTATAGACACCATGTTTTTATAGCGTCGTTTAGGTATTCTTTAAATAGAATTCACTTTAAGGATGTTTTGAAGTTTAAGTGATGTCTAAATAAAAAGGACAAATCAAATAAGCTGTAATTGGATCTAAACTTAATACTAAAGCATGGCCATAGACTTCAGTGATTATAAATAAGTTGCCTTAATATTTTAAGAAGGTTTCATTTAATATAGATTTAAAATTTGCTGATTCTGATTAGAAATTAAAAAACATAGATGTCAAAATACAACCCTATAGACCTGTTCAATCAAGATCCCAAAGCATTATGTGTAATTAAATACTTTTATTATACAATTTAGTAACATCCAGATCAAACAGAATGTTGAGACCCCAAAGTGCATAGACTAGACCAAAGTCAGCTTATTCTAATATTTCAGGATAATCTTAAAGAAGTTTGAAAGAACCAGTTGAGAATCCTTCATATAAGATTGAAAGAACAAATTAGGATGGTAGAATCTCTTTAAAAAATGTACCTTTAGATGTTTATGAGGTTATTATAGAGGAAACTAATGATTTTCTAAGAAAAACTCAAGTAAAATTCATTTATTATAGGTAATAGTAAATAAATTTATTTTAATTAAATGCTGACGATTAGCCTCTTGATTAAGTAATTAATTTAGAGAAATAAACACATTCTTGTATAATAGTAACTGCAGTTTGTCAAATGGCACCAGTAACAGAATGTAAAGTAGAGATAATTCCAATGAGAGGTGGAAAGGATGCTGTTTTGAAAGAGTCACCTCCAGGAAGTGGGAAGTATGAAATTGTAGTTGAACCTGATTAATTCAATATATTTGTTAAGAAAATAGGATATATTGTGTATAAGGGTCAAATATCTCCAAAGGCTGGAGTATGTGAATTTAAATTTGAATTAATAAAAGCTAATACGTAAGAAGAAGGATATGATCCTGTTTAAGATGCATTAGATAAAAAACATGCTATAAAACCATCAAGTGATTTAATGATAAAGAAACCTAAATATTTGTAACCTCCATCAGTACATTAAGATAAAATCAATCTTATTTAATTTTAATTTATAGATTTAGTGAGTAAATATCCAGTGCCTAATGTATACATTAAAGTTCATGATGAAACTAATAATAAATTATATAGTTATCGTTCCAATGAGAATGGTATATGCAAAGCATTATTACAAACCAACAGTATTTTATATTTGCTATAATAAATTAGTTATCAAAGGTAGAATATTCATACAACATGTTGAATATTATGAAGAAACTAAAGAAATTAATGAATAACATCCATTGTCTACAACTTCCATAAATCATTATCATATAATACATAAGCCATAATAGTCTCAATTAGTTGTTTTACTTGTTAATAAACCAAATTAAGGTTTCTTGAATTTCTATATAATATTGGAAAGTAATTTACAAATATAATAATTATTTAGATAAATAAGTAATTTAATCTGATTCAGATATTCAACAATATTAAAATCCAAAAGATGGAATTCAGTTGATCAGTTTTTCGAATCTATAGAATAAAAGAGATATTCTATAGTTGGTTGCCTGTCTACCTAAATTAAAAATGGATTCTATTGAAGAAATGTGTGTCTTGACACCAAATTCAATTGAACGTTATTAATTACCTCAATTGCCATAAGAATAAGGAACATTATATCCATACTTTTGGATTCTAGGATCATTAAAAGAACCATATGAAGCATTTGATGTGGTTAATTAAATAATCAACACATCTCAATTAAAAACTTATCCTAATCTTACTAAATCACATAAAAATCCTTAAGAAGTTGCATAATGTGCATTTTAATCACCAAATCTAATTGTTGCTGCAAATCAAAATGGTAGTGTTAGTATATGGAATTTGGATAGTTATTTAATAGATAGTACAATTAATTGTAAATTTTCTGATCATGTTAATACTATTATAATTTGGGATGATGAAAATGTTATGATCTCTGATAATTCTGGTTTGGTAGTCTGGTTAAAAAAAGATGATGATACATAATAATTCATTCTAGTATATACATTGGCCATCAATAAAAAAACTAATTCAATGTGTAAAGTAGGAGCTGAAGGTTTAGCTTTGGGTACAAATGATGGAGAATTAATATTAGTCAAAGTAGATTTAAGATAATTGTAATTATATATTGATACTGCCATTTAAGTTGAATCTTCAACATAAACTGTTGATCCTATCAATAAAATGGTTTCTATTACTAATGATCAAATAGCTTTTTTATGTGATAATAATAAATCCATTTTCATCTATAAGATTGAAAAGTCATTAGATAAACCTTTGAGTGGAACACTTATTAAATAAGTGATTATCAAAGGCTATCTTAGTGGTGGATAACCAATACTATAGATTATTTCTATAGATTAACGTTACTTAATTTTTGGAGGTCTTGATGGTGTATTACATACTTTAAGCATTGATTCATTAGAAAGAGGTCCAAACATTAGTCTTCATTCTAATCAATAAGTTAATAGTGTTTTATCAAATGAAGATGGAGTTCTAATTGCTTAAGGCAATCATATAAGTTTTGTATATGGTCTAGAAACTATCAATGAACTCAAAATTACTAATTAAAAATATTTTCAATCTCCAGTTATGGTATATCAAGGAGAATGTGTCACTTATGAAAAGAGATTACTTACATTTACTAAATAAGGTAGATTAGTTGTTTGGTCTTTATAAGATAAACTCTTTCCTGATATAAGTAACTTTTTATTAGATACTGAATTTCCTCATAAATTAAAACCTATTGATAGATAATATCTATTAGTAGATGCTAAAATCTCTAAAGAAAATTTCAGTATTTATTTAATTAAAGAAAATGGAGAAATCATTAAAGATTCAACTAAATTAATTAAATTTGAAAGAGAAGACACATATTTTTATATGGAAATAGATTAAACATAATAATAAGGTTTATGGAGATTGGGAGCATATTTGTAGAATACTGAACTAATTAGATCAAAATAACCTAAAATATACTTTATATCTTCACATGGATATTAAGTATTAAATTTTCCTTAATAAATTCCTATTAGTAAAAAATAAGCTTATCATTGGTTGATTGGTACCTTAATTCCTCATGTAGATACATTAAAATCTACATCACTTTATACTGATTCTTAAATTGTTGGTAAATTCCCAAGTTTAGAAATGAGTAAACATGAAGGTAAAATCAATCAAATAGTCTTCCTTTATAAAGATGAGTTTATCACTGCAGGAGAAGATAAATAAGTTATTATATGGAATGCATAAACATTTGAAATCAATAAAGTATTATATCATGAAGCTGAAGTCTTAAGTGTTTATGTACATAATGGAATGTTGTTAGCAGGTAATAAAGAAGGAACTGTAATTGGATGGAAATAACATGATGGTATTTGGTAAATGGATATCAAATTCAAACATCATGAAAAAGGAGTTTATTCTATTGTATATGTTGATGGAAGTATTGTAACAGCCTCAGAAGATAGAAAGATTCAATTAGTCAATTTTGTATCAGGTGCTTTAGAACATGTAGAACCAGTAGATAGAACATTTGTAATATCATTGGTTACTTATAATAAAGATGTATTTGCAGCTGGATTTCCTGATGGAAGAGTCAAAACATACAAAAGAGTAAATAAGATGTTTTCTATATGATTTTAGGAAAAAACAGGTCCAAAAATTATATTGAAGACTTTAAGAACAGTTGTTACAGTAAAAGTGTAACATTTGTACATGATTAACAATAATCTATTATTTGTTGGAGGGATGGATAAAGTAAGTGATTTAATGAATGTAGAATAAGGAACAAAATTAAAGTAAATTAATTAAATATATTTAGAACATTAAAGGATGGTCATACTGGATCAATTTTATGCAGTTTATTATATTTTAAACATCTTATAACTGGTGGTTCAGATGGTAGATTGAGTATTTGGAATTTTGATAAAGGATTGTTAATTAAGACATATGAATTGACTAAAGAAGAAATTAGAGGTGTTTTTATTATTGGTAGATTATTGATTACTGCAAGTAAATAATAATAATCAAATATTAAGGTTCCAATGGAATGATAAGAATTTGGTAAGAGATTTGCCCATTTATTGAATAGATACCACCTGAAGAAGAACCAGAATAATAATAATAATAATAATTATAATAGTGATTTATATATTCAATAAATAATTAATATGATCATCTAATAGAATTCTTCCTATTTTATTATATAAAATAAGAATATTTAATTCATTATTTAAGAGAAATAAGATACTGATTATTAAAAATAAAACAATAAGTTTAATTTATTATTATTAATATATATATTAAAATGTTAATAAATAAGAGATTTACTTTTATGTTTTATAGATGCTTGTAAAATGCAAAAAAATTCATAATTTTGAATAGGTTTTATAGTATTTTGAAATTTGTAATAGCATTGATTTTGAGTTTTAATTTGAATTGTTAATCTGATAATATTATGTATTGGTTAATAATATTGACACTGCATTCCATTGGAGCATATTTCTATTACACCAAATTATATCAATTTTTGAATGACATAGTAATGTAAATAAGCATTCTAGGGAGTTGTAATAGAAATAGCAGAAAGTTTAAATCATGCTATATAATTTGAAGGAAGGCATTATCAACCAGAACCTTAAGGAGATCACCCTTTTGAATTTGTAGTGACTTCAAATCAAGACTCATATATCTATTTAAATTAAGAGGAAACAGAAAGAAGATAACTCATTCTTACAGAACAAATCAAATCTGAAGTTGCATTAAGAAATAGAACCATCCGTTATTTTTAAATCTTTAATGCTTTGACTAATTAAATACTTATCATTTGGGCAATTTATATATAAACAAAAATGGAACCTATAGATAATTGTTATAGAAATTTGATCACTTTTTAGATGATGTTTTTAATAATATCATTGTATTAATATTGGGAAATGTACATATTATGCTTAATAGTATTGATATCATTACCATTTATTTTATTAATGATATTATGGAAAAAGTTAAAGTAATAAAAACAAAACTACATAAATTAATAAATTTTGAATGAACTTATATTAAATGCAAAAGTGATTTATTAATGTGAAAATGTATAAGGTGATTAGGAATGTGGAATTTGCTTATAAGTATATAGTAGAAATGAAGAATTGTTAATCCTGCCTTGTAATTAATAACATCATTTTCATATGCATTGTATAAAGGCTTGGTTAATAATCAACTTTAGTTGTCCAAAATGCAGATCAAAAATTAGTGATTATAGAAACACTTAATTAACAAGTATTCTATGATATTTTTATTTATGTTATGATAATTTCATAATGTGGCTGATGCAATCTTTCTTTCTTTATATTCTTCTATCAATTTCATTAAATGATTCATAGATCTTTATGGATCAAGTCCCTTTGGACATGTAAAAGAACACATACCAATATTTTAACAATCCTCTACCTTAACATCCTCAGCTATTAATATAGAAATATAAGAATACCTAATTTTTCTAATCTTTCATCTGTATACTCATCTCTAGAATCTACAATCCATCTATAAGCCTACATCAATACAGCTGGACCAAGATATCTATCTGGATGCCACCAATATGATGGACATGAGGTTGAGCAACATGCACACAACACACATTCATAGAGACCATCTAATAACTTTCTATCTTCAACTGATTGAATGTATTCTTTATTTCCTTCCTATAATGATAAATTTAGATTCTCATACCTTTGGAGTCTTTCTCTTCAAATAAGGGTCAATTGTTTTGTATTGAGTGTAAAAGTTAGTCATGTCAACAACAAGGTCTTTCACTACGAACATATGACCTAAAGGAGTGATGTAGGCTGGTTAAGTTAAATCAGTGTCTATTGCATGGATACATGCTAACTTATGGAGACCATTGCAATTCATAGAACAAGATCCACAGATACCCTCTCTGCATGAACGACGTAAAGAGAGAGATGAATCATAATTGTCTTTGATGTACAATAATGCATCCAAATACATAGGGGGTATCTTCTTCAAGTCAACATAGTAACTCACATATTTTGGAAAGTCATTCTCATCCTAAAATCAATAAATTAAATCATACAGCTGGATCATATCTATAAATCAAAAATTGCTTCATTTTAGACTTCTCTTCAGCTGTGAGTTTTGGATTATGTTCAACCACATAATTTATTTATTATATGCCTTTAACTGTACTTGAAACAGTGTCAAATAGTCTCTTTGTAGCATCATTACTATCATGATGATGATGTGTGCCATGCCAGAATATTGGTCTTCTTATTACTGCAGACAATCTCTATAACATAATTAAATTTATATATCAATTTCAATCCTCAAAATAAGTACTTAAGAATTCAATTTTCCTTCTTTTCTTCATTCTTATCCTCCACCTTTGCTTCATCCTTCTACCCTTCTTCATCTCCTTTCTAACTCTCCCCTTCTTTTTTGATCTTCTCTAAGATTTCCTTCTCATTAACATCTGCAAAGTCCTTCATTAACTCACATTTTGCATTGTGTAACATTGATTGAAGATAGAATGACCCTCCCTTCACAGGATCATTCTTATGGAATTATCTCCAATAAACCTACAAATTATCATCCTTCTATTTACTCTGATAATATCCTCTGGACTAGCTTTCTCTGGAACTAATTGTAGTATCTTAAATGCTTCCTCTCTTGTCATAGGTTTATGAGTCAGATTTGCCGCTTACATAGTTTGATTCAGAAATTCTGTAAATGGATTTCCTGCTTTTCCTCCTGATTCTAATCTAATTGTTAACTTCTTACATTTTGCAGTCTATTAGTAGGCTTTCATAAAAGACTTGGCTACAGTGGAACCGACCTCAATTATCAACTTAATTATGAGACGCTTGACCATTAATAAAATTATTTCGCTTAAAAGAAATTTATATATATTCAATTATATTCTTAATTCATTATTCACTCTCTCTAAAATAATTCTTATCAATAATATATTGGACTATCCAGAATATCTATAAAATTGAATTTATTATTTTTTATTTAAAAAATATTCTTAATCTCACAAAGTAAAGTCTAAAAGTTTTGAAATTCTAAATGTATGACTTTTGTAGAATTTTTTTGATATTTTGATATATTTATATTATTGATAAATTAGGAGGAACTTTTATTAGAAAAAAATGAAATATTAACTATTCAAAATTTTGTATTAAATATTTTTTGGCATTTAGTGTTTTTATATAAACAAAGATTCTAGATAATAATATTTATTTATTTTATTAATGAACAATGGTTCTATAAATTACAAATAAAGATCAATTAGTTAACACACTTAAGGGAGCCCTAATTAGTAAAACTTTCAAAATAAAATATTGAAATAGCCTCATCTCCAAGTCCCTTAATAAATGAATTAATTGTAAAGTGATTAATCTAGAAGAGAATGTATGTATGATTTAATTAATAATCTAAGACAAGTAAGAAACAATTTTAATTAATTTTAAAGATTATAGGATGGAAAATAAATCACTTATATAACAAATAAGTCAGAAATTACAGATATTAATTAAACCTATTATGAACCAAAAACTATATAAAATAAAAACTCTAGCTTAAACAAAGAAGAAACAAGATAAATGGGAATCAAAATGAGAAGTATTTCGGAATATGGAGAAAAACCGGTGTAGAATATTTAATATTAAAAATTATCCCATTAAAATGATAATGGTAAACCTTAACCCTAGATAAAAATTATAAGTGTTTAAGAAAAAGGACTACCAATATCCTACTTTGCTAATAGGATAAATTATGCATAGAGACCAACATGTAATTAAATAAAAAGTGAATAATAATAAAAACAAAAATAATAATTTTAAACTACAAATTCCTAAATTAGCTATGTTTAATAAAGTAATTAAATAAATAGTGATTATTCACAAATAAATTAAGATTCAAAAATAAATAAATATTCACAAATAAATAAAGATTCACAAATAAATAAAGATTCATTAATAAATTAAGATTCACAAATAAATAAATATTCACAAATAAATAAAGATTCATTAATAAATTAAGATTCACAAATAAATTAAGAACCATAACTTAATTTATTTGAAACTGAAATAAAAATAAGTTTATTTGTTTGCTATTAATGTCGATAATAATCTTATGAAAATTAATATATTTTGAATTGTTAACATACATATCACATAAATTGTTTGAAGGCATTTATTATCGGATAAATAAATAATTTTTTATAAAATCCATAGATTACTTGCTTATGTAATAGTAAAATCCATAAGCTCCCCTTTATTGATCAATCTTTTTATGAAGAATAATAATAAAAATTAATTTCAAAATAACTACAATTCATATATTAAAGTAATTAAACGAAATTTAGAAAGTGTTAAAAGTGTGATTTTTTTTGGGTTATGGATAACCATAATAAGAATAATACTTTATATTATTGTAAATGTTAAGAAAAAGGCTAAAATTGAATAATTTTATAAAGTAATTCTTTATTATAAACATAAAAAATTTTTAATGTTAATATTTTAATAAAAATATAAACACGATTCTAGATAGATTATTGATTTTACAATAAGTTCATAATTATTTGGACATTTACTAATTATCTAATCCTATTTAAACCTTAGATTGTTTATTCAAACTTTAACTATTTTATTTGAAAAACAATAGCAATTTTTTATCATAAAGAATTAATTTTGCTATTCACTCTTTATTTTAATCATACTGAAAAATACTTTAAGTATGTTTCTTATTTATTTATTAATAATTGATTCCTAAATCTATTTATATTTAATGAATAAATTTATTCCAGTCTTTAAATATAAATAATAATATTTTTGATGGTTCTATAAATATTGACCAATTATATATAAAAATATCAAATATTTGAGACTAAAGATATTTGTTATAAATTTAATAATAATATAATTAATATCAATTCACAACATCTAAACTTTTCCACATTTGAAACAACGTTCATTAGTTTTTTAAAAAATATCATATATCCAAATTATATTACAATTTAAACATTAATTTATTTTATTCTTATTTTTTTGGTAAATAATATTTATTTATTTTTTGAACAACATTTCACTATCAATTTATAAATGTCTTATAAATAATCTTGAATGTAATTCTTACTTACAGATGCATTTAAATTATTTTTTATGTTCATAATCCATTAGTTATTAATCAAATAAATATTGCAAGCATTTTTTATGAAAAAAATGATTGCATGGAGTTTCAATTAATTAATAATCTTTTTCTTTACATAAAACACATTAATTCAATTTTTTAAAATTTTTGATTATACCCTGATTATTTTATTTTTATTAATTATTTTGATCGCTCTTGCTACTTGGAACTAGTCTATTCATTAGTTTATTATCAGGTTAAATTTATTAGTGACTCCAAACCCTCATCGAAGATAATTTTTATTCTAGGTTCTTTTGTTACTCCAAAAATAAACCAGCAGTTGAAGAAGTACTCATATTTATTTTGTTTTAGGTTTATTACTTAAGCATGGCATTACTTTGTTTAAGATAATCAATTAAAGGACTTTAAGGTTGGCAAGATAATTCATTGATTAAGGATTCCATTGTATTTATTTTATTATTGATATTAGTTAAATTATTCGTCAGACTTTCTGATACAATTTGTTAATTATGTTTCAGCTCTTCTATTTAATTTTGAAGTTTTATAATAGAACTTAAAAATTTTTCATTTTAAATTTAATTACTATGCTCTTATTTCTTTGACTCAGGATTATGACTTTATGGTCTTTAATAAAAATGTATTTGTGATTTCATTATGAAAATATAATAATGTTAAAAAAATAAAAAATTTATTATGATTTTTATTAGTATTTTTAATTCTATTATTTTAATTTTCTCAAAAGATTGATGAAATTCATAATAATATAATTATTTATGATTTAAACTTTAAATTCACTAAACTCATAAAAGATTGATATCAATGATATAATATACTATTTGATATAGTAATAGATTAATTAAAGATAATTATTTACCTTAATAATAAAGATGTATCATCTATAATTATATAAAAATTATTCTTTTTAATAATTTATATTTATATTTTATAATTAAAACTAATAAGATTATTCAGAGAAGCTCCATCATCAATTTAATGAAATCTTGTTTATTTAACTAAGAATATATATATAATAATTACTCTTTTTGAATTAAATTTAATTGCAATTTCATTTTCAATTTTATCCTCATCACAACTTATAAATTTAGAAAATTATGATGGAATAACAAATCCTTTTCTTTACAATTCATAAAAGGCAACATTTAAATTGAATTCATTTAACAAAGCTCCTCTATCACAAGAATTAAAGATAAATTCATTCATATCTATTTTTCCATTTCCATCAATATCAATTTAATCAAATATTTCATCTATATCTTCTTCAACTCCTAATGCTTTTTATAATTCCTCTTTTTATAAAGTACCATTATGATTAGTATCATTCTTTAAAAATATTCTTTATATTTAATTTTGTCTTTCTTAAAAAAAAATCTTATTCATTACTAATATTATTTATTATTAAAGATATGAAGCCTTTTAAAACAATATTCTTTTAAATATTGATTCAGCATATCGAGATTAATATTTCTATATAATATTTTAGTAAATTGAATTTGATTACAAATTTTCATAAATTTATAAATTTTTTGATTCTAGTAATTATAAAACTAATTAAAACCAAAAATATGATTTATAAATTGAATCTTTTGGTTTCTTTAAGATCATTTCAGTTGTTTGTTTTGTTATTTGTTTATTTGTAATCAATTAAAATAAAATAAGTCCAACTGCTTTTATGTCTAATTGTTAATTCCTTTAAATCTCATTTTTCTCCTTAATTTAAAATACAGGATAGATATCTATCATTTTTACATAATGATTATTTGATTAATCTGTAAGAGCAAAACTTTAAATACTTAAATTTCCATGATAATTATTTTAACTATGAATCTCTTTAAGAGTATCTAGTATTTAAGATAAAATATAAATAGCATTATCCTCTTCTATCTTACTACATAAATTCGAAAGCTTGCCTCCACTACAATATTATTAGATCACATAATAACATTTAAAATCTTCAAAAAGCTCTATTGCATTATTAAAATGTGGTGAAGACTTTTGTAATATTAATATAAACTACTAAGTTATTTTCTCTAATATTATTAATGTATTATTCCATGTCATTAATTGACTCATCTTCTTTTAGAATAGTCTTAGCAGTTCTAACTTATCCAGTCACATTATGTTATATTAATCCTACATTGTCTTGGTCTGAAATAAATATAATATGGTTACTTGAACACCCAAAATCCTAATTTAGAACAGAATAAGTTTTGGCCAATGCTTCTCTTATCATCCTCCTACTAGTTCTAATTGCGGTTGGAGTTTTAATAGTTGAGAAATGGTCTTTTGCTATTGTATTCAATGTAGGCTATGTCTTTGGTCTAATTGGGGTATCTTTTCCTTTTAATTTATTTTAGATTTATGTGTCACTTTAAGTGTGTAATTTTTTAGCAACAAAAGATTTCCTTTCATTTCTATTAGATTAACACAAGCCCATAATATTAAATAATTCAATTTATTATATTTTAAGATGTATTTAATACTGGTATATATATGTAACATAAATCTAAATTCAAAAATACATATTAAAATAATACTTTAACTATTAAAATCACTCTAACTAAAAATATTAGAGAAGAGATTTTTAAATAATTATAGTAATTGTCATTTCCCTTTTATTTCCACTAATTTTTTTATATTATAAAATTGAAATAGATTGTAAAAATAAATAATCCAAAACAAAATATTTATCAAGTATTTAATTCAATTTAATTGATTTATAATTTTAATATTGAAAATATTAAATAAGTACATAAATTTAATTACTTTAAATTAAAATAAACCATACATCATATTTTCATAAATTGATTTTTATAAACCTAAAAATTGAATTAAAATTACTTAATTTGAATATTAGTTATCCTAATAATGATTGGAAATTAATTAATTTTTATAATTTTATAATTACTAAATTTAAATGTGATGAAAAGTTCCTCAAAAATCTGGTTTAATAAACCTAAAAAAAGAGGAGTAAATACTAGATAAAAATGTTATTAAGAACATTAATTTATATAAATTTATAACAATTTATTACAATTTTTATTTAAATAAATGAAAATTAAGGAAATGTTAAAGAAATCTTTCTTTTTTCATTAAATTATAAATATATTCTAAAAATTTATAGAATTCGAAAAGAAGAAAGTTAATAAATAAATTTATAAAGAAATATACATATTCAAGTATCTCATTACAGTTTATTGTAATTTTAAGAATGTTTGAGTGAATCGAAGGAATGATCTAAATGTAAAAGAGTTGTTTTTAATATTACTTAAGTTACAAATGGAAATGATGGAAAGTATCAATATTCTTACTTACTACTAATTAAATATATTAAAAATATAATTTATGGGTAAAGACTTCAGAGGTGGAAGAGGAGATAGCAGAGGAGGAAGTAGAGGAGGAGACAGAGGCAGAGGAGCCCCAAGAGGTAGGGGTGGTGCCAGAGGAGGTAGAGGAGGTCGAATGGGAGGAGCTCCTAAGGCCTTTGTGGTTCCACATCCAAGATTAGCAGGAGTTTTTGTAGCCAAAGGATAATAAGAAGCTTTGGTGACAAAGAATATGGTGCCTGGAGAATCAGTGTATAATGAAAAGAGAATTTCAGTGGAAGACAAATAAACAGGAGAGAAAGTTGAATATAGAGTTTGGAACCCTTTTAGATCAAAGATTGCTGCTGGTATAATTGGTGGAGTTAGCGATATTTTCATAAAGCCAGGTGCTAAAGTATTATATTTGGGAGCTGCATCAGGAACAACAGTATCTCATGTTTCTGATGTAATAGGATCAGAAGGTATGATTTATAATGAAATACTTTAGGTGTTGTATATGCTGTTGAATTTTCTCACAGATCTGGAAGAGATTTAGTAAATATGGCAAAGAAAAGAACAAATATTGTGCCTATAATAGCTGATGCAAGAAAGCCATTGGAATATAGGATGCTTGTAGGAATGGTAGATGTTGTATTTGCAGATGTTGCATAACCTGATTAGGCTAGAATTGTAGGATTAAATTCATAATATTTCCTTAAAAAGGGAGGACATTTTATGATATCAATTAAAGCCAATTGTATTGATTCTACCAATCGTGCTGAAGTTGTATTTTAGCATGAAGTGTAACGTCTAAAAGTATGTTTAAATAAATATTTTAGGATGAAGGACTTACACCTTAAGAATAACTCACTCTAGAACCATATGAAAGAGACCATGCTATTGTAATTGGAGTATATAATGCTTGAATATTAAAATATAAAGTATATTAAATTTAATGAGTCATTATCAAAATCCAACATACAATCATGCATAAATGAAAAATCAAGTAGGAGTTTCTAATTTAAAAATGCTTGATGGAGAAGACTTAAGTATTTTCATATATATATTGTATAATAGCTGCTGGAGATAGAAGAAAATTGTAGTAACTGTAAATGAAAGACTGGGTATAATAATAAACCTAGGAGAATCAATAGAAGAAACAATTAAACAAATAAATATAATAATAATATGATCAGCAGACATTATAAATTAATTAGAGTCTAAAAGAATTAGAGTAAGAATAATAGAGGAGAAGAGTTGAGATGGAAATTGCCAATTAATAAATAAATAATTAATTGGCAAAAGAAAAATAAGATAGAGAAGAATATATGGCTAGATAGGCTCAACTTGAAAAGAAATAACATATGGAAGAAATAATGAACAATGATGTTTGGACAGAAAAGTTAATTATAAATTATTATAATGTAGTACTGCAACTTGTCAAAGTGCTTTAGCTCCTCATAGAGTTATACCTTATCATTATAAAGGAATGTCAGAATAATAGAGATAAGAAATAAGAAATGATTAAGCAAAATAGAGAGAATAAAATGAATAAAAAAGATAATAAGAAAAAGAAGATGAAAAAATGTGGGCTTAATATAATGAAGTAAGAATCTATTTTTATATTTAAAGCATAATAGAAAATAATTAATTATTTAGGAAAGAGAAAAGGCTAGAAAATTATAAACTCTAAGAAATAATTAAAAAGAATCTAACTTATTGTCATAAACTGAATAGAAACTTAAATTAAAAAATGAATATGCATGACAATCAAATTATAATAATAATCTTATTAAGTACTATAAGAATTCTTTATAAATTATATAAACCTCTTTATATTTAGAAACTATTGATATGTTAAAAATAATGGAATTTAATATGATTTTATTCTAAATGATATATTGTAATTTATCATTTAACAATTTTATCTCTTCTGTATTTGAATGGATATGATGAAATATCCTATAATGGGGATGCTCTTTCCTCGCTTGGATATAATATGTTTGTGAAAAATCCATGTCTATTATTATAGGCTTCTCTCATTTATCTATGAATCTCTTATGTTGTCCAAGTACGAGGTACTTACTCATTGAGTGCCTTCATATTCAAACCTACTCTTCTCTCAATCAAATTAAGTAAATTCAACTTTTCACTAAAAGAGTAATAAGGAATTTTGTTACCTTTGTAAAGAAGTGTAAAATGGATTGAAATGGACCCAACCAAGCCAAAGTAATCCAGATATTGCTGCAGGAATCATTCTTTAGGCACCTACTGAGTATTTTGTTGCTATATATGGTTATAATGCTCCAGTATAGTGAAAGAGTGCATAACATGCAGCTGGGAATCCCCAATAGGACCAAGTATTTAATCTATCCTTTAGAAGAAAAGATTTGATATCTTCTGAGAACAATACTCTTTGTTTGTATGCATTAAGTAGTGTAATGGATTTCTCTTCTTCAGTATAGAAATGCCATATTCTCAATTCAAATGGAGATCTCTAATCTTAAGCCATTTATTTTTAATAAAATTAATATTTATATCCATATTGAAAATATTATAATAAGAGTCAAAGCTAATCAATGAAAGTAGATTAACAAGTTTCTAATGTTCTTATTTGATTATGAATTAAAATACAATTTTTTCTTTTTCTAGTTCTTATTATATTCACTTGTTCAGACAATTCAGGAATTCTTTCTCTAATCATGATTCCTTTCTTAGGTTCTATGATTAAAATCTTTTCACTAAAACTAACCTACTTCTTATTATGTCTTTATCGCTATTAATTCAGCAAATCCATCTAGTCTTTAAAAGTGAATAAATTGTTATTTCTCAATGAGGATCTCATTAAATTATTGTTAGTCTAAGTTTGAGTTTAAAAGTCTTATATAGGTTTTAGTTTAAGTTTTTGAAATTGTGATGGAATGATAATATTTCTTTAAGAATGAAAAATAGATCTAGGAGTTCTACAATGTTGAGGGGAGTCATCGTTGATTTGAAGTTTTTTGGTTAAATTAAAAGATTAGAACATAATTAATAAATGATACTATAAATAAAATGAGTCCTTAAATTTATCATGATAATACTCATAATAATAGAACTAAATAATAAAATTTCAAGAGAATTTTGTTAAATAATAATTAAATATTGTTGTAAATACCTTGATAAATAATCTATAATAATAATAATAATAATAATAATAATAATAATAATAATAATACTAATAATAATAATTAGTTTTTAATGTAAAGTAATATTTAAACATAGAATTTAATTCTTTTTTTTTATTAAATTTTATTCCAATTTTAATATTTTCATTTACTTAAAAGAGAACTATTAAAGAACTAATATTATTTTAATGAATCATATCATTTATAAAATTATTGAATATAAGAATAATAAAATTCTTTAAGTATTTTATTTCATTATTGTTCAATGGCCCATATTTCTAAATTCTTAATCCCAAATTTCTCATCTTTTGTAAATCTTGGGTTGTCAAAAGTAGAACAAGGATTAGAATATCCAAATGAAAGACTTTAATCAATAAAAAGTCCAAACTTATCTCCACAACCTATACCTATTCCAGATTCATCACAGAAAATAAAATCTTTATTCTTTTCAGTCCATACAAATTACTTAATTTAATTTTTCTAAGAAGAATAATAATACTTTTTACTATTGTATCTATGTTGAAAAGAAAGGTTTCACCATTACCTTTGAAACCTTCAAAATATTTATGGATTTCACTTGAAATGTATACGCCAAAAATATTAAGATCAAAATCTTTGATTATTAATAACATTGGAAATATTTATCTAATTTATTGAAGCATGTTTTAATAACAGGATCCATCAACATCAATATCATAAAGCTTATTCCAATTGGCTAATCTATAAATGGCAGGAATAGATTATATGACATATTTAAATGTAGTATCAGTAAAACAATTAGATTTTTCTTTTAAAATTGGAACATATTCCAAACTAGCCCATAAATCTATTTATTTTTAATAAGATTACTTCCCATAGGTTCACCAACAACATCTTACATTTCATCTACATCTATATCTAAATTCTATTTTTATGTAGTATCCTAAATAAAATCTATAAATGGTAATTAAGTTAATTAAACAATAGCTGTATAATTTGAACAAGCTTCAGTGATAAATCTAGCCATTATAATACAATTTTCTTTTTTGATCTCTTCTGTATATAATTTCCCTGTATTGTCTCTTTCAGCATGCTAATTATAAAATATTTCAGTTACTTACTCTAAAAAACACTGTTGCTATACTTTGCTTTTATTCTTTAAGTCTGTCTAATTGTTTTCTGTATTTTTACTCAAAATTTGGTTTGCCTATCCCTGATAATAATATCTGAACTATATAATCTAAATGCCCATTTTTATTAGGTAAGATGTAATATACAGCTTCATTAATATCCTTCATTGAGATGCTAGCTTATAATCTTAATTTCTAATGAGTATTTTCAATATAATCTTATTAAAATGGATTAAAAAGGATTAAATCTGAACTAAGAGTTAATTATCCTTAAACATTTTATATATTGTTACAATATATAACATCAACTAATAATAATTATGATTAACAATTACATCTTTAAGAATTAGCATCAGGTATCCATAAATATTCTATTTATTATTTTTATTCTTGAATATGAACAACAGAGAATGTTTACTCATTTTTCTTAGGTACTTTTATTATTTAACCTTGGAATATTAAATCACTTGACAAATTATTGATTTTCATAAGGTAATCTTCACAAACACTAAATTTGATTGCCATTCCATATAATGAATCGTCTACTTAAACTTCATAATCCATAAGATCTTCTTTAAATTATTGATCTTCTTAGTATTCTGGTTGAACTTACTATTTAATATCATATTCTTATTCAATAATTTTCATTGCTTGTTCATCAATAATTTGAAAATCATGAGGAAAATCATTTTCAATTTAATGTTCTTCTAATTAGTTTTGATCAAATTGTTCAAATTAAATAATTTGAGAATCTTGTTTCTATTTCTTAGAGAAGACATTCTTAAATATATTTAACATAATTAATAATATCTTTGATTGAGTGAAAATTAATTAATAATAAAATATAGTTTTATTGAAATTATTATTTTTTAGTAGTGATAAAATTCTTGATTATAGATATAATATCTTTAACGTATAAAGATTAGATATCATAAATATAATATAGTAAATCATATCATTATATTAATAATCAAGTAATATTTTGATTTATATTCAATCAAAAAGAATTTTGTTATAATAATATAAAACTTAACTATATGTATATATCTAAATGTAAAACTATATAATATTAGCAATCTAGAAATAAAAAATTTATATATATAAATATTTTCTAATTTTTAGAAAAATAAAATTGATGATCTTTTTTCTTAATATATATATATACATATATGTAATGCTAATATTAATCAATAACTAATTATTATGATTGGTAGAATGTACAAAAATAAAATAATTTTAATATAAAAATATAGTCGTTAATTATATTTATTTAATAAACCCATAATATTAAAATTAATACTTAAGTATTTAAGAAAATAAAATTCTTTATAAATCTTAATCCTTCACGGGTTCAATCAAATTGAAACAAAACCTATCCAAGTTTAAACCTATTTAATAGGTTGCGGGCAAGGCTCCTATTCCGGAAGCTGAGCTCGTTCTTAAATTAAACAAACGAAATTTATATATTTATTATGTTTCTTATAAGTTAAAATAGAGTATGAATAATAACTATACTTAATTATACTTATCTATTCTATAGAAATGCCATTATACATTTATTAAGAATAAATAAAATTTATTAAAATATGTGATATGATAAATTTAATTTATAAGAGATAGAACTGAATGACAATAAATCTTAAATTCTAAAAATTGAATGATGCTTTGTCAAATATTTAGTTATCTCAGAATACTAAGTTATAATAGGATTATCAAGATAGTTGTAGTACAGAAAGAGTAAGAAAATTAGTAAATAAAGTTAAGGCAAAGTTCAAATTAATAAATAATACAAATGATAATAAGTAAAGTATTTTAAATAACATTAGATTTAATCGATAATTATAATAATTTAAAATACTTGATACATTTATTGATACAAAAACAAAGTTAAAGAAGCTGAATATTATAAACAATAGAGATTTATTAGAATCAGTAAAGAATTATCTAATAAGAAGGAAAATAGCAAGATAATTAGGTTAATAGGAAGCAGAATTAGAAAAGATTTATGAATAATATGAAGTAAAGTTTGAAACAGAATTTGATAAAGCATTTTTAGATAGTGATTGTTTTTTAGATTTAGGTTTGGTTAAAGTACCAAATAATAAATCTAAGATGTTATCTAAAGAGAGATTATAAGACTATGGGAGGAGAGCAATAAGTTAATTTTAAAGTACTTGTGAATAAATGTCAAATAGAGATTAAGTAACAAAATCTTAGTATGATTAAAATCTATTTTATTATCATGTTGAAGATTAAATAGAATAAATAAAGAAAGAAAGGGAGGAGACAGAAAATATTATATAGAAAATAGGTAAATCTACAAAATGTAGAACTTAGTCAGGAGATGGAAAGTGTGGGATGTAGATTAAGTAATAGAAGATAACATAAATAGATTATGATAAGGAGCTTTATAAAATAGTATTGCAATATGGAATTGATTTGAATTCTACTGAATAATTGGAAGAGGATATTTATACAGCATTCAAATAGCAAGCTAATGAATTGATAAAGTCAAAAATATATGAAGCTAAAGTGAGATACAATCATAATATAGAAGAGGATCAATTGAAATATAGATATCAAATTAAACCATAAAAGAAAAAAATAAGTACTTTATTTGAATAATAATTGTTCAATAATATATCAAAATAATATCCTAATCATAAATCAAAATACAGACCTGAGAGTAATGTACATACTTTGGGTTCAGAAAATAGGAAGTCATAAATGATATAGGAATTATTGGATAAGAAGAAAGAAAAGAGTATAATGCTTAGTTAATTTAATTTGAAATCAAAGAGAATTATAAATATGTGTAATAAGGATGAATAAAAATTGTAGTATAATGAATATATAAAGGATATATAATTGATGAATTTATATTTGGATGAGGCTATAACTAGAACCAATTTCAATAGAAGACTTTCGTAATTAGGTTTTACAAAAGATGATTAATTTTTAATAAAGAAATAGATTATATTACCAGGTGGAATTGTAAGGAATAATTAATGAGTAAAAATATTTATTGTTTATGTTTTATATATACATTTCTAAATAAATATAAAATTATATGAAAAAGCATCCAATAGAGCAAATTCATAGTTCTGTTTATGATAAGGTTGTTAAATCTTTAACTCTTTTTTTTATGATAATCTCTTTATTGATCAGCATAGGACTAGATATAGTGCATGGTGTAGTTGATTTTTATTCAAATGAATATTAATACAAAGCTTAAAATGCTACAATTGGATATATTTCCGATAATCTAATTTACAAACCAATTAAATAGTATCAAATACTTAATTATAATTAGAGTATATTTTAGAGATTTAGATTGTGATACATCTGAAGAAATTTAATAATTATTTCCATTTGCAGAATATAATATTACTAGATGGTTCTCTCAATTGATTTGTGTTACTAGATTTAAGGATATAAGATTATCAACTGAATGTACAGAGACTGAATATAATTGTGGACCTTATTGTATATAAACAAGTGAAGGTTCTTAATGTCCTATTTCAAAATTGACAATAATATAAAATGAGATTGTTGATGAAGATGCAGATTAAAATTTGGAGAGTAATAGGGATCTATATATTTAAAGGGAGAATTCATCTTATGGAATATTTAAAATTCAAGTTGTAATAAGAGGATATCCTTGTTTGAATCCTTTAATTTATATAACAGCAGGATTAACTAATAATAGTGATTATATAGATCCTGAAAATTGTGAAGGCTCTGATTTTGATACAGATAATAGTGTGAAAATAGAATAAACAACACTTTCAGAATTTTCAAAATAAGGTTTAGAGGCATTATCTTTTAATGGTGTACCTTCATCTGTAATTGGTTCAGCAATAACTTATTTGACAGCAAGAGTATATATTATATTATATTAAAAAAAAGAATAAAATTGCATCAAAAGCTGAAGATAGTTGCACATAAATTGATAATAATATGATTAATGAAACTGAAAATTGTGAATAATCAATTTAAGAAATTGGTTTAATTTATGTAGTTATTAAATAAATATTTACTGGATTCATAGGAATTATTTTAATCATAGAAATTTATATTCTTAAATTCAGAATTGTTAATGATATAAGAATAATTACAGTCATATTAAAAATACTATTAGTATGTTAGATGTCATTCATACTAATTGAAGGTGGTTTAATATTATATTAGGAAAAACTTAGAATTGATGCAGAACTCTATTTTAAATCTATAGCAAATTGTTATATATCTGATCAAATCTATAATGTATTTGCCAATTTTCCAAATCTCTTTCCAGCAGATGTCAATACTTATGTATCACTCATTACAATTTCAATAATAATTATAGCCATTAGTGAATTCATCTTAGTTATGATGTTTATAGTATAAATGTTCCATTGGTGTTTTAAATAAAAGAAGGAGAAATTGTATGTATCTGAACCAGATACTTAAAGACAACAAATTCCTTCAAAAGAAGATATTCATCATTCAGAAACTAGTCCTTACTAAAAACCTTTATCACCTTATTAATCCAAATTTCCTCCTATTTATTCAAACATTTAAAATAATATAATCCAAAATCAAAGTAATCCAATTAATTAAGAATCAAAATATGTTAATGAATATGTTCCTCCAAATCAATTTGAAGATCCTAAATATATTCCACCAAATCAATTTGGAGAACCTTCATAACCTAAATTTTCTGAAAGTTATATACCTCCTCAAATTAATAATATCTAATCAACTCTTGTAGTAGCAGGAAAAAAGAATTCCAAATATTGATAATTTCATGATGTATTATATATAATTATAGTAAACTATAATTTCCTTATTAAATATTATTATATACTGAACTCTATAAAATATCAATGCCAATTTTGTAATTAATAAGATAAATAAAAGCTTGTCTCATATCTCTCATTATTTATAGATGATCTATAAATATTAGATAATAAAAATTATTCTAATTAGATCTTTTAATGAATATTTCTATCATAAACATTTGATAAACAATATTCTAATATAACAGATCTCTATTAATTTTAATCTTATAAGATAATTTGAAATTTAATACATTTTTTTATCATATTATAATTAAATACCTTGAATTCAAATTTCTTTAGTATATATATAGGATATTAATTTATAATCTATTTGTCCATAGACAATTAATAAAACAATAAGTGTTTTTTAATATACATATATTTATAATCAAGTTAGACTATAATTTAATCATTTCCATAGAAATGATAAAAAGTCTGGCATTTCGAATGGTATTAGTTCGGCCCAACTTGAATAAGATCTATCACTATCTTTATATAAAAATGTCATGCTAGAAGTTAAAGAATTCTATAAGCATCCCTTATCATCTTCGAATAGTAACATTACTAATCCCCATACTATAGCTGCTTAAAGTGGGAATGCATCCCATGATTAAGGTAATAGTTTTCTTCTTTAAATGTTTGAAGCCAAACCGATAATTACTCTGCTCATAACATAAAGAACAATTTATTAATTGACTGCTGATTTATTTCTTCCAAAAACTAGATATCCACAAATGGCTCCACTTATTAAATTATGTAGTTTTGTCTATTTCTTTCTGATGTTATTTAGAATACAAACTATTGATTTATAAAGGAAAACAAAAATGCCCAAATTTTTTGCATGTTAATAAGTTAACTGGATAACAGTGATGAATTTTGATTTTATTGAACCAGGTCTAAAAAGAAAAGTCATAACTAAAGCATGAAAGAATCTTATCTTTCCTCCATAATATATACCTTATCTTAAACCAAGGAGAGATGATTTTATACAACTCTCATGATTACAAATTAATGACATTATTATATAAATTATATTGTTGTTTATGGTTTAACAATATAAAAAAGATATAGTTTATTATAAATTTGAATACCATTAAATCAATCATTATAGATTAACATGATAAAAATTATATATTGATAACAACATATTCTATCATTTAAATTCAAGATGAATAAATATTAATCTAATCAATTCTGTTATTTATTTAATCAAATTATTAGATATATAATTATTATTTTTTATAATTAGCCAATTAAGGTTATTTTTGATCTTTTATTCCTAATTCAAAGTTTAAACTTATAGTACTAAAAAGAGATTAATATATATTATAATATTCAAAATTCAATAAGATTAATTGTATTTTTAATTCTACATATATTGAATCTTGTTAAAAATTAAGTATATTTATAGCAACTTTCAATTTATAATTTATTTTAATTCATGTCTTGTAATCAAATTAAACATAAGTTTCTTAAATAATTTATATAAATTAACTAAGATTCTTATATTAATTCTTTAAGTACATTATTAGAACACTCAATATATTATTGTCAAAAGAACCAAAATATTTAAGGAAAGTGGTTTCATATTATAACAAATTTATACTTAAACTATTTATTAGCTTTATTAAGTTGATTTTTTCAATAGAATATTTAATATAATTAAGTTGTTTATATTAAGATGATTATAAATCATTAAGATTAAGTAAATTCAATTAAAATTTTCAATCATTTTTTATGATTAATATCTAAAATTGTTTTTGTTCTCTTAATTTTTATAGATTGTTTCATATAATTACTGTGTTTACAAACATCAATAATAGATAAATACTTGAAAGAGTATTAATACATTGTTAGTGCTCTTAATTTATTTTAATAATTCTTTTGTATAGATTTATTAATATTTTTTATATAGATATGCTTAATCGTGCAATTAACATTGGTTTCCGTAAAGCATTGCCTCAATATACTTTCTCATCGAGAAGTAAAATGATTGTTAATATGCCATAGATGGGCCATACAATCCAAATAGATATAGACATTATTTGAATCCAAACTTTTTCTAATCCAATAAGGAAATTGCTGATATTGCTAAATCATAATAAGTACCTCTTCCAGGTATATATTAATATTGATTATACTAAGTGCGTAATGTTAGACATGTCAATCCAGTCAGATAATCAGGTCCATTACCTCCCTATGATGGTCCATACACGTATTTTTATCCTCAAAATAATTTTAAATAGTATGGAAGATGTAAGAGCTGTATGGCAAAATACTTCAATTGGTAGATAAGGAACATGGAGTTGTTAAATGGATCCAGATGAAATTATGAGAAGAGTACCAGGTATTTTCAATCATTAAAAATGATTAGGAATAACAAGAAGAGAGGTTGAAAAGATTTTGAATATGGGTTTAACACCATAAGAATAAGTGGATTTTGCATATCTAGTTTATAATTGTGGTTTTGATGTTGATTATACACCAAACAGTGTTTATGTTGCAAGATAAGTTGTGACAAATTCAAAAGGTGAGAAGGTTGAAATCCTTTGGAATGTTTAAGTCTTAGAAGATTTGGCTAAATTACCTGTTGGATTTGCACCAGTGAGGGAATTAATAGATTATCATTGGGAAATTTTCTTGTGGTCAGATCCAATGATAAAACCAACAGGTGATTTAGATTTGGGTGTGCCTAATACTTGGTTTGAATATGAATGCGAATGTAAAATTAAATATTGATATTTTCTAGGGGGAGGTGAAATGGTAGGAATTGAAGATCAATTTAATATTCCTGAGAGTGACAGAGTTTTTCCTTCACCAAAAAACCCAAATTGTAGAAGAGAATTATGGAAATCATAGGATGATATCTAAGAATAATTAGAAATGGAAGGTAGATTTATTGTTGTAACTGTTATATAGATGAAAATTGGTATCCTAAAGGAACCTCCTACAACATTTATTAATAAGCTGATTACAAGAAAGTAACTAAATCAGATAGCACATTCTAAGAAAAAATATGATAATTTAAGCATATTGAATCAAAATTAAATAATATTATTCCATTTTTTAATTTAATGTAGATAGAATAGAATTCTTTAAGTCTATATAAAATAATAATATCTATATTAAAGTTAAAAATACAGATAATAATTATAATATTCTTTTTAAAATTTGATTAATAAAGATGTTAGATCAAAATGTTATTTGTATATTACAATATCTATAAAAGTATTAATAATGCTAAATTTGATTATTTGTTTTATCTACTTTAATTTAAAGGCTATTTATTATTTTGAATAAAAAATATATTGATTCATTTGATTATTTTAATCTAAATATTTTATATCAATAATGTTTATTAGTATTTTTAAGATAAATTAATATTAAATTCTAATAGATAGACGATTTTAATAGAGTGTTATCATATTCTTAAGAATATTTTAATGAAATGATTCAATTAGATTAAAATTTTTACAAGGTGAATTAAGTTTTCCAGAAAACAATAAAGAAAATCAGAACATTTATTATTTTAAATATTTTATTATTCACATAACTCTATACATGCAATAATGATTAAATTCATTATTATAAGTATTCGATATTTTGAAACTAATTGTTGAATTTTGCTTAATCTAATTATATTAATGTATTAATACTGGATATTGAAATATTAGTTATCCTAAGGAAATTAGTATAATGGATCTATTAAATTTAGGAAAGAGAAGAATATAAGTTCTTGTATTCATTCTAATCCACTTACTAATTATTTATCCATTTCTTTAGCATTGAAATTGTTTTTATTTTTTGTTACATCTTATCAATATCAGATTTGAGTTTGGACATTAGATTTTTTTTAATCTCATTTGAAATGTTTAGAGCTGATGAAGAATTCTCTAAAATTTCAGAGGCCTATTTATAATCCACAAGTGGTTTTGGTTTGATTAATTGACTAAAATATTTATTCTCTTATTGATTATTGCCTAAATCAGGTTAGGACTTGATGGAAAAGGATTGTAAAGCAAATGCATTCCAATTCCAAAAATTTTATATAGGAAAATCTCCAAAATGTATTTATTCCTAACTTATGAACTTATGTTCCAATTTCTCACAAAATTCTTTAGTATTAGATTTACATTTTCTATATTTAGATAACTAAGTTCCATAAGTAGATTAAGGCAATTTAAGTTTGTTTCCACTACTTGTGAGGTTGTCTATTAAATCAATATTGTCTGATATTAGTTCACTTAAACCATCATCTTCTGATACAAAAATGTGTCTCTTTCTATGAATATTAATTTAATAATTGTACTTGCAATGTTCCAAAGGACATCTCCCAAGGAAATTATAATGGGCACAAATATGGGCATGTTTGTTTGTGAAGTTCTAAAGATCTGAACTACTCTTGCTGATCTTCTTAAATGAACTCTAACTAAGATTGATGTTCCTATGACTACTCTATTAACTCTAATCAAGTTAAGTCTGATTTATTTACAGAACATAAATGTTGGGATGAAAAGCTAGAATCACATTGTTCTTATGCACCCAAACCCTAAATAACCAGATCCTATCCATTGTGAATGATAGGTTTTGCTGTTAATAGTTCACAATCCTACAGATGCTAGGCCATATCTATAATTAAAAATGTTTTTTTCTTTTTAAATTTTCCCCTCATAAAGTGAGATTTATACTACTATCTCTCTCAAGATACAACTAAAACAGAACAATATTTCCTTAAAAACAAATAATATAATATCAAATCCATCCTTATTTCTCCATCAAAACCACTAAAATCAAGTAGAACATCAATACATAACAAATTATATTAATTGAGGGAACATTCAGGTTTATAAATTCTTGTTTCTCAATTCTATATCCCTTTTATTTAAGTCATAAATATCACATAATAGCAAATTGTATATTTTCATATATCATAAAAAATGATTCACTTTATGATGCAAAAATATTTATAAAGACTACTCTCAATAATTCATTAATAATATTTAATCAATATATAATTTTTATTAATACTATATCCTCTACAATATAGGCTATTTTTAATGTTCTATATTATAATAATAATAACATGGAAAACAGTTAATTAAGTAAACAGTTAAACTTTATTTATTACTTAATAAAATATATGACTAATAATAAAGATAATATATATAACTCAAAGTTTTTCTTATTTCTATTTCTCTAATATAACTGATTCATTCATATCACAATTACTCAATTAAGTACTTATGCTATGAGATAGAGAACTATCTTAAATTATTGTCTTCTTCTTTCTCAATTAGATAGCACTAAAAATTAAACAATTCATTACCAATTATCAACAGATTTGATTTCAATCTTTTAATTGATAAATTTATTCTTTAATTTTTCATGTTCATATCTATTGAATATATTATGATATTTCATTTAGAATTTGATCCATTTACTAAAATAAAGTTATTATATATTGGGTCTATAAGTAGGATCTTTAGTTAGTAATGCTTGAATTAGTATTTATAGATTTTCATCCAATGTAGAATCAATTTTAATTTCATTTTCTGAAATTTATTAAATTAATTCACGATCTGTTTTAGAAGTGAAAGGTTTTCTACAATGAGTCAGAATCTAAAATATATTATATTAATATACATATAGTACAATTCCTAATGACCAAGAGTCTACCTTTTAGTCATGAAACTAGTTATTAACAACTTCTGGAGGCATATACTCTGTAGTACCACATAAAATAGGTTTAATTTGAGATATTTTGGTAGCCCATCCGAAGTCTGAAAGTTTGTAAGTTCCATCCTCATGAACAAGGATGTTGTCTAACTGGAATTGGGGAGATGTTACTTACTTTTATATCTCTATGCACAAGATTCATTTGATGAATAGAATCAAGAGCATTGAGCATTTGATTGAGGAATTAGATTATTTGTTTATTTGTATAAGGTTGTGAGGGGATTTGTAATTGACCCTACTTACAGTATTCTAAAATGATGTAGATGTTTTTAGTATCTTCAAATGAATTAAACACTTTTACTACATTTCTGTGGTTGATACTTGATTGAATTTGAATCTCCTACCTCACCATCCCCTCAGCCTAATATTTACTCAGCATAGATTTAGACACCTAAAAATAAATATTATGTTTATTACAATTTTGCAAGCATATTCTTAGTTACTTTTGATATCACATACTAAGTATACACTACCAAATGAACCATTCCCTAATTTTCTTTTGATTTGATAAGCATTGTCATTTTGCATAATTAAGTTCATAATAATATAATTAATTTTTAACGATGAGTTGATTTATATACGAATAAAAAAATAAAATTTAATTATTTAATATCTTTTCCATGGCTAACTTACCTCCCTAACAATATACATAATCTTCTAATCTTCCATCTAATAATAGAGATCCATCAACATATTAATAACCAACTTTAGGATAACAACAGTCTCCTTAATCTAATTTGCCCATCTAAACCACACCTGATATAGGCTTACAATACTTGCCATAATAGATTATCCAATAACCCTACTCTAGTTAACCATTATAATAACCTCTTTAAACCTAACTTTAACCAACTAAGCTTGGTCTTTAATAACCTATTTTTGGTTAATCCTAAATATAATAAGTTGTCTAACAACCATAAGAAGGAAATGTTGTAAAAGGTTAGTCAAGAATAGAATACATTCCATATGAAAGAACAATTACAGAATATGAAGAAGTAAGAAGATAAGTCCAAGTTCCAATTACTAAATAAGTCACCGATTATTATGCAGTCTAATATGATATTGAATACATTCCTTAAGTGATTCAAGAAAAACAAATTGAGTATGTACCAGTTGAGAGAGTTGCAGAAAGGACTGAATATTATACCATTGAAAAGTAAAATGTCATATAACAAGTAAATTTAATTATATACTTATAGCCAATTGGATATTAATAGTCCTAAGTGCAAACAAATTATTTGTCTGAACAATTTTAATATAATCAAATAAATTAACATCAACCAGCAATTGTTTATGATCCATACTTTCAATAAACTCAAGTATAAACAAGAGATGTCATTCAATATCCAGTCACACAATAATAGCAATATATTTAATAACTTCCAGTTTAACAATCAGTCCCATTAAAATAACCAACTACATAAGCATAATATATGACAACTAAATATTAACAATATGCTAGTCCTATTGCAATTCAATAACCCTAATATTAAATATAATAAGTATACTTTTATTTTATGTAAATATAGACTGTCCCATTAAATTATGGATAATAATTTTAATCACCTTAAATTTAATCATCTCCTAAATAACCAATTGCTGCAACAACCATACCATAAGGATATTCAGTTCAAGCTTAATCAATTCCCTAATAATATTCAATCTATGGTTAATAACCAATTAATTAATCAGTTTAATAACAATAGCCAACTCTATAAACTAAGCCATAATAATAATAATTGACTTAAACTACTACATAATACAACCCATAACTATAGTAGACTGTTAGTCCTAATTAAGTAAATATTAAAATTATAAATTAAGTTTGCATAGTCTGTTCCTTAATAATAACCTATTCAATAGGATCTGGGTAGAACAAGACCATATTAACAATAATAATAATACCCTTAATAATAATAAAAATTACCATAATAATAATAACCATAATAATAATAATAACAATAATAATAATAATAACAATAATAATAATAATAATAAGGTGTTTCTTAAAAGCCTAATAAAGAAAAATCCTTTTTAGAAAAATTATTCGATTGATTATATATTTCCAATTATATAACACAATATTTCTATAATTATTCATTAAAGTGTAAATTTATTTTAGATATTTCCTCCAATCGATATTTCTACATGAATAGGATAGACAATATTATTTTAAATTGGTACAAATTCCACTTTTGTAGCAGTTTTTTTTTTTTTATTTTTAGATTTCTTAGGTTTCGATTAAGCTCTATATGTAAAGACTATTGTTTTAGCTGTTGCATATTTTAGATTCAATTATTGAGCTGCCTTATAATTTAAACATCTAATGTACTTGATTTATCTTAACTCCCTATTAAATTACTAATTTAAGTAATTATGATTTTAGATGTTCAGGAACTTTTTAATAATTTCTTACTTTTTTAATACTACTCTTAACTTATTTTTCACTTTCCTATTATTTCGATGATAATTCTTGATCATCTCCTTAAAATTCTTCGTTGTTCTCCTAATCCTAATCGTATTCTTATTGAGATTATGATGACATTAATATATAAATTATTTAATTATTATAATTTAAGTATCTATTCTACTTTAATGATTGGGCTTTGAAGTATTAAAAATATTTCATATTTCATCATTATTCATAATTTTCTATTCGTTATTATGAAACTCTTGAATATATTCTTCAATGAAACCTTTAATTTTAGTATAGATTTTGGTAGTATTTACTATGATTAATATCAATAAAATTCCATTTAATTGATTTAATATTTTAGATTATTTTTATTTTCCCACCTTCTTCAATATTCTATTATATCTATAATACATTAATTTCATGTTGAAACATAATTTTTAATAAAATATTTATGTTTATTAATAGCAGATAAAGTAAAATTTTAATCAAACCATTAATTGTTTGATTATTTTTTCATAAACTATTAAAATATCCTAAAGCATATATTTTAATTATGAGCCAAAGATCTACTCTATTATTATTGACTGATATTATCATTTAAAGGAGACCAGGCTAGTATTGTTTCTGAATCATCTCTTAAAGTTATTCAATTTTAAGTAATAAAGATAAATTATTTTAATTTCAAATTGATTTTTAAATATTGATTTCTATCAAATTGAAATAATAACAACAAAATTTTGTAGATAGTTTAATTTAATTTAAAATAATTAAATATTAAATATATATGAATATAGATGTAGAGAATATTTATGTTAGATATAATTGTATTATTATTAGTTTTAAAGAAATTATCTAATTTATATATAAATATAATTCAATAAGTTAAAAGTATACTGGATTAGTTAAATAATTTGATTTATAATATTAATTAATGGATAATTAATAGGAGAAATTGCAACAGGAAAAGAAGGAGGAAGTAGTTGAAGAATAGGATGAAAAATAAGGTGATTAAGTAAGTAAAAACTAAAAGAGGAATCAGAAAAAAAAAGAAAAGAAGAAAAAGTTAAAAGAATAGAATCAGGAGATAATTTAGTAAGTTGAGGAAGAAATAAAAGCAAAATTGAATTTAAGTGATGCTGAATAATCAGATCTTGAAATAGCATGGTGTATTAAGTAAATAAAATTGGGATTAACATAAAAATTGACACCTGAAGAGAGTAATAAAATATGAAATTTTTTGATTAGTAAAAATATCTATGTCGATGATTGAATTATTAGAAAGTGATTAAGTTCCATTAGTAAAGAAGAGAATGGCAATGAAATCTAATTTCGGAGATTATAGAAAACTAATGAAATAATATAAATGAATTAATAATTATTAATTTTGGTTATAAAATGTTCAGGTATGGTTTAGTTGGAAATATTGCCACTTATGGTGGTATAGCTGCAATATTTGGATATCTAGGTATGAATATTTTGATAAATTCAGGTTATGAATTAAATAATATTGTTGAAATCTCTCCTAAAATAGACGATGAAGTATTCTAATGGTTTATTTTAGTTAGCTTCTTAAGTTCTTAATTCAAGCAAATCACCAAATATTTCGATTGATGCTAAGACAGACATGAGAAGAGCTGCAGCCAAATAAATTTTACAAGACTACCAACGTAAAAAGAAGAATCCTGTTGAAGTATTTGAATAAATCGAACAAAAATAATCCAGAAATCCTCAATCTAAAGAACCAGATATTTGATTAATTTATTTAATATGAGTTATCTATTTTTTGGTACACTCCCTTCTTCAGTGCCACCTGTCTTTGGTATGATATCTATCCTATTTAGACACAACTCCATGTTTAAAACAAATGCATGATTATGAAGACTGTGCTTTTGAGTAAATATTTCAATTATTTCTAATAGATCAAATACTAAATAAATGGAAATCATTCATCCAAGTTGGCCTTCAATGTGGCCTAGAATGCTTACTGATGGCAAGTCTATTGTAATTATTTCTACTTATATTCTAGGATTTTGGACATACACCCATGCATTAAGATAGCTCAACACATTATACATAGTATTTACTTATTCTTATACTGTTAGTATGCGACCATTAACAAAAAAAATCAAGCATTATTTATGGGAATGTGAAGAGGAAAGATTTGTTTATAAGGCTTGTTTAAGAAAATTAATTAGTCTCAAAAGAACAGATAGACATACAAGTTGGGACACAGCATCAGTTAGTAATTTAAGTCTGGTGTGATTTATTCAATAAAACAAATAATAAAAAACAAAATATAAGATAGCCATATAGAAATATACATAATAAATAAATCTTTTTTAGATTCTAACCTTGCTTTCATCTATCCTTAATAAGTTATTCCAATTTGTTTTAAAATGATTCTACTTTTTTTATTAACAATTAAGGTAGAGTTGTACAAGGACCATTGTTGTTTGCTTAATAATTCTTATAAAAGTATGTGTTGAACTCAAAAAAATTCTTTCGTGGATTTTAGTTTATAACTATCTATTATTTATAAAACTAAAGCAGTTCTTGATCTTTTATCACTCCATAATTGTTGTTTATTTCAGGCAAAGCATTTTTTAATACATCATATGCCTTTGATATTTCTCGAAGATCTTTTTCTCCATCTTTTGTTGCTTCTTTTTTAGGCAATCTTTGCTATCTGACTTTTATCATTTCTTCGACTTTCTATTATATAAACAGTAGTTCAGTACTTAAGGGTCTTTTAGATTTAATCCAATCCTTCTTGAAGAATAAAGTTCTTATTATTCAAATGATTGCTTATTAAGTACAGAGCTTTTCCTTGAAGTCTAACTTCTTGGAGATAAAGGTGTGTTAGCAACGAATGATCCTCTTTAAGTATCCTTTTTTAGAGAAAGCATTTATTACATATAATTATATAAATCAAATGAAAAAATGTATAACTTCTATATAAATTTGATTATATAATTAATAAATCTTATTTTATTTTGAACAAATCTAAATAAGATTTTAGAAAATATTTCAAGTTATCTTAATGATGATTAATATCAATGAAATTCAATATAATAATAAGTAAATTTCTAATATATTTAGAAAATCAAATTAATTATTAAACATCATTTTTTTTCAATTACACTTTTGACATAATCTAAAAAGATGCTTTTATTATTTTTTCTGTAAACAAATTCTAAGAATTCTTTTCCTTCTTTTAAATTATTATTCAATAAACTATCAGTAATTTACTTAATTTATCTAAAGTATAATTCAAGTTCCTTAATTGAAGGTAGTCCTTCCTAAAATATAATGTATTAATAATTTACAATTAAATTTTCAGGGGGATGGCATTTAAAGAATTTAAATATTTCAATTAAAATGCCAAATACATGTAATTTATCACTATTTTATATTAATCTCTCAATACATTTTAAATTTAGCCTTAACATCATTTTTTCATCTAAAAAACTAATCTATAAATTGTAATACTTTTTGAAATTTCATTTGTGAAATCCATAGGTAAATGATCATTAAATACATGTATTAAACAAATCAATACTTATTCAGTATCTTTAGAATGCAATAGAACATCTAAGATTTGTTATAATGACTTTGTTAATAAGTTATCATCATATCCTAATGAACTATTATAAATTTCAGATTAGGTTGCAGGCTATTAAAATATATAGTATAATAAATTACAGTTGTACATAATCTTAAAACTATGGCTATTATAACTGAAAAATTTTATTGATTAATATTTGTTAATAAAGTTTAATTGACTAAAGATAATTTAAGATCATTTATAAATGCTAATTTATCTTCTGCCATATCTAAATTTTCATATTAAAGAAGCAAAGTTGATGCTACATCAAAATATAATGAAGTTGATGTTAATAAAATTTCTTACATTTACTTTATACATTCATTTCTTTTTAAATTTCTAGCTTAATCAAATAAAGATGTTGTTTCAATTGGGGCTAAAACATCTCCAAGTAAACTTTTTTCATTGAAATTTCCATTTACAGATTCATTTTGAACTTCTTCATAAATCTTCTCTATCTTTTATTTCATTGGATCTTTTAATGGTGGTTATGGATATGACTCTTAAACCTATTTATTACTATCTCTTTTATGTTATCTATAAGTTTCATTCTGTAATTTAATCATATCTAATTCTTTTAATCTTTATGTATCATGAGAATATAGATTCTTTGCTAAATCTTAAATTACAGTGTCATGCATTTAATTACTAATTTAACTTATTTATTATAAAGGACTAATAAATTATTAAATATTTAATATATCTGGTTATTATTATTATCCTTCTTCAGTAAATCTTAATGTTTATTAAGAATTAAAATTTTTAGTTGTGCTTTCCAATAATTCAAAATCTTCTTTATTTATATGGATAAAATTATCTTATTAACTATTATTTACATTTTCTCTAACAGTTTCTTCTCTTTTGGATGCACATTCATCAATTTCTTAAAGATCAACAATCAAAATATCATTTTATTATTATTTATATAGTTTTTAAACATCAATCAAAGGTTTTTCAAATGTTTATTATTATATTTATTACCAATTTAAGTAAGTATCATATAATTTTTTATAATTAATTAATTCAGTCTCTACAATTTAATTAAAATTATTTGCTTATTATTAATATTTACTTAATAAATCATTTGCTATTTAATAAAACATATTTTAAGTTAACATATAAGTTAAAGTAGTGATGAAATATTAAATAAATGCAAATAAATCATTTTCAAATATTTTTTAAAATAGATAGTTGAAACCTGTGTGTATTAAATTAATTAATACTTTTTCATTTTCTGATTTTTAATATAAGATATTAAAAGCTTATCTATATTAATATGCCATAACACTTTTATCAAGTTATAAGAATGTACTAAGAAAAACTTCAAAATTTTCTGTATATTCTGTTTTAGGACAAATATAAGCAAAAATAAGATAAATTAAACATTATTGACTATTTGGAAAGATATGTTTGAGTAAATAAAATACTTAGAATACTTAATTCTAAATTTGAATACTAAAATTCTAACAAATAATTTCTAAAATCTTTGTGAAATCTTCAAATTTAGAACTTTCATATTATAATCTATTAGGAGAACTTATAATCATGTTATCTCTACCAATTCCTCTTCTCCAATGTTTACCAGGTGAATTAGAATTTGGACTTAAAAATACTGTGTGTTATGATTAATTACAAAGTTGATATGCTCGATGACGATTCAAATAATGGATAAATTTCTCCAATCCTTATAATGTAAAATGTGTGGAAACTTATTGTTCAATTTATTATAAAGATTCCAAATTTTCTTTTTCTTCAGAATCAGAAAACTCCAATTTACTTTATGTTTTGTTTGGTGTTTCATATGGAGAAAATCTAGATTATGAACCAAAAGATTTAGATTTAGACTTTCTTTATGATTAATTTAATAAATCTTAATATTAATCCAATTATTCCACCTATTAATTTATTATGCGACTTTTTAAAGAATTTAATAATAATCTTACATCTAATTAAGTTTATGGAAACATTTTAAATGTAGTTTCGAAAGTTTTGTAAGAAGTTCTTATAAATGAAGGATCTAATTATTATTAAGTTGCAGCATTAATTTTTTATGTAATCCAATTAATAAATGCTTAGAATATTTTTATATTACTGTTTGTTTATTTTTATAAATATTTATTAGTTATCCTATATCCAATTTTAATCATACTTTCTAATGAATTACAAATATATAAGCTTTCTAAAAGTGGCAATAGTTTTTATATGTCTAATTGATTTAATTAGATCAAACATATTTTATATTCTTAATAAAGCATTTCTTAATCTAATGTAACTTAAATTTTATTCATTTTTATCAATAATGAAATAATAAAATCATACAATTTATCAGCAATTGTTTTTTTTTAAACTTAAACTTTTTTACAGAAATGAAGTAATTCCATTATTATATTATTAGTCATTTATTATAAAAAATCATTACTTGTAATATTTTTATCTGAATAATGATTTTTAAATGAATGTAAAATTTCTTCTATTTTATTTTAAATTTATTAATCTTAATTATTTTATGATAATTTTCTTAATTATATGAGATCATTACTAAATTTATTCATAAATTCTATTTATTCTCTATTTAATTAAGAAGTAGGTAATTCTATACTTTATCTATTTCTGTTACCTTAATTAAAATTCTACATTTCTTCTCCAATTTAAGCAAATTCACATAAATCTTCATCAGTTTAATATCTACTTTTTACAGAATTAATTTATTATTTTCTAGATTATTTCTCTGTTATTCTTGATTCTTGAAAATCAAATTGAGGATTAACAATAGCAATTTATGATTCAATTACAGTAACTAAAAGATTTTATTCATCACATTACATTGAATTAATTAAATCTAATAAAACTTTCTTATAATTTAAATTATTTTCTTTTTTCAAAATACCTTATACTTTTTTATAAAGGACTAGAAGAGATTTCTATATTTTCTCACTATTAGATTAAGCAAATTTCTTAAGTACCTCAGAATCAGAAGATTCATAAGAACCTGTTTATACAGCTAATGCTAAGGCTAACCAACCATCTTTAAACCATCTTGCACATGCTATTTTTAATCCAATATTTTTTGATGATTCTAATTAATTAATCATAAGTTCCATGAATTAATCACATGAAATATTTTCATAAATTAAAATGTCTTCCAAAAGATTAAATACAGCTGATTATAAAGGTTTAGATAAAGAACCTTTTAATTTATCCAATATTAAAATAAAGAAATGTTTAGCAACTGGTTAAGGAATACCTCTTCTCAATAATCTTACCAAACCTTTAATACATCTCATACCTTAACTGTATATTAAATAATTGCTTTCTTCAAGTAATGTTATAATAATTGCATAAATACTACCATAATCTTTAGAATTATCAATATCTCCATCATATTTTTCTAAATTCTTAGCAAATTATTCAGTTATGTTCTTTTTTTCATTGTGTTTATAATAAGGCATTTCAAAGAATTTATCTGGTAATAATGTATGTAAATCAATAATTTAAATAATTGGTTATATTGATTAAATTTCTATTTTCTATGTTCTTTTTGTAATTTTGCTACATAATTATTCTAATTCTTTAATTTAAATTTATCTTAATCTTTTGTCTAAATAAGTCTTCTTAACTTATTCAAAACTTTCTGAAATCATTTAAAAGAGTTTGCAAAATATATTTATTGACTTTTATCTTATTACTTTATTAGTATGTTGAACTAATGACACACATAATTCAATGAAATCTCTTATTTAATCTCTAAAATTAATTAATAATAAAAATATACTTTATAAAATGATTAGGGGATAGTTCTAATAACTTTTCAATAAAAGTCAAACATAAAGTCATTATTTTAGGATGTTTAGCTTCTATCTTTTTTTGAATTTCTGTTAAAATAAATCCAGTATCTTATGTTGTTTTACAACATTGTAATAATATTTCAATTACTAGATCTTAGATTTAAGATTTAACAAATGAACCTCTTTCAATAAGATCACCAATAAAATATGGTAAAATGTGATAATTCATTTGTTAACTTTTAACAAACACTTAAATAAATTTAAGGCCTTCTGTCATAGCAAATTAATTGCTATCATTTATAATATTTTTAAGCCATGCAGATTAAAATTCATAAACAGTTTAGTTTTTTTAATATTCTTCTGTTAAATTCATTAAGACCAATCTTCTAATCTACCATTTATGATGAGTAATCTTTTCAAACAATGTAAGATTGCTATCTAAAACCGACTCATCAATTTTTGATATCTCTGCAACATCATTCAATATTTCTATGCCCTCTCTTTAAAGTGTCTATTGACTCTAATTTACTTCACTCATTATATTTTCTTTATCTGAATAAGGTGATCTCTGGTATCTAATTTTATCTTAGTAATAAGACTGATTTCTTATAGGTGAGTTGTTCATATATAAATTTGAATTCAAATTATTATATTATAAATTATTTTTTAACTCAATATTAATATTTAAAGGAATTGAGAAATTTATATAAAGTTTATCCCATTTTCATTTGATAAACTCATTTTCTAAGTTGTGACTAATAAATATTTAAGAACTATTGTTATCTTTAAAATTGGCTACATCTAATTATGAATGTGTAAGAATATTCATATCATAAACTTTAATATTAATCATTATATTTTGCAATTACCCAAATTTTCATCAAGATAGATGATAATCTAGTTGCAAATATATAAAATCAAAAATTAATTGATTATTTTAGTTTATTATAGAACATTCTTTTAAGAATAGAAATATTTGGAATAGGAAACTTAAAAAAAATTATTTCATTAAATATTATTTGATTATTAAGTGAATCTATAAGTTTAAAAAAAAATAAGTTATTTCTTCAATTTTTATTGATTATTTAAAATAATTAATACGTCTTTGAATCATATTCCGTAGTATATATTATCTATTAATTTTATGGTTGATTATGATTGAATATTTTAATTCTTAGACGTCATTATGTAATAAATGGGTATTATAAATAATTATGAATTCTAATAATAAGGTTGATTGTGAATATCCAGAACATTATATGCTTGATATTGAGGAGGTATTTATTAATATTATATTCAGAAGAAACCAGTATAGTAATAGAATTTTATGCCTTTTCTACCTTATGGAGTAATCTCCAATCTTGAGAACCAAGTAAAGCGAGTAAGAAGTTCAGCTGAAATAAAATAAGAGGATAGATAAATGATTAAGAATGATTCATAGGCTTCTTTAAAAGATGATGTGTTGTGTTTACAAAATATAAAAGGAAATGTGAAAAATGCATATATAAAGAAAATAAGTTCTCTTCTCAATGTAAATATGGAAGACGATAAAGAAAAATTGCTCTCTTCAAAAAGAGTAAAAGATAATGTTTCTTCGAACTCATCTAAATAGTTTGAGAATGAAGACTTAAAGATGCAAAAAAATAGGGAAAGTGCAAGAAATTCGAGATAAAGAAAGAAATTATATATTGGTTTATTGGAGAAGAAAGTTGAGGATTTGAATGGATAAATAGAGGGACTTCGATAATAAACAGAGATAACATTCAAGCATATTCACAATATAATTGAACATAATGCATGTTTTAAAGGAATGATCATAGAACAAGCACAAATATTTGATTAATTACAAAGCAAAGATCCAGAGACTACAGAAGGATAAGAGATATAAGCATTGCTCACAGACTCTTACAAATTAAAATTTAGTGCCACAGGTTCAAAAAGAAAGCAATATATTAGATATTGCTTTTAAAATGTAGCCAGAATATTAATGGATGGTAATTATGGAACTCTGCTATTTGGAAGTAATTGTCTCCCAAAAAATTGTATAATTTTTAAAAGATTAATTCAGTTCAACTACTTGAAGATGAAGAGTTGCATGAATATGTTAAACAATTCAAAGAAATTACTGGATGTAGCGAAGAAAAAATGTAACACACGATAACCCATATTGTGAGGAGAATTCTAGAACATAAGCGCTCTTTTTCATAGTATAATGGATTATATAATTTTAGTTTAATTAAATAAATGAAATGCAAATCCAAAGATCTTAGAATCTGTTAACAATAATTAGATGATTAAATAGATGAAATGACAGCTTAAATGACTCCTCAATAATTTACATCACTCCTTATCAATCTCAATAAAGTATTATATCTAAAATAAATTTTAGGATGAAATAAAAGTCAAAGACAACTATTTAACTACTAAACCAGACATCTAAGTCTAATAGTTATAATAACAATAATAATAATAGTAACTTCTGAACCAATACAAGTTCTTACCATAAATTTCTCTTGAGTTATTACTTAATAATAAGAATACACCATTCCTACTACCTAATAACCTAATGATAGACCCACTGTAATTCAATGATTTAATTTAAAAGAAGCTTTGTAAATAACCATGATATATTATTATAGTAAAATTAATTTTATATTATTATGATTGTTATCATTTTTCACTTGTATATTTCAATACATAATAATTATTTACAAATGAAATATTTAAAATCATGTTTATATTATAGACAATTTTTAATAATAAAAGATTTCTCATACATAATATTAAATTCATTATATTGTATTTAACTTTAATTTTATAATTAATGAAATTATTCTTAATTGGCTCATCATTATTTATTATGTAGAGATAGTTAAGAAACAAATAAATAGGTATAGTCACAAAAGTTGCTATAGCTGTGCACACTATCTTATTATTTTTAGTAGTTGTGTCAGTATGTTTAAAATTGAGTCAAGAATTCTTAATTTCAATTTTATTAGCATAAGCAGCTTGGTAACAGTTTGTAATAGAGACTCTTCATTTAAGATTAAATAGATTTAATTATTTAGAAGAATAAGAATAAATTAGAAAGAGATTTGGACTTTCAACCTAAAAAAGCCAACAATCTTCTTTATGGTAATATTTTTAATATTCTTTAGGTATTATAGAAGAAAGTTAATATTACCAGCAATTGTTTTGACTCTTTTTTACTTTACAAATTAATCATATGAGGATTTATAATATTGTTTCATTTCTGTGCATGGACTTCTATAAATTTACTAAGGTTCTACTATTCTTGTTGTTGGAATCAAATAACATATAGAATAGAATGATGATTATTATACTGATTTAGAAAGTGAGGGATTAATAATGAAAAGCAATATGATGTTGAGAAAATCAGAAGTAAGAGCATAAAAATGGAAGAAATTTGCAAATCTATCTAAGAAGTTATACATCAAAACAGTCACAATATATTTCTTTTTAAGCGTGTTTTATGAATTCTATGCTATCTTTCTTAATTTACCACCTTTCGATTTACTTTCATTTATTTGTAATTATTATCAAATCCAAGTATCAATCTATGCATTAATAATTTGTTAATTGCATATTCTTTTCGTGATACTATATATTGGTAATGCAATCATTCAAAAGAAAGTGAATAGAGTTAAAAGACTATATGAACATGTAACAAAGGAATAGGAAAAGCTTTAAGTTGAAGGTGGAAAATACTTAAGTGTAATGATCTATTTATCCCTTACTATTATTATATTTTTATATTATAATAGTATGTAAGGAACCATTGTAAATAAATTAGCGGATATGAAAGTAAATTAGTTCAGTTTGATTGCAATTTTAATCAACGCAATTAGAAATTATATTGAAAGAATTCATAAATCATATTAATATTGAATTTACTATCATGTAATCTAATAATAATGTTGGACAGTATCTTTTCAATATGTCATATTCTACATAATATTCCATCCCATTATCATACATACATCTAAAAAGGAGTTTTCCAATTAAAAAATTATGAGATTCTATATCCTCGACTATAATTTTCCTAAATCTAACTTCATGAAAATCCATATCATATTAAATTATATCATTATTCAAACAGTTATTTTCAATATATTAAATTTCAGCATCTTTGAACTTTGGTATTACGAGAATACTACATCTGCTAGTCCTATTTAATGCAAGTTTCTCCAATTATAATTTTTATATCTCCTATTATAATTATTAACTAGTTTTAACAATAGGTTAAACTTTTGGTTCTTTATATAAAAATTATTTTAATGGAAATTTTTCCCTTAATTCAGTTTTTCTTTTTTGTTCTTCTTCCATTATTTCAGATATGAATTATTTCTAAATCTTAAAATTGATATCAGAATTCTCTTAAGTTATATTTTCAGTTATTTTTGAATTAAGAACAGATTTTACAACCCTTACTTTTAAAAATTAATTTTTTGGTTAATAAGTTGATAGTGAAACAAGATTTTACTAATGGATATCTTTAGATTTTTCTTTATCATTCAATTTTTAAGGTTTTTATTACTATTCATTATTCTCTGTTAATAGTAAATCTATTTCAAAAGATTCATCTTAAGGTTGACTTAGTGTTTCTTAAACATTAAAACTAGATAAATTGTATGTATTGGAAAACTCTAAATGTGTTTAATTTTTAAGAGCAAATTTACTGCTCCTTTATTATTATATTATAGAATTTTCTTGATTCTTATTAATTTTAATATCTTTTGAAGAATGCTATACTGATTCTGAATTATCACAATCATTAAGAATAATTTAACATTCACAAAAATTTAGATTATTACTATTTGATTATTATTATTATATTTCTTTCTTATCTCTGTTATTTTTTAAATTATCCTTTTAAATTTAAATCTATTAAATTTGAATTACATTTTATTTAGATTTTTTTGTTTATTATTCATTTTATTTTAATAGTTGAATATCTTTTTCTAATTCTAAATCACTTATTTTGTTTTTATTTTATCTCCTTCTTTTCTTGCTTTGATATGGTATTTTGTATTGGATAGGAGATAGACTTGTTATAGATATTATTTCATTTTCATCTTATTAATTTAGAATTTTTCTAAAATGCTTTTTTGATTTGTTTTCTTTCTTTTAGATTTTTTAATAGATCTTATTATTATTTGAGATCAAAAGATTTTATTTCATTTATTTAATAATCTTCTATGCTTTATTACATGGATATGGATGTGAGGTAGAGAGAGATACAATTTATTTTTCAGAAATAATTGTTTTTTGTTTTGGCTTAGTATCAACCTATTAGACTTAACTAAATTTTCCTTTGATGTGGACTCTTATGCCACTTGAAATAGAAGCAATCTTTTTGTAATACAAAGCATAACAAAGCTTTGTTTCTAAGCGTCTTAATATGATAAATAAATTCTAGTTACCTTACTAGATAACTTGAAATAAGTGTAAAATTAGAAATAGGTTCCCATGACATTTACTATATTGTCCAGCCCAGCCATTTAACAGCATAAAAAGTCTTTTTCTTGAACATTTTTTTACCATACACAAATTCTACATCATAAATGTCTAAGGATTGAAATACAATATATACTGCTATCATCACTATTAAACTCCTTCTCATGACAATCACTCATAATATTTAAAATAGTATGTCAAAATAAATGCAGGAATATTATAAAAAACTATATTTTTGATGATAAATGTTAACTGAAATAGTCAATAGAAATTATCATATTTCTTATTTTTATTTTAGATCTCCTAATTATGCATATGATCAAATCATTTGAATCTATTTATATGAATTAATTAATAAGTTTAAACTTTTTTCAAACAAAAATTATTATATAAAAAAGATGATGCTGAAATTGTCTCTTCTTTTTATTGTAGGATACCATATTTTAAGTATATGATAGAATAGGTTTTAATAAAAATATTTTAAAACTAAATATCTCAATCATGTTATTAATAGAAAAAATAAAAAAAATTAGTAAATAGAATATTTAAAAAAATTGAAATTAAACTAAGCGAAAATGTAAAAAAGTATAACCTGATCATTATGATAATTTATCTACATAAGAAGGAACACACAGTTGAATAATTAAATACCTACACAATTTTATGAAACTACATTTAAATGATGTTCAGAATATTAATACTTAATTTATCTGATGTAATTTTAAATCTCAATTATATTTATCAAGTTACAATAATGGTTTATTTTATGATAAAAATTTTTGGATTCTCATTAATTATACACGCCTGAATTAGAAATTCTATAAAAACTTGAATTAAAAGATAATTTTGAATTAAATAGAAAGGATACATAATTTTAACTTGTTATTAGATTATTTTTAATAATTATTTTTACTATATGTGGATGTTATCAATTTTATCCTTAGTAAAAAATGAAACATTAAAACAATAAAAAAATAAGCTCGAAACAAGCAATTCGGTTTATTAAAATTACAAATTAATTAATCAAAAATAACTAAAAAGCAATAGGAATAATATCTAAGTATTCATTTTACAATTTAGAAATTACAATATTCTTTGATTATTCATCCCAACATTCATCTCTAATTCCAAAATTCTTCCATTTTTATCATCTATAAATGAAATTTCCAATATATTCGTATCTTCTTTGTCAACCTCTTATATATAAATGATACTATCCTTAAATAAGTCATTAGTTAATATTTTAAAGTAACAATTTTTGAAATCATAGTTTTTATTTGTCTAAACTAAAATTTAGATCTCTTTAACTGTTTATGGTTACTAAATTTCTTTGTTCATGATTATATCTAAATGAATTTGTTTATTTTCTAATTATTAAAATAATTATTTAGTGCATTCAAATTTTCTGCAATCATACAAAAGTTAATCTACTCTCAATTTAAGATTATTATTTAAAGATATTCAATTATTCATCTGAATGATCTCATTATATTATGAATTGTTATTCAGATTTATTGAACTACTGTTTCTTAATAGTTAAATCTTATGATAGCATTTACAATTTTTAATTCAACTATTCTTATGATTATTTCAAATATTGTTCTTACATTTAATTCTTTAATTATGTTACTATATTTCTTTAATGGAATCTATAATTTAAATTTAAGGTTGTTGATTTCTTTATTTAGAATGATCTAATTTGTGATTATTGATTGTAGCTCATAAAATATGAATGTTTTTTTGTAATTGAAATTTTAATTAGTTAAAATATAATTTAAGTAAATAACAATAAATATAGTTTGCTTAGAAGACATTTATGAATATAAATATATTTAATTATGGAATACACTTATTATCTTTTTTATAATTCAGGTAGTGGTGGAAATAGAGGTTAACAATTCTTGTAACTTGATGTAAATTCAAATATATGATAGTAAAAAGAACTAAGTTTCTACATTAAGGAAAGTCATTGTCGAGTGAAATTTTACAATATTTGTGATAGTATCTCAAGAGAAGTAGGATTATAGCAGATAATGAAATAAAGATTAGAAAATATTCATGTGGTGATGGCTGGAGGGGATGGATCAATAATGTGGATAGTGGAATTATTATTATAACATCAAGTGAATATTCATAGTTGCATTATAATTCCATTTCCTTTTGGAACTGGAAATGATTTCGCAAATACGTTAGGATGGGGCACTTCAGTACCTAATGACGTAATTGGGATGGATAACATTGTTTTGAAAGGTTTTGTTGAGGAATGGATTGAGGGAGTGGAGTCATATTTTGATGTTTGGGATGTGGATATTAAACTATAATAAGTATTTAAATATTTTTATATAATAAAGGGTGGATTTATTAGTGAAATCAAGAGAAATGAAAATGGAGTAGGTGAAAGTAAATTGTAATTAAAAGATTAAAGATATTATAAATAGATGATTAATTATTTTAGTATTGGAGTAGATGCACGTATTGGATTTGGATTTGATAAAAATAGAACATCCAATTAATGTTGTAATAAATGTGTTTATTGTTGGGAAGGATTTAAGAAAATGTTTTTGAGAACTCCAAAAGTTAATTAATCTATTGAAAATATTCATAATTTAAATGAAGATGATTATTTGGAAAGTGGATTATTATAAAAATCTAAAGATTAAATTGTAGTTCCTGGAAATCCAGTCAATTTATTATGTTTGAATATTAATTCTTATGCTGGAGGATTGAAAAATATATGGCTCAATGCTTAATAAAATTAAGTTAAATCATATTCAAATATTCCTTCTATTTCTGATGGATTATTGGAAATTCTCTCATTCAACTCGATATTAGGATTAGGCTCAGAAAGACTTATACCTGGATAAGCTACAAGATTGAGTCAAAGTGGAGGCCCACTCAAATTAAATTTTAAATAAAATGAACTATTAAGAACATATTTCTAAATTGATGGTTAATACTTTTCAATCACAAATCCAAGTTCAGTTCTTATTAGATCATGTTAAACATTACCATAAGGTAAAATACGTGTCTTAATTAATAAGAAAGGTCTACTGAAATGATGATATTATATCAATACATTCTATTCATTTCAAATAATAAATAAGAATTATAAATTTNGGTGATGGCTGGAGGGGATGGATCAATAATGTGGATAGTGGAATTATTATTATAACATCAAGTGAATATTCATAGTTGCATTATAATTCCATTTCCTTTTGGAACTGGAAATGATTTCGCAAATACGTTAGGATGGGGCACTTCAGTACCTAATGACGTAATTGGGATGGATAACATTGTTTTGAAAGGTTTTGTTGAGGAATGGATTGAGGGAGTGGAGTCATATTTTGATGTTTGGGATGTGGATATTAAACTATAATAAGTATTTAAATATTTTTATATAATAAAGGGTGGATTTATTAGTGAAATCAAGAGAAATGAAAATGGAGTAGGTGAAAGTAAATTGTAATTAAAAGATTAAAGATATTATAAATAGATGATTAATTATTTTAGTATTGGAGTAGATGCACGTATTGGATTTGGATTTGATAAAAATAGAACATCCAATTAATGTTGTAATAAATGTGTTTATTGTTGGGAAGGATTTAAGAAAATGTTTTTGAGAACTCCAAAAGTTAATTAATCTATTGAAAATATTCATAATTTAAATGAAGATGATTATTTGGAAAGTGGATTATTATAAAAATCTAAAGATTAAATTGTAGTTCCTGGAAATCCAGTCAATTTATTATGTTTGAATATTAATTCTTATGCTGGAGGATTGAAAAATATATGGCTCAATGCTTAATAAAATTAAGTTAAATCATATTCAAATATTCCTTCTATTTCTGATGGATTATTGGAAATTCTCTCATTCAACTCGATATTAGGATTAGGCTCAGAAAGACTTATACCTGGATAAGCTACAAGATTGAGTCAAAGTGGAGGCCCACTCAAATTAAATTTTAAATAAAATGAACTATTAAGAACATATTTCTAAATTGATGGTTAATACTTTTCAATCACAAATCCAAGTTCAGTTCTTATTAGATCATGTTAAACATTACCATAAGGTAAAATACGTGTCTTAATTAATAAGAAAGGTCTACTGAAATGATGATATTATATCAATACATTCTATTCATTTCAAATAATAAATAAGAATTATAAATTTCTATTTTGTTTATGAATATTTTATATATTTTTATTAATTTATTACTTTTAATTTCTTTTATTTAATATACACTTTAAAAATTATCATTACTCATTGAAAAAACATGCTACAATAGAAACTGGTATTGATCCTTATAAATCTATAATTTTAATAAAGCATGTTTTTATTCCTTATTTTACCTATTAAATTATTATTATAGTTTATCTGAAAATAATTATAAAATCTTAATTATTATGAGTCATAATTTTTAATGAATCATCACTAATGAAAATTTATATCTAAAATCCATTACTTTTTTATAATTCTTTGACTTTACAATTAATTAATATAAATTCAGCCTTATTTTGATTATCATCTTTTCTATGTTAGTTAATCAATATTGCATATGATATTTATTAATTTAAATTAAAATAGTAGTCACTACGAGATATCTCAAAAGAAGTGAATTATCACAAATATAGATTATAATAGATCTAAATATTATTTCATCTTTTTGTATCAAATATATAAAATATATGAATATAATAGAAATCATTGTTATTTCTATCTTAATAAATACAAAAACATCATAGCCATAATTCTGAAAAACAGAATAATAGCTACTAAAATTACTAAACATTTCCATAAACCTAGAGATAAGTCATATGTATCAATAGGATTACTATTTTAAATAGTTGTACCAAGAAATTCATCACTTCTTGAATCAAATTCATTCCATACTAATGCTTCAAATGCATATTTCATTGGACTTAAGTATTAAATCCATCCAATCCAATCCATATATTAAGATTAATTAGCATAAAATCCAGAGAAAATGACCAAAGGCATTAAAACAACAGGTAGAAAACCTGAAGCAGCTTTAACATCTGTAAACATACATCCTGCCATTAATCCTAGAAATAATAAATAATTTAGAATTACCAAAACTATTTCCACTTAAACCAAGAAGTATACAAATAATAATATTAATTATTACAATATCTCCTGATTTATCATTCAAATCTACCATCCAATAACATATCAATTATTGAATTATAGGAAAGATTAATAGAAAAGGAATCTCAACAGAACTTTTACCAGTAAAATAAGCAGCAGTTGTATAAAGTTTAGAATTCTCTTCCCTTAAAAATACCTCTCTTTCATCTGGAAATTATATAATAACTGGATTTAATGCTCCCATAAAACTGCTCATAACCAAAAAGAATAAAACTCCTATTGTACTTTAAATCCCTTTATAACCAGGTTCACTACCAGCAGTCCAAAATATTCCCCCAATTAATAATCCAATAAATATAGTCATTACTATTCTACCTCTAACCAACACTTTATCTCTTTTCATATTTATCATTCCTCTTCTAAAGATTTCCTTCACTTGAAATGCAAATGTAGTTTATATTGTCTATCTTTGTATTGATTATTTCTTAATAGTCTAGATCTAACTTAAAATCTAATTCTCAAATTAATTGTTGTAATTTATAAATAATGTTTGATAATGAGGATGATTAGGATCTTCATGATGCATCACACTCATCAAATAATCTAAAGGATTAGAATGAGCTGGACATTCAAAACCTATTCTTTTAAAATAATCAACCATTTAATCTCTCCTCCCCTGATAAATAAATCTTCCTTACACTAAAAGCATAACTTAATCAAATAATGTATAAATATCTGCACTTGGTTAATGAATAGTAAATATTATAGTTCTACCTGAACTTTAAGCCAGTTTCTTTAGTAAATTACTATTCAAATATTATTAAATATATATCTACATAATAACAAATGCTGTAAATGAATCTAAACCTGATGTTGGTTCATCTAACATGATACAATATGGATCACTAACTAATTCTACTCCAATTGATGTTCTTTTCCTTTCTCCTCCAGATATACCCTTTATAAGAGCGTTACCAATCTTATTAAATTACTTTAAATCTTTACTAATGTATTTTAACAACGCTCCAATTTTAAAGTCTTAATTGCATATTCCACTTTATCCACCTTTTATTATGGATCCCCATACTTCAAATTGGCTACAAATTCAAATGTTTCCCTTACAGTTAATGTTCCAAATAGAACATCATTCTACATAACATAGGATGAAAACTATGCAAATTAATCGCTGTTATAAGGTTATCCATTTGCCTATATTTCACCTTGCAAAGAAATATTCCTAGCTATAGATATTCTTTTTGCTAAAATATTCAACAGCGATGTTTTCCCTGCTCCAGATGCACCCAAAATGGCTGTTACTTAACCTGGATGACAGATTCCTGATAAGTTGTTAAGGATTGTTCTTTATTCTGAGACTCCTTTAGGATTCTTTACAAACACTTAATATGTAAGATTTTGAAAACTAACTGTTACTTGATTTGTTTGATTAGTTTCAGTTGAAGGTACTACTGTTGCTCCTTTCATAAATCTAATTTATTTATTAATATTTGGAATTCCCAAATTCCAAGTTTTTTTCCTCAATTAAATTTATAATTTCGATAATTCCAATTAAATCTGATAATCAAGTTTAAACTATTTCATTAATCAAATTCTTTAATAAATATTCTAATATCCTAAATTTATATCAAATAAAATATTCATTAATTTAATGAATATGATATTTGAATATCATCATATAATCTAGTTAAAATTCTATTATTATTTATATCTCTATTCAAAACTTTATTTAATTCTGAATATTAAATTCTATTTAGTTAATATATTTTGATAATTAAATAAATTATGTAAATTTAATATTAAATAAATAGCTATTAATTATCTGCTAAATAATTTGTCAATAAAAATTTATCTAGTAATAAAATAAAATAATGAAAAGTAACTAAGAATTTGAACAAGAGGTTGAAATCTTAATTAAAGAATCTGTTTCCAAAAATCAATCATATATTAAAGATGAAGGTGAGACAAAAGAAAAAACATTAAAAAAATAATTCTTCAATAATAGAAACAAGATTGATATAAATGAAGCATGGAGAGAGATTGAAAAATTATTTGAAAATTTCTCTATTCAGGATAAGAAATTAATTGAAAAACCAATTATGAAAGAAGAATAAAAAATTATAGAATAAATTGATGTGTTACAAACACCATAACCAAAGATTCATTCTCATTCAATTTAAACTACAAAAACTAAAGAGCTTTTAGAAGAAAAGGAGAAGGATAGGAATAAGCGTACTGTTACTAGAAAATTGAAATTTAATTTAGACTGATTTTGTTGATAACTATATATTAAGTTAATATTATAAACTTTTAAAGCATTTTCATATTCTATTTAAGATAGTATAAACTTAATAAAATTATTACCTATTTCATACATAAATTTCATCAATTGCTAATATTTTAATATATAGTACAGAAATAAGATTAATATAGAACTTTATTTAAAAAAAAAGATTATTTACATTTACAGATTTATAATCTAATTGATAATCTTATTAAGTATGATCTTATTTTTATATAATATTTATTTGTATATCGCCTTAAAAGTTTAAACATATATGAATTATTTTAGAGCCATTTTTTTATTTTAATCATCTCAAATTTTTTAGTAATTAAAATTAAGTTTAGATTATGTATTTAAATAATAAGTAATAACTATACATTTTAAATATAATTACCTTATTAAAGAATTATTTTTTATTATGATTTTTAATATTATTTTCGATATTATATATGATTAAATTCTTTTTCAATTAAAATAATACATTTAAATTCTCTATTGAGTGAAACAAAATTATATGTAATTTTATACATAAGCTTAAATATTATTATAATAATAATAATATTTAATATATTTATTTTAATGATATTTGAATATATAATTATTAATAATGATTACATATTATAAGATATATTATAATTAGTCAATGAACGTCAATGATTTTTGATTTACACAAAATTATGGCGTGGCTTGAATAACACCTTATTGTAAAGTACATCCAATCCAAATAAAGTGGCAAATAAAATTGCATACATAGAAACAAGTTCGAACTTAGAAAGTAAGGCTTGGAAGCCATAAACATGTTATTCATAAATCAAATAATGAAGGCCTATTTAGACATAATATATATATATACCATAAATTCCAAAGTATAGTATAACATAGACAAAATAAATAAGGCCTTTAATTCTCATCTTTAAATGAGGCTATTTTTCAAATTGGTTGAGTTACCTAAAAATAGTAAAAATCTCTTACATTAAGATCCAGTTTCCTCCATGAACATAAAACATGAGGACCATGTCAATTTAAGTAATATCTCTATCAGCAAAGATCAACTTTGGATCGATGAGAAACATAGTCCAAAACATAGTCATGACTATGAAAATAATTGGATTCATGCACTAGTATGCATAGTGAGTGAAAGTATGATGTCTAGGAATATTGATAAGCCATCCTCTTCTACGGATGAATTTGATGTCTTCAATAACCTGTGGAATGAGGAAGGAGTACATGCACAAATTGCTAATATTTGTCAAGTACTTGATTTAGTTCCAGAATTCTTCGATTGATTTTGAATCAAAATTGATATACATAAAGTATGTGTGCACAATCAATTGCACTAAATGAATAATTGTAGGAATCATTTGAGTTAATATTATTAATGAGATTTAAGAAAAATTTAATTTTCATTTTAAAGTGTTTACTCTTCTAGAAATGTTCAAGATGATATAACCAAATGGTTTTATCAACATTTTACTGGTTTTATCAATTAAGATTGAATACAATTATTATAAATATATGCAATTTAACACTTGATATATGAACTTAAATAGTATTGGAATTTAAGAAAATTAGTTAATTTTAATAGAAATAGAAACATTGATATTTTATTTTCAATGAATAATAATACTATTAAAATATATATATTGAATATCAAATATAAATTTCTATAGTATTATAAATCAATTAAATAAATAAAAATTATTATATAAGTAAAATTTGTATAATATCAAGGGGATTAATCTTAATAATCTTATTAATCAAGTAATTAAACTTATAATGGAGTTTCCATAATTTCATCTAATTCATTAATTTATTCATCTTCCTCAATAATTTTTTATAATTCAATATAATCTTCTTCATCATCATTCATTTTCAATTTAACTTTTTCTAGATTACCTTCTTCTTCATCAGAACTAGATGCTAATAATAGATCAATTTATATTACCTTCAACAGAATTTTCATTTTCGTTTTCATTTTCAATTTCTTCTTCATCACTATTTACATCATTTCTAAATCTTACAGAATCTCCATCTGATTAATCTCTTCTTTCACTAAAAGGAAAGTTAGAGAGAGTCATAACTGATCTTCCTTATTATACAACAGATTATTCACTAAAATATTATCTATAATCAATAAATACTTATCATCAGGATCACTTGAAGATTCATCTCTTGAATCACATCTCTTTATAAACTTTTATACATTCATTTTAAATAAACAATAACTACCATCATTATTTTAAATTAATTTAATTCTATCATGACTTTAATAACTTTTATTATAATTAGAAATCATCTTCTTAATAAATACTAAATTTGATGGTTTTGTCTTTTTACTTAAGAAAATTCTCTTATGTTTAGTAAGATGATACAAAATGCCTTTATAATCAGTTCTATGAGGTTTTTATTCTGTTTACTCTTACTCTTCTTTTTCAAATTCTGGTTCTTAAAATGCTACTTTCAGATTCTTTTTACTATTCTATTCTTTTATAGGTTCTTAGAGTTATTATTCAATTTCATTTTAAGTTATTAATGTTTTTAATGATTTAGTTTTTTTAAGAGTTGGATTAGCATTATTATCTTAATTTCTTCTTCTTCTCTCTTCATTTTAATCTTCTTAATCACTTATATGATTTAGATTATCCTTTTTTTCATCTTAATCATCAACTATATAATTAACTTCAGTTGTATTAGTCAAATTATTTTGATTATCTCTATTTTCATTTTTAAAACTGATTTCATTAAATTTTTAAACTGATTATTAAATCAAAACTTTTGGATTAGCTTTATCTGGTTCTTAAATAATGGTTGAATTAGTATCTACTTATTATTCATTCATCTTTTATAAAAATTATTCATAGATTTCTGTTTTATTAACTTAACTATGAATATAATCTTTAACTTCTTTTGAACTCCATGCATCACTTATCACCTTATTAAATTCTTCATAAATAGGAAATGCATTTTTAAGTTCTGTAACAGATTGATCATCTGATAGATGTTTCATATATTAAATAATTGTTCTATGTATAGTATCTATACTTTTATCAATATTAACATTATCTACTTTTGGAATAAGAAATTCATCAGCTTTTTCTAAAAACCATTTTTAAATCAATCTAATATTTTGAAAATTCTCAACATATTTATTATGTCTAGAATCTAAAGTCATATATTTAGATCTCACAGCAAATCTTTCTTTATGTTTTGATTCTTTTTTTATACATATTGCAAATGGTAATACTCTTTTATATTTTTTCATTATCTTCATCATAAAAATAGGTGTTAAATGTACTCCTTCAATAATAATTGAATCCATTTTTTCATCAAAAGTATTAATTACATGTTCTAATCTCTATTAAACTAATTCACATTATGCCTTATATCCTTTTATTATCCTCCTTTATTCACTTATATTCAGATCAGGTAATGTCTTACCAGCTTCATAAGTACTTGCAAATAAAACAGGATTTTCTTCTTTTGATAAGAAATTTCTCATTATATGTCTTATAGAATCAGTGCTATAAATTTAACATTATAATAATACCTTAGGACTGTAGAAATCCCAAATCTTGAAGCTAAAATACTGCTAGCTGTACTTTTACCAGTCCCTGATGTACCACCAAATAGTATTATGAGTGGCTATTTTTTCTCTGTCAAACTCCATGCAATCTAAAAATCTTCTTTATAAAGGTCTTCTTTTTCTCGAATATATTTTTTTTCAAATACAGAATTGAATACTAATTCTTTGAAGTGTTTTTCAGTTATTGTGGCTGAATTTAATTATTTATTAGATTATCCATTTATTGGTTGATGGTTCTTTTATTTATCAAAATTTTCTAAAAGTATTGAGTGTTTTTGTACCCAACAATTTACTGAATATCATTTCAAATATTTTCTCACAAAGAGAATATGAATGAGCTGCTTTGCATCCGCTAATTTACAAGATTATTTTTAACTTTTCCTTATTGATTTTGCGGACTATAATTGGTAAATTGCATACTTTATTGTTTCTATTTATCATTTGATTAACTATCTTTGAGCACAAATATTACGTTTTAGTCAACATGATAAACATTACAAGCACTCATTATATTAGTATTAATAATTCTATATATGATAAAAATATAAGATTTATTTATCATTTATGGTTATGACAAAATTGTGGAATTTATTTATTCAATCATTTCTAATATATTTCATATCCTTCAACTAAATTACTATTATCGATATCAAAAATTATTTAAATATTATACAAGAATACTAATATATATATATTTTTAATAATTTATATTATATTTCATGACTATCCTAATAGTATAATTAAGTATATATTTCATTTGGAAAATTAAACTTCTATATTAGATATTAATTCCTTTAATATTATACTAAATATTTATATAGGATTGAGAAGAAAATAATAAATTATTTATCAAAATTAAAACATATTCGATTACATGAAAAATGTAAATAATAAGAATATAAATTTTACATAATTGAATTATTTAAAAAATATCTTTAGTATTTGTAAAAGTATATGGTAAGATGAATGTGTAATAATAATAATACTAAATTTTAAAATTTTAATAGACATATTATTAATTGTTTCATAATAAAATAAAAAAATCAGAGTTAAATTTTATTTTATATAATGCGCAATATCTCGAAATATCGATTTAGTTCCATAATTGATTTAAGCAATCGTGTTTCAAATGATGAAATACACTCACAACTTAAGAATTATGGATATCTATTAGTGAAGGACAAAAGAATTGATTGGAAAGCAAATGAAGAATATTTTGATTTAATGGAGTAATATTTTTAAAAAAGAGCTTTACAATTAGAATAATCTGGGAAAGTTGATGATTGTTTTCCTTAATATAAATATTAAATTGGTTTAGGATATGAAAATATTGGAAAACCTAATTATGATAAAGAGTCTTTAAAATCAATGATAGATCAACCAATATTAATAGATAGAGATCCTAAATGGAAATACTTTTGGCCTTATAGATATGATGGATAATATAATCCTCCTTAATGGGTTCCTAAAGATTTCCCAAATTTTGAAAGAATTATGAATAAATGGTAAATTTCATTATTAAGAACAACAGAATTAGTATTAGAAATATTGTCATTAGCATTTAATGAAAAATAAGATTTTTTTTATAATAATATGAATAAAGCTACTCATTTATTATCACCAATAGGTTGTGATTTATAGAAACATTAAATAAATACAAGATTTTCAGGATATCATTATGGTATTACATTGTAAATCATTAAGATTTAAACTTTATTACTGTTCATACTAAATCAAGATTCCCTGGTTTATTTGTATGGTTGCCAAATGGAAAAAGAGTAGAATTAAGAATTCCTGAATAAACTGTTTTGTTATAGCCAGGAAAGCTTTTTGAATTAATGACAGGAGGAGTCTATAAAGCAGGATATCATGAAGCATTTTTGACAGAAGAGGCTAAAAGAGAATCAATAAAATAAAATAAGAGATGGAGAGTTACATCAACATTATTTACAATGCTAAATGATGATACAATATTATAGACAATGCCATACTTTAAAGATTTAAGTAATTGTAACTAAGCACCTATAAGTGTAAAGGAATAATTTTAAAAGGAACTTAATAAATTGAGTTATGTGTGATATATAATGTGAAATAATTTAAACGTGTCATTTCTTAACTGACGAAGTTGTAACTTATGTCAGAGGTTTTTAGTAATAGCTGGTTGATGGCCTTTGTTAAGGTTATTACTGTTAAGTTTGAACAGCAGATTTGTTAACTTTATTAGGTTGGGCAGCCATCTATTATTAAATAAAAGGATAATAGTATCCTTGCTTAGTTTGCATAGATTAAATCATAGAACTACTCTTATGATGAGTTTATTATTAAGGGACAACAGCTTATTATTAAGCTTAAGATTATTTTGGCATTTCTACAGAGGATTATCTCCCTCCCATTTAACCAGATTGTGGTCTTTATGCTTTTCGTTATTGTTACAATAACAATTATTATTAATAGATTTATTATTGAATGAGATCTGGTTAAGAAAGTTTTTGTTCTTAAATTGTTTCTTCCTTTTCTGGAATCTATTAAACTTGATTTTATTTCTCATCCAGAGATACTCCTAATTAAGCTAAATATTTTGCTTGCCATTTCTTTCTTTATTCCTTTTTTCGTTAACTAATATCTGCATATAAAGCTTCTCTATATTCTTTGATTGTAAATTTCTTATTATCATTCATTGTAATTCTTAAAGGATGTTAACATACTATTTCTTCATCAGGAGAAGAAAAGTCTCTTACATATTTATGTTTCAAAGCTTATTCTGCAGTCAATCTTTAATTTGGATTATAACATAACAGTCTTCTAATTAAATCTAATGCTTCTTCTGAGGCACCTTGAAAAAATGACTAAAATGCTTTTTTCTTTGATGTATTAATTGAAGCTAAAATATTAGCAGCCAATGGACTATCAAGAGATTCAATTTCATCTCCTCTTGGTTTCCCTAAAAGTTCAATAATTCTTTCAATTTGATTAAGTGTCGATGTTCCTGGGAAAATGGCTTTGCCAACAATCAATTCACCTATAATGCATCCTACTGACCACATATCAACAGCCTTTGAATATTTAGTAGATCCTAAAAGGATTTCAGGTGCTCTATACCACCTTGTTGCTACATATTCAGTTAACACTATTTAACCTACAAATATATTAAAACTAATCTAGTACTATCATCTTCTGTTTAAGCTAAGCTTCTTGCTAATCCAAAATCAGCTACTTTTATTAAACATTCAGAATCTAATAATATATTTGATGGTTTCAAATCTCTGTGAATTAATTCTCCTGAATGGATGAATTTTAATGCCTTTAGAGTTTAGTAAACTATATATTTCTTGTGAATCTCTTCTAATATATTTGCTCTCTTTTATTTATTATTATTAAATAATTACAATCACAGCATGAAGATCAGTTTCCATATAATCAAATACCAGGTAAAGATCCTTATTATTCTCTGCTTTTATGATGTTAAGTAATCTCACTATATTTTCATGACCATTCAATTCCTACAAAAACATCACTTCTCTAAATGTTCTTTAAGCATCTGTTGCATTATGAAAAGCATCAAATACTTTTTTTAGTGCAACGACCTTCAATAACTAAACAATAATACCTATTTCAATTTCTTATCTACTGCTTTCCAAACTATGCCATATGCACCTTTCCCTAATTTCTAGATAATCTCAAATTTCCTTGCTATATGAGGTTCTATCTCTTCACTCATTTCGTTATAAAAATTATATTATCAATACAAAAAATATAAATTATTTAAAAAATCTTGACCTAAACTTACACCTATAAAATCCTTTTTTTATATGAAAAATTACTCTAAATTATTATATCATTCCATCAATATTTATTTAAGAAATTTACAATAATATATAGAAAGTATTTTGTATATTTTTTTATAAATAAAAAAACTACCCTCTATATGACTTTATATCCTCAAAAATTTAAGAATCATTTATAATTTCAACTTTAAATAATCTATCCTTTAGATTAACTACGTTTGTATAACTATAAATTTAATTTACACTTAAATAATGGATATCTTGAAATAGTATTACAAGATTTGTTTCTAAATATGCCTATTTATTAAATATATAGGATGTTAGATGATTTTGAATAATTAAAAACAATAAATAATTTAGCTAAAATTAATTAATTATAAATTAATAAAATTGATATTAATTAATTTTATTAATAAAAACCAGTTTTAATTGGATAATAAAATATATATAGAAAGTTAATCTTTTTTTAGATCTAGTATGATATCAAATTAAAAGATGATATTATATTTAATAATTACACTATAAATCAATTTTATTAGGTTGGATTTTACTCTTATTTTTACTATTTTTCATTCAATTCTTATTAATGCAATTATTATTAATGATTGATCTATTGTAAGCCATTTTGAAGTAAACCTGCTAGTTCATTGAACTCTTTCTTTATTTCTTATTATTAAGTGTTTGATAATTATAACCCATCTACTTTAATTACTAATTTTCCACTATTCTAATCATTAGTTCCAACTTGTGTTCTTGGTCGTTATTTTAATAAGGCATCTGTATTTAGTTGTATTACCAAGTAGTAATACTCTCCTAACCAAATACATAGTTGGAAAATAAAGGCGAGAGTATTTACTAATTTCACATTACTGATAGCAAACCCTGCAATACAGACTGGTAAAGTGCAACACAAGTTGAAAAGACAACCTGCTCTTCCATTGTAACAATGTTGTACCATAAATAAGGCACTTGCAACTATGGAACAAACCTTAGAAGCTGTGTTTTCATAGTTAAAAACTTCAACACATAACACAATATGAATTGCTATTGCAAACATTGAGTAGAAAATTACTACACCTCTATTTGCCATTCGAGAATTTTCTTCTGCCTTAATAAATTCCTCTTCTGAAAGTTAAAGTAATTCATTAATATTGCCTAAAGTTAAAGTCTTCATCATGATTTTAAAAATATTAATTTGAGTTATTTACTAAAATTTGAATTATAAACTAAAATATCTATAAGATCTTTTGTATAAATCCTCTCATTTTTCAATAATTCCATTTTTAATTAAATAGTGTTGGATATGATGAAAACCAAAAATTACTAATTGTTTTTAGTAGTATCTGTTATAATATAATATCTTAAGTAAATGTAGGTAATAATAATAAAATAAATTGTAAGGTAAGATATTTTAATAATAGAAAATAGAGAGGAGGAATACTAATCTACAAAAAATTAAATTTAAAAACATCAAACTAACATTACAGTTATTATTATTGTTGTTAATAAAATTAAATATATATATATATATATAAATAAATATGTTAAATTTTGATGAATATTAATATAAAATTTATATTAATTTAGAAGAACTACATAATATACATTATTAGAGATAAGAATATTATAATTATTATTATTTCTAAATAATATTATTGATATAATTATATTAAATTAATATTATATATAAATGGGTTAATAAATTATTGGAAAATGTAAATAATGTGGTCCTTAAAATGAAGATATATTACCATAGATGGAATTTTAAAAAGAAATCAAAAGTGAAGTCATCAAAAACTTAAAATAAAAGTTACATGAATTTGAATCCTATTCAATATAAAAATTAACTACATATAGTTTAAAATATGATGGATTGTTTAGAAAGGAGGATATAAAAAAAGAGAAGGTATACAATTTATTAATAAGGTAATAGATTCGCTGGGTTTAGTTAAGCCAATAGATATTGAGAAAATAAAGTAATTAAATGAAGAAGTAGGGATCAAATTTTACTGTGGTATTAGTTTAGGAGATCCAATCAATATTGGATTTAAGACTATAAATGGATCCTAAATTGAATTAAATTAATATGGATACACTTTAGTTAGATTATGGAGAATGGGGGAAATGATGATGAATTTTTAATCTTGTATATAGATAGAGGGCATCAAATTAATTGGATTAGTGAGAGGAGATATTGAGACATATAAAAAGATAATCATGAATATTGGATGGGAAGAATATGATCACATTATTCTTGAAGATGACAACATTCTAGATTTATAATATGATGAATAGACTCATCAAATTAATCACAACTCTATGTTAAGTGCATTATTACTTTATGATGGATAAGTGATTTATAAGCACTATATTGATAAATTATAATTCCAAAGTGATTATAATATTGTCAAAAAAGATGTTTTAGAAATTATTGAAAATGGTGTAAAATAAGCTAATCAAATTAATGTTATTACTAATATCTCATTCATAAAATAATAAGAATATATTAAATTGAAATAGTTTATAATGAATTAAAAAAAGTAATCTTTTAGTAGAGATGTTGAAGTAACAATAAAAAAGAAAACTATTTATTATAAGGAAGATAAGTAAGTTTATTATGATCAACCAATTATTTATATAAATAGTTCTCCTAAATCTTTTTCAATTTCTGATAAATTTGCTAATTAATTAGGTAAAAAGAATCTCAAATGGGATTCTAAATTACTTAAAGCTAAAATTAATGAAAAAATTAAAGAATTTTCACTTAATGTTTAAATTGCCTTATAAAAAGACATTATCATATCTATTACAAAAGAATATTGTGAAATAAAAGTTCATCATTGGGAAGATGGAATCTTAGTTCCTTATTATAAAAGTTTGGATTATATTTCATAAATTAAATTATGGATTACAGCTACTGAAACTATTAGATATGAACCTAATGAAGATCCTGTACTTGATCGAATAAGTGATTTAGTAGCTAAATTATTTTAAACTATACCAAAAGTTGATAAAGTACTTGGAACTAAATATGCTAATATACCATTTGTAGAGAAATGGAAACCACCATATGAAGAATTGGATCCTCATCCAAAAAATCTAGAAATTCATAGGAAATCTGATAAAATTTTATTGATTTGGTTATTTGATTATGAAATTGATGAAAATATTGAGAAATTAAAAGAATTGATAAAAATAAAAAAAAATAATCCTTAATTTGGTTTATAAATAGCAATATTAGGTTATATAAAATTTACAACATGGACTAGTAAATTTTAAGCATTTTTAGATAAATGTGAATTAACTAGATCAATATTGGATAATACAATAGAGACTTGGTTTCCTTAAGAAGAATAAATGGGAAGATTTAGATTTAATATAATACTCTAAAGAATATATGGATTAATGTTAGATAAATAAGACATGATGATTATTGATTCAAAAGGGATTGTAAGATTAATTGATAATAGTACTTAATTAATTAGTAATTTGACTTAAGAGATTGATAAATTAAATGAGAAAGTAAAAGTGACTGTTAAAAATTATAATTATTGGAGATAATATTAGAACTTAAAGAAATGTATAAGAGAAAATCCTTAATTAGCAGAAATAGTAAAAAAAATTTAAGAGAAAGGAATAGTAGAAGAGAGTAAAGTACTTATAGAATAAATGAAAGATAAAGTTTGGACATTTGAGAATGGATAGATAAAAGAAGAAAAATGGCATGAATAACCTACAAGAATATTGAGAAATATATAAGATTTTACTGATATTAATGAGATGGCCAGAATTATTGCAAAATACATTGATAATAATGATATTTGTGCATTGAAATGAATAATATTTTGAATCATTATTAAGATTTAATTTTCTATTCTATTAATTATCTCTTCTCTTATTCTTATTATTATATTGATAGAATAGATTAATTTTATTTTTGTAATCTTTTGATTGTTAATTTATTAGGTTCACTCAACTACTAAATCTAAGCATCTTTACTAGACAAGGTAAGTTATAATTGGTTAATCTGTTCTTTATAATATTATTATACAGTATCTAATTTGATATTTCATATACTTAATTAATTTTTTAGATTAGTATTTTCTTTGATATATAAATCTGATTTATATTTGGAATCTTCAATTTATGATTAAAATTATCCAATAATTTACTTTAATCTTTTATTTTCATCAACACAATCCCTTAGTAATTATTAATATTTCTTCATTTATTCTGAACATATTTCATATTTATTCTTCAAATCTAATTTTACTATATAATATTGATTAGATATTCATACTATTATTTGATTAAGATATCTCTTATTGATATTATAGAATTTTCTATGAGATATCTACAAATTATTTCTTAAAATGATCTCTTTATTAAGTTAATTTCTATAGTTTTTCTTCAAGTCCATCAACTTACATACTAAGTGATTCTATTTTATTTAGATTATTAATATTTTCACCCATTAATTTTTCATTAAATTATTAAACACATTTTCTAGTTTCAGCTTTAGTTTTAATATCCATTTATAATTCACTTAGACTTGATTATAATTTACAATTAAATAATTCAGTAGCTATTAATTTATTTTATATGATATTATTCTCTTCCTCTTAATTTTCCAATTTTTTAACATAATCATTAATCTATTCACTCTATTTTTCTAAAATTCTTTCAAATTCTTATTTCTGTTATTCCATTAGACTTTCTAGATGTTTTCTGAGTTTCTCCTCATTCTTCTATGACTCAAAGTTTAGTTCCTCAATAGTTCTCTGATAAGTCTAATTTTATTTTTAAAGATTATTTTCTAGCTATAAGTTCTACTCTTCTAATTCCTTTACTCTTTTTTTGATTGAATTCTTTTCAGATAATAACTCTTATATTTATTATTAGTAATATGAGCTATTTGTGATCACAATCTTAAATAATTAAATCCTCTACTTGAAGTTCCTTCTCTAGATTTTCTATTGTGTTCTATTAAAGTTTAAGTCCTTATTCAAAATCCAGTATCTCAACATCGCTATCAGAGTCACACATCCTAAAAACTTTAATAATAATATTACATAAAAAATGTCAACAATTTATAAAATTCATTATGATAAACTTGAAACCTCTATTAAAAATACTTAATATTATATACTTTAAAAGAGAGAAACAAATTCAATATAAGTATATAATAGATTTTCATAATGATATTTGATTTAAACCAATACTAAATTATATCAAGTGATAATAATTAATCTAATATATATATGAATAGATAAAATATTTTATACAAATAACTATTCATTCAATATTATTAATTAAGTTATAAGATTAAAATTATTACATCTACATTATAATCCTAGAAGTTAAATTGTCAAATGATAGTTTTAATGAATATTAATAATACTATAATTTTATAATTAATTATTATTTATATGATTAAAATAATATTTCCACAACTTAATAATCATACATATGAAATTAAAAATCCTGATTATTAGAAACCTATGAAGTTCTATTTTGATGAGGCTATTATTCATTTATAAAAATAAATTCCACAAGAAACTAAATTTTGTTTAACCATAAATGATTAAGAAAAGGATATGACTCAAGACTTAATACATTTACAGATAAATACATCTTCAAATATTAAAATAATTTTGAATATTTAGATTCAAATTACAATCACATTCTAAACAATGGAAGAAAAAGTTACTCTTGTATTTAATTCTTTTGATAATTTATATAAATTAGAAAAGTAAATCAAAAAAACTCATAATTTAGTGTCTTATGATTTGAATTTCTTTTATAAATAATAATAATTAAGAAAAGATATATCACTAAAAGCTTTATCTATTTAAAATGATTCTGTAATTAATTGTTAAATAATGGGAACTTATTCAATAAACTACTAGGTTGAGTAATTTATAATTATCAATATATTTTCAACAATAGATTAAGTATATTAATAAATTTAGAATTATTTTCATCTTAAATAAGAATTTTAACTATATTTTTAAGATGAATTATTAAAATAAAGATAATATAATAGAGATATATTATTTTATGAATATAAAATAAAACCATATTCTGAAATTCGATTGAAATTATCTGATAATTTTACTATAGAAGTATTTATCGATTCAATAAAAATGCTACAACATTACACGGTTTCTAAAAATACGAAGATAGGGGATTTAAAAAATTATTTAATTGAACAATGTCAAATTGATAAACATTGTTCATATTAATTATTTATTGAAGATTAAATATTATCTGATGATTATTAAATTTCTGAATTAACTAAAATATATAAGATTAATTCTAAATAATTAAATAAAATCTTTACTTTAAAAGTTGTAGATAAAAGTATTACATTCTATATATGTAAAAAAGAATTAGATGATTTTAAAATTAGAGTAATTATGAATTAAAATAATTAAATATAAGATTTATAAAATTTAAAATAATTGGAAGGATATAAATGTCAATTTTACTTTAATAATTAAATATTAAATAACCATAAAACATTCAAATAGATTAATTTAAATAATTAAGATATTATTTATTATGAAATTTAACCAGTTTTAAATTGATTTTTATTATTTTTATAAGATTACTTATTAAATTATAGATTTCATTATAACTTATGTTTATATTTATTACTAAATAATAATATAATTTATGATTTATCAAGAAATTTATATAAAGATCAATTAATTAAGATTTATTATTATCTAAAAATTGATGAATATATAATTGACAAAATGATAGAAGTAGAATAATTGTTATTATAATTTAATTATATCACATAAATGGTTTAGAATAATTTCCAGTTCCTAAATTGAGTAATGTTCTTAATCTATCAATTTCATCTTTTAATCTCTTATTCTCTTACATAACATTATAATTAGAATTAGCTATAGATAATTATTGATTTAATTACATAGTTCAATTCTATTTGATGATTATGGTCTTTAAGGTATTTATTATTATTATTATTATTATTATTATTATTATTATTATTATTATTATTATTATTGTAATTATTGTATTTATTTCTAAAGTGTATCAATTTAAATTTTAAGTTATTAATTTTCTTATTCTAAATCTCCAGCAGTTTATAATACATATTCTAATTCATCAAAACCTTTTCTAATAAAATAATATTTTAATATATACTTTAATGTATCTAATTCTTATTTTAATTTTTAATTTTCTTTTTATAATTATTCAGATAATTTTTTATGATCTTCAAAAGAATATTTTGATAATTTAATTTAATCTAATTCAATTCTTAATGATCTATTTTCTTATTCTAATTGATTTCTATCTGCAATAAATCTAGCTGTAAGTTCTCTTATTTCTCTATCTACTTGAATTCTTCTTTAAAGTTCATTTTGATATCTTTAATCCTCACTTTCCTTATCTCTATTCTAATATTTAACTCTCCATTATTCACATTCCATTTATAATTGAGCTAATTTCTTCTCATATTCACCAATTTTTATTCTTTATGATATAACTTCATTTTCAACCAAATCTACTCCTTTATATCTCATTTCACTAGTATTAAGAAGTTGCTAAATCTGAGTATTTTCTTCTCTCAATCGATCATTTTCAACAGTAAGTAGAAATACGACCATATATATATCTTCTCCTAACCATGGTTTATTTGGAGATTATCCACCTTACATTTCTTAAAAATTTGGTCTTTCTTCAATGATTTTGGATTATATCTATTATAATTGGAATTTCATTCTTTATTCTTATTGAATTTGGGCAATAGATGGAGGAATTTCTCGATTAGGTTTCATAGGTGGTCTATACTCCATAATAAATAAATTTATTTTTTATTGATAATAGCAATTAAAATATATTTCTTAATGTTATCATAATGGTCTCAAATTATTATTACTTATTTTATTTAACTAAATAAATATATAATCAATTTCTAAGAAATTCTTTTTAACTTATTTAAGATACTCATTAATAATGCCTAAAAGTTGTTAAATAAAAGACTGACATAACATCTTGACAGTCTTTTATTTCACTTCACTTTTTTATAATTTAAATTTCTATAATGTAGAATATAATCATAATATTAGAATTTATAATGTTATAAGATTTGATAATAATATAATTTATATCTAGCCAATATGAAATTGAATTTATGAATCCAATTTATGTTATGATATAATGTATAGAATAATGATTTTATTTCATTTCATATACTTTGAATACATACATATATTACTTAATTTGAATTATAAATAGAGTTCACTAATTCTAATCCATTTAATAAACTAATATCAATTATCTCTTTAGTATTCATTCTACATTATTAATTCTCTATACTACTTGAATATTAATATAATCTAGTTAGAATAACATTTAGTGATATAATTATTAGAATCAATAAATTAATAATGGATAATCCATTAGGCAACAGAAACTTATCAAATACTTACTTATAACAATAAAATTACAAACTCATTTAACGTTTAGGAATGGGTGCTTTTGGAGAGATTTATTTGGCATAAAATAAACAGAAAGAGGAATATGCTATCAAATTAGAAAGAACTAATTGTCAATATCCACAAATTCTATATGAAGCTAAAGTTTATGCTTTCCTTCATTAAGATTCTTAATAATTAGACAAAGGTATCTACTAAATTCGATTTCTCAGGAATCCCAAAGGTATTTGGAGCAGCAACCGAAGGAGATTATAATTACTTGGTAATGGAGCTATTGGGAAAATCAATTGAAGATTTATTTGCTTAATGCCATCGTAAATTATCCATTAAAACAGTAATATCAATATAAATTCAGGTGTGTATGCTTGCAGAATAAATGGTTTCAAGACTTGAATTTATGCATTCAAGATCCTTCATACATCGTGATGTCAAACCTGATAACTTCCTTATGGGAATTGGCAAAAAATAGTCTAAATTATATGTTGTAGATATGGGTTTAGCTAAAAGATATTTAACAAAGGATGGACATATTCCATTTAAAGAAAATAAACCACTTACAGGTACTGCTCGTTATGCAAGTATTAATACTCATTTGGGATATGAACAAAGTCGAAGAGATGATCTTGAAGGCTTGGCTTATGTTCTTGTATATTTAGCTAAAGGTACTTTACCATGGATGAATCTTGTATGTAACAATAAAAACGACAAATATGTACTAATAAAAGAAAAGAAAATAAAAACAACAACTGAATAACTTTGTTCAGGATTACCTGAGGAAATGAATTTGTACTTAAATTATGTTAAGAAATTAAAGTTTGAAGAAAAACCAGATTATAATTATTTGAGGAATCTCTTTAAATAGACGTTACAAAAATAAAATCTTTAATTAGATTATATATATGATTGGACCAAACCAGAAAAAAAAAGATAAGAAAATGATTAAGTTGATGCTATAAGAAAAGTAAAAGAAGAAATTGCCATTAAAGAAATAGATCAAAAAATTAAATAAATTCCTCTTTAATAACCTGCTAAAGCTTAATCTATTATTGCACCAAAATATTAACCAATTAATTCTCCAAAAGACAATAAAAAAGTATAATAATAATAAATTCGACCCCAATCAGCTCAAAAACCAATGATTCCTAAAAGACCTCAATTATAAACTTAATAAGGTAAAAAAGGACTTGTAGAACCAAGAGTAGCTGCACCAAGAATAGTAATTAATAAAGAACCTTACACTAAATATTGATTTCTTAGAATTTTTAATTAAATCTAATGACTTTCATGTTTATTGCACTTAAATTTATAAAAATATAATATGATTGTCAATTATTTTATTAATTTTCTATTGTTTAAATCAATTATTATGCATAAGCCACACTTTCAAATTAGTTGTTAGGTAGTTCCATCAATTAATTTTTGAATTCTTTTTTATAATATCTTCTAAAATTTGTTTCAAAGATAACTTATTTATCTTTTTAATATTACATAATTTCCTTTAATAAATTTACAAAATCACTTTGAATTTAGTTTATATATGTATTTTAATATTTAGCTTAAAAGTTTCTTAAAATTTTTTACAAAGTTGCAGGACTTGCATTTTTTTATTAATTAGTCAACCCCATAAATATTTTATAAATGCTAGGTCTATAATAATTCTTCTCTGTTCCTAATACATCTGCACTTAATATTTAATTCTACATGTCAATCCAATTTTAAGTCTTCTTTTGATTTTGAACAGTACTTAATTATTCTTTAGAAGATTTTATTTTAGGTTTTTGGAAAATTGCAGATGATTATTTATTTTCAAACATTTATTCTTAATATAGGATTAATCTTTGTAATGTCTCATTTGAAACTTTATAATATCTAAGAAATAATTCCATAAGTGATTTCAATTTCTTCATTCTTATGTATAAAGCTGATGGTTCTTTATTTATAATTAATTCATTAATTTCAAGACTTTCATATAACTAATTTTCTAATTCTATAATTGTTTCTAAAAGAGTATCATTTTATTTTGAAGCTACTAAAGTTTCTATTTAACCTGCTAAAATAATAATTTAAGTAAAATCTTAGAATTATAAATTTTCTCTTTTTGTAATACAAAGCATATCTTTCAATTATTACAATTATAAATCATTTAATATTGTTTATGATTATTTAGATAAAGAATTTAATGTAATTAAATCTGCTTATAGATAGCTAGTAAATTTGGCTAATCTAGTATCTAAAATACATTCTACATATCCATAAAATAACAATTTCAATTAACTTGAATATATGCAATCAGCAATCAAATCAAAAATGAATGAATATTATTTAAACTTTTCATCTTTTAATATTTTTTAGATCTAATTTTCTATTTTTTCAAATGTAGCCTCTATTTAACCTTATTTAATTAAAAAATAAGTTAATTAAATCAATTCACATATTTCTTCAGGGAGATATTTATCTTAAGGAAATTAATGAACATAAACATTTTATTTGTCATAGAACAATTATAAAATATCTCTATCTTAATTGCTTAAAATATATTCAAAATTAACTCTTTATTTATTTCTAATTTCTTCTATTTCTATAAAGTGTTCTTGAATACTAGGATAAATTCTTGATATCTATTAACAATATGATGATATATCCTAATCTTTACTTAATTATTGAATATGATAGACTAATTTTTAGAGACTATAATTATTCTATTATATTTAATGAATCATATCTAACTTAAGCAAATCTTTAAATACTGCACTAAGTACAATAAGATGAGGGGAAAGTTATTACGCAATTATTATTGAATCTTTTTTGACTAAATCAATAAATGTTTTCATGCTTGGATCTTTTTCTATAACTTGAAAATAAATAGTTTGAGTTTCAAGTATTTCTATATGTGCAATTGTCAAGATATATTAACTTGAAAATCTAACTTCCTCTATTTTACCTAATAATTTAGATAGAGCTTATTTGCATTGACCATCTTCAATCGCTTCAATAATCGCTTATATTTAATTGCATTATTCTTCTCTAGCCAATTAAAACTCTTTGGATTAGTTTTTGGTATTAAACAATTCTTATGCATTATAGATATACATTTTCATGTCCTGAATGTTATTATTTAAGTATTCAATAGATTATTTTAATGAACTTGGTATACCAATCATATATAGAGCCAAATATCTTGCTAATATACTACCAAATGATTCAAGAATTTAATTTAAATGTTATCTTGGAGTTGATGGATTATATTGAGTATTTAATTCTTTTTAAGGTTCTTGAGTATCTTGTCCAAAACTAAAAATGAATATAAAAATTTACATAGCACTTTATTAGAAGTTACTAATCTGATTTGAATTATGTTAAGTATCATGACAAATAAAAGAGAATTATTCTGGAGTTTATGTTTATTGCATGATATTAATTAGAATTTTATTATGAATGAAATAATATTGCTTAACATAAGAATTCATATTAATAATTATTTTGTCAATTCAATGTGGATTCCAGACTTATTTTCTTGAGAGCTGGTTTTTATTTTATAGGTGATTCCACAATATTAATCAATTATTTATAAAGCAATTCTTACACATTTTTCAATACTTGCAGATAATCCATGTATTAATACAGTTTGTATGCTTAAATTAGATTATGATAAAATATATACCCTTCTTCAAACAATTAAATTATTCTTTTAATATATCGATTGATATGAGCATCATGTTTTACAAAAATCTCATTAAATGAAGCTTTTTTATGAATTTTCATGTATTAAAATATATATATATTCAATAAATAGAACTTTAATAAAATTATCATCTAATATATTGAATTTTTATCTTACTTTTTTCATAATATCTTATTAAGATAATTATGAATAAGAATGAAGTCTAAAATTATATAAAATAAAATAAATGAAAAATAAAAGATCAATCATTTAAGAACAACAACCAGATCATGAATTGATTCGTAAATAGAATGAAATCAATTTATAACCAGCAGTATAAGTATATAGAATGTATACTTAATTACATACAGTAGCTTAAGCAGAATAAGTGGCTGATTCTTTGTCATCAATAGATTTCATATAGAAATAATGTGAAAAGAGTATGAAAGTTAGAGATTTTGCTATGTATGCTGCATAATTTTTTAAATATGAACATTATAATTTTGGTTAAACAATAATGAATTAAGGAGATTATGGAGATAGATTTTATTTGTTATTAAATGGTGAGGTAGGTGTATATATGAAAAGATCAAATGAAGATATTGAAAATGATTTAGACTTTCTAACTTAACAAAATAGTGATACTAATATTGGTGTAAATAACAATTTATTAAAGAAAAAGAAAACAGTTGTTTTGACTTAATAAAATAAATATGATTTAGCTTTAAAAATGTTATAAGATAATAATATGTATTATAATAATGGAGTTCCTTTATTTAAGAAAGTATGGTAATATTATTCAGGTCAATGTTTTGGTGATTAAGCACTTATTCATGATTAACCAAGATCTGCTAGTATTATAGTAGTATCAGATGAAGCACATTTGATATCAATGAATAAACATGATTATAGATTAGTTTGTGAGAAATAGATATAAGAATAAAATGCTAATGTGGATTATTTTATTAAATTATTTAATGGAGCTAGTAAATTTACTGTTACTAAATTTATATAGAATTTAAGAACTATATAATTTTCAGCATAAGCAATATTATGGAAAGAAGGAGATGAACCTAAATTCTATTTCTTAATTTTAAAAGGAAGAGTGTAATTATATAAGTAGATTTCAGAAGGATTAATAAATTAATTTACCAGTAAAAAGAAAAAGAAGATCATTTTAAGTTAATTATCAGATAATTCATTTGTTGGATAAGAAGAAATAATTGAATCACTTCCATATAGATTATATTCTTGTTAAGTTTTGGATAATACAACAGCTTATTTTATGGAAGCTAATGATTTTAATAATTTAAAAAAGAATTTTCCAGATATTGTTAAAATATTGAAAGACAAAAGTTCTTAAATTTCTCAATATATGAATAATAGATAAAATAATATAATATCTATATTATCATAACATGAAAATAAATAAAAAGAATAACCATAATTGTTAATTACTGAAAGAAAAACTGTATAAGAAATATTCAAAGATCCACATGATAGACCAGATAAGAATGATATTCGATCATAAAAACCTAGAATACTCTTATAAACTGAAATTGCTCATTAAAATAAGTTATATCATTAAAAGAAATTAGAAACTGATACTAAAACTAAATTTTTAATGGTTGATACAAATTTAATTGAATAAATTAGAGATAGAGTATCTAGAAAAATTTGGACTGGAGCTGAAAAGAAATAGAGAGTTAAAACTACTAATCTAGAAGATAATTAAATTTTAATTAATAGGGTTTAAAGTGCAATTAGTACAAAATCTAAAAAAATGTAAAAGTATGAATCATTTGAAACTATACTCTAAATTACTTCAACAGATCCATATTTTACATCTCCTACTTTTGTAACTTCTACAACTAATACTGCTGTACCTCTTATTTAAAGATCTTGGAATCCAACTAGTAGATAATTAAAGGCTAAATTAAGAAAGACAATGAGTTGCAGTCGAAATACACTTTAAACAAGATAAACTGAAAATGATGATATATTTTCATAATTTTAATCTCCTAAAAGAATACATACAGCTAAATCTACTTAAAGAAAAATGTAAAATAATTTTATTATTATTATATAAGTTATTCAGCTTTTGGATCTCACAAAAAGAATGATCAATAAATAAGTTTTATATGATAATTATGTTATAAATAAATTATACATATATATATATATATAATTAATCTTAATGTGTATTTAATAAAAAACAAATTTATATTTATATTAATGTTATTAATTTTCTTGATTCCTTTTGTTTTCTGTGTATAAAAGAATTTAGAAAAGGTGTGGATTGATACAGGTATATTATATTCATATAAAAATTAGATTCTGGAGATGCTTAAGCATTGTCAATAATATATGCAGCATTCAATTTTAATGTTTTAGGAATATCAACTATTTATGGAACTACATCGTAATTTATATTATGAAATAGAGCTGAAAAAGCAGGAGAAAATGTACTTAAATTAACTACAAACATATAAATGCCTTATCATATTCCAGTCATACAAGGATTAGATCTTCCATATAATAATCATACTTGTGTTAAATCACATAGTGATGGAATGTATTAAGCCAATATATTTCCTGATCATTAAATACCTATATTTAGTCAAGATTTAACAAAAGAGCTTAACATTTAAACTGAATATAGAAGCAAGAATTCAACTGTATAGATAATATAAATTCTTAGTTTACACTTGTATTATTAGGAGCAGCTACAAATTTTGCAAAATTACTTTAAAGATATCCTGAAAGAATAAAATAAATAGGAAGAGTTATAATTGTTGGTGGAGATGCAGATGGATGTGATCCTAATTATAATTGTGATCCAGAAGCATTATAAATCTTTTTAGAAATTCTTTAAGCACATAATATATAAATTACATTTATTCCTAAAGTTGAATAAGAAATACCATAAAAATATTTAGATGCTTTAAAATCAATAGATAAGAGATTAAGTAATTGGGCACTTGGAATGATAGAATAAAGTAAATTTTCTTTACATAAATGTAATATATATAATTGTATGATTTAAGTATTGGGAGTATATTTCCTTTCTAATAGAGATTAATTTAAAATAGAAAAATATGGAGTAGAAATAGAAGAAAATAATAATTGTAAAGGATTTGTGAATTTCTTTGAAACATCATTACCAAATTAAGTATAAGTAGTAACACAAATTACTTTGGATAAATTATTCAATAATTTAGTATAAATAATAGCCAAAGCATCAAGAGGAGCTTTGACGAAGGATGATTGAATAATATGTGTAAATTATATTGATCTAATTTTTTAATTAAAAAAAGAACTTATCATATTAAGATACATAAAATGATTTATATTCCATATTTTATAATCGAAATAATAAAATTGATTATCAGATGACGATATTTGTATTAGTATAATTTACAATTAATTTACCATTACAAAAATTATAATGCAAATACCACAAAATCAACCTGAATTTAGACCAAGTAAATTAACTAGATATTCCAATTAAACCTTTTGTTCAATGGAAAATTGTGATGTTTTTAACAATCAAATTGTAAAAATGGATATAATGATGTAAAACAAGATTATTACCTTAAGGGATTAAAATACAATGTTATAATAAGTCTTTGAAGTACGATATACATAACATAAAGAAAATTAATTGTAAAAATTTTACAATATGCCAAATCAAGAGAGAATGTATTATATGATTGATAAAGATTCAGGCAGAATTTTTGATATGCGAATTCCAGAAGTATCAAATTCCTATCTATGAAAGTAAGCAAAAGAAATCCAAGAAATTATGAATGGCAATACAATATATTTTATAAAAGATAAGGCTTGGAATGATTTTATGTAATAATTATATACTAAATAGATTGTTGAGTAAAAAACTTAATGAACATCTATTAGATTATGCAGAATTGGGTGATGCATTATCAATTGAAACATTACTAATACCAACCATGGAATATTATCTTGATATTGATACTAAGTATTATCAATACATTTATTATTTTAGAGGTCTAGATGATTGGACAGCTTTACATTTTGCATCAAATGAAGGCAATTTCCATATAATAAATATTCTATTAAAACATGGGGCTACTGTGGATGCCTTAACTAAATTTCAAAGAACTCCTTTCTTTTTGACAGTCATGTAGAATTTTATAAATTGTGCTCAAATATTATTATAACATAAAGCCAATATCAATATTTAAGATAGGGATGGCAATACTCCATTACATATAGCATCATAAATGGGATTAATAGATATGATTGTATTTCTATTACAGTAAAAAGCTGATCCATATATAAAAAATAATTACAATTAAAATTGTATATAAGTATGTTGCAATGCAAATAGTTTATAAGTTTATATAAAATAAGGATATAGTAATCAAGAAGAAGTAATATAAAATAATTAAATATATATAGAGTTATGAAAGAACTATGATTCCTGGGACAAATTTCCTTTTAAGAAATGGTAGGTATGATCATGTAATGAAATTAATGACAATAGAAAAATTAACAGTAGGAAAAACTATAAATAATTAAAATACAAATAGTCCTAGTAAAAAAATATCGAAATTTTAAAATCTAGCAAAATTTTTAAATGTCAATATTTTATAATAAAAGATGACACCAAATATGTTTAATTTTTATCAATTATTGGGTAAAGGAGCATTTGGAGAAGTATATTTGGTAGATAAAATAGGATAAGAAAATTAAAAATTATATGCTATGAAAATATTAAAGAAAGAAAGAATGATGTCTTAAAATTTATTAAAATATGCATAAACAGAAAAAGAAGTACTTAGTATAATGCATCATCCATTTATAGTTAAATTAAATTATGCATTTTAAACAGAATCTAAATTATTTTTAGTAATGGATTTTTGTCCTGGAGGTGATCTTTCTAAATTATTAGATATTAAGAGAAAATTACCAGAAGAAGATGCTAAAATATATGTAGCAGAAATATTATTAGCTATTGAATGTTTACATAAAAATAATATTATATTTAGAGATTTAAAACCAGAAAATGTAGTATTAGATTCAGAAGGTCATGCTTTATTAACAGATTTTGGATTATCTAAAAAAGGAGTAACTGATGAAGAATTAAATAAATCATTTTGTGGTTCACCTGCATATTTACCACCTGAAATATTATCTAAATAAGGACATAATAGAATGGCAGATTGGTATGGTTTAGGTGTAATGACATATGAATTATTGGTTGGTATTCCTCCATATTATGCTAATGAACGTGAATAATTATTTGATAATATTAGAAAAGGACCATTAAAAATACCAAGAAGTTTATCTAATGAAGCAAAATCATTTATAGTAGCTGTAAATTATTATTATTATTTAAGTTATTAAATAGAGATCCAAATAAAAGATTAGGATCTAATTTAGATGGAGAAGAAGTTCGTGAACATTCTTGGTTATCAAATATTAATTGGAAAGATTGTTATGATAAAAAATTAAAACCATCTAAACCAATAGAATAGAAATATAATAATGTACCATTAAGAATTAACTTTATGGATACAGATGAAAATAAAAATAAAATAACAGGATGGTCATTTTTTGAAGAATCATGAAAAATTATCACAAATTCTCTTACATGAATCATTTTTAAATGACCAATTTTCTATATGATGTTCCAATTTACTATCTAAACTCTATTTTTAATCTACTATATTTAAAGCTAACAATGTTTCTATTAATAAAAATAATGAATCTTAAGTGTAATCATTTTCTCTATCAAAATAATCATCAGGAATTTTCTTTAATTATTCTCTATAATCTATTCCATCCTATATATCATTCAATAATAAAATTGTTAATAAATCAAAATAATATTCATTTACTTAATATTTATTTAATAATAAAACTAATTGATTTCCTAATTATTAATCAATTATTGAATTTATTAATTATATTAAAGGTTAATTCAATTAATCAAATTATATAATCTATTTCTTAATCTTTTCTTTATCAAATTAATAATTTATTTACATATAAATTATTGATTGAATCCAACATTAATGATTACATTATGAGAATATTTTTAATGCTTATTCAAATATCTATTTTTAAGGATTAGGATTTAACAAAAGAATTTCTATCTCCTTAAAATAATCATTTTCCAAACATATTTACATCATTTATTTTATTATTATCTCATCTCTTAAATCCATATATAACATAGAATTTATAACTAATCTTAAATCAATATGATCTATTTCATTTAATTTCATGATTAAATAAGAACAATCTATATATCTCTTATGTCTTGCAGCTATAAGTATTAATAATGAACATATCTTTGGATATTATACAAAATTATTTATATCCTAAATTTCAAAATCAATGTTGTGTTTATCAAATATTTATAAAATATCCTAAGCTAAATTAGCATATTATTAATCTGATATCCATTAGAAAGAATACTATAATGCATTCATTAATAATGTCTTCAATTCTTAAATTCTTTCACTTTTAACATCAAGTAAATTTTTTATATAAAATGAACATCTTCTAGTCTCACCTTAACAATCTCTAGAACGTTATAATTTAGCACAACATTCAAGTTCTAAGATCATTTATCTTCTTTCATCTGAATAATCAAGTAAATTCTACAAACACAACTTTACAATTTATTCAATCATTTAAATTATAATTAATAAATATAACAAAGATATCATATTTAAATATTCCTAATTTTCTAATATTAAACTTATATGAATTATTATAATATATATATAAATCCTTGTACATCAAATTATACTTAATTTCTCACCATAAGGGTAACACATTTCACTTAAATAAGATGGAACAGTAATAGCTGCTTCAGATTTGGAAATAGCCAAAATATCTTCAGAATTAAAACCTACAGTCTTTTTCAAACATTAAAGATTCTATTAATTTATATATAAAAAAAAATAATTACTTTTTTATCAAGTGTGGATAAATTTGGATGAGTTAAGATCATTCTTAAGAGTTACCTTAAATAAGTAACTGGATGGAATTATAAGATATAATATCTTTCTACTAATAGATTGACTACATCATGTAATTATTATTCAGTTGTATTTTCATATTAACATTTAAATATATTATTCCATAATTCCTAATTGTGTTAATCTAATAGAGATAAATCAAACTTTTCTGCAGATTTAGCATGTATCCAACTATATACATTCTATAAAGGATAATCAGTTTCATTCATAGATTCAATATGTTGATCTGATACTTTTCCTACTTATAACATTTCTCTAAGATCTTTCAATTCTTCATCATTTAATCTAGATTCTTCAATCCAAATTAATTTTTCCTATTATTATAAATATAATTAATTATCTCTTCTTCTAAAATGATGTTAAATTCCTTATTTTTTATAATACTTATTGCTTAAAATATCCAAGAATAATTAATCATCAAATAATTAACTCAATTATAATAATAAATCACTAGCACTAAAATCTCCAAATTATTTGAAATCTGAATGAATAAGATCATCAAATTATATATCTTTTATACGTAATTAAGTAACTTAAACATTTGGTTAATAAAGATTCAAAGAATCTAAAAATTATAATTCCTAATTATTTAATTATTTCCCTTCCATTTATTTATTCATCAAATAATAAGTAATCAATTTTTCTTCTGCTCTTGATCTCTTTCTTGTAACTAATTGATCCATTCCATATAATAAATCTACATCAAGATATCTATCAGGTGATTATTAGACTTCTAATTTTTCAATATCATTTTCATCAAATAAAATATCAATATAATTAGTTTTCTATTTATAATATGGAGAAGAATGTTTTCTTCTTAATTCACCCTTTATTTCTTAAATTTTATCATGAAGAATATTATTAATTTTACTAACTATATTTTTAGCTTATAATTTATTAATTTCTTTATTCTTAACATCTTCTTACAATTTCATTAATAATTCCTTTCTCATTTTAATTAAATCCTCTAATGTTTTATTGACTTATAATTTCTTTTTTAAATATTGAGTTGTTAAAAATGGATTATATTATTTTATTTGTTCATTCAATAACACTTCTGGATCCCTTTATAAATATATACCAGCAGGTTTAGTTGATTTCTTGGATGATAATCTCTCTTATATTAATTTATCCCATATTTTCATATTAAATATAAAATCAGAAATTTCAGGTAATGTTTTAGATTTCAATTCTGCATTCAAATTCAATAGATTGGCAATGAATAAATCACTTGAATCATGATGATAATCCTTTTAATCTTTTTATAAGAAACTATATAATTTATTAAGTTTTTCAATTTCTTAATCTGACTTTTTATTTGAATGTTTCTTCCAAGCAAGAGAATAAGATTAAACAACTATTTATTATCTACGTTTGTCAGAATGTGGTATTGGTATTACATCTGAAATAAAACCATTATCTTCTAATCTCTTAAATAAATCTTATTCTGGACAATATGTAGGATCATATATTCTATTAGTAATCAAACTAGCTTTAAATCCTTCAATAGTTGATTAAGGATTATATATAGATTAAGATGGAATCATTCCATACCATTTTGGAAACTTAATTGGTTAAACATTTATTTGATCAATTAAATCTTAGAATAAATTATTTTAATTCACAATTCCTAATCTTTCTTATAAATCAAGTAAAGTTTATTTTAATTTTAATTTATTTAAATTATCATTCTTATTTAAATAATTCAATGCTCTTTTCTTTAAATATTACCATTAAGCATTAAAAATTGTTTATGAAGTCAATTCTTTACTATTTTCTTCTACTTAAACACTTTCCAATCTATCTTTGATTTTATTGAATAAAATGATATCAGAATTTTCAAGATTAAATGCTAATTGCAACTTCTATTTGAATTATTCTTTATCTTTACCTAAGAAATCATATAAAGTCATATATGGTTATGAACCAACTCTTAATTATGCATAACCATTAATTTCATTATTTACACTTAGATCATAAATCTCAATTAATTATACTGATTTAGGTAAAGTATCCTTAATAGCTTTATATAATTCACTATGATTTATATCCTTTTCTTCATAAATTAATTTCTATCCTGAGTGTTTTTCTAATACATCAATTCTTATTTATTATTTTTCATTCAAATCTCTAATTGTATTCAAATTTTTAACTCTAAACTTTAATTCTTAAATAAATACTCCATTATTTTGATTTTACAATGCCAAATATGTTGCATAAGCAATTAATTCATCTAAGGAAAGAAGAGTTAAATTATCAGGTAATGGGAATTTTCTATCTGTTTTATTCAATTATAAATGAAGATGCAATGAATCTAATGAATTAAGAAGTTCTTCATCAGTAACTTAAGCTAAATATTCTCTACTTTCAGTATTGAGACCAGCATTAGCAAAGGCTTTAGCTAATTTATATTTATCTGAGTGAACTAATAAAGGTTATGCATTCTTTAATCTTTATGCAATTTCATGTCCTTTATATTCAGACACAGCTACCATCAAATCTCCAAAATCAGATAATTTTGGTTCAATTGGTTTAACTTAATCTCTGTGAATTAATTACATTTCTAATATACAAATTAAAAATGCCATAAGATCTGGGTCTTTTCCTGAAATATATGAAAGTGCTGTTTCTAATGATAATGAAACATCTTCATTTTCAATTTCAGCAGGATGTAATAATCCTTAAGATACTAAAGCTTCTTCAAATTCCATCATTTTAATATTAGTATTAACATGAACCCAATCAGATTTTTAGATTTCAAGTAATTTTAAATAAACTCTTCTAATTTCTACAATTGCCTCTAAAACATTGAATACATCAGATTATGTTTATTCAATTAATTTTTCAACTTCATAAATTAGATTATTGACAGGTATTTCTTATTTTTCTTCAAAGATTTCTAATAAGAATGCTTCAATTAATTATTTTTCATCAGGATTTAATTCTTTAGCATCTAATTATTAAAATACTTTATCAACTATCTAATCACTATGTAAATCAACTCCTGTTAGAGATAATCCATGAATTGCTTCAGCTAATACTCTATAATCATTCAATTTTAATAAATCTTTGATTAAGACATCAAAACCCATAGAAGTTTCTATTTATTTATGATCAAAATAGGTTCTATCTCCTCTTGCTTTTAAAGCATGTCCTAATTAAACAAATGTTTATCCAACAATTTCTTCATTTGAATATTCTCTTTTCTACAGAAATGCAGCTAAAATAGTTTTAGCAGGCACATTAGATGTAAAGAAAGCATGATTTTACATTTTAAAGGCAGCTTATGTATTTTGATCAATTTATTTTTGTAATTAGATTGCTAATAAATATAGATGAATTATGAATACCTTTATTTAAAGCCTTCTTAAATTATTCAAGTTATGACTTGAATATTTATTTACATTTGAGATATTCATACTCTTCACTAATTCTAAAGAGAGATCTCTATATATATTTAATCATAATTAAAAGATTTTAATATTTTTATATTCATTTTTTCTTCTTAGTCAATGCTGCTGCCATTTCTTGAAGTTTAGACTCAATCTCAACTTATCTATCTTTCAATCTTGTTTCCAATTCTTATTATGCTAAACTCAATTTATCTTGTATAGCATTCATAATAACAGAATCCAATAATTCTTCATCTGTAGGTTCATGATATTCTATTTCTTACTCTTCCATCTCAGTCTTCTTAAAAGATTAAGTATCATCATTCACAATAGGTTTGTAATATGTATGATCTTCTAATGAAGGTTGTGGTAAAGGTAATTCTATTTATAAATCTACTTGGATTTCTAAAGGTCTTTAATTATGAGAATGTGCTTAATGTAACAATAACCAATGAGATAGATAACCTATATTAGAATTGATCTTATTTATATACCCTTTTCAATATAATCTATAATTGGTTATAATTACTTAGCCATAAATACTTTATGACATCCTTATCCATCAGTACTATGTTGTGATAACAATTATTAAAATAATTTTCTGTCTCCTTATATTGATTTACCTCTTGTTAATCCCCCTTCTACTAATTTACCAAACTTTTCATGTTGATTAATATAAACTAAAAACATCATATTAATGAATATTAATGCTTGATCTCCATTAAATCCAAAATCTTAACAAGCATTAAAATCATTAATCAATTATTCTCCTGCAATTTCAATATCAATGTCTCTTAATTTTTCACAATGATTCCTCTCCAAAATCTAAATTCACAATTAATTATTCTACCTTACACAAATATTCCTTTATCAAATTACTCGCATCCTCTTATTGAAATACTTCATTTATTATATATTGACTAATTGGCAATCCCATACTTCACATATTCTGTAACTATTACTTTGTCCTATATCGACCACATCCATATTTTCTCTCCTCTTCCTATCTTAATTATTCTTCTATTTGTCTCTTCCTCTCTTCCTCTGCTAATCTTGCTGCTTCCTCTTCTTTCTTATTCTTAGGAGGCATAATTAATATTATAATTTATGAATTATTAACATAATGTCGAATTCAAATGCAAAACTTTTTTTATAATATTTACATTAAAATCACTTAAATATCATATATTCAATAATAAAATCAAAATATAAGATATATAATGCAATTCAAAAATATAGAAATTATGATATTAAAAATTTAAAGATTCAAAATTTCTATTAATATTCTATATTTTTGAATTGCATTATATTCCATTTCCAATTTCTATTAATTATATACATATAATTATGATAATAATAGAAATTATTCAAAAATATATCAATTAATGAGTTAGACTCCAGTATCTTAAACCTCAATAATAAGAACTTTAATTGTAGATCCTCATAGCATCAATTAGGATTTAATTTGTGTGATATGTTTACAATTAGTTGTGAATCCTAAAGAATGTAGTTAATGTCATACTCTATTTTGTTCAGAATGTATACAAGAATCATTAATAAAAAACAGTATAAAGTATATTAATTTCGTAGAAATATGTCCAAAAAGATGCAAAGAAGATTTTAAGGTGGAAAATATAAATAGAATAGTCAAGAACTTAATCTCTTAAATAAAAATAAAATGTTTAAATAAAGGATGTGATCAATAAATGTAAATATAAAACTTAGATTCTCATTTGAAGTAATGTGAATATGTATTAACAAAATGTCAATATACTGATTGTAATTTACAAGATAGTTTAAAAAATATTAAAGTTCATTAATAACTTTGTAATCACAGAACTAAAACTTGTGAAAAATGTGAAGAAATTCATAAGATTAATCAATAACATGATTGTATAGTGACCTTAAGAAAAATAGTTAAATTATAAGAGGACCTCATTATGGTATTATATACAAGATTGGATTGGTTGGAGACTTAATAACAATGCTTTCAAGTAAAACAATAATTGAAATGGGTATTTCCTCCAAAAATAGCATAATGTAGTTAATGCAAAAAAGAGAATCTAAAAATAAGATACGTCTGCGAACAAAGTGGTGTTAGTTATTGTCAGAGGTGCATGAGGCCAAAACTTAAATATTTTCAATGTCCTCTTAATCATGATTTTATTGAAAGTTATAGATAGAAAGTGGATTCAAAAGAATGTGATTTTTGTGGAACCTAAATAGTCTCTAAAAACTATTATGATTAGATCTGTGATTTAATTCTCTGCCGTACTTGTTATTATGAGAATTGAGAAGATTAAAAGAAAAATTAAGATTGGTGAGATATGGTTTTTTATAAAAGCATAAACTAATTTAAATCTATTTTTTAAATATAAATAATATGATTATTTTATAGAATTTAAATTAATTTTAGTATTGGATTTTGAAGATAAGAAATTAAATCAAAGTTAATATTTTCTGAGTTGTATTTATAAATCTTAGATTTATTTCTAATAGTTCATTTACATTCTTTTCATTTGCTCTTATAATGATGTAATTTGTTATGAGTATAATTTAATGGTTCTATTCAAATTCACTATCTAATCTAGTTTATTATTAATTTTACGCTTCTTGCTTCTTCTTATTCAAAATCACTTGTTTATTGTTCTCTTGATATTTATACTTTAACTTCTTTCTCTTTTTCAAGATTTTCTAATCTTTGTCCCATCTTTTCAAACTTTTTCTAATAATGATGATCAAGTAATGTAATTTTTGAATCTCCTAATTATTTTTATTATTTATCAATTGTATTTTCAATATGTGAAGGTCTACCACTAAAAAGTAATTTTTCATATTATTAGTCTCTTATGACACAATTCTATACTTTTCTTTCAATTGAATCAAGTAATTAATGAGTTTGTTACATACTTTCAGAATAAACTTTAATAATAAATTATTAATTAAACTTTGTTTTTGAGTATAATTATTTAAATTATTTATTTGAATATTGATAATATTAGTCATTTCTTTTTTTTACCAGGTTTCTTCTTTCCTTTTTCATCTTCAGCTGGTTTCTTAAGTTTATCAATTCTTGCTTTATTTCCAGATAAATCATCATGTAATTTACGAAATTCTTAATATTATTATAAAAATGTAGATTATTGAACTGCTAAAGGATCAACAAATTCACTTATTCTATATGGTATTTCAGTAGATAATATTAATCTTCTCTCTGTCAATATCTTTCTTAGTGCTTCTTTTATCTAAAATATTTATTTAATATATATAATACATTTCCTGCAGTAAATCCTTCAGTAGCATGAGCCAATGAACTTATAGGGAAATTGGGATGTAATTAAATCTTTCTTTCTTCAAAAAATTTCTAAAATATCATTATTCTTGTAGCATAATTTGGACAAGGGAAATAAACTCTTCTTTTAAAAAATGATTTTAATTATTTTTTATTTGCATTCCAAGGAGCATAACTACAACCAATAATAGTAACATTTTCTTTCTATTTTTCAGTAAAATATTTTCCATATTTCAATAAATATTTTCTTAATTTAACCCAATTCATTCCTCCTGCAGATGATGGTTATTAATCACCTTTCTTCTTCTTTTTCTTTCCTTTAAAAATACGTTCAATTTCATCAATATATATAATAGCAGGTTAGAAACAAGCAGCAGTTTTAAATGCTAATGATAATAAATAATCAGGTTTATCTTAATATTTATTTTCAATATTAGCAGGTGATAAATCTAAAATTAAAGCATCACATTCAGTTTATAATGCTCTAACTGCATGTGTTTTACCTGAACCATGTGGTCCATAAAATAATACATAATTACTTTCTTTAACATTATCTTTAATATATGAAGATCCTAATGGCATTCCAATAAATTAAACTAAAACTTATCTTAAATCATAAATAGATGGATCAGCTACTTATTCTTATAACATTTCTTATTTTTATCTTAATGGATTACAATTTCCTATTAAATCTGAAATTTTAGCTGGTTCTAATTTCTTAGCTATACCTGATTCAATCAATTCAGCTAACATATCTCTAGGATCTTTTTTTGCAGTTCCTTTATCACCTGGAAATTTCTTTTTCTTCTTTTTTGCTACACTTCTAAAACCAAAATTAATATCTCCTTCTTCTAATAGATCATCTTCTTCTGCTTTTTCAACTACTTTAGCTTTCTTTTTTTTAGATTTCTTTTTTTTAGGATATTTCATTTTCTTTGCTTTTAATGCTATTCTTAAATTGATTAATTCCATATCAATCATTTCATCAACTACTTCTCTTATTTATTTTTCTACTCCTTTTGCAATTTCTCCTTTTAATAAAGAATTTTCATGTTTTTAATAAGGATTAAGTTGATCATTTCTCCATTCTTAATTATGTTTTTCTATTAAATCTTGCATCTTTACAATAGCTTCAGTAGGTCCTTATTCTACTCTTATATCTTCATCTTCTTGCTTCTTCTTCTTCTTCTTTTTTCCTTTATTCTTTTTAGCTGCTTTCTTTTCCTTATCTAATAAATCCATCATCTCTTATTCTTCTTCAGTTAATGGTAATCTCACTTAATCTTTTTTATAAAATTAAGCAACTTTAGGTGGTACTAATTTACCTTCTGCTTTTTAAACTTCACTCATATACCATCTTCTTCTTTCAGCCAACATTTAATTTTAAATATCATCTTACCAATCATTCATTAAATTATCTCTTGCTTCAACTAAAGCTGTCTTATATTCTTATAATCTTTCCTATTATTTTTCTTTCATCTTCTCTCTCTATATATGATATGTCTTATAAGCATCTGTTTCTTATAATGGTTTCTCTAATGTAAATCCTAAAAATAGTGATTCCTATTCTCTTAAATCCCAAACAATTTCTCTGGCTTTAAATCCTCTATAATATTTTTAAATCACAGTTATAGCTTCTTCTCTTTCTGTAGAATCATGTACTTCTAATCCTTCTTATAATTTCTTTTATTTCTCTTATTTCTTTAATTCTTATTTCTTCAATTACTTTGCCAATAACACTCTCTCAATACCTTATCTCCCTCTTTCATTTTTTTAAATAAACCATATAGCTTATTCAATATTTTCCAAAACTGCTTTATCTACTAATACTTCTTCTTCTGGTTAAGTGGTATCATGAAATTCATTTAAAAAATGATTAAGCATTTATTTACGATAAGCAAGTTTTCTATTTTATTCATCTGAAAAATAATGAGGTAAAGAAACTTCAGTATCTTCTATAAGTCTCTTTTCATCAAAAATTACTTAATGCAAATTTACAAAATCTGATCTTATAACATTTCCTTATGTTGAATAGAAAATCATGGCCTATATATTTTAAAATCATTAATGTACCTGCTTGATTTAAATTTATCTTAACATTGTATTTTCGAGCATCTTCTTTAATAATCGTCTTTTTTATGGATGTAACAATTAATCATAACATGTTTCAAGTGATTTATATGCGTCCACATAAAATAAGTATAACTTCCCATAGTATACAAACCACTCTTAATCAGGCCTTACTAATTTTAGATTTTGTTTGGCTTGGTTCTCAATTAATGGATCCATTTCAATTTGTAAGGCCTCCATAAGTTAATTGATGGATTGCCTCCATTTCAAATTAAAATACGAAGTTGACATATTAAATTAAATAAATATATGTCATTCAAAAAATTAGTATGGTGTTGATCCATTTGGATGTTAACAATCTGGACAAATATGTATGATATCTTTGCAATCATCCATATAACAAGGTAGACAAGCTAGACATAAGATTCCAAAAGAACATAAAAGTAAAAGACATGAAACCATAAATGTACCTTTTCCAACTCTTCTACATAATTTAGTTTGAATCTATTAACAAGATTGAAATATATAATTACTTATTTTTTGCAATTCTAACAAATTAGTTTAACAGAGTAAATTTATCCATCACCAGTTTAAACAAGTGAATTGACTAACTTAATTTATCTAAGACTTGTAATTTAAGGAATGATTTGAGTAATTAATTAAGGTATTTGATTATCACAGTTATTTTAAGATTAGATATGTTAATTCTAAGTTTAAAGATAGATATTTGTATTTCTTTCAAGATGTTAGAATATTTCATCTCCTGGACTTTTGCTTAAATCTTAATGAGCCATAAATTAATATTTTAGAATTGTTAAATGAATTATATAATGGATTGTTTTCAAGATACTTATAATAATTAAATAAACTGTTAATAAATCATTATTTTTTATAATTAATTTCTGTTGTGAATTATTATTAATAAATGAGTACTCATATTATATAGAAAAATTCTGAATTGTAAAAATACTAAAAATTGAGAGCGCAAATCGTAGATTTTATAATTTAATTAATTTCTATAACCAAAAGTACACCAATGTCTCAAGAGAAAAGTAATTCCCCAAAGACAAAAGCTTATACTATGTCTTGTTCTAAATCAGAAGTAATGGATAATTAGACAGAAGTAATACATCGAGCAACAAAAAGCGAAATAATATAATCAAATAAAGATTAGGATGAAGGTCATATAAATAGTTATTAAATGAAGAATCAATCTGGAAACTATTTAAATATTATAATATTAAGCTTAGTTATTATAGGATTAATTGCTGGTTTAGTGATAGGATATAAAATAATGAAATCAGGAAATGTATAAGATGAGGAATAAATGAATGTGTTTGTTAATATTGTTTCAAAATCATTATTAAATAATCTTGAATAGCAAAAATTTCTCATTATAGATGATTAACTTAAATCACTGAAAAAATTTTATGAAAAATAATTAACTAATATTCTATGGTAGAAGGTAAGTTTATATAATGTAAAAAATAGATTGTGAAGCATATTCAATAATAACCTAATGTAATACTTAGTTAAGATAAGAAAAAATGGATATTAAAAGAGTGAAAAAAAACATTATTATTTTATTATTGACATTTCACAAATCAAGAAATGATTTAACTTTCTTAATTGTAGCTTCATCTTAAATTTCCCAATTTCCAGTCATAGGATCAATTTTTATTCTTGTTTCTTTACAATAATATGCTGCAGGTACTAATTTTATTACTTAATGTAATGGAATATTTAATTTTGGTATTTCTGGTACTTCATGTTCATGAAAATATGCATATAAACATCTTAATATTGCTTAATGAGCAATAACAATTACAGGTAATCTTGATCTTTCAATCTCAAATATTATTTATTCTACTCTACTAATTACATCAAGATATGATTCTCCTCTAGGATATCTATAAGTTAATTTATTCATTTTGCGTTCTTCATAATCTTAAGGAAATTTGTCAGCAATCTATTAATATGTTAATCCATCACAAATTCCTGGATTTATTTCATCCAATGCTTTTAATGAATAATATTCCACTCCCAATAATTCACAAACTTCATTACTTGTATGTAATGCTCTTTACATAGTTGAAGTAAACATTTTAATATTTCTATTTCCTTCTAATTCTTAAACAAAATATTTGCCCAATTATTTTGCATACATTAAACCTGTTTAAGTTAAATCAGAATCACCTCCTACTTTATGAAGAACATTATATTAACTTTCTCCATGTCTAGACAAATATATTGGTCTAGGATATATATGCAAATTCATTAAATATGATACTAATTTAGATTATAAAAATCCTTAGATATTATAAATCATAATCTAAATTAATTATATTATGCTTTACATCATTTCCAATATCAATAATCTTTATAAATGATATATTCTCATCCATATCAATTGGTTCATAAACTTTAGTATATTATTCAATTCTCTATTAGAAATCCTAAGTAGCCTCTTCAGATGATTTTCCAATATAATCAGGATTATTTAATTTTGTTAATTAAATATTTCTCAAAATAACATCTTCATCATTGCATATTGATTCTACCCAAAATACTTATACTTCACTAAATTTTTATTATAATGTCTCCATAATCAATTTTCTTCTTTACTTTGTAGTATTTGTTCCATCATATAAACTAACATCTCCTTCATTTCTTAGATAATTTATCATATCATTTAAAGCCAATAATGCACATTCATCTCTTGCTTTTGATGCCTTGAATTATATATATTCAATTACATCTTTATTACCAGGATCAAAGAAATTAGAGTTGCAATCTGTTCCACATATTTATCTCCTGTAATTTCCAATATTAAATACTTTACTCTTGAAACCCATCCAATTCAAATATCTACAAATCTTTCTAGATATGTAAGTCTTACCTCTGGCTGGTAATCCAACCATTCCAATAACCATCTTTTATTACTTACCTAACTCTTGCATTATACTTTTATTTTAATAATAATATATTACAATATGTTTTATGATTTTAAATTGATTCACATATAATAAATTAATACTATAAAATATTAATAATAAGATTAATTATTTATGCCTAAAAAAATAATTTGCACTCTCGATCAATATGCTAACATTTTTAGACATTGTGAACTTACATATAAATAATTTAAAAAACTTATTCATAAGAAAAATAAAAGATCATTAAATTAATAAGTATTTAGTTTTAGATGCAAAGTTTGTATGAATCATAGAGATACATCTCCACATAGAAGATGTAATGGATGTTAAGATCTTTTTCATTTAAAATGTGTAGATGAAGAGAGTAAATAATTATGTTCTAAATGCTAAGTTCAATTATAAAATATGCTACTCAAATTATAATATATTACATAAGTTGAAGGAGATACTTTAATTGTACATGAATGCAAATCTTCTAATTCAATTTGTAGTGTCTGTTATATCCTTTGTGATGAAAATCAAAATCAAAGTAAAATTTGTTATCGATGTAATCTACGATAACATGTACAATGTTATAATAGTCAAAATGAATTCTGTTCTGTATGTGATTAATATTTAAAAGACAATCTACCATATTAATTTGATACAATTCCGAATTATATTCAATTATGGAAATCAGAATATACTTGTTAAGATGATTTAATTATGATTGATAAAATAAAAAAATAGAATAGAGTCAGATTATATCTACCAAAATATTCCGATACAAAAGAATAATAATTTTAAGAATCTTATTCATTAATTAAAGCCTTATGTGCAAAATCTATTTATTTCTCTGATGATTTAACCTATTTCCCAGAAGATTCAAAACCAGAAGATAATAATGCCAAATATGAACGCAAATTAGAAGATTTAGATGAAGATAATTTAAAATCTTTTCTATAATTTAAAGAATTTAGTAGATTAGGTATAACTCCATAATTGATGGTCGATTTTCATATTAAAACAGGTTTTATAGCTAAATCAACTGGATTCATTAAAAAAGGTTCTATTTTAGCAGAATATTGTGGAGAAGTAAAAAAATGGAAAAATATCATATTTGATTAAAATGATAGCATTATGGTAAGATTACTTTTTATTAAAGGAATTATTATCACATCCAAATCCAAAGAAAACACTTTATGTAGTTCCAGAAAAATATTCTAATATAGCAAGATTTGTTTGTGGAATTGATAACAAAATTAAAGAAGTAAATTAATCTGAATTTATTTAAGCAAGTGGAAATAATTAATGTAAAATGTTTGAGAGTAGCCATTAACAAATAAGCTAGAATTATTATGTATGCTTGTAAAGATATTCAACCAAATGAAATATTATATTATGATTACAATTCAGGAGGCAAATATTTATATCCAACAGAAGGATATCAAATCTTATGAAATTAATATATGTTCAATTGTAAATTTAATAAATTGTATTAAATATATTAGACTATAAATATTCTACATATTTTATAATATGATTTTCAATATATTCTTACACAGAGGAAAATTTGCATATTAATAGAAATTTTAAATTAGTATATAAGTATTTTATCTATATTATTAAATACATATCTAACATAAATAATATAAATTGGATTGAAAATATAAGAATTAAAAAATAAACTAAAAATCAAATATTAATTGTTATTGACAATATGTGCGCTTTTAGTTCACTGGTTTCTTAATATTAATTCAATCTAATTTAAATGAAATTTCAAGTATTGTGATTTTTATTTAATAATTAATACAACATATGCTTGTAAATAAAAATAATGGATATTAGTAATGAAGTTTCTAATATTAATTTACATTTATTACGGTTTAATGATTTTAAATAATTAAAAATTTTGAATAGAAATTTTCAAATATTCTCTATGGATTTTCAGATGATATGTCTATAATTTATTGTTTATATTGTATTCATTTGTAAATAAACTAGAGCAATCGAAATTAAAAAATCATAATTAATTTGAATTAATTTATTGTATAAATTACTAATATAAATAATGATCAAAAATTCTCATATTTATATATCTATAAATTAAGTATAAATTTAATTAATCAAATCTTAATTTTTAATAATATTTTTATTTAAAATGGATTGGGCAAGATTAGAGATCATAGTCCCTTTAATTCTTATATTTATATATTGGTTGTATTATAGAAAATTCAGATTTTATCTCATCGCTGAAAAAGCACAACCAAATGTCTTAAGACACAAATTAGCCAGAGGAACACCTCCACCTTCATATCCAAATGGATGGTATCGACTCTGTAGAAGTACAGAATTAAAGATTGGGTAAGGATTTGTCTTATAATTAATAGATAAGTAGAAGAAATCAAATTTGCTGGTCGACACATTGCTTACTATAGAGGAACAGATAAAGTTGTTTATGCTGTTGCTGCTTATTGTCCACATATGGGTGCTAATCTTGGAATTGGTGGATAAGTTAAATTCAAGTCTTGTATTGAATGTCCATTTCATGGATGGGCATTTGATGGTAAATCTGGATTATGTGTTAATTCTGAAAAATTAGATCCTAAAATTGTATCAACCTATTGTTACAATAATATTGAAAAGATGAATCCTAATTAAAAAGGAGAGTATTTATAAAAAGTAGAAGAAGGAGAAATTAAAATCAAAACTTATCTGGTGAAAGAATTAAGAGGGATTGTGTATATATGGCTACATTGTTTGGAAGCTAAACCATGGTATGAACCAGTGTCAGAATAAAGCGATCATCTTTAATTAAGAGGGGAGAGTGTGAATTATGTTAATTGTCACATTTAAGAAATTCCTGAAAATGGTGCTGATGCTAGACATTTTGATTATATTCATTCATCAGTTAATGACTATATTCCAACGTGGATAGTCAGTTTCAAATGGACAATGAAAAGTTTACCTGCAAATGACCCAGATTTCTATAAGAAGATGGAACATAGCAAAGAGAAGGTTCGTAAATACTAAAAGAATCTATTTGATCAGTATTTATCAAATAAGGATTTACGATAATATATGAATGTTTTATGTTTGGATGCTTATTTAGTATTCTTTAATAAATGGAAATTTAATGTAATTTGGGCAACTGGATTTTAAATGGGACCAGCAACAGTAGCCTTATATGTATTATCTGATGTTTTTGAAGCTTTATATAAATAAGCCATTCAACCAGTTGAAAGATTTAATTTGAAAGTGTTTCATACTTTATACACAACAAGTTCACTTCCATATTGGGCTAGTGCTTATATTTTAGGAGGAGAATTAAGATAAGTAATTGCAGATGTTAGTTTATGGAATAATAAGATCTTTACAGAAAAGGTTGCTTATAATTTAAAAGGTGATGCAGATCCATTATTATTAAGATGGAGATAATGGTATGCTCAATTTTATGAGGGATCCAGAGAATTTGAAAAAAGTTTAGATGCTCTGGAATGGTGAATATGAATTTAATAAATTAAAAATGTTATAATAAGAATAATTATTTATTGTTCTAATAGTGTTAGTTATAATAGCAATCATTATTGCACATTTAATAACCAAATGTTAAGGTAGAGAAAAAGAATAATAAGTAAAGGATAGATTGAGAAAGAAATTTATTAAAAATAATATTGAAACATTAAATGACATGAATGAAGAAGAAGCTTTATTACTATAGGAAACATATAAGAATACACTTGAGAATTCAAAACAAGGAAAAATTGCAAAATATGACGCGAGAATGTAAAAAATATAAGAAATTAGATAAAAAACTGTGAAATTTATTCTTACACATGAATGATTTAATAATTGTATATAATCATAATATTTCCATTTCTATCTAATTATATAGAAATAAAATTAATTAACAGTTCATGTATTTTAATATTATTTTATTTATTAATAATGCTCCCTGATTCTAAGTATGATATTTTTATTAACCATTAGTAATTAGCTATCAATTAAATTATCTCCTAAATTAAAGGGAATAATTGTATCCCAATTAATTAAGACATAATCTTCTCTCACTTTATAATATGCATTTATAAGGTACATTACTTTACTATTCATTTTTAGATGGTAAGTAAGAACTAACCCTGAAATTGTAAAGAAGGCTGTTGACAAAATCCTATTGAATTCTAAGTTGAATTAATTTAACGCTTTCTAAAAACTCAAATTCTTATTAGGGTATTAAAAACTATAAGGTAAATAGTACTAAACCACCAAAGGAAGCTAGAATGAATGCAAGAAAAAAAAAGAATTTGAGTATAATCAATCTGGCCTTATTTATTCAAAAAAAAGAATTATAACTCAAAAGATAGGCAATTGAATCAATTAAACCAAAATCATAAGATACAAATAAAATGCTTGGCTTATTATTATGGTCAATAAGTTCAAAATATAGAGAAAGATATTTAAGAGAAAAATTTTAATGGTGGAAATTAATTGCTAAAATAAAATCTAATAAATTAGAAAAACAACTGAAAGCATTAGAAAAATTAGGAGAAGAATATAATATGAGAAATGATAGATTAGATAGATAAAGATTAAAAGAAGTATATAATTATATAATTATTAAAAGGCATTTGAAATTTGGAGAGGAGATTTATTAAATTTTAGATTAAAGAAAAAGTTTTTTGCTGTTCTCCTTAAAACAACATTTGGAAGATTATAAAGATGTTATACAAGATGGGTTGATTTACCAGATAAAAGAGAAAATGATATTAAAAAATAAGGATTATTATTAATTAATAAATTAGGCAATAAAGTAGATTAAAATAAAAGATTAGTTTGGAATGCATTCAAAGATATTCATGATGAAGCTAAAAATAAAAAAACTAAAGTTATCAGGGAATTAATTGAAGTTACATTCAATTAATCATATACAGCATTTTATAAATGGGCAAATTATAATACTTATGCTAAATTAACTGAAACTAATCTAAAGAAAATTAAATCATTATAATAGAGTGCAAATGTAACTCATTAATTAGTTAAACAAGAAACTTATAAATTATTTAATCTTAGTAATAAAATGTAAATATGTTCATTCTTAGACAAATTTATTTTGAAATTGCAATAAAGATAAAAATTAGATGCTTTGAGATAAATTCAAAATTATTGTGTTTAAAAAAAAATGGAAGAAAAACTAAATAATATAAATAAATAAGACTTAATATCAAAATTAAAAGATACAGCAAATAAAACTGAAAAGGGATTGCTCAAATAAATTTTAAAGAAATTTTAAATCAATAAAATAAATGAAGAGATCAAAAATAAGTATTTTAGTAGAATTCTCTTAAGTGTTAATGGATAATTAATTGATTCATTTAGAAAATGGAAAACCTTACCCAATCCTCATGATATTAATAATATTTAAAAGGCTTCTAAATTTTAAATTAAATTGTAAATGTTTATCAAAAATAAAAATAAATAAGCATATGATCCATTAAAATATCTACATTATGATGCCTTGTAAAAGAAACGATTTTGTATAAGATAATTATTTTCAGTTACAATGAGTGCTCCTTAAAGATATTTAAAATAATGGTAGAATGTAACCAAAGTTTATAAATCAGTTATAGCATGTTAAAAAACAAATAATTTCTTTTATTCTTTAGCTATGATAATATAATCAAATATGCTTATATTCATTTAAAATAAAAAAGATATAGATAATAAAGAGAAATGCATCTAAAAAATATTAGCATCTCAACATAGTAATTTAGCTATTGCCTTTTTTAGATGGAAAAGTTATAATAAATAAGAGTAAATTTTGGAGAGATTGGGAGATGAAAAAATGAAATTTTTTATTTTAAATTTAAAGAAATTCTTAGAAAATGATAAAAAATAAAGATTAAGAAGAACTTTAAATTAATTTCATTAGAATTTATAGATAGCATAATAAATAAAGAAAATAAATCTTAGATTAATGTAAACTGTAATAGGATAAGTAAGTTCTAGTTTTTAGAAATGGAAATATTTACCAGAAGATAAGATAAATGGATAAACAGCAAAAGTAAGTAAATTTATGATATCTCTTGGAAGAGTTGCTTATAGATTTGTAAAAGTAAATTCATGGAATATTATGGAAGATTATCTATTAGATGGTTAAGCTAAAAAGAAATATTGTATAAACAAAATTATATCTATTGGTTAAAGTGATATAAAAACAGCATTTTTGATTTGGCATAGAAGATCATGGGAAATGAAGATGTTTGATTAATTTTCATAATTGAATGTTACATTAAATGATGAAATAATTAAATAAAGATTAGTTAATTGGATTAATTCTGGTTATAAAGTAAAACATTATGCATTAATTGAAATATTAAAGAGATTTCATTAAAATGCAGAATCTTAAAATTTAAGAAGAAAAGCATTAGCAATAATACATAGAAATACAATCTCTTAAGTTTGGATATCATTTAATAAATGGAAATAAATTCCTGAATTTGATTATACTTAATTAGCAAAGGTAACTAAATTTGAATAATCATTTAATCATTTCTTAATTCGTAATATAAAGAAAAAGACTTGGAATCCATTACATGAAATATATGATGATGCACTTGCAATAAAAAAGAGAGCAGTATTATTACTTGTTAAAACATAAGAATCAGAATAATAAAAGGCACTTAGTAAATGGAATAAGAATGTATGTTTGATTTAGGAAGTTTAGAGATGTAAGAGTGTTATATAATTATTTAAATTTATTGGTAATCAAATTTAATGTAATTTATAAATTATGCAACCAAATACAGAATCAAGATTAAAGGAAAAAGCAATATTAAAGATAATTGAAGGAAACAATGATAACATTAGATATTTCTTTATGAGATGGATTAATTACATAAAATTTGAAAGAATATAAGCAATAGAAGGAGAGAAAAAAGAATTTTTGATTCGTTAGATAGGATTCTTTTATAAAAATAACATAAAATCTAAATTAAGATTGGTATTATCTAAATTCAAAAGAAATTCAATACTAAGTGCAGTTTAATAGAAGTTTTTTTCAAGATTATTTGCTACTAAATTTGGAGGAGCAATTGTAGCATTTTAGAAATGGAAAAATCTACCTGAAATATAAAATTATGAAGATATTAAAAAAGGAAGAAAATTAGAAAAATTATTGGAAAACCTTTTTAGAGGGAGAATCAAATTATCATATGATCCATTAAAAGATGAATATTAAGAAGCTATGAATAAGAAGATGCATTGCATTAGAAAATTAATAATCTTAGGAATGGGATTAAATAAGAGATTATTTTTATAATGGAGAAATACAAATAGGTTATTGAAATCAATTGAAACTTGTAGATAAACTACAAATTTCTTCTAAACTCTTGCATTTACAGTATCTGGAAATGTCTAAGTTATTTTTAAGACTAATCAACTTTAGGAGAAAGTCTTTTAAAAAATGTTAACATAATATACCAACTTATTAAGATGGGCATTTATTAAATGGAATAATTAAGCTAAATCTGATAAAATTGCATCATTAATGGATGAAGAGAAAAAAAAGTTTTTATTATTTGCTCTTTAAAGAAATTTAAAACATAATGAAATTGGTTAATTAAGAGATATCTTAAGAAAATTTAATGATGGTAGAAATAGATTAAATTTAATTAAAAAATTATAATTAAAATTATTACATACATTTGCAGGTTAAATGGAAACATCATTTTTGAAATGGAAATAATTACCTGATCAATCTAATATAAAATAAGCATCAATATTTGAATAGAAGATTAATTCATTTAAAATGTAAATATTAAAAAAGAATAGTTTTAAATATTTATAAAATATATACTATGATGGATAAGCAAAATAGAAATATGCAATAAATAAAATGATGTTTAATTGTATGAGTGTAGAAAAGAAGGTATTTTAGTAATGGAATAAAGTAAGTGAATTATAAAAAACAGAAGAGAGAGCAAGTAAAGTTTTTAGATTCTTTGGTTCAATAAATCAAATTCAATAAAATCATATGTATTTCTTCTATGAAGATTAAATTAAATAATTGAAAAAGTAAGAAGAATTAGTTCGTCTATTAAAAGAATGGGAAGATATGTTTAAAGATTCTTATTAGAAATGGAAATAAACTCAAGCAAAATTAGATTTATTGGCTAGTTAAAATAGATAGAAATAGAAATTTTCTATAATAGAAATACTTAAAGATTATATTTAGAATAAAAAGAATTACAATTTAAGATTAATATTAAGAAAGTTTAGTAATTCAAATAGAAGTTAAAAGGCAGTTAATAAGTTTTTATTGGGAATATCAAATTCATCAATTGGTTAATTACATAATTCATTTTAAATGTGGAAGAGATTACCTGAACCTTAGAAAACTAAATAAGGATATATATTTGAAAAGAAAATGTTTAGTTTATTTAGAAGACAACTATTACTATCATTTGATAGTTTATAAGATATTTATTTTTAGGCATTAAATAAAAAGAAAAGAGTTTTATTATTATTAGTAAGATGCACTAAATCATAATAATAATAAGCAGTATAAAGATGGCGTGATGCAATTAAATAAATAAATTAACAAGAAATATAGAATGTATAAGAAAATAGAAAGTTAGCTATATAATTATTTTATTAACACAAAATGAATTAGTTGAATGTAGCCTTTATTGAATGGAGAGATACAATTAGAATAAATGTAAATAAATAAGAAAATAAAACTTAAAATTAAGAAAGATTAAAAAAAGAAGCCATTTTATTATTCCAAAATTATGCATATGTAAGATTAAGAGTTTATTTCACTTAATGGAAGATAAGAGCAGTTAAAAGAAATATGATATAGATTTGTTAAGCTATCTAAAGAATGATTTAATTAAATAGATTTTCTGAAAAGGCGATTAAAAAATATGTTATGGATATTTGGAGAGGATAGCCATCCAAAAATAAATGGTTTAAGAGAGTCGCTGATATTATAGCTAAGAATTCAAGAATTAGTAAATAAGTAGCATATTGGAGAATGAGAGACAATAGTTTAAATTAAAAAGCAGTTGGGTTATCTACTCAATAAATTATTAAATTCAAAAAACTATTCAATAATTTATGTAAAGCTTTTGATAGAATAAAACAAAGAGCATTTACTCATTTAGAACATTATGGTAAAGGTATACCAGATGATAATTCATTTTAACCTTCACATTCTAGTTTCTTGTAATAAACTCCTATCAAGGAAGCTTTCTTCAAATCAGATATAGATTCAATCATATCAAAGAATGGTCAAAAGATGGCTCTTAATACTATTTCAAGAATCTTTAGAATATATTTCAAATAGAGATTTATTGAATTTATGATTGAATTGGATGATTAGAAATAAAAAAGTATATCCACCCCTTAGAAAAAAGGAGCTGAAAAATTATTTGCAATTCTTGAATAGAATTTGAAATTGAAACAATAAGTTATATGTTTTTAAATATCATAAGTAATTATAATTAAAAGTTATTTAGGTTAATGAATAAGGAGTACTGAATTAAATAAATGAAATTATTAATTATTAAAATTCAACTTAAAGTGCTAGTAGATTAGAATTAAGTTAAATAAAGGAATAATAAATAAAATTAAATGAATAAGAAAGAATGATAGAGGATTTAAAAGAGAAAATAAGATGCATGGCAATTAATAGGTTTAATTTCTTAATAAATCTTATAGATTAGTCTTAGCCTTAGAGAAATATGAAGATCATTTTGTTGAGGATGCATTTTTAGGCATATCTGAATACTAACTTAAATGAATAATTATCATATAAAATGAAGCAATATCAATATATTTTGATTGATGAAATTAACATTATATATTTAATCATGGGAAACACAACTTCTAATCATCCTTAAATCACAGAAGTCCTAACAGAATATCCTTTTTAACATAAAAATTGTCGTATAGCCTCTCATTCTTCATAAAGAAAAATATTAAAAGCTGCTTCAAAACAAAATGAATTACCACATAAAAGTAATCGTAGATTTGCTCCAAATATTGTCAAATCCTTAGAGTTTAAGAGTGAAGGCAATCATTATATAAAAATCAAACAATATAAAAAAGCTATTGAATCATACACAAAAGCAATTGTAAGTTGTACTATCTAAACTAGAATCTATATAATCATGATTCTATCTACTTCTCAAATCGTTCAGTAGCTAATAAGCTTCTTAATAGATTCTAGGAAGCCAAACAAGATGCTTTATAAGCTATTTTAATAGATTAGTACAATTCAAGAGCACATTTTCTTTATGGAACTGTGATTTTGATTGAAGTCCAAATGTTTCCTGACATTAGTGAAGCTCTCATTAAATAAGCATAATTGGGAATCGAAGAACTTGAAAAAGGTAGCATAATCTTTATATTTATAGCTTTTGAATAGGTTAAATAAAATAAAAATGAATAAAAAAATAAATTAAAGGTCTTGATTAATTAAAATTTGGCTAAAGGAAAAAGAATGATATATTTGATAAGATAAGAAATAGATAAAAGAAGTACTCATTTTTTAATAACATATAATTAGATATCCTATCTCTAAAATAAACTCTAACGGATATTGCACATAGATAGCATCATCACTTAGATTGGAATTAAATTGATTAGATAATCCATAAGAAAATTGAAATTATTTTACCAGAATGCTTTGTTTGTCCAATTACTTATGAAATTATGAATGAACCAACACTAATCAATTCAGGATTAACATATGATAAACATAGTATTTAATAACAGTTTAAATTAAATGGCTATTTTGATCCTATGACTAGAGAGAATATAGATCCTTTGGGTTTGATATAGAATATCTAATTATAATAAGGAATCTAATAAATCTAATAGTAATATGGATGGGTTGGGATAGAAAACGAAAAAGATTACAAGGCAATTAAATTTGAATGACTTACTTTGTAATATTTATAAAAATAATAACTCTCATTTCTTTTTATTTAGTTTTTTTGAAATCTTTTTTTTAATCTAAACTTTTTTATTTTGTCCTTTTTATTTACCTTTAACAACTACTTCAACAACTTTCTATTTTGTAGGTTTTCTTCCTGGTTTTAATTTTTATTATTTAGATTAAGCTTTCTAAACATTTGGTACTTTTTAAGTGATATTTTAAGGTTTTGATTTTGGTCTTCCTTTTTATTTTTTTTGATTTTTTTCTTCTTTTTATTTATCATGTTCTTTATCAATTTTTTGTGATTATTCTTTTGTTTTTCCAATTTTTCCAGGTTTTCCAGATTTTCCAGGTTTTCTACCTTTTTTCTTTTTTTATTATTCATTTACAATTTATCCATCTTAATTATTATCTAAAACACAATTATTTAAAGTTAAATCTGCAATTGAACACAAAATTCCATCAAATAAATATCCTTATATTTTTTATTATTCATTTTCATTTTCCATATTTGTAAATGGATAATTAGCTTAAACTAATTTCAATTCTTATAGTTTTTATTATATTTCTAATTCTTAATTAAGCATTGTTACCTCTTTCTCAATAACTTCTTTTTAATATTATTTCCATTATGTTTATGATTCTTTACTTATAATAAATATGTAATTATATACTTTTTTAATTGTTGTTATATATAATCTAATTTTGCTTAGTAATCAATGTTTTTTAAGTTAATGGTTGTGATTGGCTAAGTTGATTATTTATTTTTATTCATAAAAATTTAATATAATATTTATATTAATTCATAAATTTAATAATTATTTGAATTAATTTCTAAAGTAAGTTGTTGAGAATATTATAGATATAATACAATTTAAGAATTCCAGATTTAATTAAATCTTATACAACTCTACCAGATGATCATTCATTTATGATAATATTTTCAATATGATTTTGTCTACTTATCAAAAATTACATAACGACCTAGCAAAATAAACAAGCTGAATCTCTAACATTTACACCAATACTGTAACTTCCTTGATTCTATTCGAAAATCAAGGTTTTACAAATACTAGGAATAATTGATTCTAATTTATTGTCAAGAATTAATCCTCATATACATAATTCTCCTAATGCTAAACAACTACATGCCATGCAATATCACATTAATTGGAGTAAAAAATGTATTGATTAATGAATCAAATATCTCATCTGCTTAATCTAAATATAATCTAGCATCGGAATGTAAAATTAATAAATAATTATTCTTATTCATATATTTATAATATCTAATGTATTAACAAAAATTTTTAATCCTTCTAAATCAAAATCAATAAATTAATCTACATCTTCTAATTAAATATTTGATTATTATTATTATTGTAATTATTAATTAGTTTTAGATATTTATGAATTAGCAATAATTCAAGAGTTAACAATAATTTTTAATGTTTATTATAGATTTTTTGTATATTTTTTATATGTCAAACTAAGTATTTCAATTTTTTAAGTTAATTGAGTAAGAAACAGATTAATTAATGTAACTTGTTATTTTAAGTTTAGTAAAAGAACTCTTTATACAACCTTAAGAATTTCTACTAATGTTTCCAAAATAATTGTGATAGAAAAGTTTTAATATGTATTATCTTGCAATTAATAAATTTGTTTGAAACTTCAGTGAAAGTGCTTTAAATGGCATTAAAGATTTAAGAATCTATTAAATGTTAATTAAATGGAACTACAATTATTATACTTAACCACATTAGAATAACATATAGTTTGACAATTCTAATTAAGATCTGTTGAATAATTATATACATACATAACAACTGGTTCTAAATTACTGAAATCATATGGACAATATCTACTAATTTCTTATTCCTCTCACAATGAATTTCTATGAAAAATATAGACATATATTCTTATATCTTTTATTATTATTTCAAAATCCAAGTTTAATTATTCTTCATATTACTTATTTGTTAATAATTATTCAGAGTTACTCAATGTTAAATTCTATTTCTCTTCCTCTTCCTTCTAATTCATAGTAAAATGCCATTTTTATTTTAGGAAAGAAATTGATATTAATTTTTATTCTTATAATTATCATAATTACTCACTTAATTTTTATATATGATTCCAAAATTCTTCTACATTCTATTTTGTTGTTGTATGATTCGCAATAGATATTCTGAGATAGAATATACCCTTAATTTCTGATCCACTTATAAATCCATTCATCGTATTTTAATTTATTAATTCTTATAATTTTCTATTCAATTTGTTTTATATAGTCAAATCTTCATTAACCAATATAAATGTGACTAATCCCAATTATGGTTTTGTAAATAATCTGAATTTATTAGATGCTTTCACTAATTGTTCAAAATGATTAGCTACTTCTATCTTCTATAATATCTATTCTCTCATACCATTCAATCCTAAACTTTTTATCATCCAAAACATTTTAATTGAATTAAATCTCTTTCCCAAAGCTACTTACCAATCCTTGTAATCCCACACATCATAATTATCTGTAAATTTATTCTTATAAATCTCAAAATCTATCTTACTTCCCATTGCTTCAGCTAATTCACTTTTATCATTAACATAAAATAAGCTTCCAGTCAACCCACACATCATTAATTTTGCAAAGTTTATTTCTATAGAATCAGCATATTCTAATCCTTTGGCTTTCTCTCTATATTCATTTATAAGCCAAGATGATCCAGCATATGCAGCATCCACATTAAACCAAATTTAATATTTCTGACAAATCTCTCCTAATTTATCTATTGGATCGAATGCACAAGTTCCTGTTGTACCAAATGAACAACTCAACCAAAATGGAATCAATCCATCTTTGATATCTTATTCTATTATCTCTATTGCTTTCTCTAAATCAACAACATAATTCTGTTATTCATCATTAAATATAACAGGTAGTTTCCTTTAATAATAAATGTCCTTTAAATGCAAAGCTTTTGTAGCACAGGCATGAGCACTCTCAATATAATAACCTACAAATTTGCAGATCTAAGCAGAATCTGTGTTTATATTCAATTACTTCATCTTTCTTCTTTTAGCCGCATGTACTGAAATAAATATTGCATCTGAAACTGTTCCAGCAATTGTTCCTCCTCCTTAATTTTTCATTAAAAATTTAACTGGCAAATCTAAGCCATAGACTACCCAATCTACTACAATATTTTCCAATTCAGTTTATGCTGGAGAAGCTAACCATTGAAATCCAGGCGTTCCAAAAGCTGAAGCAAATATTTCTGCTATTATTGATGCATGTGTAATATTCGATGGATAATATGCATAAAAGTTTGGATGACTCCATAAAGTCAGTCCTGGAAAAATCTTTATATGTAATTTTATAATATTTACTTTAGTTTCTGTTTCTTATAATATGCTATCAAGTGACTCTGGTTCCAAAGGAGGCTTTTCTGAAAATTATTGTCTCAAGAACCCTGGTTAAACCTAAGGGACTACAGGGTATTTTAAATTAGCTATGTCTTCAAATTTATTGGACACCATTTATAACATTTTTGTACCAGCTTCCACTAATATTTCTGTATTTAAGAACTTCTTGCTCATTATCTAATAAATTACGTTATCTAATTTATATAAAATAATTATGAATATATTTTTTTTTTAATTAAAAAATTTGGAACATTTCAACCACAATATTATTATTAATGTATTTTCAAAACTTAATTAAACATCGATTATTAATTATATAATATAATTCAAGTCTAAATTTAAAAATATAAATCTTATTATTAATAATATTATTATACAAATTCATGGAGTGTCTCAGATTAGAAATAGTATTACCTTTGTGCATCATAGCACTCTATTATTTTTATTATAAAAAATTTAGATTCTTTGTAATAGAGGAGAAAAAGAAGGAAAACATTATTAGGCACAAATAAATAAGAGGCAATTGTCCACCTTCATATCCAAATGGATGGTATCGACTCTGTAGAAGTACAGAATTGAAGATTGGGTAAGGATTTGTCTTATAATTTCAGATAAGTAGAAGAAATCAAATTAGCTGGTCGACACATTGCTTACTATAGAGGAACAGATAAAGTTGTTTATGCTGTTGCTGCTTATTGTCCACATATGGGTGCTAATCTTGGAATTGGTGGATAAGTTAAATTCAAGTCTTGTATTGAATGTCCATTTCATGGATGGGCATTTGATGGTAAATCTGGATTATGTGTTAATTCTGAAAAATTAGATCCTAAAATTGTATCAACCTATTGTTACAATAATATTGAAAAGATGAATCCTAATTAAAAAGGAGAGTATTTATAAAAAGTAGAAGAAGGAGAAATTAAAATCAAAACATATCTCATAAGAGAGATAAAAGGGATGGTTTACATTTGGTTGCATAGTAAAGAAGCTAAACCATGGTATGAACCTATGGTAGAAAAATGTGATCATTTACAATTAAGAGGAGAAAGCATAAACTATATTAATTGCCACATTTAAGAATTTCCAGAAAATGGAGCAGATATTCGCCATTTTGATTATATTCATGCATCAGTGAGTGATTTTATACCCACTTGGCTTATTAAGTTTAAGTGGAATATGAAAAGTATGCCAGCTAATGAACCAGATTTTTATAAAAAAATGGAACATCCTAAAGAAAAAATCAGAAATTATTAAAAGAAATTATTTGATCATTATCTGTCAAATAAAGAATTAAGACCTTATATGAATGTTTTATGTTTAGATGGATCTCTTATGTTCTTTAATAGATGGAAAATCAACGCATTATACATAACTGGATTTTAAATGGGGCCAGCCACCATTTAATTATATATTTTATCTAGTTTATTTGAAGTTTTTTATAAATAAGCCTTGCAACCAGTTGAAAAATTCAATCAAAAAGTCTTCTTAACATTACATATAAATTCATATTTACCATATTGGCTAAGCGCATATATTTTATCCGGAGGTTTGCGATAAATTATCTCAGATGTTAGTGTATGGGATAATAAAATATTTGCAGCTAAAAGCTGTTATAATTTAAAAGGAGATGCTGATCCTGTATTGATGAGATGGAGATAATGGTATTCACAATTTTATGAGGGTTCAAGAGAATTTGAATAAAAGTTAGATTCATTAGAATGGTGATGCATTTATTATAATCATTAATATAAATAATATTTTAGAGTAATTTAATTAGATATTAAATTCTGAAAAAAAATATATCCCTATCATAATTTAAGATTTCTTAATGTTTTAAAGTAGGGTGAAATGAATTCTTTTTAAGGATATGATATATCAATATGTCGATATATTAACTTAAGTATTAACTTATTTCTAATAAATGTCATTGTGAGATGATCCATTTAGCACGGAAGCTGTCTAATCAACAATAATGAAATTAAACTTTTCATAATTGAGGATAAATATATGATCCCTTTCAACACTCCATCTATCAAAGGTATTTTAAAAGTAATGGTGAATTTTATTTTAAATGATTCCAAACATTTATGGAAAGGATAATCTATAATTAATTATTCAGCTTATACATATGAGATAATTAAATTTGCAGTTATTTGAAATTCACAAAATACTTTTTAATAAAGGTTTAAATTGTTAATTTTGAATTAATACAATCACTGTCATAAATCTTTTTTTTCAAAAATCTCATAATTATTTTAAATTCTGATTGGTAATCGTTATTTAGATGTTCAATTAGATTCAACTGGGGAATGTGGTGGCATATACACATAATTATATATTTTAAAACACCTCTTGTTAAAGAACCTTCTTTATGAACAGAAGCCTTCTCCATAAAAAATAAATAATTTCTTAGCCCTTATTTTTATTACTAAGCTACAGAAAAAATTTTTGTATTAATCAAACTTTAACATTCCACTTTAAATATTAAAGCATTAATATATTTTTACTCATTGTTTAATGATATTGATTCTCGTTAATATCTCTGCTCGATCAATATAAAAAGTTTATCTTTGTTACGCTAAGCTCTAGGTGCTAGAACATCTTTGCCAATCCCTGTTTCATCAATATAAATTAACTATCTTAAATTCTTTATTTTGGTGCAAAATCGTTAAAGTATACTAATACTATGTGCTTTTTTTGATACCAGTAGTTGCTATAAAATTAATTTTGATTCAACCATCTAAGCAAAACCTTCAGATTTCACTAATGATTTAAAGCACTACTTTGAAATACTATTCCTAATAAATGAAATTATTGCAAAAAGTCCGAGTATATTTTTGTATAGCACTTAGCTTATTTTAAGTCTATTGATTTCAATTGTTATTTAATCCAATTTTAGTGTGATTCATCAATCTAAAATATATAATCTAAATTTCTATTTTTTTTCCTAACCAATTCGAAATGAATTTATCTCAATTTGCTTTTAGATAATCCAGTTACAGCCGCTTGAGTGGATAAAGAATTTGTTTTTATTGCAGTAAAAATCTAAAGAATTTTTTGTCAGAATATTTTTTCAACATTCTTTTAAACTAAAAAATCTGTTTATATATAATTATTTTAACTTAAAAATCATGAATTAAGTATATTTTGTATTTGTTTTTATCTTAAAAATAAAATATTTAAATCTCTAGAAAAGATCAAAAACATAGTCTATTGAATACAAGAAATAACTCTTTTAAATGAATCCATTAAACATGAAAATACATTTAAACAAAAAATAAATTAAAAAGAGTTTTCATCATGAATAAGTGTGAATGACTGAGTTATATTGATATCACTATGGTGAGTTATCACATTATTTTTTAATAATTATGAAATGATGTTCCATGAATTTATTCGACTTGTGATTGGAGTGTGGTTATAAAATCATAAAACGATGAAAAGGAAACTGATGCAGATTAAAAAGAGAGGATTGAAATACTCAATTCTAAACAAGCATTGAATAAGAAATAATTTAAATCATTGTAATCACATTTAATATAAACTATATTTTTATGTACTCTTCAATTATAAACTTTAAAGTTGATATCATAACGACTGAGAGTATGTTGTTAGTTCTAAATTAATTTAAATTAATGTTTTGGATAATTACTTAATATATTCAAAGCAAAAAGACTTTGAAAGTATCAAGGTAAAATTAGTAATTTAAAAGTGTACTGCTTGATTAATATATACCAATAAGAATAACATATGATTTAAGAATTAAAATAATATGCAACTTTAATATCAATTAAGTAAAGGGATTTGAAGATNCGCTAAGCTCTAGGTGCTAGAACATCTTTGCCAATCCCTGTTTCATCAATATAAATTAACTATCTTAAATTCTTTATTTTGGTGCAAAATCGTTAAAGTATACTAATACTATGTGCTTTTTTTGATACCAGTAGTTGCTATAAAATTAATTTTGATTCAACCATCTAAGCAAAACCTTCAGATTTCACTAATGATTTAAAGCACTACTTTGAAATACTATTCCTAATAAATGAAATTATTGCAAAAAGTCCGAGTATATTTTTGTATAGCACTTAGCTTATTTTAAGTCTATTGATTTCAATTGTTATTTAATCCAATTTTAGTGTGATTCATCAATCTAAAATATATAATCTAAATTTCTATTTTTTTTCCTAACCAATTCGAAATGAATTTATCTCAATTTGCTTTTAGATAATCCAGTTACAGCCGCTTGAGTGGATAAAGAATTTGTTTTTATTGCAGTAAAAATCTAAAGAATTTTTTGTCAGAATATTTTTTCAACATTCTTTTAAACTAAAAAATCTGTTTATATATAATTATTTTAACTTAAAAATCATGAATTAAGTATATTATAAGCTATTGGAATTTTTATATGTAAAATAATAAAAAGGTTTATATTGAACTAATCGAGATAATAAATTTCAAATTATTTCATCTAAAAACACTTTATAATTACATGAGATCTTTTTTCACTCAATAGATTGTAAAGCATTTTTATTTTAAAATATCGATTTTGGAGATAATTTTTCCATATTTTTTTTAGAGTAAATCTTTTATAAGTTGGATACATTAATTTAATAATATTTCAGTGCTGATAAGTCATCTTATTAAGTAAGAGAAGAAATCAATTAAATTAAAAATCATTGCATTTTATATCAAAATTATTGGTATTCTTTTTAAAATCAAATCTTAAAAAGACCAATCTAACAAAAATATAATATTTTTGCTCAAAAGATTGGCAAGAGACCAAAAAGAAATATATTTAGTATGGAATAAATATTATCCTAACCAGTTGATCGAAATTGCGATTATTATACACCAGTTTTCAAGTAAGAGGATTTTAAAAATCTACTTATGAGAACAAGAGATCCTTTTGAAAAAGGGGCATAAGTTTACTTTTGTTATAGTAGATTGTCAAATAGAAAAATGCTACTTAAATATGGAATGGCTCTAGAGTATAATAAATATGATAGTGCATTTTTAAGGGTTGAATTTTTCAAATATATCAAAAATAAGGTAGGTCTTTGGATAATTCATAGATTTAAACTCAATAAATTAAAGAGATTTAAACTTAAGCATATAATTCCTCCTTATGAATTTATAGTGTTTTGTAAATTAATTTATTGGTAAAATATGTTTGATATCCATTCTTTAGGAACTCAAATGTTCATTCTGTAGATACCATTTTTAAGATCTAAGATTTATAATTAGAGAGAAAAGCTTTATCTTTAGCTCTGGAGATTTTGCTTGAATAAAATTCTAAATTTAAGGAAACAGTTGAGGACCTTGAGTAATCATTGCTTGATAAAAGTTTAGGATATCATTAGTATTTTGCAGTAGTATATAGATTAGAAAAATTGAGGATATATCGAAGAAATATTTAGTATTATTTTTATACTATCAAGTCTAATTAATATCATTATAATCGTGCTTGATAAAATGATGAATGGAGTTCCATTTGAATAAGCAAGTGAAAGAACAGAGTACGATTTCGATTTTTATGAAACAAATAGATACATATTAAGGAAATATTTTGATTAGTTAAAATGGGCAATTTATTAATCAAAATGACATTATTTATTTAGTTGTATTATAACAAAGTTATTTTATTCTAAGATATTATATTAAGAACTATTTAAAGCAGTAGAAATTTGTACAATTATAAAGAATGACTATACCTAAATTTAGGATATAAAAGTTAGTCACCTAAGTACCAGTTTATTATTCATTTGATATTAAGATATTAAAGAAATTTTTGATTCCAGATTACATTTAGATATGATATAAATTTAATTGAGCATTTAATGAGATTCAAATACCATTTTTATGAAAGTTTTCTGATAAAATTTTAATTTTACAATCAATAAATAAGGTAAAACTATTGGCAGTATTATCTTAAATAAGAAATTCAATTTTAAGAGTATTTATTTAACTATAAAATATTATTAAATAAATAAATAATAAAAGCTTAATATCATTAATAAAATAATATTTTATGATAGTAAAAATTATAAAAATCACTGATAGTTTAATTATTCTTTTGAAGGCATTCTAGGATGAACTTTGTTAGAGGAAATAACCTTACCTACCTACTTTTTTGTTAACTTAAAAAGTCTCAGAACACCAAACATCTCTTAGAAGGTTCCGTTATAAATTCTTTATCATCTGATGAATTATGCAATCATATAGTATTGCTTTTGTCGAATGCCATCTATGTCTGTAATTCTAAAACCTGATTTTAAGTTAAAGGTTGGAGTTTAGGAATAGTTAGGGGTTCATATTATATTGATTTAGAATTCCTAACTGCTCGAAAAATTAGAAAATACTTTTGAACAAGTGATCAATTCTTGATTTTTGTTTAACAATAATTGGAAAATCTGCCATCTCTTTTTTCTTTATTAACTATCATTGTTTTCTTCAGTATATTAAAATAGGAATTTCAGTTTTCTAAAAATAGATTTCTGAATTATTCCTATAATGAAATGTTATGATCATATTTTATTTATTATACTCTGATTCTTTTTTTATTTATTATATTCTTTATATATATCTTCTGATGATAGTGATAATAAAACTTATCAAAGTCTTCATCTAAATTCTGGATTTTTTGAGATTCTTTTATTGCTTTTGCTAATCGATATATATTATTTCAGAGTCGATCCTCATTTACTTTTTGTCTTTTCTAATTTTGTCTCAATCAA